CCGGAGTCCTTTAACGGACCACCCTTCGCTCACTGGGGGGAGGTGATGGCGTTCCTCCACACACACACATCCTCTTAACCCCTTCTTACCAATGCCTACCGCCACTCGAGCAATTGCTCGCCGCCAATACTCTCATGCCTGAAACCAATCCCTTATCCCCTTCGCTATGTCCCACAGCCAAACATCATTTCCAGCATCCGAAAGATGCACGCCATCAAACCGATAGAGGGCCTCACAGTTGAAACAAATGCCCGGGTGTTCAATGACCTTCCCACCCAGGGCCGCCACTCTACGCACCACCGCCCGATCCAAGGCTTTCCTAGCCCTATTCATGGCTATCGGGCACCTGCAATCTCTCCAGACCCGCCTCTCCATCAAAGAGGCCCAAATAATTGTCACGTTCGGGTAAGAGGCCTTAAGCTCCTCAAAGTCACTGAAAATGTGCCACTGCAAATCAACTGCCTTCCTGTAAGCTAGGTCATTTTCTCCCAATTGTATCAGCAAAGCATCTGGGGGGGCCTCCGCTGCTGCTCTGGTCTTAAATGCGGGCAACATCTCAGCCCAGCGCATTCCCCTCCGCGAGACCCAGGATATAGTGATGCCAGACGGTAAGCCAAGGCGCGGCCTGAGACCGGAATTGATGGCACGGACCCTGGCCCAATGCACGATGCTGTGCCCGAATATCCAGACGCGGACCCCCATATCACCTGCAAGAAATTAAGAGAACAGGCCATGGTCAATCGACCCCAGTTGAACCGTCATAAATTTTTCCTAACATAGTGTTTGTAAGCGTCCGATTTCCAGCGGCCTAAGTCCTTAACCCTCTCAGTAGTAAGGCCCAGGTGCACTGCTGTGGTGGCCACTCCTATCCTAAAAGAGTGCGCCGTGAAATCTGCAGGGGGAAGGCCGCATGCTGCCAGTGTTAAGCGCATAACGCGCGTGAACTGGTGACGCGTCAGGGGTAAGCCATCTGCATGGATAAAAAATGGCCCTGCCAAATTAACCCTCAGAAATAAGCAGTGCCTGGTGTCCTTAACTGGACACGGGCCTGGTTCTCCGGTTGCCAGGAGCCGAACCAGGGCCCCCCTCCCGTACTGGTCTGTTTTGGAGCTACGAATTCGTAATACTAGATCCTCCCGAGAGAGCGTAAGGTCGCTCAGTAGCAACCCCCGGGAGGAACTGCACTGACCCTCTTCGTAAACCACCTCACCCACACGCATTGCGCCGAAGAAGGCGATGGAGTATGCCGCTGAAAATAAGCGCGCCTCATACTTCGACCAACAGACCATTCTCAGCTTTTTGTGAATTTGGAAAAGGATGTCAAATGATATTGGCCTCCTCATATCGCGGCTTGGGGGTAGCAGTCTGCGCCAGCCCTCTAGAGTCTTTCGTATGACAAAATCGGCACATGGATCGGAGGAAAATACCACCTTACAAAAGAATGATATTGCCGCAGCCTGAAGGTTGAGGGTTCTAGGGGCGCGGCCCAAACGTCTTAAGTATACTAAGTAGGATAAAACCTCAGACTTGATGGGAGGGGCGTTGCTTCTTTCGGCATGGGTTTTATTGCGGAACTTAAGGAAATCCGACCACGCCTTCTTATAAGATCTTAAAGTGGACGGCGCCAATGAGGCTAATACTCCCTGAATCACTTCTGGTTCCCATGACTCTGGAACCAGATTGGCTGGCTGGGGGGGCAGACCCAGCCGGGATTCCCCTGTTCTCGCGGGGGCTGAAACCAGCCCCCGCTCAAGTGGGGTGGGCGTGAAGCCCGCAACCCCACCTCCTGGGCAGGCCGGAAGTGGCTTTGCCCTCAGCTGTAAAAGAAGATCAAGCAAATTCATGATAAGGATGTCAATGACAGTCTTCTCCCTCCACTTGCTGCCTCTGAATAACATTTGCTGGGAATCACAAGCGGGGAGAGTGCTTCTCTTGAACTCAGGTCCTGCTGGTGGGTTTCCCTTTGGGGCATCTGTTGAGCCAATGTGATAACAGGATACTAGATGGGCCTCTGACCTGATTCAGCAGTAACTTCATTGGTTCTTAAGCACCCTCAGAGTTCAGATTCACTATTTTGAGTAGCAAGACTGAAGGGGAAAATCCTCATTGCAGCGTCTGCCTGGGCACCATCAGGACAACTGCAACACTGCAACTCCTTTCTTCAAAGAGCAACTGCCTTCCTGGTATGAGACCTGGTGCGGAGCCCTAAGAAGGGGCCTTGCCCAGGATCAGCTGTTTTAGGCCTGCTGTTTCCAATCCATCCTGGGGGCAACAACTGGTGGGGATGAGCGTCATTATCAGCCTTCATTATCAGGATGAAGACAAAAAAGAGAGATTCTCAAGGGATGCTCTTTCGGGACCCGAGTCCAAACATGATTCATCCCACACTGAAGACAAGACTATAAATGATTGCTTCCTTCACTCACACCCCATCAACCCCGGTTTTGACAGCGGGATGGGTAAAATTCCTGAGAAAGGCTCTACTTTTGCCATGATAAAAACAGAACAAGGGGAGCCAAAGCCCACTACAAGACCTTTAGCAATCACTAATAATGGTTCACTGGAGCTGGGCTTGCAGGGCAGGTTTTGCGTTTTGATCTCTTGTGGCACACAGCCTCTGTAACCTTCCTAGATGCCTCAGCATCTCAAAATGTGTCTGATGGAGGAAGGGCACCTGTGACTATTTTCAGCTTAGGGAAATGGAAAAAAGGCATTGGTGTAACGTGAGCAATGGGTTAAATGACACAGTGCTGTCATGGTCCATGTCTTGAGTTAGCACATCCCCAATGTCTATAATAAGAGAGCAGGGGAATTGGTTTATCATAGCAACAGAACAGAGGGCGAGTGTATGACTTGCTGGGTCTTCCCCCCTGCCATTGGTTCAGGAATGTAGATAGAGGTAGAACAGTCTCTTGGGCATGGCTTTTCTTCTGTCCTGGAGCTGTCCTGTTTGCTGTCAAGATCTGACTCTGGATCTGTGAGAGTCAGGGGAAGAGGCTGTGGGTTTTAGGCAGCAGCATTAGCTAGAATGCTGATTGTGTTAGCAGTTCTTCTGTACATATGGGATGTGTTACTAGACATTTCAAGGAGTAGAGAGTGATCAGTGAAGAGGCAAAGAGAGGCAGCAGTTCCTTGTCTCCTTTCACAGGAGGACTATAGCCCTCTGTGGAGAAGACGTCTACTTGCAAGAAGTCTACTCTAACCAACATTCACATACTAAACGCTGCTCACTCTGCATATGAAAGGGTTTCAATAGGCAATTGACCCATTTACACTTTAATGAAGATATTGCAATGCCAGTTACCAGATCTTTTTAACTGGAGAAGCCAGGGATTGAACCAGGGACCTTCTGCATGAAGAGAGCTATAGTCCTGCAACACAGCTTCACAGAGAGGTAACTGTCTTAATCTCGTTCAGCAAAAGCAACATAGTTATTTTCTAGCACCCAATAGGTGTTATGAATTGCAGCATAAGCTTCTGTGGACCAGAGCCCACACCACCAGAAGTTTCTTGTCCGCAAAAGCTCTGGCCACAGTGCAATCCTAGAATATACATCTACTCAGAAGTAGGCCCCATTCCATGTTCTCCCTCCACTATCAGGAACAGATTTGCCTTGGAATGGCAATTTCTTGTATGCAAGCAGGGAGATGCCCTGTTTGTAGGCATCCCATTAGGGTTCACCACTTTGAGAATTGGATGCTGGGCTAAATAGGCCTTTGGCCTGATCCAGGTGCAGGGTTCCTTTGTCTTCTTAATAAGACTTACTTCTGAGTAACCATGTTTAAGACTGTGTTGCAAGTGTGTTTAGGACAGTAACCTAAGTCTTCAAAGTGCCAGCACCATCTCAGCAATTGAAATCACTGAGCTTAAGTGCATGCTGGATCATGTCCAAAGATGATGATGCTATGTGTGGCTGGTGCTAGTCCTAATGTTGCAGAAAGGCCTTTCGTAATGATCAGAAGGCTGTGTGTGTGTGTGTGTGTGTGTGTGTGTGTGTGTAAGCAGAGAAGAAGGAGCCAAAAGAGAGATGTGTCCAACTGGCTGGAGACATGTGGCAACAAAGCTGTGCATTCCTCTACAGATGCAGTAATAAATCACGTCTGCATGGATGAGTAGCCTGGATGGAGCCAATACTTTGCTGCTGCAATGTGTTCAGTGAGGAGGGGAGAACATGCTGTCCTCAGTGGTGTTTACTAGTTGTGCACACAGTAGATAAACGAGCAACTTTTCTGACTGTTTTAGAAAAAACAACCTCCCTCCTCTGAATGCAGGTCGTTAGACTTTCTTCTCATTAAAAGGTGCCACAGATAAATGCAGAGGCTGACATCATAACAGCTGCTCATTATGCTCCTCAGAGCAACTTCTTGATTCTGAGTGACAAAATTAATTCTCAGGGTCCAAAGAAGACACATCATTAAACACATCTTTGCACTTAATGTGCATGCCTTTTTTAAAAAATACACAAATGGCAACATGGGCATAGCCAGTATTTTTGTTAAGGGAGGCAGGCCTTTTGTTGGGGAAGGACAGAACCTTAGTTTGCTATGTATTTTTATCAATATTTGTTGATGGGGGGGCAGCTTTCCCTCCCTGGGCCCCCTTGGCTACGCCCATAAATAGCAGGCTGCTAGCAGTAGGGGCATAGATAAATAGGTACCACTCCGGCGGGAAGGTAAACGGTGTTTCTGTGTGCTGCTCTGGTTCACCAGAAGCGGCTTAGTCATGCTGGCCACATGACCCAGAAGCTGGACGCCAGATCCCTCGGCCAATAAAGCGAGATGAGCGCCGCAACCCCAGAGTCGGCCCCGACTGGACCTAATGGTCAGGGGTCCCTTTACCTTTACCTAGCAGTAAGGGCAGGGAGGGGGCTGATGATAATTGGGATTGCAGCAGATGGGGTGAAGAGTTAAACTTTAGCACTTTCTTCCTCTACTGTGGTCCGTGTTGGTTGCAAGGTAAAATAAAATAGTTATAAAGGAAAATCTCTGGATGCCAAAATCTAGGTTTAGGGCAAGTCCTCTTTGGTGAGAGAATCCCAGCAGAGATTTAATATCACAAAATATACAACATTAATTTCAAAGGATGGCTGTGTTTCAGTTCTTGCCTTTCCCTCCCCCCAGAAAGTGTGAATTAGGGAGGTTTGCTTTTAAATGAGAACTTAATTGAATTTCTCCTCCCATTCCCAGAAGGTATGTATATCTATAACTCAGGATAACACCTCAAGCATCTGATGAAGTGGACTATATTCAGGGCCAGCTCTACCACGAGGCAGAGTGAGGCAGCTGCTTCATTTGGCAGATGGGAACAGGGAGTGCAGGGGTGAGGCCTGGCATCCTCACACCCCCAACAAACTTGCTGCCCCCAGGAAATGGGGGAGACACTGCCTCATTGTCAATGTGGGTACTAAGATTCAGCAACCAGTCTAGCTGGCTTCTGTAAATGGAATGGGGTGAGATGGAGAGCCATTTTATCCCTTGCCTCAGGCAGCAAAATGTATTGGACCAGCCCATGTAAGCTGAGGCCATAGTAGACCCAGTAGTCTTTAAGATTCCACAAGACTCTTTATTGTTTTAGCACATCCAAAGCAAGAGGGCTGTCTGTGCACTTGCTCTACACACTATAGCTGCCATACGTCCGGATTTTCCAGGACATTACCGGAATTTCAAAGGCAGAAATGACTACATACTGCGCTCTCGCTCTCTCGCTCTCTCTCTCTTCCTCCTTCCCTCTGGCATTTCCTGTAAGCCAGCTTTCCCCCCTGATGGCATCTAGAAGCCAGAAGGGCTGCCCTTTCGTCACAAACAGCTACTGGGTTTGTAATGTCACCCAAATGTTTACTGACGGTAAGTCAAACCCTGTCCCATCCCCCCCCACACACAATGTATAAAAACAAAACACAGAGCAAGTAAAATGCATGAAGAAGTCAAAATTAGTTCAAGAAATTGAAAGCACAGTCTTTGCTGGACAGTTTGTTCCAGGAGATGTGTAAAAAGCAGGCGAGGAAGCCGAGCAACAACGCAGCCTCCTCCTCCTCCTAAAAGTTTCCAGATGCTGCTCACTCAGGGCACCCACGGTGGGTGTGTCTGTAGCTTCGCATAGACTCTGCTTTGGTCTGCCCCCATCAGGGACTCCGTGATTTTGGGGGAGCAAGTTTTGCTGAGGCAAAGGTTTTCCCCTTGAACTGATAGAGCCTCAGCTTGAACAAATGTTGGAGTTTCTCCTGGAACTGGCTGCTGATGACATAGTACAACAAAGGATTGATGCAGCTGTTAGCGAACCCCATGGAGAGCCCAAACGGTAGGGCTGCGTCAATGACAGAGGTGACCCAGCAATTGCTGATCACATCCATCCAGGAAAGGGCATCCAGGAAGGTGAGGATGTGGAAGGGGAGCCAGCAGACCAAGAAAGCCACCACCACAGTGGCCACCAGCTTCAGGACTCTATCCCTCATCTGCTGGTTCTTCCCAAACCCCTGAGCTCTCATCAGGTGCACTCTGATCCAAAGGTAGCACGTGATAATGATGATGAGGGGGACCAGGAACCCAAGGGTATTCTTCATCAAGGCTGTTCCAGCTGACCAGCTGGAGTATTTCTCTGATGGGTAGGCCATGATGCAGGCTGTCACACCTAGCTCCACGATGTATTTGGTGTTGCGGAAGTAGAAAGTTGGCAGGGAAGTTAGGGCCGCCAGTCCCCAGACCAGAAGCGCAGTCTTGGACGCTTGCTGCAGTGTCCCTTGCTGGGACTGGAATGGGTGGGCAACTGCCTGGTAGCGGTTCAGGCTTAGGCAGGTGATGAAGAAGATGCTGGCAAACATGGTCAGGCAAAGGACCGAGCTGGTGATTTTGCACATCACTGGGCCAAAGAGCCAGTTGTACCCATACGTATAGTATGCAGCCCAAAAAGGAAGTGTGGTCAGGGCCAGCAAGTCCGCCACAGCCAGGTTGACGATGTAAATGCTGGAGACTTTCCTCGGGCTCCGCTGCCAACACAGCACTGCTACCACCATGCTGTTCCCCACCAGTCCGAGGATGAAGATGATGCAGTAGAGGACTGGGATGAGGACAAACTGGTAACTGGAGACAAAGATAGGGCAGTGGGAGGAGACGTTGGCTGGAGAGGAGTAAAGATCTTGCAAAGGCTGCTCAGTGGGGCTGGGGGTGGAGTCGTTGTCCCTGGAATGCATGCTGGTGCCCAGGATGGAGATTTGGGGTGCAGTGAACTCTTCTTGGGAACTGGAGTCTTGTGTGTCACATCATCCAATAGCTAGCCTATTTTTATTTTTTTTAAGAAAGAGAAAACACAACAGAATCACAAGCTGCATACGTGCAAACTACATCCTTGGCCTTCCCAGTTTACTCATGAAGGAGATGAAACCAGGAAATGGCATTCTATGGAGTCAGAGCATCGTTCCCTCTAACATGGTATGTTGTCTTCATTGACAGGCAGTGGCTTTCCAGGGTTTCAGGTAGGGGACATTCTGGAGGTGCCAGGGAATGAACCTGGGACCTTCTGTGTGCAGAGCAAATGCTCTACCACTAAGCTACAGCACTCCCCCAGGATGCAGGTGCATTCCAGGTCTACTATTGCTTAAGATCTGATCTGCTGGAAGAGATCAAAAGTCAGTCGAGTCCAGCATCCTGTCCCCCGAAGCAACCAGCTTTGTGCTTCCAAGATTGGAGGGTCTGAAGGCAATGTCTGCCTTCAACTTTTGTCCCAGGACTCTAGGGTCACAGCTGTGAAGGCAAAAGCTTAATTCTCTCCCTAAACCAGGCAGCATCAGCCTAGAGCCTTCCTTTTAGCTCTCTGCTATCAACACTGACAGGCATCAGCTCCCCAGAGGTCCAGACAATGGTCACTTTCCCAGCTCTATGTGGGGATGTCATGGTTGAAACCTGGGACACTCTGTACGCAAGCAGACACTGAGCCACAGCCCTTCAATTGAAAGGCTGCGGAAGGATGTTTATTTTAAAACAGAAATAACGAAGGAACCATATTGAGCATGGATGCAAAAGTTTGTGTGTGTTAAATACCCTTTAAATCTTCACTGTTATTATTCAGACATTTCTATACAGCAAACCTCCCCTCCATGCAAAGCAGTTTCTTCACACATTGCTAGATAACATAAAGCCTTATGGGAAACACAAAGAAGACAGGTGGTGACTTACTCTGGGAGTGCTTGAACTCAGGCTGGTTACACACCAAGTTGTGTCCACCCTCAGGCAGGAGCAAAACCTTCCAGGCAAAACCTTCCCTTCTCTCTCTGGCTGCTTTGTGAGAGTTGGTTTAACATCACTCCAAGACTGAAACATGAACACCATCGAGAAAGTCTTTGCATAGCTTCCTGCTTTGTATGAGAGGAGCATTGGGCTGGTAGAGAGCATACATGCGTCTCTCAGTCTCTACAACCAATAAGAGGCAAAAGACTGAAGGAGGGAGGGTGTTTAAGCAATCCATTCCCAGTGCAGTTGTTTGGAGAGAGAATGTTCCCCCTCCCAGCTTACCCTTCATAAAGTTTGGCTAGAAAGTGTGCAGCTATTTCTTCCTGCAATCTGAGAAGAATGTGTGCGAAAGAGGGATGGAAAATAAGCAAAATAAACTAGCATCTTCAGTAAGGTGTAGCTTCCAGGAAAGTGTGCATGGAATTGTACAGATAATGCTGAAAGAGAAAAAAGCTTCAGAGCAGAAGTTTCATCTACACTTACTGTTTGCCCTGCGCATTCTATGTGCAGCTCCACACTGAATCTCAACAAAAGGCGATTCAGGTTTTCTGAAGGTTGCTGTTTGCTCCAAATCAGCAGTAAAGAGCGCGTTTTCCTGGAGAAAGTGTATGTGGGGAAGCAGTTGGACATGGAGCTTTAAAGTGCAGACCTGTGTCTAGAAACTCAACACAAAATGAAGTTTGAATGAGCCAAGAATCTCTGAGCAATGTGCTTTCTGATAAGCAAGCAAGGACTCAGCAGGTAAATGCAACCAGCTCTGTGCCAAAGCAATTGGCTGTGGTTCCTAACTTTCCCCCTTCCCCTGCCCAGCAAGAAAGATAAATGCATGGAATTTGGGCTGCATGGAATTTGGAAATGCTGTTGGAAAGGCTGGTTCCCATCAAACTCAGAGGTCCGATTAGCAACATGTTAGAGGTCAAATGGTCCATGTGCATGAGACTGTTCACCTGTTTGCATGCACAGGGTTGGCTGGATTCTGTGACTGGAACTATGCAGGGGTAGGGAGCAGCAGCATCTTTCCCTTGGCCTCAGGTAGAAAGACATCTTGAGTGAGCCCTGGTAAGCTCGATTTGCACTGAAAATTGATCCAACTGCAAGCTGAAGGAGAAGCACAGAATGTTTATTCTCCAGGATGCCAAGTCCTGGCTGCTTAACTTTCAGTGTCAACAGAGCTTCCTCACACATTAGCTTTGCCTCTGCCCATGGGTGCCAACCTGCAATGTTTTTCCACCCATTAGTCAGACGCTGCTCCTCCCCCACTACAATCCAGAAAACTGTGGAGTGCAATTTTCTTTTCTACAGAATTTTCTTTTCTAAATGGTGGCATTTTGTTATCTGGGATCACAATGTTATTGTATTCCTAAGATCTCTTTCATAGTCAAAAGAATAGTCATAAGAATATCACAAAAAGAAAGAACGCTAGTAATTATGCCTATTTTTAAAATTTATCTAATTTTTATATTTTGTGATGTTTTGTGTTTTGGAATGTTGCAGACCTCCTGTTACCCTTACTATTCAACATTTTGCAGGCACAACAGTTTACAGTTCTGAAGCTGCCTTCTGCTGAGTCAGACCATTGGTCCAGCTAGCTCAGTTTTGTTGACACTGACAGGCAGCAGTTCTTCAGGAATCTTTCCTAGCCCTCCCTGGAGATGCTAGGGATTGGACCTGAGAACTTCTGCATGCAAGTCAGGTGCTCTGCCACTAGGCCACATCAATTCCCCTCTCTTTTCTCTACATCCACGTGAGGCTTTGCTTGCTTAAAATCCAGTGAGGTTGGTTTTCCTCATTATGTTTCAAATCACCTTTGCATGGTGTCATACACATCAAAATGGCTAGATGTGTTTCCAAATCAGCTTCGGTCTGTCTGTCCACCCCTGTGGACATAGAAGGTGTGTGAATCTCTTCATGTGGCTTATGTTTTCAGTTCAGATAATAGCTTGTTGGAGGAAATACATCAAAATGCAGTATCCAAACATAGATGAAGCTCCTTGATCTCAGGACCCATCATGTGAAATTTGGGGGGGAAATCAGTGCAGTTTTAAAAGACTCAGTCCGTCATCTTGATTCAAAACAGGGTTCAATTGTATCCAACCATAGATGAAAATCCATTTTTCAGTTTTGGGAACGCACACAGAAAAAATTGGTATGGTATCTTAAGAGGTGTGCAAATGTATAATGAACAAATAACTTTCCAAAATTGAGAGTATATTACACCATTCCTCCAATGAGCTCAATGGTTCTGCCAGTTTACCCTCACAACTCTGTGTGGTAGGTTAGGCTAAGAGATGGTGTCTAGTTCAAGGTCACCCAATGAGCTCCAGGACTGAGGGGGGGTCTCCTAAGGTCCAGGTCCAACACTCTAACCACTATACAACACAGACTGCTTCCTAGCTGTTCGTATTTCGTATGGGTGGGAAAATAAGCTTGTAAATGCACCTTATGTTTAGATTCCACATCGAGGACTTGGCATATCAAGGAGCTTCTGCGCTCCAGAGCATGATTTGACAGTCTCTCTAGAACATTTTGAAACTGCATGTTTGGAATATTCCATGAAAGAGGAGATTACTGCAGAAGCTTGGCTCTGTCTTCCCTTTTCAAGCATTTCTTGCTGACTTAGAAGCATCCAAATGAACTCCAGCATTCAGAGAGAGTCCAGTTTTAGAAAGCCTCCTTGCAGTTATTATGAGTTGCAAGCACCTTTCAAGTATGTCTTTTGTGCAAAATAAACAGCTTTCTTAATTTACCTAAAGTCATATCCCGGGTAGAGTATTCTCCAACAAATACTTCAACAAAGTATTCAGCTTCCGTTGATACATTTGAACTCCAGATGCGATCACTTTCCATTCCCTTTCTATTAACTAGTACACCGTGCCCCCTCATGGGGTTGTTTTGCGTTTTTCCTCCATACCCTGCTTTTAGAGTTGTTAAAATTGTACCTTTGCAAATCTGGATTTCTTCCTAACCCTTCTGAAACTTTCGTCTTTTGTGTGGGACTCTGTGCCATTATTTATTTATTTATTTATTTATAAGTCATTCCTACACCACTTAATTATTTGCATTTCTTTTTTTAAAAAAATAATTTTATTGGTTTTTTTAACATATCATTTTCAACAATTATTAAACATACTTATATATCTTATACAATTTTTTTTTACTTCCATCAATCACATCTGACAATTTTCCAATCTTTTCACTTATTTTACATTTCTTACTTTCACTATTACATTCAAATCTCATAACTAATATCTCTCTTCTTTCTCTTCTTTGCAATGTTTCATATATTTCTCCTTACAAAACTTCTTGTAGTCCTACTAGCGTAATTTGTTGATTACGGTTGCTCTTCAAATAGTTCGTATATTTCTTCCATTCTTCTGTGAATCTCTGGTCCTGCAGGTTTCGAATCCTTCCTGTCATTTTATCCAATTCTGCGTAGTCCATTAATTTTGTCTGCCATTCTTCTTTTGTCTGTATTTCCTCCATTTCTGGGCCAACAATACTCTTGCCGCTGTTGTTGCATATAAAAACAATTTAACATCCTGTCTATTAATATCCTCATTTATAATACCAAGTAAAAATGCTTCTGTTTTTTAATATATATATATTTTTCAACATCTTTTTCATTTCATTATATATCATTTCCCATATTTTTTTTACTAATTATTTGCATTTCTAAGTGGTGTGCATAAAAGAATCAGCAGAAAAATACAAAAATAAAACAATTTTTTGAAAGTGGAAGAAATATTACCTCCCACTCTAGGTGCAGAGAGTGGGATGTGGGACTGAACCTGAGAGAAGATGGAGGGAGAGGGAAAGCAGGCAGCCAGATAGATTAAATCAGCCAGGAGAGAGGCTCCCTGGCCAGGGAATGAACAGAATCTTAGTTAAGGTGCTCTTGGTAGGAGAGGCTGAAAAATAAACTAGAGAAATTCCACTGCAGAGGCCCATAAAAACTGTGCAAAGGATATGTCTGTCTAGCTCAGCATCTTAAGCCAAATGAGGGTAAGCATTTGTGCTACTCCTTAGTTTGCCAGATATCTAGTGATCCAGCCCTTGGGGCTTGTTGTGTTTTTGCCAGGGCTCAGCAAAATTACAAGATGTCTGGAGTCTAATCACAGAGCAGTCCTGCAGTGCTTGAACCTCCTTCTTGGGTCAGAAGCAAAGGGCTCTCACAGCAAGCAACATAGTGGCTGCCAGGGGTGCCAACTTTAATAAAATACTGGGGGGGGGGCAGGTAAGCCCCATCCCACATAATCAATCACATGACATAGTGCACACACCATTTGAATGGCAATGCCCATCAGCTTTGGGAGGGGCAGTTCCCTTAAATATTTTATTGCGGGGGCGAAGGGACCTTGGCCCTTAGAAGTTGGCTCCTACGGGGCTGCAGTCAGAAGGGGCTCAGAAGGAGATAACCCATGGAATAATTAGCTCCTTCCCACCCAGTTAGGCCCCATGTCCATTTAGATGAAAAGTTGGCCCCCAAATTCCGTAGTTTTCCAAACTCTCAAGGGTTGAATTCGACACTTGGGGCCAGTTTACCTTTGAGGTCATATTACCCCATCCATGCATAGGCTCAAACACGCATTCAGCTGCTCCAGTCTACAGGACTGGCACCATGGCAATGCCACAAAGCACTTGCCCTACATTCATAGGAAATCAAACTTAGTGTGTTAGCAGCCACACTTTGGAACTCCCTGCCTATTGACATCAGGCAGGCACCCTGACCCTTTATGGTGCTGCTTAAAACCTTCGGGGCTAGACGAAGCCTGTCCCGGCATGTTAACATGTATTTTAAACTGATTTTTAGCTTAGCGTGGATTTTCTGATTTTTTTAAACTGATAATTTCATTTTAAAAATTCTTTTTGTCAACTACTCTGAGGAGTGTATATACATTTCAGGAAACAAATAAATATAAATAAATCTGTCACCCAAAGGTGATTTGCACAATTCATAGAATCATAGAGATGGAATTGCAATTTGCTGATATCCTGAGAGTTAATTTTACTGTGTACTATTATATTTTAAATGAATTATTGAATATTACTTTATTTTATGCATCATTTATTTTACAGTCATTTTTTTATTATGACTTATTTGTATTGGATTGTTTTGTTACTAGATGTGTGATCTTTGCAGTATATTTTGACGCTTCTTTGGCTTGTATGCTGCCTTGTGTATAGCAATCCAGGAAGGTGGCATACAAACTAAAGGTGAAATGGAATGAAATGGAATCATATCTGACCAGACAACTTATGCATGTAGTGGCATTGGGTCCATCTGCACATGGGTGTAGCCAAGATTTATGGAGGAGTGGGGCAGAAACTCAGTTAAGTATTTTTTTTATTTACTGGGGGGGCAGTTGCCCCCCTGCGCCTCCTTGGCTACAGCCGTACATCTGCACACAAACATAGCAAGATGTATTATACAGATCCAAATCCTTGGTCCATCTGACTCAGGTCTCTGGGTTTCAGACTGGGAATGTCACCAGCCCTACTTGGAAACTCCCACGATTAAATCTCAGATCTTCTGCCTGCAAAACAGATGTTCTGCTGTCAGACCAAGGCCCATTGCTACACAGTGAACAGTGGATGCTATGTGGTCTGTCTGCAGGAGGGTGTCCAAAGAACTACCTTCTGTGCTGCCCACCAGCAAACATCAACCCCTGCAAAGTTATCTGTTTATTTGCAGAGCCTGGGGATTCAGAAGGAGAGGGCAGCTAGCAGATTAGGTGGAAGGTTCCCCCGTGAGGAGTGGCAGCTGGTGAGGATGGGCTGCTGACCAATAGCTTTTAGCTGTGTTCAATCAGTGGAACCTCCAGATTCAGCTGCAGTATATCTCTGGAAACCTGACACTGAAGGGCAATCAGGAGGGCTCTTGCCTTAGGGCCTTTTCTGGGATTCTAGAATTCATTTGTTTGAGCCGTTGTGGGAAACACAATGTTTGACGGGGATCCGATCTGTCAGAGATTGACTTATGGCTTCTCCGTGTTCTGGTCAGAGTGTGTGTGCCCGTGCCCACGCACGCTAATGATGTGTAAATATGCAAATCTGAGCTGAGCCTTACAGAATTAGCATCAGATTAGAGCACCAGAAAAGCTGTTTTCTCTTGAGTGGAATGGAAGCGATTAGGCGCCTGATCGTTAAGCGAGTTGCTGCTCCGGAGGTCTTAAAGCTGCGGCAGGAATCGCCATTTGGAAGCTCAATGCGTAGCTGGGGAATCCTGTCCTTTGGCGGCCTGTGTGCGTGTGACGCTTTGAGTCTTTACAATGCCTTGTAGGGAGTAATGCAGACTCGGGATATTACGCTGTGGTGGATTCTAGGTTACCGAGGCTGTTCCGCCCAACTTATTTCATTATTTATTATTTACGGGTCCCTGACCCTAAGATCCCAAGGCGGGCTACAACAATCAAAAACACAATGTTGAAAACAGCTTAAAACAACTTTCAGAAACAATTGTGTGAGTCCTAAAAGTATACATCTCTGATATACACATCTTACAGTATGAATTTTACTTCGAATTAAAACGAACAAACAACACCCACCCCACTCTCGCTTGCAACACACTTTTAGAGAGACCATGGAAGCTGCTTTGTGGAGAAGATTTCAACCAAAGCTGGGTATGCATTGTGTTCAAAACATAGAATTGTAGATATGTAAGGGACCACAAGGAGGATCACATAGTCCAACTCCCTGCAGTGCAGGAACATTTTGCTCCAAGCAGAGCTCGAACCCATGACCTTGAGATTAAGAGTCTCCTGCTCTACTGACTGAGCTGTCCCTCACCCATCTGCTTCGGTTGGAATTGTGTGTGCATGGAATTTAATGAGCAAAAGGGGCCCTCTCCAAGCCCATGGTTGTCATCCCTCCAGCCCCCATTCCAGCCATATAAAAAACAAAACACAAAACAAGGGTATCATATTAGCCTAGACTCTGTAAGAAAAAAACAGCACCCTGAAGTCCTTAGCTGGGTCCTTGGGTGGTATTGCTGCTGGATGTTGACATGACAGGGTCTTCTCACTGGTGGCTCCTCAGTTCTGGAATACCCTCCATGGTGAGCTGTGTATGTTATTAACATTTCAGCATAATGGTTTTGTTTGTTTGTTTTGTAGAAATAGTCTGTTTCTGGCGCCTTTGAAATTTTGAGGATATTTGAGTGTTTTAAAACATTTTCAAAATCTTTGCATTGCTTTGATAGTTTTGCTGTTTGCTGCCCTGGGCCCCTTTGGATGGAAATACATGATAAAAGTTGAATAAATCAAATAACAAACACAGTATGTTTATTAAAAGTATTCATCACACAATATGTTGCACAGAGCGGGTGGTGGTTGGACATCTTACCTTTCATGCCAGATGAAGAGTGCTGCATAACTCAGAAGCCTGCCACATTCCTTATGATAAATGGTAAGTAAGAAATCTAAAGAATAAAAATAAATCCACATCCATTCAAGGAGGAGGAAGAGGAGGAAGAGGAGAAGAAGCAGCCTGTCACATTTCCAGCAACTCACCATACTGTTCTTGCTTAGCCAGACCCTCTTCAGGTAATGGAGTCTAGTTGGGGAGAAAAGTGTTGCATGGGAGCCCCAACCGCACTTTCTATGGGATTGCAGTAGATCCAGGCTTAGCCGCACAGATCCACGGCTGTTGTGCGTGTGTAGAATGACAAGGGATGCCCTGGTTGAGGCAGAATCCTCAAGTCACAGAAGGCATCAGAACAGATTCACATACTGAACTAGAAAGTTAAAGGGAGCAACAGCTACAACAAAATTCTCAAAAAGGCAGATCATAGGTGAAGAGCATCTAAGGATGTTGGAGGTCTGCAGACAAGCAAGCTATTAAATGCTTTCTTCACATAGCTGTCAACTTTCAGATTTGAAAATAAGGGATCAGCAGCCTCACCTGTCCCGGGGACAGTCTACAGAATATCTAACAATTCGGGATAACAGCGGGAAACAGTGCTGGAATAAGGGGATTTCCCACAAAAAAAGGGAAGGTTGACAGCTATGTTTCTTCATCAGTCAAAACAAGTAGACTGCAGGCATCCTTGTTGTGGTTAATGACATGCTGTTCCAGTCTGGAGCAGAAATTGGATTCAGTTCACACTTGCTTTTTGGGAATAGTTCCTAAACTGTTTTAATTTATGTGTGGTTTTTATTTTAGTGTAAAATTGTTGCAAATCACTTTGATTTTTGTTATTCAATTTTTATAAATAAATACAGAAAGGCAAACCTGCCTAATTTGCTCTTTCCATGCAAACTTAAACACATATATTGGAATTTTCAGTTTTCCTAATGTTTGCAATGTGGTTCTCCATCCTGGTTAATGTTTCTAAAACTGCAAATGCTAGGTTAAAGTGTGCATAAAAATGAGAACAGCATCTATACTGAGGAGACAGCTTTGCAAAACTGTCTGCATTGAGCAAAATTGCATACAAAAATTATGGGTCAGGAGGAATTATTACTAAAATGCAGATTAAATTTCTTAAGGGTTGGTTTTGAAAATGGGGCTGTAAGTTGATGTGGAAATGCAGAGAACTGAACTTAAGACAGATTTGTTCACTCTTTGGCCAGTCCTTCTTCTAAGCTCTCATTTGACTAAGAACTTTATCCCTCCTTGTTCATAGGAAGCTTAATCTCCCTTGGCTTCATTTCACTTGTCAAAAGCCACCTCATTCATCTCAGTCCCCTCTGCCATTTCTCTCTGCAAGGCAGTCCACGTTCTTTATCCAATGCTGGGACATGCACCTCCTGCTTCTTCTTTTGATCTTCACATCTTCATTGAGGCCTGGCTTGGGCCCCTCAACTTGCCCCTCTTCGTGCAATTGCTCCCCTGGTGCCACTATTTACTGCAACAGCGCTGGACTCCGCAGCCTCCCTAGGGAAATTGCTGCTTCCACCATCTCGCTGAACCTGTCCAATAACTTTCTGCGCTTGCTGACCACCGACGCCTTCAGCAACCTCACCTACCTGAACAGTCTCTGGCTGGATCGCAACAACCTCACTTTCCTGTACCCGGGAGCTTTTAAGTCACTCTGCAACCTGCGGGTCTTATATCTCAGCAGGAACCCCAGGCTGACCTACCTCCATGCCAACACCTTCCAAGGCCTTCATAACCTCATCAGTTTGGATTTATCCCACTGCAACCTCTTTGAAATCCACCCTTTTGTTTTCTCCCACCTCCCCTCTTTGGAAGCCCTCGACCTAACCTCCAACAACATGCGTTACATCCCACAAGCTTTCCGGAGCCTGACGAGCCTCACACAGCTGTCAATGGAGAGGAACCACATCGAAGCCATCGGTAGAGACTCCCTGAAGGACATGGGAGCCCTGAGAGAGCTGAACCTCCGGAAGAATCGCATCTGGACCATCCAAAAGGATGCCTTCCTCCAACTGGACAGGCTTGGCACGTTAAATTTAGGACACAACCGTCTCTCCAATTTGCCTAATCAGCTCTTCAGCGGATTGACGCAGCTCAAGAGCATCCACCTAGAGGCCAATCGGCTCACCAGGATCAGCTGCCCTTTCGACAGTCTCCAGAACTTGAGGAAGCTCTACCTCAACAACAACCGGATTTTGTCCATTGCAGGTAAGAATGGACAGGTCTTGTCCATTTCAGTTCCTCTTAGTTTATCGTGCCCCCCCCATCTTAAATTCTAAAATCTCCCACATTTCTGTAGGAATTTGTGGCTTTAAAAGCAACAACAACAGCCTTGTGAAAATTCATCAGCATTTCCATGATAATTGTACCTAATAAACACATTTTTGTATACATTAAGCTAAGAAACAATGGACTAATATACATATGGCTAATGTACTCTCAGCACAAATGATTTTTACTAATGTGAATTTTGCACGCAAAATTTTCATCAAAATTTATTAATTTATTATTTGATCTGCTGAATCTCTATTGACAGAGCATTCTGCAGGACTGTGCTGATAACACTAAAGTCTCTATTTCTTGCTGTTATCAAGTGAGCCTCACCAACTCAAAGAATGATCAATAACACTCCAGTGTTGATCTCACTGATCAAGCAAGGAGATAAGGATTTAGGTGGTCCCTGAGCTGGCCTGGTCTAAGTTGTTCTGGGCTTTGTAAATTCATGCAAAGACCTTGAACCTTGTGTATATACAGTGGTACCTCCAGTTACGAACTTAATTCATTCTGGAGGTCTGTTCTTAGGCCAAAACTGTTCATAACCTGAGGCGCACTTTTGCTAATGGTGCCTCCTGTTACTGCTGTGCTGCCGGTGCACGACTTCCACTTGCATCCTGGGGCAAAGTTCACAACTTCTGGGTTAGCAGAGCTTGTAACCTCCTAGCGTTCGCAAGGAGGATGGTATGTAACACGAGGTTCCACTGTACACAGTATGATCACAGCTTATGTGTGGGTTCAGTTCCAAGGCTTCTGTGTACACTCGAAAATGTGTATATTCAAACTGCCCCCTTGGAACTGGCACTGCACAAGCATCCCCAGCCTTCTGGAGCCAGCATGCTAAGTGGGCCTTGCCCCCCAAGTGAGGCAGAGAGCTTAAAAACTCTTTCCACACCTGGAAAATGCAGTGCAAAAAATTCTTCCAAGTTCTCCATCTTGCTTGCCGTGTTTCAATCAGCCAACCTTCAACTGCACACGGCTGGAATCACACCAGTTAAATGCATGTAAGTTGTGATTGTACTATGTATATATGCATATTTATGCACATTTCTGCCTAATCTGTGCTTTGGTTGTCTGTAGAACCACATCACAAAGTTCTGAGAAGGGTAGGTGTCAAAGGACCAGCTGCATTTCAGTCTGCCTATTGCTTTGAGAATCATGAATTTGATTGCTTGCCATCGAAATGCAAATGAAATCCAGTTTCTCTCCCCTCCCTGACTGCAGGCCCTGCTTTCGCCCACTTGAAGGAACTGGACTTCCTCCACTTGAACAGGAACAACTTGAGCTACCTCTCCAGCCACCTCCTGGTAGAGCTCCCCAAGCTGAGATACATCTTCCTGTCACACAACCCTTGGCAGTGTGACTGCGGAATGTTGTGGTTCGCCACTTGGATCCTCACCTACCAAGGGGTCATTGAGGGCTTGCACTGTGCCTTTCCCACCATTCACAACACATCTCAGTTTGGCCAGCATGCTCAGGGGGCCTTACCCAGCTGCCCGCCACGGTCTGGGGTCATAAAGGAAGAAGGATGCGATGGGCCCTACCCAAGCGGGGCTTCTCCCCTGGTTGTTGCTGCTGCTGCTGAGAAATCTTTTTGCCTCCTCCTTGCCTGTTGGGCCTCGTACTCAGCTGTGTTCTCGTTACCTAAGCAACTGGATATCCACAATTTCCTTGTCAAGGCTTTGTAACCCACCTTGATTTCAAGCTGCCTGCTATAAAGGGACAGATCATTTCTCTAATCCCTTTTTTGGAGGGGGGTTTGCTCCCTGTCCATTAATAAACTGTGATTACAGTTTAGCCTCCGCCAAGCTATCAATTAGCAAAAGTGTGATTAATGCTGCAGGCAGTGGCATAGTGTGGGGGAGGGGCACAGGGACGGCTGCCCAGTGCGCAAAATCGTTAGGGGTGCAAAATTTCAACACCCGGTGCTGCCTCAATGCAGCTGTGTGCTTCTGTCGCTCCATGCAAACCAGGAAGTGACCTCTCCAGAGAACAAACAAGTCTTCTTTTCAGATCTCTGTGGCTGTAATCTCCTGGGTGATGTGGGTGCTGTTGGGCAGCTTAACGTGCATGTGTATTTTGCCTGTTTCCCTCCTCTCCCCACCGCTCCTTGTGGCCCTGGGCACTGGCAACCTACACCACTGGCTGCAGACATGCTCGTGAGATACTGGGCAAGGGCAAGGGCATATGGATACTTAAGAGAGCCAAAAGTTCAGTAGGTCAAGTTAGCCGCCAGGGCTCTGGGCTTTTAATCTGGAATGCTGCTGCCTGTTCCAAGACAACTGCGAAAGGATGCTTTGGTGTGGGATCTGTGGGCTGCAGCTCAGCTTCCCCATGCAGGTCTTATGCAGAGAAGGGTCCTTCCAGGGACTTCCTATCTGAGCTTTCTGTCTGATGATGTCAGGGATTAAAGTTGAGTCTTTGTGTGCACAGTATGGGAACCATGGGTCGTAAAGTTGGCTTGTTTCAACAGGCAGTAGTTAAGATTAACCAGTTTAGGGTTTGAACATGGGTCACTGTCTTTACTTTGAATCACTGTAACAGCCTGCAGGCGTAATTTCAGTGTTTCTGTTTTGGTAAAGTTCTACTGGGTTCTTATTGTATTTTGATACTCTGCTTTGTTTTGTTTTGTTTTTGCTTGTGGTATCATGATTGCAATCTGTAAAACTGTTTAAAGATGTTGTTATATTAAGTAGATATTTAAGTTATTAAAATAATGATGATGAAGATGATAAACAAACAAACATAGGAAGCTGCCTTATGCAGAGTCAAATCTAGCCCAGCAGTCTCTGCATTGACTGGCAGCACCTCTCCAGGCTTCCCTGTCCTACCTGGAGATGCCAGGGGTTGAATCTGGGACCATCGGCAAGGAAGGACCATCCGCTTTGCCGCTGAGCTTATGGCCGCTCCCCACTCGTGGCCAAAATTATGGAAACATTTAGGAAAAGTTGTATTTCTGAGGCTTGATGGCTTATAACATCAGTCTTTTTTGGAATAAGATTATAATGAAGAATATAATGCAACAATCTAGGATGAATTATCTTTATTCTATAAAAAACTACTGTATAGCCAAATAAAATAAGTTAAACACAAAAAAAACATGATAAAGGGTATTTCATAACTTCTCACCATTTCTGTTTTAATACTTTGTATGGAAACCTTTGGCCACAATCACAGCCCTACATCAGCATCCCATGGAGTGAACCAAGGAGTTTAGGCCACCAGGTATTATAATGTGAAACCAAGATTGCATGATTGCTTCTATCAATTGTGCTTTATTCCTTGATTTCCCCCTGACTAAAATAGTTTCTTTCATTTGCTCCACAGATTTTCTATTGGATTTAGGTCAGGTCTATGACACCATTTTCTAGGTGACTAGTCAACTCTTTACACTCCATTTGCCACTGGTCACTTTTGAGTTAAGGAAATCCAAACCGCAGAGCCTAGGACTTGCTGATCAGAAGGTCAGCGGTTCGAATCCCCGCGACAGGGTGAGCGCCCGTTGCTCGGTCCCTGCTCCTGCCAACCTAGCAGTTTGAAAGCACGTCAAAGTGCAAGAACATAAATAGGTACCGCTTCGGCAGGAAGGTAAATGGCATTTCCGTGCACTGCTCTGGTTTGCCAGAAGCGGCTCAGTCATGTTAGCCACATGACCCGGAAGCTGTACGCCACCTCCCTCGGCCAATAAAGCAAGATGAGTGCTGCAATTCCAGAGTTGGCCACGACTGGACCTAATGGTCAGGGGTCCCTTTACCTTTACTTCTTGCCACACAAGGCAGTTGTGCTTTCTTTTTCTGGTTATTTGGCTATACCTTTTGATACAATAAAGATGAGTCAGAAAAATTTGTTGCATTATATTCCACATTAAATAATCTTTCTATTGCTATATGTTTTTATAGCATCATTTTCTGGTATTATTCTAAAACAAGATTTAAGTTAAAGGTAAAGGTAAAGGTACCCCTGCCCGTACGGGCCAGTCGTGTCCGACTCTAGGGTTGTGCGCTCATCTCACTTAAGAGGCCGGGAGCCAGTGCTGTCCGCAGACACTTCCGGGTCACGTGGCTAGCGTGACGAAGCTGCTCTGGCGAGCCAGCACCAGCACAGCACACGGAAACGCCGTTTACCTTCCCGCTAGTTAAGCGGTCCCTATTTATCTACTTGCACTTAGAGGTGCTTTCGAACTGCTAGGTGGGCAGGAGCTGGGACCGAAAGACGGGAGCTCACCCCGCCGCGGGGATTCGAACCGCCGACCATACGATCGGCAAGTCCTAGGCACTGAGGTTTTACCCACAGCGCCACCCGCGTCCCATAAGATTTAAGTTATGAGCCACCAAACCTTAGAAATACAACTTCCCTAAAGGTTTCCACAATTCTGGCCACTAGAGTATGTTCTTTGCCCCAAGTTACAGTACAGGAAGCCATCTCCCCAAGTCCTTTCAGATATTATTCAGTCCATCCTTTCTTCTTGCAGAATGTTCTGGTCCTGATGCCTTCACACACTCCACACACTCCACAAACTCCCTAACTTGCAACATCTTGGAAGCAGGTGGGTTTGGTCAGGGATGGAGAACCTGAGGTCCTGAAGATGTTGCTGGGACTACAACTCCCACCATCCCCTGAACATTGGCAAGGCTGGCTGGGGCAAAGGGAGTTGTAGTCTGGTAACATATGTAGGGCTACCAGTCTCCCATCCTTGGGGAAAGGGGAAGGAAAACCTAAGAACATCAGGGCAAACCTAACAGTGGCCTCTTCTAGGTTCTGAGTTTGTCAATAGATGCCCCTTAAGGTTTTCATTTTGTTTCATCTAATAAGGACTAGAATCTCCAAAGTGCAAAATGTCCTTTCATTGCAGAGAATAACTTCACTTTTTAGGATACTAGGAGCCTTCCTAAGATTTCCAGCAAGATATGGATACATATTATTTACAAGGTATGTTTTGAAAGATGCATGCTTCTCCAGCTAGTAGTAAAGAAATGCAACCAGTACAGAATGATCTATGATAGGCATGCCAGAGGGATGTAGAAGAAATGTACAAAGCAGCACCATTTGGGCTTCATTGCAATCAGTGACACAGGGCCAAACGACACATTACACCAAGTGATACATTATTGAGCTTCTGAATTCCGCACCCAAAATACAGCCATGAGGAGAGCTGCCAGTTTGTTTGCAACACGAGCACTGGGATCATTTTTTAAAACCCCTTCCTCCATGCTATTTCACAGTCAAAATCCCAAACTGTTTGTTTGGGCTGGGAAGAGCGAACATAGCTACCTGCATTGCAAGTTTTTCGTCCCCAGAATCTCTTACATAGAATGTTGCTCAGTCCTCTGTGCATTCCTGGGTGAGTTGGTTCAGCAAGCTGTTCCTACAGGAATGGTGAACACCTCCAATGAAGGAGCCCACATCCTAATTTAGGGTCCCCTATCCTGTCATGTGAGTGGAAAGGAATGTTCAAGCTTTGAACTGAGAAGTAGGGTTGCACCTGCTTACTGCATGCCCCCCTCCCTGTGCCAAAACACCTCTTATTAGCCACGTGTTTGATGATGCAAGAAAGGGCTATTACATGCATCAAGCTGAATTTCACTGGGCATTCAATGAATCTGAATTTAGGGCAGAAAAAAGGCAGTAACTACTTCACACAGTGTTACAGAGTTAAATTATGGAATTTACTCCCCTGGGAAGCAATGATGGCCATCAACTTAGGCAGAGAGGGCTGTAAAATGGGATTGGACAAATTCATGGAGGAGAAGGCTGCAAACAGCTACCGGTCATGATGGCTATTCTCTGCCTCCATGGTCAGAGGCAGCCATGCTTCTGAATACCAGCTGCTGGGAAAGGCAGCAGGGGGAGAGCTGCTCTTCTGCTTGGATCCTGACTGTGGGCTTCCCACCGATCTCTGGTAGGCCACCGTGAGAACAGGATGCTGGACTGGCTGGGCCACTGGCCTTCATCCAGCTGCAGGCTCGTCTGACATCCTTATACTGGGCTTGAACCAGGAGGTGCAAGAAACCGGCACGCTGGCAGAAATCAGATTTGGTCTGTATTTTAAACAACTTTATTTCAACTTTAAACAACTTTTGATTTGCCTCCATATTACATCATTTTGAATAGCTCAGGATAACAATATGACCTGAAGGGTAGCTAACAGCTTGCCAAAGCCAGAGTACACTTGCTCCTATGGATAGAATGCCTTCTCATTGCTGATAACATTTCCCTTTTTTATTTATATAAAAAAATAGTTCCTGAAATCTCAGCACATTCCGCAATTACTGGTCCCTGCTGTTTGTGGAATTGGCCTGGTCCCATCTGCCATGCTTTTCTATACACACACACACACACAGCTGTTTTTCTAGAAAAAGAGGTGCCAGAACTCATCATGAGCACCTCCCTTGCTCTCTTATAATGGCAATGGTGCCCCCACCTGAGAGGGGCCAGAACTGAGTTCCAGTGAGTTCCAACTGGGGGGGGGGGGAGCCCTGTAGATAGATAGATAGATGGATGGATGATAGATAGATAGATAGATAGATAGATAGATAGATAGATAGATAGATGTGTATGTGTGTGTGTGTGTGTGTGTGTGCATATTTAAAAACTTAAGATGTTTCACATACATATTCTGGGGTTAAACAACAAAGATCTCTAGCAAAATACAAACTGAACCAAGATAATATTACCAAAAAAAAAAAAGGCATTCATTTGGTTCTTTTGGTTTACTGAAGCAGTTGGCAATGCAGTAGCCTTTGAAGGTGGTGCTTCTCAAAACAAAAGAATTTGTTTTATATATAATGAGAAAACTTAGCCAAAAAAAGGGGGGGGGAGCCCTGCTATGCTTGTGCCTGTGAAAGAATAAAAAGCATCGTTAGGCTGTACGGAAGAAAAATAAAGATAAGAGCAGCACCATGTTTTGAGAATACTGCTGGAAGACTCGTCTTTGGAAGTACCATTTCCACCCTGCCCCTTCCTGTCTCCTCCCTTGAGACCAGCTGTGTGCAGATTTCCATCCCACAGGACCCCTGGGAAAAGAACTGGGTGAGGTTAATTGGGCTTTTGTTTTCAAAAAACAAGTTTCTATCTTTACAGAGAGCATGTTTGAGGAAGTGTAGGCCATGCTAGCTGAAATTTTAGAAACCACTGGCATTTCACATTAAGATTTCCACTGTGAAAGTGATAGGGAATAAGCACCTAGCATTGCCCCTCCCTGTGACTGTCACTGCAATCCTAACCATACCCACCCAAAAGTATTATTTACTTCAACGGGGCTTACCCCTCGTAAGTGGGGTTAGGGTTGCGGCCCAAATCATGCAGGGCAAATTAAACCTACCAGCTTATAGTTGCTGAGAAAATGATGCAGAATTACAGAATGTGTACAACCTCACCCAGTTCTATAATTTACAAATAGCTGCAAAATGCAGCCTTTTATTAGCCAAGATGTAGAATCCTTTTTTTCTTTTTTCTTTTTATGCCTGGGGTAACACACAGTTCTGGTTACTGCCTTTGCCTCAATGAAACTGCAGCAAAAATTCAATGGAAACTCAATGCTGTCACACATTCTAAGACCACCTGAAAGAAAATAAAAACTAGACTCCCCCCCCCTTTTGTTAAGACAGAAGAGTGAGATGCATTACTATTAAGGACTGATGCCAGCCAGCTCTGACAGCCCACTAAAGAACGGAGCATCTAAGCAAGGAGCCTTAGCTGCCAGCCCAGCAGTCTGCTCCACAAAAATATCCAAATACTTTCTTGCAGGCACTTGAGAAAACAAACCTTTCTTTAAAAAAAAAAATCTGGGGGAAGAGAGCTCTTGTGGCTGGTTAACGCTCCCCCCCCCATCTCTTTCTCTGAGAATTCTCATCACATTTCTGCCTTTTGCAGGACAAAATGGAGAGTTCACCTTTAAAAACAAAACAAAACAAAAACCACACCAAGAGTTCTTTTGTTGTTGTTGCTGCTGCTGCTGCTGCTGCTGTAGAAGCTGGCAGCCTTTCCCTCTGGAATCAGCTGCTCTTGCAAGACACAAACGGGTGGGGGTGGGGGTGGGTTGGTCTGGGTGCTTTGGTTTTGGTGCTTGGACTCTTAAACTCTCTTCATTCCTCGGCCCATCAAGCAAGCAAACACTGTCATTACCATCTTGGGTTTCACCTCCACCAGGTCCTCGGGGAGAGCATACACACGGGCCCCGATTCTCCTAGCCATTGACACGGCATACCTAGGAGCAAATGAAGGGATGTCAGGTGTCTTGAACCCTTTTGCCACTTGACAACAATGGAGGAGGAGGAAGAGATCTACACCCAAACATGTGGGGTCTGCAGTGCCGGATTTATGTATAAGCTAAACAAGCTATAGCTTAGGGCCCCACTCTCTTGGGGGCCACCCAAAAAAATTAAACAAAAAAACCCCTGGATGTACATTTCCAAAATATAAGATAAAAAATGAATAAAATAAAACCTACATACAGCAACAGTGTTTTGTGTTGTGTAGGCTCCTATTTGTTATGTGCAAATGGCTTTAGATACCTATTAGGTCCATCAATTACCATATAGCATATATTCAACACAAAAAACAGTGACAATTTGTTGTTGACAAAGGACAGCTGGACATATAAAGGGCTCCATTACCTTCAGTAGCTTACGGCCTCATCAAACCTAAATCTGGCCCTGGGGGTCTGAGACTGTCAAAGAATAGTTTTCCCCATTTTACCAACTATGGGCAGATCCACAACATACATGAAAGCACATCCAGCACACATTTAAAGCACATGATTTCACCCTCCTAGGAATCCTTGGAATTGTAGTTTCCCCTTCACAGGTCTACAATTCCCAGTAACCACAACAAATTACAGAAGAAGACCCCTTCTGGATCAGGCCAAAGGCCCTTCTAGTCGTGCGTCCTGTTCTTACAGTGGCTAACCAGGTACCCCGTTGGGAGGAAGAACACAAACAAGACCCGATCGCAAGAGCCCCTTCCCCTCCTGCTGCTTCCAGCAACTGGCATTCAGAAGCACTGCTGCACCCAAGTGGGAGACTGAGCACCACGGCTAGTAGCCACGGACAGCTCCAAATTTCTCTGTGAATTTGCCAAATTCCCCTTTTAAAGCCACCTAGTTGGCGACCCTCACTGCCTCCTGTGGGAGTGAGTTCCGCAGTTCAACTAGGATTCTTTGTAGGGAGTCATGTGCTTTAAATGTGGAATCCTGAAAGCAAAAATTCTGGGATCAGCATATGTTTTTGGACTATGAGGTCTGCACACTAGACCTGGAGCCAGAGTTTCAAATGAGAATACATTGGTAGAATGCTAAAAAAATAGGACACTGAAGAAGAAGGAAAGAGGCTTACTTGGCATTACTGTGTTTATCTTCCTCTGACAGATCTCCTGTCTTCACAAGATCATAATTTATACAGCCAGGTTGAATGGCATCAATTAAGTCCACAACGGCTAAGCTGCTACTAATACTCTTGTCCTAGATGAGAGAAGGGGGGCAGTATGTTAACGTAATTTAAAATTTGAGGAAGCAGGTGACAGACAATTCATACACAGAACACACACAGTTGAACTGTATAATAATAATAATAATAATAATAATAATAATAATAATAATGTATTATTTATACCCCGCCCATCTGGCTGGGTTTCCCCAGCCACTCTGGGCAGCTGCCAACAAATATTAAAATACAATAATCTGTTAAACATTAAAAGCTTCCCTAAACAGGGCTGCCTTCAGATGTCTTCTAAAAATCTGGTAGTTGTTTTTCTCTTTGACATCTGGTGGGAGGGCGTTCCACAGGGTGGGTGCCACTACTGAGAAGACCCTCTGCCTGGTTCCCTGTAACTTGGCTTCTCACAGCGAGGGAACCACCAGAAGGCCCTTGGCGCTGGACCTCAGTGGCCGGGCTGAACAATGGGGGTGGAGACGCTCCTTCAGGTATACAGGCCCGAGGCCGTTTAGGGCTTTAAAGGTCAGCACCAACACTTTGAATTGTGCTCAGAAATGTACTGGGAGCCAATGCAGATCTCTCAGGACCGGTGTTATGTGGTCCCGGCGGTCACTCCCAGTCACCAGTCTAGCTGCCGCATTCTGGATTAATTGCACTTTCCGGGTCACCTTCAAAGGTAGCCCCACGTAGAGTGCATTGCTGTAGTCCAAGCAAGAGATAACTAGAGCATGCACCACTCTGGCAAGACAGTCCGCGGGCAGGGAGGGTCTCAGCCTGTGTACCAGATGAAGCTGATAAACAGCTGCCCTGGACGCAGAATTGACCTGTGCCTCCATGGACAGCTGTGAATCCAGAATGACTCCCAGGCTGCGCATCTGGTCCTTCAGGGGCACAGTTACCCCATTCAGGACCAGGGAGTCCTCCACACAAGGGAAAAACCAATGAAATGGAACAAACAGCAGCTCTTACACTTGGGAAGAATCAATATTTCTTTCTTGAGATCTACAAAAATCTCTTGTGGGTGTTTAATCATCTCTAAGAATCTGCCATACAACCTGATATTCAGTGCTGTTTTTCTAGAAAAAGAGGTGCCAGAACTCCCCATGAATATCTCCCTTGTTCTCTTAGAATGACAATGGCACCCACCAGAAAGGAACTGGAGCTGAGATCTGGCGAGTTCTGGCTGAAAGGAAGCCCTGCTGATATTCAGTATCTACAGGCTGCATCCAGCTAAGTCCAGCTGCTCACTCAAGTGCAGTTCCAGTGAAATTAAACCATCTCGGTTAGCCACGCCCATTAATTTCAATCAGTTTACCCTGAGTTAGGATCAGCACTAGTGCAGCCCTGTAGCATTGAGAACCGTGCGGAACTATGTCTTGGGTGAACCAGACTGCAGGTGGTGGCCACTCAATCGGTGGACTGCACCTCCATAAATAAATAAAGAGCAATAGCATGTCACAGAGGATAGTTTGAGCGTAGCCTCCTTATCTACAAGCAGGGAGATGTTAAAATGGAGAAACAAGAACTCACGGCAGCAGCTCACACCCAGATACTAATGACAGCCTGAAGTCTCACAGACTTCAGTTAGAACAAGGCCTAAGTTTTTTGTGGATGATGGAAGATTTAGAAGAAGCTAGCAAACTGCTCACTGTCAGAGAGGTGTCTGCATGGGGAAAATTATTCCACAAGAGAAGCCTCCTGTTTTTCCCTGTCAGGATGGCTACTTATGCAGGCCTCAGGCCCAGAATGTGGCTACAGACACACCAACCTAAAAATACCAGGCTGCACCATTTCAGGAATATTTATGCTAGAATAAAGGCAAGAAATCCAATACCCATTTTAAAAGAAAGAGAGAGGAATGCTTTGCACCTTAAAGCTCTGGATAGAGCTCGATTTCCCAGCTTCTGCCAAGGTCTTGTTTACCCAGCTTACGATAATGTCATCATTTGCCTTCTGACCATCTCCAAGATCCTCTAGGACGTTCAGAGTATATCTAGGAGCAGGAAAAGGGAGATATTATTGTTCATCACAAAAGACAGAGGAGAGCTTCCAAATAAAATAACCTGCTTGGGGTTTAGCAGTGAAAAGGTGGCTAATGAGAAAGAAAAAACTTCTCAGAAGCCTTCCTAGGATAATCAGGGACAAGAGTTGCAGCCCTGGGCTAAATCAGGAGGGGGCGCCCTCAATATGCTGTGGGGTTGTCAACTCTTGATTTGTCAATTTTTCCTAATTCAAGACATTTCCATAGTCATTCCCTTATAGCTGGGGCTTCAAATTCTTTCCAGACCCTAATTTTCCACATGAATAAGCAAACAATTTTTTATTTCCCTTTTCCTTAAAAAAAAGGGGGGGGGGGGAGAAAGAAGCTGCCCCAGTGGACCTTCTTTGTTTTTCCGTGTGACAGCAGAAGCTGGGTTAACAACAGCAAAAGCAACCACACCAGACACAAAAGGCACCAAGCCTTTTCTGAAACATTTGCCCACAGTGGAAGCCCTGTGGGCAGCCCACACCAAGGCCTTCGTCCTGCAAGGAAGCATTTGCACACGTCAAAAACTAAAGCTCAATGATACCTTCTCATCACCTGCCACACTACAGCCAGCGTGAGAGTTGGGTTGCCATCATTGAGGTCTTGCCCGCCAATGCCAACCAGGGAGAACTTTGCCGGATGCTTCCCTAGGTCGACGGCATAATTGCAATTTTCCAGCTGCTCGTGGGGAAAGGGGGAAATTGTGGAGAGGGAGAGAGAGAGAGAGAGAGAGAGAGAGAGAGAGAGAGAGAGAAAGGTTAGATTGTGTGATGTGCCTTATACTGATGCAATCCAGCTAGCCTACTATGGTGCAGTCCCACCTGGGCAGAAATGGAGTTGTATTGCAGTTAAGTGTGTCAGGCTAGGACCTGGGAGACCAGGGTTCTAATCCCCACTCGGCCACGAAGCTCTCACATGGTGATTTTGGGGGCCAGTCACTGCCTCTCAGCCTAATCTACCGCACAGGGTTGCTGTGGGGGTTAAAACAAGGAGGAGGAGAACAATGCATGACACTTTGAGCTCCTTGGAGAAAAAGGAGGGATACAGATTCCATGAATAAATAGGAAAATCTTGGGGTTACTTGGAACAATATTCCCCAGCTCCCAAATGCCTGAGTAAGAAAGTAAGTTTTTTAATTCCTCCTGAATGTTAAGAATAATGGAGACAGGTGCACCTCACTAGCAAAGGCATTCCACAAATTGGGGAACCACCACTGAAAAAGCAGATGCTCTTCTGCTGAGTTACAGCCCTTCCGTTCCCTTCCTCCATGGAAACAGCAATTACGGGCAAACCTTCCTGGGAAGAATCTACTCCTGCCAGGCACGGCTGCCAGGTGTTCTGTGTGCTGTAGAACACAATTATGCAAGCTGGGGAGGTGGGGGAGGCAGCAGGCTCTGTCCGCCTGTGATGTGAACTGAATCTGAACCCTGAATTTGTACAAAACCGTTTCTAAGCAGCAGCGCCTCCAGCAGGCATCATTACCTTTTTCATGTTTGCTCCAAGCTTTGGGTACGGGGGCTTGTTGACCTTACTCCAGTCAACGGGAACTTTTATCTTTTCATAGAGCTGCAAGATGACCAATGCATCCTGCAGATCACTGGAAACAGAGAGCATCAATTAATAGTTAATGTGTTTTTGCCACATGGGACATTTTCTTTTTAAAGCAAAACCAGCTCAATATTTAAAATACAGACACAACCCCCGCCGGAGTTACATGCATTCGACTCACACACAACTGGGCATACCCGCAGTGCCAGGAAATAATTAAATAGTTCAATTCAAACCCAGAAAAGGTGGGCGAGAGCTGGAGTCTTCGTGGCTCATGAAGAGACCCTCCCCAGAGCGCAAAAAGGACATGTGAGGAAGGAGGAAGCCCCGAAGAGACTGGAGGCACTGATAATAATAATAATAATAGTAATTTATTATTTATACCCCGCCCATCTGGCTGGGCTTCCCCGGCCACTCTGGGCGGCTTCCAAAATAATATTAAAATACTATAATACATCAAACATTAAAAACTTCCCGAAACAGGGCTGCCTTCAGATGTCTTCTAAAAGCCTGGTAGTTGTTGTTCTCTTTGACATCTGGTGGGAGGGTGTTCCACAGGGAAGGCGCCACTACCGAGAAGGCCCTCTGCCTGGTTCCCTGTAACTTGGCTTCTCGCAGTGAGGGAACCGCCAGAAGGCCCTCGGTGCTGGACCTCAGTGTCCGGGTAGAACGATGGGGGTGGAGACGCTCCTTCAGATATACTGGACCAAGGCCGTTTAGGGCTTTAAAGGTCAGCACCAACACTTTGAATTGTGCTCGGAAACGTATTGGGAGCCAATGTAGGTCTTTCAAGACCGGTGTTATGTGGTCTCTGCAGCCGCTCCCAGTCACCAGTCTAGCTGCCGCGTTCTGGATTAGTTGTAGTTTCCGGGTCACCTTCAAAGGTAGCCCCACGTAGAGCGCATTGCAGTAATCCAAGCGGGAGATAACCAGAGCATGCACCACTCTGGCGAGGCGGTCCGCAGGCAGATAGGGTCTCAGCCTGCGTACCAGATGGAGCTGGTAAACAGCTGCCCTGGACACAGATTTGACCTGTGCCTCCATGGACAGCTGTGAGTCCAAAATGACTCCCAGGCTGCGCACCTGGTCCTTCAGGGGCACAGTTACCCCATTCAGGACCAGGGAATCCTCCACACCTGCCCACCTCCTGTCCCCCAAAAACAGTACTTCTGTCTTGTCAGGATTCAACCTCAATCTGTTAGCCGCCATCCAACCTCCAACCGCCTCCAGGCACTCACACAGGACCTTCACTGCCTTCACTGGTTCTGATTTGAAAGAGAGGTAGAGCTGGGTATCATCCGCATACTGATGAACACCCAGCCCAAATCCCCTCATGATCTCTCCCAGCGGCTTCATGTAGATGTTGAAAAGCATGGGGGAGAGGACAGAACCCTGAGGCACCCCACAAGTGAGGGCCCAGGGGTCTGAACACTCATCCCCCCCCACCACTTTCTGAACACGGCCCAGGAGGAAGGAGCGAAACCACTGTATAACAGTGCCCCCAGCTCCCAGCCCCTCAAGACGGTCCACAAGGATGTTATGGTCAATGGTGTCAAAAGCCTCTGAGAGATCCAGCAGAACTAGGAAACAGCTCTCACCTTTGTCCCTAGCCCGCCAGAGATCATTGACCAGCACGACCAAGGCAGTTTCAGTCCCGTGGTGAGGCCTGAATCCCGACTGGAAGGGATCCAAATGGTCCGCTTCTTCCAGGCGTGCCTGGACTTGTTCAGCAACCACTCGCTCAATCACCTTGCCCAAGAATGGAAGATTTGAGACTGGGTGATAGTTGGCTATCGTGGCCGCATCTAAAGATGGTTTTTTTAAGAAGCGGTTTAATAACCGCCTCTTTCAGGGGGTCTGGGAAGGCTCCCTCACGGAGGGAAGCATTCACCACCCCACGAAGCCCATCGCCCAGCCCTTCCCGGCTAGCTTTTATAAGCCAGGATGGGCAAGGATCAAGGAGATAGGTGGTTGGTTTCACGCATCCAAGCAGCCTGTCCACATCCTCGGGAGGCTTTGTTTACACTGCTCGACCTCCCCGCCTAACAACCGGTGTGTGGGGCAGCACAGCAGCAGCGGCTTTCTCCCTAGAGCTTCAATTCTAGTTGTGGATATTTTTGGATACAGTATTTTTGGTAAGGATTGAAGAGGAAGTGGCAGAGAGGGCGATGAAAGGGCATTTAGGGGGTGCTCCCCATTTTACACGATTTCATGCACAGGGCCCCAGAAAATAACCCCCACATGTGTAGAGTCACCTGTAGGTTCCAGCAGGGATGAAAACCCTCTGTGGCTCCCCAGATGCAGAAGGACTTCATCACCACCAGCCAGCAAGCCCAATGGTCAGGGACAATAGGCGCTCCCCTTCTATGTATCAGAAACTGATTGCTCCAAACAAGGCAGGCAGTGAGCCTGCTACTTACCCGTAGAGATGGTTCACATGGGGGTTCACGCCAAGAGAGTTCATCCAGTTGCGAAATGTTCTTTCTTCTCGGGTCTCACCTAAGTTAAGGGGGGGTGAGACAGACAGGAAATTAGGTGCCCCTTTTACAAAACAACAACAACACTGAAGGCAGCTTAAAAAGTTAAATATCAGAAAACTTTTAATGCAACCACAGCGAAAATTAAAGTTATCCAAGTATACGAGAAAAAATCCATTTAATCCTTAAAAATCTGCAAAGCTTGGGCAGAACAGGGCAGCATGGGTTCTGAGAGAGAGAGAGTTGTGAACACACCATGTGAGTCTCCAGGAAATGTCTTCTTCCCAGTTGCCCCCTGCATAACTTCTGAACATAAGGAAATGTGCATGGCTAATTCTTTGAGTGCAGGAGAGAGAAAAGCACCTGCAGCTGTCCACCTCTGCAACACACACACACACACTACCCTCTTCCCTCCAACAAGAACGCTGGAGAGGAAATGCAGCCCTTCCTTACCTTCCAGCAGTGTCCAGTCAATGTCCTGGTTTTCAGGCTTGGTGAGTGCCGGGTACTTGTTGAACAAGTTGGCCACGAAAGCCAAGTTCAGTTTGGGGTTGCCACTCACAACGTCCGCTGGGGTGACAAACTGCCGGCAGCCCAGTCTGTCTGCCTGCTGAAGCATGCACTCAGCCCTCTTCAAGTCGTCTTTCTCCTGGAAAAGCAGGGATAGCACCATGAACTATCAAGAGGACCTTCTTCAACCGCATCACAGGGCAGTGATGATTAGCAGACTGATCGCCCAATCCCACATGTTCAGGGCTCGCCCTCCTCACCACCCACCACCAACAAAACAAGCTGGGGTGGGGGAGGTCCACAGCTCAGTGTTAGGACACTTGCCTTGCATGAAGGTTCAGTCCCCAGCATCTCCAAGTAGTGCTGCAAAGCCTAAAACTCTGGAGACTGCAAGTCAGTGTAGGCAATAGTGAGCCAGATGGACCAACAGTCTGAATCAGTATAAGGCAGCTTTGTATGGTAGGGGAAGGGCTATAAAGCAACTGCTATGCATGGAGAAGACCTGGGTTCTACATGGGGCTGCCCATGCAAAATTCAGTGGGAAGGTGCCACTTTCTTTCAACAGCATCTGGTGTTTTAAATTAACCAAAAGCCAGGCAACTATAATGTCCCGATGTTCAAGAGATTTGTAGCAGCCCAAGAATGGGGATGACTTACACTGAAGCCAGACATGTTGATATCGATTTGCGGCTCCCCTTCCTTCTGTCCCTTGGGTGCAATTTGGTTGAGAAGATGGTAGTATGCTCTGGAGTCCTGGAGCAGACCAAAAACGAGGAAGAAGAGAGTCAGCCATTGGTTTGCCTACTGCAAGGCAGAAGACAAATACAAGACCATTAAATTAGTTAAAACACTGAGGAGGTATACATTGCTTTGATACCTTAACAGAGTTATTGAAGTCAGTGAGCTTGCAAAAATAAAAGCAAGGGGAGGGGGAGAGAAAGGAAGGCAAGAGAGCGAAAGAAGGACAGCAGAAATCCAGGAAGCATGAGAGAAAGAGAGAAGAGAAGTAAGGTGGTTAGATGGGAACCAGTGGGAAATAGTTTCAATTCCAAAAACCAGGGAATATTCCCCAGTAGATAATCCAGCTTTTTGGGAGGGGGGTGTCTCCTACTCCCAAAGCTACAGCAAGATCTGTAGGAATAATTCATTATCCTCACCCTCAGTAATATTTATATACCACTTAATGTGCAAAATCCTCAAGTGGCTTACATAAAGCAGAGTAAAGTGGTTTTTAAAAATAAAAATAAAAATGTATGAACATTTAAAACCAAAATTACAAAGAAATACATTGGCAAAAGCAGAGAAGCTACTGATTTAATATTATGTTGAATATGAATAAATGCATCTGTTGAGTCTGGGAATGCCTGCTTCAATAGATGGGTCTTTAGGCTATGTTTAAATCTTGCCAATGTTTCTGCCTCATGAACAGCACACAGAAGGCCGTTTGGCCATTGGCCATGTTGGTTGGGGAAGGCGAGAGCCCCATAAAAGCTAGAGCGTCACAGGTATGCTCCTCCCTAGTTGAAAAGTTTGAAACATGATTTCAAGGGCCCTCAGACCAGGCAGCCTCGGCAAACCCCTCACCCGGAAGAGATGGGCGTGAAATTCTCCCCCACTGTTCTCTGTACAAAGCGAGAACTATGCCTGTAGCCAGATGTTTAAGGTGGGATCATTGCAAGGCAGTCAGAACTTCAGTTGTAGCCCATTTCTTTATTGCTTAGACAAGGCACCCCACTGTCTCCAGCCCCACGGATACCTTGATCTCTGAGCTGAAGTTGTTGATCTTGTGCCACCCAGCATTTTCCAGGTGGAAGTTGGCCCACCTCAAGAGCAGCTCCTCTGGAGACAACTTCATCAGGTCTTCCAAAGTCTCCCCATCTCGGAGCAAGGCAGCCAAGGCTGAAACAAAAGGACGGGGTCATGGATGTTGGAGGGCACCATTGGGAGAGGCTAGGTTTGCATTTCGTTCCTCCCAAACGAAGCTATCTTAATTTAAAAGGGGCACAATCACATTTGGTTAAGGGAGGAAGTAAGTTGTCTTAATACTGAATGAGGCCCTTGATCCATCTAGCTCAGTACTGCCTACACTGACTGGCAGAGGCTCTCCAGAGTTTCAAGCAGGGAGTCATTGCCAGCCCTACCTGGAGATGCCATTGGAGATGGAATCTGAGATCTGCTGCATGCAAATCAGGTGCTCTGCCACTGAGCTATGGCCCTTCTCTGGCACTGTTGAGCTATGCTTTCTGTCCCCAACTACAGAATCCAGAGTTCTCCACCTGGATATGTGATAGACTGAATCTGGGACTTTCTGCAGGAAACACAACTTTGACCCTCCACTTATCATAGGGAACTGCCTTATATAGAATCGGTCTATATTAGCTCAGTCTCCCCCAAGAGGTTGTGGACTTTCCTTCTTGGAGATTGTTAAGCAGAGGTTGAATGGCCATCAGCCATGGATGCTTTAGTGGTGATCCTTGTGTTGCAGGGAGTTGGACTAGAGGACCCTTGGAGTCCCTACCAATTCTACAATGCTATGATTCTGTGAACTACAACTTCCATCAGCCTCAACAAGCCCAGCCCAGGATGATGAGAGCTGTCCTTCAGCAACATCTAGAGTGTGAAAGGGTCTCCACACCTAGTCTACACTGACTGACAGAGGACCTCCAGGGTTTCAAGCAGGAGGATTTCTCAGTCTCACCTGGGAAGTTTTGGGGACTGCACCTGGATAGCTTAAAACATCTTAGGGATACCCTAACCGTGGCAAAAACCCCAGCATTCTAACCATGGCATCCTACTGGCTTGCTCACTCCCACAAATAGGGGCCAGCCACTTTCCAAAACAGCAGCAGCAGTGATGACAACGAAATGCAAAACTTGGCCTGCTCAAAGGAAAATAAGAGGGTGGCTGGGTCCAGCAGGGACTTTTGCTGGGTAGTTCTTAGTCCGTCATCCGGATGGGAAGAGAGTGCAGCCTTTGGCTTACCTTCATTTCTGCTGAGTTCTATGTCTGCAAACAAGCCAATCTTGATGATCTGCCACAGAAGCCCTAGAACCAGATGTGGCTTCCCTTCCCTCAAATCTTCTGCTCCAATGTTGACCACATGACACCCAATGGCAGAGGCCGAGTTCAAGGCCAAGTTCAGGTTTTCCTGAAGACAGAAGGGGCTCAAGTCAGAAGGGATCCCTTTCATACCGTTATCTCTTGCCTAAGAGCTGTCCCCTCTATGGGTGGTCAGGTGCACTGTATCTAAATTAGTAAAGGGACCCCTGACCCTTAGGTCCAGTCGCGAATGGCCGACTCTGGGGTTGCGGTGCTCATCTCGCTTTATTGGCCGAGGGAGCCGGTGTACAGCTTCCGGGTCATGTGGCCAGCATGACTAAGCCGCTTCTGGTGAACCAGAGCAGCGCACGGAAACGCCGTTTACCTTCCTGCTGGAGTGGTACCTATTTATCTACTTGCACTTTGACTTGCTTTCAAACTGCTAGGTTGGCAGGAACTGGGAATGAGCAATGGGAGCTCACCCCATCGTGGGGATTTGAACCGCCGACCTTCTGATTGGCAAGCCCAAGGCTCTGTGGTTTAACCCACAGTGCCACCTGCATCCCTTGTAGCTAAATTACTGAAGCCCAAAATTGCCTGGCTGTTCCTTTACCCACTGCCTTTCCCCACAAAGGGGCTATTTGTGCAGTGGTTCAAATGAAAATGCTAGGCCATTGTTGTTGTTGTTTTTAAAAATCCTTTCTTGTTGATCTTGAACCCTATGCTAGCAAGCTGCAGCACAGGAAGCTGCCTTATACAGAGTCAAGCCACTGGGTCCATTTAGTTCAGTGTTGTCTACACTGACTGGCAGAAGCTCTCTGAGGAGTCTTTCTGAGTTTTACCTTGAAGATGCTAGGGACCAAACCTGGGTAACTTCTGTGTGCAAAACAGATGTTCCAGAACTGAGCTATATAGCGTTCCTTAACATTGAATGTTGTTTCATTGAAAGCAACATTAAATACTGCAGTTAAAGCTTTTTTCTGCCTGTTGAAATAGGTTTTGGGGCCCTGATAAGGAAAAAACAGACACAAATCCAACAGGTGTTGGGGTTTTTTTGGGGGGGGGGTAGGGCTCAAAGCAAAAATTGCTCCCCAAATGCTGTTGCTACAATGCATTTCCATTGAATAAACTTCGAACCCAGTGGTGGTTTTTTCACCTGTTCTTTAACCTATATTAATATTTACAGGCAGCTACTTCGAACCTAGCAGTTTGAAAGCATGTCAAAGTGCAAGTAGATAAATAGGTACCGCTCCGACGGGAAGGTCAACGGCGTTTCCGTGCGCTGCTCTGGTTCGCCAGAAGCGGCTTAGTCCTGCTGGCCACATGACCTGCAAGCTGTATGCCGGCTCCCTCGGCCAATAAAGCGAGATGAGCGCCGCAACCCCAGAGTCGGCCACGACTGGACCTAATGGTCAGGGGTCCCTTTACCTTTTTACTTTTTGCTATAAAGCAAAAGCACAGAACAAGAGGCCCCTTCAATAATTAAAAGCAAAAAAACCCTCACCCCCCTTGGGTCAATGAACAACTCCAGCATTATCTTAACCCACTGGGGAAGTGAGGGAGGAAAGAAAGCCAGTTGGAGGAGGATTCCCTACCTGAATTATGAATGGTGTTAGCTTTTTCTTGTTGATCACTCTTTCATCAATTGTGTCAGGAACAGAAAGGTTGATCATTTTACTGGTGGAAAGAAGCAGGGGAGAACAAGATTCAAACTGAGATTAGTCAGGGTCTATGCACTCATGTGAGAGGAGGGGGGAATTCTGTGAAAAGGTGCAGGGCATGATTAAACGGTGTTTGCAGAATAACTCCTCTAAATAATATTAGTGCAATATTACTGCAATGTTGCTCAAAGAAGCAAGGAATTTTTAAAAACGAATTCTTCATTAATATATGTGAACTTATAAGCAGCTGTTTTTCTGCCCAAAACAGATCAGTGCAGAGGTTTAATTAAAAAAAAAAAAAAAAAAGGTTTCCCCTCCTGTGATCTAAATTATTTTTAGCAAAGTTACCCTTAAAAGCAGGGGTGCAGAGACCTTTTTGCTCCATGTCCTGGATTCTTACCAGGACTGGCCTTGCAAACCAAACTGGGCAGCTGGATGGGGCCACACAACCAGCAGCCACACATCTTTATGATGCCACATGACTGACAGGTGGCTTGTCAAAATCGCTTGTATGAGGCCTGTGAAATGCGTGAGTGAGAAGCCTGGAATTTAAAATGCTGGCTTCTTTCTTGTGCTTCCCATTGATGGCTGCAGGTAGAGGCTGGACAGAGGGGAATACAGTATTAGAATTAGTATCAGTATTTATATCCTGCCTTTCTCCTAAGTTGGGATTCAAGGCAGCTTCCAACAATTGTTAAACGACTTTATAAATACTATGTTATAAAACAAACCAGTTAAAACCAACATTAAAAAAAAAAAAACTCAACAGGATGAATTCAGAACCAGCGATTAAAATGCAGTTTGCCCTGACAACATCCCAGAGATCAGAATAGTCTGCACTTCCATTTCAAAAGGTCTGTTTGAATAGGAAGGTCATATAGGCTGCCAGAGGAAGAGTTACCAAGGAGGGAGCTAGGCTAGCCTCTCTTGGGAGGGAATTCCACAATATGGCAGCGACCACACAAATGGCTCTCTCGCATCACCACCAGCGGGACCCTATTCAGACATGAAGCTCCCTGGGTGACCTTAGGCCAGTCCCTGCCTCTCAGCCTAACCTACCTCACAGGGCTGTTGTGTAGATGAAAAGAAGAGCAGGGAGAACTAGGTACGCCACCTTGGGCTCTTTGGAGGAAAGGTAAGGTACAAATGTAATGAAGAAATAATGAACAAACTGCTGCTCTGAAGTTGATGGGATGAAGAGAGGGCGATCAACAAAGGATCTTGGCATCCACGTAGGTTCGTATACAAAGAAAGGATCTTTCGGGTGGACTGGACCCAAGCCATATACTTAAGGCTTAAATCATGTACTTTTAACCAGGGAATAAGGAAAGTGTTAAGGAAACTGGAAAAAAAAACCATGGGGTTTGCTCTCCATGAGTTGGCAGAAATGTTATTTTGCCCATGTGCAGCTGAGGCATCTTGTGACTGTCTCTGTTGCTGGGCCAACTATCACTAGGCACAGGGCAGAAAAGGACTCAAGCTGCAGTGCTGGGGAGTGCAGGAGAATCTGTGGGAAACGTGGAGATTGTTGGAACAAGCCTGTGAAAATGTGGAAGATGTTCTAAAGGGTTCGTCTGACAGACGTCAGACAACGTGCAAGACCTCTAGACTCAGAACGTCTGAGAACTCTGGAAGTTGCAGAACTTTGTTAGCAACTAGATTTTGCCTTTGCCTTGTGGACTCTGCAAGGAATTGGCAAGCAAAGAACCCCTCTGGGCTCAGAAAGAGAAAATTTACTGTAGCAGCTTTAAATAGCGTGTGCATATTTTGTGCATGTGTTTGTGTAGGCCGAGTAAAAGCAATCTCTGCTACACAGTTTTTTTCTTCCTGTGGTGAGCTTAGCCACTTGGCTGAACTTCTATAGCACATACACAAAACCCAACAGGACACCCTAAACCATACACTGTGAACTTTAGACAGGAGGGAAGAACTAACATACAGAGTTACAAGAGTTGGTTTCAACATTGCCACTGGTGCTATATGCTAAGTCAATGGGGAGCAGTCAGTGCTGCAGATGTAGATGAGGGAGACTCAGGTTCAAATCCCCAATTAGCTGTGTCAATCAGTCTTTCTCAGCCTGACCTCCTTTTTTAAAGAATAAAATCATGTGTGCTTTAGTATGTGAGAGTCCACACTTCCACTGGAACACTGACCTCTCCTTGACCTCTCTGAACACTGACCTCTCCTTGAGCTTTTCCATCCCAGCTGGTAACTAAGAACTTGTACCCGAGTTTCCTTATTTCCCTCTCCCTCCAAATTCACTTTCCTTTTGTGCCATTAAATTATACAGACTGATTTTTTGGTTCATTTTGCTATTTAAAGTTGCAATTGATAAGCTGCTCTGGGGGAGTTTTTTGATTGAAGAGTGGGATAAAAAATCCTTTAAACGAATGGTTAATAATATGTACATCACCCTGAGTTCTCTGAAAACATAATGGAATAAAGACTAAAGAGCAAAAATAAAATAAAATTATTGGAGGGAAGTGTGATACCCATGTGAAGTGTGACAATCTAAAACATCGACAGCAAAGCTAATATAGGAATGTCACTTAGCTGGAGATTACAATTTTCCCCTTTCTGCACCTTTCTAATTGCATCCATAACTCCGGAGAACAAAAGCCCTCCAAAGAAAAAACTCACCACAGCACAATCCCATCTGCAACGGCTTTGAAGAGATCGTCTGTATTTGGGTTCATTGGAATGACATGCTTACAGTCCGGATCGTTTTCCAAAGCCTTGTTTATCCAGTTCACAAAGGCATATTTTTCTTCCTCTGAAGAAGAAGGAGACTGTCAAGTTCATTGTATGTTTAGGGTTCACACAGGTGGCAAGCAAAACAAGAGGACTCAGTGCATCATCAGGCACCAGAAAACCCTGGGACAGGCTCCCCCCACCCACATCTAATCACTTTAGATACTGCAGAAGGTGGGGGTTGACCCATAGGAAGTTCATGGCCTTGGTGTTTGTGTGTTCCACAATGAAACACCAAAAAACACCTGGGGCTCAAGCAATTAACTATAGGCCTCCCACAAATCTGCACAACTTTTAACTGTGTCACATATGCAGAGACCATCTGAACTGTTCAGATAAAACTCCTCCCCAGTGCACCCTATCTTTGATAAGAGAATTATTCACAATAGCAGCTTCCAAGACCCACTAAGGCCGTGGAGATAAATTCAAAGCAGTAACGCTTAATTGCACATTGACTCGGAATACAATTAAATTGATTCATTTAATTAGTTCCACGAAACTGAACTTTGATCCAGTGGTATCTGGGGTCAAATCCCCCAAAGTACACCTCCAGCTGATCTTACTGCCCACCAGGGAGCGCTACCAATCACTTTGGGAACCATGACTGCAAATTGAATTCTTGAGTTTTGATCCATTCCACCCTCTGTTTATTTATTTAGTCTTCACGTTTCTACCACAGATCACGGATGGGATGGCTCTCTCTTTCATCCTCACAAAAACACAGGGAGGCAAGCTGGGTCAGGCCAAGAGAGCATGACTGGGTGAAGAAGGCCCAGTGAGATCCCTGGCTCCACCAGGCCTCCTTGGACTCTCACACCCAACAGGGAGTGCATTCCAGTAATAGCTTATGGCAAAGCTGGGGAACCTGGTGGCCTCCAGATGTTGTTGGACTCCAACTCCCATCAGTCCCAGCCAGCTTGGCCAAGGGTCAGAAGGACAGGAGCTACAGGGCACCACATTGGTTACACCCAACACAGCTGAATGTTGTAAGATTCAGGACAGACAAAAGGAAGTCCTTCTTCACACAGCGCCTTGTTAAACTATGGAACTCCCTCCCACAGGAGGCAGTGATGGCCACCAATCTAGAGAGCTTTAAAAGAGGACCACTCACCATGACAGCGATGATCTGCCTCCACAGTAGGTGGCAATAGCACCCCTAAGTATCTGTTGCCGGGCAATTGTTTAATTGTTGCACTTAGATCCTAGTTTCTCCCCCCAAGGAGCTCAGGGTGGGATACATGGTTCTTCCCCTCCTTATTTAATCACCACAACCACCCTGCGAGGTAGGTTAGGCTGAGAGGCAGGGCCTGGCCCCCAGGGTCACCCAGTGAGCTGCATGGCTGAGTGGGGATTTGAACCCTGGTCTCCAATGTACTAGTCCCAACATGCTAACCGCTACACCACACTGCTATGGTGTGTGACTCCGTGCATCATTTCAGCCAGAGCACATGGGTCCCAGGATGCAGCTGGAGCTAGGGATTTGCATCACCGGCATGGAGGGAATTGAGGTGGTGCCTGAAAATAACTGATGGGGTCTTCCTAGGAGTGCCGTCTCTGCACCCAATTTACACCTCAAGGGCACAAAAAAGAGGCAGAGAAAATAAACCTCAGTAGCATAGGATGCAGGAATGTATTTCAACTTAGTCCAAAAGATTATTTCAGGGACTACCTGAGTAGGAGTGCTGGGTGCCTTCGCTGGAGAGCTCAGATGTCCCACCGATAGCGCAGATGCCTTCTTTTCTGTTGATGGCCTTTCTGAAAGTCTTGGCGATGTCACTGCTTTTCACCTCTTGGAAGATCTGCGCAAATAAAACACGAGCAGTCAGTGATAGGCTCTTAGTGACATATGAAGCCTGTAGCTGAGGTGCGCCATGTCAGACTTGAAGCTTGGAGGCTGGTTGTGGTTGTGCGCTTTGCCAAACCCAACCTCAATAATACGGAGTTTCAGCAGGTAGGAAATGGGGATTCAGGTGTACGTGGAGCAGAATGCGCAGTATGAAGGAGACCCAATCCTGGAAAACCCTTAATAGACGTTTCAAACGCTGCAACCACAACCTGGGTTTGCCACCTCAGTGAGAACCAGCTCACAAGACAAACATTTTTGCAGTGTCTTTTCTGTTCAGGATTCCAGCTACATTGGTACCTTTGGATATGAACAGGATCTGTTCTGGAACCCTTTTCGCATCCTGAAGTAAACGTAAGACACAACTGCGTGTCTACAGGTTGTGTTTCGCCGCTTCCGCACATGCGCGTGATGTCACTTTGAGTGTCTGCACATGAGCCAGCGGCGAAACCCAGAAGTAACACGCTCCATCACTTCCGGGTCGCCATGGAGCGCAACCCGAAGCTACTTCAACCCAAGGTATGACTGTACTCCATTTTAGTGCACTTGGCACATGGTTTATGATACCCCATCCATCAAACAAAGAAACAAACAGTGAGCATTTCATGACCACTGAACAAAGTGTGCATTTGGGCTGTTTTTTTGAGTCTCCCCACCCCCCCACCCACAAGGGTCCCACCCCTAAATATTTCATGGTACTTCTACAAACTTTGGAGCTTCCACAAACTAGCGCAGTTGGTAGAGAATGAGACTCTTATCTGGGGTCATGTCCCACAACAGGCAAAATATTCCTACATTGCAGGGGATAGACTAGATGACCCACACAGCCCCTTCCAACAATAATTCTATGATTCTATACAACTTGCTGATAGTACTCTCTTATGCCTGGGTGGTCCTGTCTTGGCACTTGGAGAACTGAGATCAGGACTAGAGAACCAGCAGCCTCCCAGATGTTGCTAGATTCTAGCTCCCATCAGCCAGGGCCAGAACAGAAAAACATCAGGGATGGGGGGTGGGAACAGTAATTCAGCAACATGTGGTGGGCTGCAAATTCACCCCTCCTGAAAGATATGATGACACAAGTCTTCTGCGCTTGTTGGTGCAGCTCCAAAGCACAGCAGGTAAGCACCTCGCATGCTATTAGATCAGAATCAACTAGAACACCTAAAGGAGTCAAAGGGCTGGAGGAAGTCTGGGGAGATTTTTGTCTTTGGATAGCAGAGTCCCCGACTGCCAAAATACCTCACCACAAACTGCTTTTGAGATTCCCTCAGGTTTTCCCAAGTGGTCTTGGGGGTGGACGGCATTGTTGTTTGGGAAAGAGAAGCCCAGAGGTTTCAAGGCCTTTAAGAAATGGAATAAAATTCTTAAACCTTGCCAAATTTCAGATCAGTCCATTCAGCTCTGCTGTGTGTGGCACTATGCCCCCTCACCATCACAGATAAAAGGCTGGCTGCCTTGCAACAGAGGCAGGCACCGAGGTTCTAGGACTGGAAGAGACACGGAGGACTAGCAGGAGGGAGTTTTTTTAGATACTTACGTAAACGAACTCTTCAAAGCTGATCTTCCCATCTTTGTTCTTGTCCCCATCTATCATCAGTTTCTGGATGATCTCCCTCACTTTGTATCCAGGAAGGGGAAGGTTGGCTTCTTTGAAGAGTTCGTGCAACTCATAATCACAGATGAATCCATTGCTGTTGAGATCTTTAATGCAAAAGAAAAAAACACAAGGCTTGTGAGAAAAATTTTGTGGAGTTTTATTGTTTGATATTAGGTTGTTCTAAGCTGCTTCTAAGTCACAAAATATAGATTCATTCATTCATTCATTCATTTGCTTGCTTGCTTGCTTACTGAATTTGTATTCTGCCCTTGCTCTCAAATGAGCCCACAACACCCACATTTATTTAATTAGGTATTTATTTAAAAAAACATTCTTAAACAGTTAAAACATTCTAAAAACAGTTATCATACAATGATCTTGGGGTTGCCAGGAACTGTATTTCTTAGCCATCAAATGCCGGGGTAAACAGGAAAGTTTTCAAATGACTCCTGGGAGTTCATAATGATGATGACAGGGGCACCCCACTAAGGAGTGCATCCCATACAATGGGGAAAGCAGGTGTACATACTCATATATAAGCATGCATTTGTAGCCTGTGCTTCACCATGTGGTCCCAGGGTGAGGCTACATATGGCTCAACGCAGAAAGGAAACCAAGTAATACATAAACACTATGAAATCGAATAAACAGCAAACACAAACCAAAGCAACATTGCAATAGGAGGGACAGCCTGATCTTATCTTCCATCTCCCCAAAAGGTGCTTCTTGACCTGACTTCCAAAGCACATCCCATGCTGAGGCCGCAGGCTCCTTAGAAAAGGAAGGCAATTTGCAGCTTGGGGAGTGCCGCAGAGATGCCCCTCTCATGCCCCCACCCCCATGAATCTCACGAGGGCGGCATTAAAGCAGTAGCAAGGCTTCCATTGCAGATCTCAAGACCAACCCAGGTCTACTTGGAAGGAAACACTGCTTCTGCTATGTTGGGTTAATGTTGCGGGGAAAATACAGGACAATGCTGGATCACAACCTCATGTGCTTTTAATTCTGTTGGGAGCCGCCCAGATCGTGGGGGGGGGGGGGGTTAAATAACAAATTATTATTATTATTATTATTATTATTATTATTATTATTAAATACATTTTCAATAAATATATCCATCTTTTTATGATCATTTAAATAGCACTGGTTCCTTTCAGTTCAGACTTTGGGCTCTGTTCTGTATATTATCTGGCTGCTTGGCTAAGATCACCCACTAGGAGGCAGCACAAACAAACCTGGCACACAGAGACACCACGCTGGAGAGAGTGTGGGATCCAGTTTGCTGCTCCCAGAGCAGAGGCACCCACTCCTGACACCCAGATGCATAATTCATGGTGCTGTAAGCCATAATAGACACTCACCGACTTTGGCAAAGGCCTCCCTGAGTTCCTCTAGCTCATCTTTGGATATCTGTGTAGTGCTGGCCATTTTCATGCATTAAAACAAGCACCTGCAAGGGAAAGAGAGAGGGGAGGTGGAAGAGAAGCAGGAACACTAAATAAAATCAGGAGCACCAGTCTAGTTTTGAAATCCCTCCTTTCCCAACAGACTGCAACAGAAAATGGGCTGCTGTGTCTGCTACTCTTCCAATGGGATTTCTCCAGGCATGAGAGAGCAGTGTGCTAGCTAAACCATTAATGCTATCAATATCTAACCATCCCCCTTTACTTTTGAGAACAGGGCACACTGTGGCTGCCTGTTAAACCAAAGAATTCGCTCCCGCCAGAAGATGCGCCGAAGGCCATCAACTTGGATGGCTCTAAAAGACTTATAGACAAATTCTCCTGCTCTGGAAGGCAAGACTCGAACCAATGGCTTCAAGTTACAAGAAAGGACATTCCAGGAAGAACTTTCCGACAGTAAGAGCTGTTAGACCATGGAAGAGACTCCCTCGGAGGGTGGTGGCCTCTCCTTCCTTGGAGGTTTTTAAGCAGAGGTTGGATGGCAACTTGTCATGGATGCTTTAGCTGAGATTCCAGCACTGCAGGAAGGCTGGGCTAGAACTCTACAGTTCTGTGATTCTATAATTCTATGAGTATCTCAACAAGGTTAGTAAGAGAGAAAGTGTAAATCAAACACAATTATACCGAAGAAGAAAGTGGATATTATAGAAAACATGGAGGGGGTCGAAAAATAAAAAGGCAAGATTATTATAGCTATTCCAATAAAGGACACTGAAGATATTGCTTCTGTTCCCAATAATTAAATTTTACTCAACAAAGTGTTTAGATTTATGGTCTCCTATTCTTACTACAAAATAAAAGGGATTCTCAATGAACATGCTGTTCTGTTATCTGCCTTAATTAAACTCTGCCATGTTTACTGTCATTATGGTGCTGGAGGAGACTCTTGAGAGTCCCATGGACTGCAAGAAGATCAAACCTCTCCCTTCTTAAGGAAATCAGCCCTGAGTGCTCACTGGAAGGACAGATCCTGAAGCTGAGGCTCCAATACTTTGGCTACCTCATGAGAAGAGAAGACTCCCTGGAAAAGACCCTGATGTTGGGAAAGATGGAGGGCACAAGGAGAAGGGGACGACAGAGGATGAGATGGTTGGGCAGTGTTCTCGAAGCTACCAGCATGAGTTTGACCAAACTGTGGGAGGCATGGAAGACAGGAATGCCTGGCGTGCTCTGGTCCAGGGGGTCACGAAGAGGCAGAGACGACTAAACGACTAAACAACAACAGCAACAACAACAACAACATGTTTTCTGTCTACAACCCCTCCCCACAACTTGGCATTCTCCAGACATTTTGGACTATAAATCCCACCATCCTGAAACATCTGGAGGGCAACAGGTTGGGGAAGGCTGGTGTATATATCCCATCCCAGATTCTTATTATCCAAGTCAATCAACAAGCAGACCTGAAATCTCCTAATTTGGCTTGGAGAAGATCTCACAAGCTCACGGGTTTTGCAAAGGAACGATGCTGTACCCTGAATAGTATCAAGGAGGAAGCTTTTCAGGTGCCTCCAAGCCTCAATGTATTGCATTAATACTGCCAGCCACGATGCTTCCATGTGTGATTTATTCGCAGTCTGGTTTTGGGGAGAGTGTTTCCTCAAGGCTCACGTAGAACCAAAGTTTTGGCTTATTATCACTGACTACATGCTGGGTAGCTTCTTTACTCTTAACTGGTTTAGGTGTCATGGCTTCTGGTCACCCAGGACGGAAATGTTTAAAACAAAACTTGCAAATCAATGGTTCTCAAACTTTTTTACGCCACCACATCCTTGGTTCCATAAACTCCTCCCCAAGTGCTCACTGCCCTATCTTATAAAAAGCATTATTCAAAACAGCGTTTTCCACTAAGGCCGTGATAATAACACCGTAAAATTCCAAGTGATGGCAATTAACTGTGCAGTGCTCAGTGGGGTTATAATTCTTTGATTATGGTGCAGAACAAGTTATACACAGTGTGCATATTCTTGGAAATGTAACAAATAAGTAAGTAAGTTGGGGTGGGGAACCCGCTTCAGCTGAAGGGCTGCATTTCCTTTGGGGCAACTTCCCAAAGGTCACAGGACAATGGTGGGAGGGGCTAGAGGGAAAATTTGGCAGATTTACCTGTGCACAGGAGGGTACTTTCTACACAGCCAGGTGAGCAGAGGCATGATCAGAGTTCAAGGCCATATTTCCAACCAGGCAAAAGCACTCAAGGAGAGTACATAGCAAAGGGCAATGAAGGGCTGTGGTCTGGGGAAGAATCTCAAGGGCCAAAGAGAGGGTCACATTTGTGCCCTGGCCCGGAGGCTCCCCACTCCTCAATTTAATAATAATAAAAAAGGATTGTGTGTTTTCAGGTGAATATGGGCTGCCTGGTACCACTCAGAAAAGAGTGTGCTGTGAAATGAATCAAAGCAGAGTGTTTTGTTGTGTGGCTAAAGGTGGCCACCTGCCAGGATCCTTTGTTTGAACTGGCACCAATGAACATTCCCCCTGCCTCTGTTTGCAGAGCGCCTCAATAGGCCCCACTTGCTGTTCCAAGCTAGAGGCTTCAGCATGTGCTTCCAGGCGATAGAGATGTCTGGAGGCCCTGTTTGTCTGGGGTTGCAAACATTTGCTGAGGTTTGGTGCTTTGTTGTTGTTTGTTTATTCTGTGTGCTTAAGAATCCATTTTCACAAGGGCTGTGGGGCAGAAGGCAGAAAACAAGAAAAGGTTAAATAAACATGGCACGCTCAGTGCCCCTTTCCAGCCCAATAATTATATATGCCATGTCCTGTGTCACACATGGCACCAGGTGCGACAGAGGTAAAACCCAGTCTGAGCCCCAAGGAGGTTGCCTGCCACCGCCAATCTGCTGGTCAGCGATGCCTTCAAAACCCCAAGAAAAACACTCTGTGAGCTTAAAAGCAGCTTCTGAAGACCCAAAATACTGGCTAATTGTGGGATCTGGAGAAGCAGCATCTTGAGCAGCGCTGGGCTACTGGCAGGTGGGTGGCTCCAACCACCTGCCAGACTTGGCCCACAAGTGGTGGAGGGTGGGAATGTCCTGGTCCACTGGTCAGATGCAGTTTCCCTACCTCTGATATTTGGGGCGACCTTTCTTTACTTCCTGCCCAGAGTCTGGCTGCTGCCATTGAGCGCCAGGAAGCAATTCTCTACCCCATCCAGCCCCAGATCACTGCAGGTGACCAGGGTAGGTAAAACATGGTGGGCATCGCATGAAGCTTGGCTCATGTGCTTCAGGAATCCATCACTGTGAGGCACCGTGGCCTGAATGCAGTCTGCAATCTCTCCTGCTCTCAGTTTGTGCCAAACACATGGCATGGATGAGCTGGTTAGAGGGACACCTGCCTTGGTGCTGAGGTGGTGGAAGCAGCCTTGAATTGATTAACCTTCTGACCCAGGGCTTGCCCATCTTTTATGGCCAGGTGGCACATCTGCAAATCAAAAAAACTCTGAAGGGCACAGAAAACACAGGGCCCAGGCAGGGTCTCTGTTGGTGCAGGTGCACCTCTGGGTACCATGCTAGCAATCCTCATTCCAGCGCTTAAAAGGTAAAGGTACCCCTGCCCGTATGGGCCAGTCTTGACAGACTCTAGGGTTGTGCGCTCATCTCACTCTAGAGGCCAGGAGCCAGCGCTGTCCGCAGACACTTCCGGGTCACGTGAGCAGCGTGACGATGCTGCTCTGTCAAACCGGCACCAGAGCAGCACACGGAAACGCCGTTTACCTTCCCGCTATAAAGCGGTACCTATTTATCTACTTGCACTTAGGGGTGCTTTTGAACTGCTAGGTGTGCAGGAGCTGGGACCGAAAGACGGGAGCTCACCCCGCTGTGGGGATTCGAACCTCCAACCATGCGATCGGCAAGTCCTAGGCGCTGAGGTTTTACTCACAGCGCCACCTGCGTCCCATTCCAGCCCTTACTATTCCTATATATATATTTTAAAGCCTGATGCTCAGTTTAGGATCTGTCAAGAAAGAAGGAGTGGAACAAAACACTCCCTCTTCCCCCTGTTTGCTTAACAAAAGCTTTTATTCTGCTAAGCTTTGCAGTTTTCACCTTTTGCAATCAGGACACACTGAGCTCTGCACTGGGAACACACAGAGGTCAGCTGAATAGAACAAGGCCAGCCTGCTTGCCTGTCCATCACCGTAATTCCATAAAAGCAAAGGGGAGGGAGCATAAGGCTACTAGTGACTACTAGCCACAATGGCTGTGTTCCACTCCCGCTGCTGAAGGCACTATGCCTCTGAGTTCCAGTTTCTCAGAAACAGAAGTTGGGGAGGGGGCTGGTGCACTGGGGTCCTGCTTCCCACAGGCACCTGTGTGGCCACTGTCAGAAAGGGTGCCAGAATGGGTGGACTCTTCTTAAGTTCTCACCTCCCACCAAGCAGGCAATGGCCTTCCAAATGATCTTGGGCAGGGTTTCCCAAACTTGGGTCTTTGTTGGACTACAACTCCCATCACCCCTAGCTAGCAGGATCAGTGGTCAGGGATGATGTGAACTATAGTCCAAAAACAGCAAGTTTGGGAGACACTGGTCTCCACTGATTGGCAGCAGATCTGCAAGGTTTCAGGCAGGGTTCTCTTCCAGCCCTACCTGGAGATGCCATTGGAGACTGAATGTGGGACCTTCTGCAAGCAAGGCAGACCCTCTGCCCCTGAGCTGCAGCCCTTCCCCAGCTCCAGCTTATGTGGTTTATGAGGAAAGGCATTTGGGGTTTTTTACTTAAGAGAAAAGGCAAGTTTAAGAGGGGACGTGATAGCAGCACATAAAAATTATGCATGGAACGGAGATAGTGGATAGAGAAAAGTTGTTCTCTCTCTCCCTTATACTAGGACTTGTTGACATCCAAGGAAGCTGCATGTTTGAAGATTCAGGACAGATGTGAAAAGGGTACTTTTCCATGCTGTTCAAAGTTCAAAGACTGTGGAACTCACACCCACAAGAGACTGCTATGGCCACCGCCTTGGATAGTTCTAAAAGAGGATTAGTCCAATTCATAGAGGATAAAGCTCTCAATGGCTAATAACCCTGACCTATACGTTCCACCTCCATGCTTCTGAATACCAGTTGCTGGGAATCACAAGTTAGGAGAGCACTGTTGCACTCTGTCCTTCTTGTCAGCTTCCAAAGGCAACTGAGAACAGAGTGCTGGACAAGGCGGGCCATTGGCCTGATCCAGCAGGTTCTTCTACAGTTCCTTTCTCCTCCAATGATGACTGGAATAGACAGCTGCTTCTGTGCAATCACACACACAAAAGTTGCCTCAGTTCTTCCAGCTCAAGCCAAAACCCAGTCAGAAAGGGATTTTCCCCATGCATACAGGATCTTTGGGGATTTCCTGGCATCAATGGAGAAGTGGTTCAAAATATACACACATATATAAAATACACAGGATGCGGGTGGCGCTGTGATCCAAACCACTGAGCATAGGGCTTGCTGATCAGAAGGTCAGCGGTTCGAATCCCCGCAACGGGGTGAGCTCCTGTTGTTCGGTCCCAGCTCCTTGCTCACCTAGCAGTTCAAAAGCACGTCAAAGTGCAAGTAGATAAATAGGTTCTGCTCCTGTGGGAAGGTAAATGGCGTTTCTGTGTGCTGCTCTGGTTCGCCAGAAACGGCTTAGTCATGCTGGCTGCATGATCCGGAAGCTGCCTGCGGACAAACGTTGGCTCCCTCGGCCAGTAAAGCGAGATGAGCACTGTGACCCCAGAGTCGTCCACGACTGGACTTAACTGTCAGGGGTCCCTTTACCTTTATATAATACACACATACACACACAGTGATGTAGTGAAGGCAAATTACTACACAATAGTTGCAAGAGGAAAAGAAAAAGGGAATGATAAAGTGTTTTCCATATTCTGCCACTCCTCACTCTCCAGCACTGTGCAAAGGCTGAGAGCACCTGCCTACATGCAACAGAACAGCCATGCAACAACAACAACAAAACCTGAACATCAGCCAACCTTGGCTGGCTCTAATTCAGATGCGTAACAGTCCTGACCAAGTGTCTGCTGGTCTGGATGCACCAATTCACCTTGGGGACTGGCTGTTTTAAGTCCACACACCATTTAAACTGACTAATGGAAGTGAATGAGTCAATAGCCAAGGTTTTATTTCACCAGCTGCTAAAAGCCTGAGGAACACACCCACAGTTTAAACACAGGTTAAGGAGCAGCACCCAGGAGGAGGGACTGGAGAAGGTGGGGAGAAACTGCAGGTGAGCAGAGCACAGGAAGACTTCAGCCGCAACTGGAACCGGCGTTCCCATTTGCTGGTGTGAAGAGATCGTTGTGAGCAAGCCTCACCGGCTGATGCAGCTCTCATGTCTCAACAGGCCAACCACACAATGCTACTAGTGTGAGCTAGAGTTACTTCTGGTGCACCCTTGTTTACACCCATGTTGGGAAATGAAAGCAACCTTTATCAGGGAAAAGCAAGAGGGGGGAAACTGGAAAGGCAAGCCCCAGCACGTGGTTCAGTTAGAATGTCAAGACTAAGAAAGAAAAAAGGGCCCTGCTGGATTCAAGTCAATGGCCCATCTAGTCCAGCATCCTGCTCTCACAGGGGCCAACCAGATGCCCCAAAGGGAAGAAGCCCACAAGCAGGATTGGCACACAAGAGCCCTCTCCTCACCTGTGTTTTCTGGCAACTGGTGTTCCGAAGCATGGCCTGCCTCCAACAGTGAAGGCAGCGCATCAGTCCTCATGCCTAATTCATAGCCCCATTTTCCATGAATTTGAACCCAGCCATACAGTTTCTGAGTTTCTCTAAGCAGGATTTGTTGTGAGGATGCAGAATGTGAGGTGGGAGGAAGAAAAGCAGGCATTGTCATGGCCTCTTCCTCCTCCTTGGAGAACCGCTGTGATAAATATACAAATAAGTTAAAGCACCACATGGTTCGCCTTACCTATATATTGTCTTGCGTGGGGGGCGGTCGCCCTCTGAGCCAGGAACACAGTAAAATCACAGCAGACACCAAGTGGAAATCACTGCTGTTGGCTTTTCAAGTCCTGTTGGGGGACAGAAAGAGGGGCAGGGTGGAGAGAAAGATGCATGCAATGGTTAGTAATGCTTCGTTGACTCTATTAAACACGGAGAGAGCGAGGTCAGCTCCTGTTTCTGAAAGCAGAGAGCACTAATAAAACCACTTCTGCTGTTTTAAAATGGAAGAAAAGGGGCTCTGGAGGAGTCGTCCCCCCACCCAGAGGCGCCACAGAAGCCTGCTTGAAGGATGCAGCAATTGGGATGTGGGTTCAAGGGTCAGTTTTCAGCTCTAAGCAGGGCAGAATAGAGTTTTATGAGCCACCGAGCCCTTTTCTGAAGCCTGTTTGAGAGAGAAACTCAACTTCCACATGGTAGAGGATTACTATGCAGGAAGCAGCAGCAAAGTCGATAGGGGAGAGCCCCTAAGCATCCTGTATTCATCCATCGCATGCAGACCACAGAGAGTATCATTGGTGCAACAAAGCATTGGCTCCTCTCAGTTGCAAGTCCCACAAATCTTGTGTCACAGGGAAGCTCCCAGTTGATGCAGGGGCTCTTCATTTACATGTGAGCACAGGAAAGTCCCCAAACCTTTCTGGCTGTGATGGAATCATTCCAACTTCCCTTTCCGCTACTTTATTGGCTTATTTCTCAAAATTTACATATACTGCTCAGTTGTAACCTCAAAACATTTTGTGAAAGGTAAACCACCATATATATATATATATATATATATATATATATATATATATATATATATATAATCAATTAAGGAAACATTTTAAAACAACATTTTGCAACATTCAAAAATAATTAAAATAAAAGCTAAAAACCAGCTTAAAACAAATGTCAGATTTCTACATGCCTTGATGGGCTCACCTAAACAATTCTCACGAGTGGTTTAACAACCAACCCTTCTTCACAGGAAACTTTGGAAACCGTAGCTCTAGAAGGGGAATAGAAGTCTCCTAACAATTCTCAGTACCCTTCACAAACTGGACTTCCCAGGATTCTCTGGGGGAAGCCATATTCATTTAAACTAGAGTGACAGGGTGTTGCTTTAAAAGTTTGGTGGGAATGCAGCTGAATATTTCCTCTCGGGAAGCAAAAGTTAATGTGTGAAGGAGACATCAGATGGGAAAGATCCTCTATTCATGGGGCTGCCTCCTACCACCCATCCCAATAAGCTCAGTAAGAGGAGAGGAGGGTGTTTTCAGATTAAATATCTCCTCCTCTTTTTTTGCCATCGTTCCTTCAAAGCCTGAAGGATTAATTTACTTCCTTGTTTATCAAATTCCTTCCGTGCCAGAGGCTCTGTTTGTTGCTGAAAGATAATTCTGAAGTTAACTGGCTACAGTGTTCCTTAAAACTTATTTAAAGAGAGAAGAGATTTTGCAGGACAAGATTGCAGGGGTGGAGAGCAGATGAAAGGGTCCTTCAACCTTCTAACTTAGTGGTTCCCAAAGCAATGCCCCCCGGGGGGAGCAGGAAGGGGGAATTACCTAGGGGAGGCAAGTGGGCAGCAGAGGGGGGGCTGCAGGTGTCAATGACTATCAGATTTTGAAAAGCTGGTGTCGCTGGATCATATCTGCTGAATTAATTAAACGAAATAGTTTTGATTGGATTCTGAATCAATGTGCAATTAATTGTTACTGTTTTGGCTTTTCTGTTTTCCTCTTGCACTTAGCAGGTTGTGCAAACTGCTATTCTGAATAATGCTTTTTACAGGGTAGGGTAGGGGGCACTGGGGATGAGTTTATGGAACCAGGTTTATGGGGAAAGGTTTGGGAATCACTGTGTTAACTGGTTGAGCTGCTATTTTCGGGGGCTCTTTGTGCACACCTGGTCCTGCAAGAGACATATATGCAGGTTTGGATTCTGCTTCTCCCTTCAGTTCCCTTCAGGTCAAAACATTTCCCAAGTGCTGCAGCACTATTACCCCCAGGTGGTACAATGGGTCAGTGTTAAGCAGCAGGTTTGTGGTTCAAGCCCTCCCAGGGATAGCTGTGGGAAGGATTCCTGCACTGCAGGAAACTGAACTGCAAGATGACCCTCTGGGTCCCTTCCGACTTGCAATTCTGTGATTCCCATCATTTTGGATGGTGATGGACAGGCACTCTGGAAGCTGCCAATGGTCCATGTAGCTCAGTAGTGTCTGCACTGACAGACAGCAGTTCTCCAAGGATTCAGAGAGGGGTCTCCCCCGGCCTCACCCAGAGATGCTGAGCACTGAACCTGGGACCTTCTGCATGCAAGAAATGTGCTCTGCAACTGAGCTATGGCTCCGTTCCACAGCTCAAGAGCATCTCTCCTTCTGCATTTTTTCATCCACACCCTCCGTGTTTTATTCCATTATCTTTGCACTTCCTTTTCCCTGTTCAACACTTCCATTCTCTGCTCTAGCCAAACTCCCTTAAATGAATAGCCGCTTAGACATTCTTCTTGCTTTCTAACACTTGTTAGATTAGGGCAAACGAGCGGCATGCAGACTCAGCAACACAGTCAGAGCCATCGTCAATTAATTAATCTGCTGCATTTTCTACAAATAGGTCTGTGCTCAAAGTGGTACACAAAAACTCAGGAGTGGCTCCCAGAGCCAGAGATCCCCCACCCCTGGGATAGCTCAGTGGGCAAGGAAAACTCTTAATCTCAGGGTTGTGGGTTTGAGCCCCACGTTGGGCAAAAAGATTCCTTCAATGAAGGGAGTTGGGACTAGATGACCCTCGTGGTCCCTTCCAACTCTACAGTTCTATGATTCCTTTGACTGGCAGCTGTTCTCTGGCTGGTCACTATAACATGATGCTGGACTAGATGAGCCTGTGACTGATTCTGCAGCACACTTCTTGTGTTCTGCCCAAGTCCCTGGAGAAGGCTCTTGCCCATCACCTAACAATGGAGCCTTTGAACTTTCTGAACGCAGAGTAAGTGCTCCAGCCAGCCGGCTGCAATTCCTCCCCAATACTTATATTAGAACAGACTAGAAAACATACCAGATCCTGCTGCCTTAGCATTAAGAACCTCCATTGTGGGCTACTTTACTCTGAGTTGCCTAGAAGTTTAGCTACTGCTAACAAAACACCTTTCCAACATCCATGAAATCTGGTGCAGTGTGAGAAACTATGAAATCAGCATCCTAGCAGCTGTGGCATAACCTGCAACTATCTGATTTTAAAAAGCCACACAATTATAAGGACTCGGAACTTGCTTCCAAGCGTGCTTACAGGGAACCCACCCAAAAGACTGCTGACGTTGTCTCGATGACAATATTGCTATTTGTTCACTCAAGGGAGGCATTAATCACAAATTAGTTAAGCGTTGGCTTTTGCTTTCTGAATGCAATCGGATGCCATGACAAGGGAGTAACCCACGAGGCCAGGGAACGCCCAGATGGCAGGGCAATCCTGTGGGAGAAGCCGGCACAATTAGATCATGCTGACTAAGGCCAGACTCACAGCCCTGCCTAGGAGACAAGGGAGCAGGGAAAAGGCAACAGCTGCCTGGTCTAGAGCATGATCCGCTTCACCTGATGAATGGGCTGCCACCAATGTTTCAGCTACTGTCAAATGCTTGTGTGTGTGTGTGTGTGTGTGTGTGTGTGTGCGCGCGCGCGCGCCATTTGCAGGTCATAGTTAAGAGCCCTGGCACTTTCATTTCCACATGAACTAGCTACTAATATTCACAGGCATGCTCCCACTTTGCTCCTTCACATGCTGTGGCCGACCCTCTTAAAGCCACTTCTGTTCACATCCTGCGGCAGCTATGTGGAGACGTTTTCATCCAGTGGGCCAGAGGCAGAAGCAGGCAGAGCAACAACTGTAAGACTGCCTGTATTTAATTACTGCATTTCTATCCTGCTTCCCCATACAGAATTATGAGTATTTTACGAAGTTCTAGCTAGTTCTTAAACATTTGAACCTGGCTCACAAAAAGGGCCAGGTGTGGCACCAAGGAATCAGAATTAATTTTCCCACCTGTGCCTGCCCAGCTGGTTTCATACAGACAATAGACATGAACCACTAATGGAGAAATAGGCTATTAATTATGCTGTGGGTGTCCTTTCCTCTAACCAGAAGCAAAGCATAATGGAAATTCTCCTGTGTTGATCACAACAGCTAGTGCAAAAGGAGCTTCCCTTCTTTCACATTGCAAATGCACTTCAGCAGTCTGCTTGGTTCTGGACTACAGCTCCCAGAAGCCTCAGTCCGGGATGATGGGAGTTGTAGTCCAAAACATTTGGGGATGAAACTATGGAACTCAAGTCCCACAGGAGGCAGTAATGGCCACCAACTTAGATGGGGGAGACAACTATTGATGGCAACTATCCACAATGAATCATAGAATCATAGAGTTGGAAGAGACCACAAGGGCCATCGAGTCCAACCCCCTGCCAAGCAGGAAACACCATCAGAGCACTCCTGACATATGGTTGTCAAGCCTCTGCTTAAAGACCTCCAAAGAAGGAGACTCCACCACACTCCTTGGCAGCAAATTCCACTATCGAACAGCTCTTACTGTCAGGAAGTTCTTCCTAATGTTGAGGTGGAATCTTCTTTCTTGTAGTTTGGATCCATTGCTCCGTGTCCGCTTCTCTGGAGCAGCAGAAAACAACCTTTCTCCCTCCTCTATGTGACATCCTTTTATATATTTGAACATGGCTATCATATCACCCCTTAACCTCCTCTTCTCCAGGCTAAACATGCCCAGCTCCCTTAGCCGTTCCTCATAAGGCATCGTTTCCAGGCCTTGGACCATTTTGGTTGCCCTCCTCTGGACACGTTCCAGTTTGCCAGTGTCCTTCTTGAACTGTGGTGCCCAGAACTGGACACAGTACTCCAGGTGAGGTCTGACCAGAGCAGAATACAGTGGCACTATTACTTCCCTTGATCTAGATGCTATACTCCTATTGATGCAGCCCAGAACTGCATTGGCTTTTTTAGCTGCCGCATCACACTGTTGGCTCATTTCAAGTTTGTGGTCAACCAAGACTCCTAGATCCTTTTCACATGTACTGCTCTCAAGCCAGGTGTCACCCATCTTGTATTTGTGCCTCTCATTTTTTTGCCCAAGTGCAATACTTTACATTTCTCCCTGTTAAAATTCATCTTCTTTGTTTTGGCCCAGTTCTCTAATCTGTCAAGGTCGTTTTGAAGTGTGATCCTGTCCTCTGGGGTGTTAGCCACCCTCCCAGTTTGGTGTCATCTGCAAATTTGATCAGGATGCCCTTGAGTCCATCATCCAAGTCGTTGATAAAGATGTTGAATAAGACCGGGCCCAAGACAGAACCCTGTGGCACCCCACTAGTCACTCTTCTCCAGGATGAAGAGGAACCATTGATGAGCACCCTTTGGGTTCGGTCAGTCAGCCAGTTACAAATCCACTGAGTGGTAGCATAGTCAAGACCGCATTTTACCAGCTTCTTTACAAGAATATCATGGGGCACCTTGTCAAATGCCTTGCTGAAATCAAGGTAGGCTACATCCACTGCGTTCCCTTCATCTACCAGGCTTGTAATTCTGTCAAAAACGAGATCAGGTTAGTCTGGCATGACTTATTTTTCAGAAATCCATGCTGACTATTGGTGATCACAGCATTCCTTTCTAGGTGCTCACAGACTGTTTGCTTAATGATCTGCTCCAGAATCTTCCCTGGTATTGATGTCAGACTGACTGGGCGGTAATTATTTGGGTCCTCTCTTTTCCCTTTTTGAAAATAGGGACAACATTTGCCCTCCTCCAGTCTGCCGGGACTTCGCCTGTTCTCCAGGAATTCTCAAAGATGACTGCCAGTGGTTCTGAGATCACATCTGCCAGTTCTTTTAATACTCTTGGATGCAGTTCATCTGGCCCTGGAGACTTGAATACATCTAAACTAGCCAAGTATTCTTGTACTATCTCCTTAGTTATGCTGGGCTGTGTTTCCTCTGCTGAATCATTTGCTCCAAATTCTTCAGGTCGGGCATTGTTTTCTTTATCGGAGAAGACTGAGGCAAAGAAGGCATTGAGGAGTTCAGCCCTTTCTGTGTCCCCTGTTTGCATTTCACCATCTTCTCCTCTGAGTGACCCCACTGTTTCTTTGTTCTTCCTTTTGCTACGAACGTACCCATAAAAGCCTTTTTTCTTGCTTTTAACCTCTCTAGCAAGCCTGAGTTCATTCTGTGCTTTAGCTTTTCTGACTTTGTGTCTACACGTGCTGGCTATTTGTTTGAATTCCTCTTTGGTGGTTTCCCCCCTTTTCCATTTTTTGTACACATCCTTTGTACAAAAGGATGCTATGCTCCACCTTCACAGCTGGAGGCAGCAACGCCTCTTGAGTACCAGTTGCTGGAGGCTGCAGGAGGGAAGAGAGGTAATATGCTTGAGTCCCACTTGGGGGATTTCCATTACCATTGGCATCTGCTTGGCTGCTGTGAGAACAGGATGGATGCTGGACCGGGTGGGCCATTGGCCTGGTTTTATGTTCTTATCTATAATAATAATAATAATAATGGGTTTCCCCAGCCACTCTTGGCGGCTTCCAACAAAATATTAAAATACAATAATCTGTTAAACATTAAAAGCTTCCCCAAACAGGGCTGCCTTCAGATGTCTTCTAAAAGTCTGGTAGTTGTTTTTCTCTTTGACATCTGGTGGGAGGGCATTCCACAGGGCGGGTGCCACTACCGAGAAGGCCCTCTGCCTGGTTTCCTGTAACTTGGTTTCTCACAGCAAGGGAACCACCAGAAGGCCCTCAGAGCTGGACCTCAGTGTTCGGGCTGAACGATGAGGGTGGAGACGCTCCTTCAGGTATACTGCATCTAGAAATTAGTTCATCTAGGGGGTCATTAAACTGAAACATCCCTGGGCTTGTATCCAACAGAGTGCTAAGTAAGCATCCCGTTGTCAGTGCAAGAATTCCCTTATGCACAATGAGTTTTTCCTCCTCTCCCCCCTCCATGCTCAAACATGCACCCTGTACTCTCCCCAAATATGATCTAGGAGATTGGGGGAAAGTTGGGGGGGGGAGAGGCAAGCAGGAGGAATCGTAGAGTTGGAAGGGACCCTGAGGATTATTTGGTCCAACCCCCTGCAACGCAGGAATATGCAGCTGCCCCAAACGAGGATGAAACCTGCAACCTTGGCATCCGTAGTACCACACTCTAACCAACAGTGCTGGCCATGCCATGGGGGCAAGTCCCACTGCACATGAAGAAAGAAATCCTTGTGCTGACGGGATGCTTAATTAGCACTGAACTGGATGCAAGTCCTCGTTGACAGCAACTCTCAAAGATCTCAGGAACTTTTAATTTCCTTCTGCATGCCAAATATGTGCTGTGACCTCCTCCTACACTTCAGTCTGAATGCTCACTAGGCAGCTATAGGTGTTCTTTCTGAGATCTTATCTCTCTACCTCCGATACACACATCTGTAATATGGGGATATTAATGGTCAACACCTTTCTCATGAAGACTATTGAGAAGCACTTTGAACAGATAAGGCCCTATGCAAATATCAGAGTTCTACAAATTTTGGTTGGCAACCAATATCCTGCCCTCACCCTTAAACACAGCCCCATGTATGTCCACTTGGAAGTAAGTCCCAATGGCTTTTGGTCCCACGAAACCATGCTTGCTGCCACCCTATGAACATGGGGGCAAGCCCCATCGAGCTTTGCAGGACCAGCTTATGACTAGATATGCACAGGAATGGGGTACTGGTCCCTGACACCAGGTTATGTCTCCCAGTGAGCACGGGGCCAATCCTGTGCCCCCCTTCCCCACAACCCCAAGTCTGGAGGTGTAGATATAATATAGGAGTCCCCCACAGCTGCACTTCCCTCTGGAGGTCCTTCAAAGCCCAGTGCAAGTGCAGGAAGGATGACTGCCACTCCATAGTTAAAACAATGGAGGCAGTGATGGCCAGCAACCCGCCACCGTCAATATTCCTGTGTCTCTGAATATTCATTGCTGGGATACAGCATTTGAAATTCAGCAAGTGAAGTTTGCACCTGGCTAGTAGCCACTTACAACCAAGTGGAGATGCCTGGACGCCAGGATTGGCACCTGACGTCTCTACCATTTGGAGGTACATGCCTGTGGATCCTGTTTTCACACACTAGCAAGACATTCTGTAGAATTCTATCTGTTATATTTTATCTGCACATTCAGAATGAATTTCAGGAACTGAAAAGTCCTATTAAAAAATACAACTTTTGAGCCGCCTGGCCCCAAAATGGCAACTAGGCATTCTGTTTGGGCTTAAGGAGCCATCCTGGTTTAAGAAGCCACTTGGTGCCTGGCTTATATATATCTGAATTTCTAACACTGGCTGGGAATCATGAGCTGCACTTGGGTCCTGCTTGGGTGCTTCCAATTAGGGCATGCTCTTGACCACTGTCAGAACATAGTGCTGGACTAGATGAGCCATTGGTCATTGTTGTTAAAAATAATTTAAAACATTCAAAAATGATTAAGATCAATGCTAAGGTAAAAACCAGATTAAAATGCATGTCAAATTCCTACATGTCTGGATAGGCTTGGTAAGACACATATTTTCACTGAAAAGAGCACAGCAAAGGTGTTTGCCTGATGCCAACAATAAGGAGTCCCAAAGAGTGAGTGCTGCTGACACTAAAATATACATTTCTAAAAATGTGAAGGCTAATACCTTTCACATCTACCCAATGTATCTTTTAAGAGACCTCCTGATGTTGCTGTATTAATACTACTACCATTATTACTACTCATAGTACTAGTACTATTAGTTGCTGTTGTACCCTTACAGTAGCTTTGGTTTAGGATGGTTTTGTTTCCTCTGTGTTTGCACGGGCCTTTTTCAGGGTGGGGTTTTATTTTTCTGTCCCGAAGCCCTTTCCACACATGCTGTGGAAGTTACACAAACAAAAATTTGAAGAAAAGAAATCCAGTCCCTTTCTGTTCCAAGTGACCTACACTCAGAATAATCCCGGTTCAAAAAGGTTAAGCTCTCATATCATCCACCTGTTTAGCAGCAGCAACAAGCAGAGATTACAAAAAAATAGAAGAAAGAACTTTTGGAGCCGGCAGAGCAGAGTACTTGCTCAATCTCCTTAAAGGTATGAGGAGTGAAACCTTTCCACATTCCTCTACCTGAAAGCCAGCAGCTTTCAGCATCTTTCAACAGTTCTTTTACTGGGTCCACCACCTCCCAAGGAAACAAAACAAATAGAACTCAGCAAGGTCACCACAGCTCTCTAGCAGTCAGGCAGAGGCTGCCATTAGGCCACAAAGATTAGGACCGAGACGGCACAAACACTGCAGATCATAAACAATATATTCTAACAGGAATGAAATAAAATAAATTTCAAACTGCCAGCGAAGGCATTCCTAGCAAGAAAAAAGAAACACGCCCACACCAAGCCATTAGTGTTTCTGCAATCAAGGATTTTCTAATGCCCCAGGCAGCGTTTCCCATGTTTGGGTCTCCAGCTGTTTTGGGACTACAGTTCACATCATCCCTACCACTGGTCCTGCTAGCTAGGGATGCTGGTAGTCCAAAAAACAGCTGGGGGGACCCAAGTTTGGGAAAGGGGGAGGAAGCTTCTTTAGACTGGGGGCCTCATTTCATCTGGGGCAAAAGTGAGCCAAGTGTCAGATTCCAGGCATGCAAAAGACCCCTACACACACACACACACACACACACACACACACACACACACGTTCCACACATCTCTCTCCACTCAGGCGAGCAAAAGTGGTTATCACTGATCATTATGCACCCCAGCCAGGCAAAAAACCCAACATCTTGAGGAAGCCCCAGGGCAGCAAGTGTGAGGGGAGTGGCTTGAGGAGGCCAGCCCAAAATGACTACATTTGGCTCCCAGGCCTCAGGTTCCCCACCCCTGCTCATAGATCAGCTGTTTTGGACTACAACTCCAATGAGCTATGCTGGCTGATAGGAGCTGTACTCCCAAAAAACAGCACCAGGTTGGGGAACAATGGAATAAATGCTTGAACATGAGAAGTCTTCAAAGCGAGAGGCTGGCTGGCACGCAAGCAGTGGAGCTGGGGCTTTCTGGGCCATTAAAATTTAGTAGGAGGAGAACTCCTAAAACTAATCAGAATAATTTAAATATATATATAAAATATTTATTAACTTGGCAACAGATTAAAGGTACCAGTCCTCAATGTGGGATGGGAGACAGAGGCTATCAGCTGTTTTCTTTGCTACTTATGTCCTGAAATGGTTTGGAACTAGAGCCATGTGCCGGCCCCTCCCTGGCCAAGCCCAACATTACCTGAACTGAGCTGCAATTCAGGCCTCACAAGCTATTCTGAAATCTTCTTTTGTCTTCAGAGAGAGTGAGTGAAATGGAATTGAGATTTCATTATAGGCAAACTTGTGAAAATCCCACATTACTATTATTATTATTATTAAGATGGAGTCACTGCCAAGATGTTTGTGTGTTGCTGTTTGAAGAAAACAACAACACAGCTAACAGTTACCCTCTTTTGTTAAAATGTTTTCTAATATTGTTTTAGTGAACCTTGTTAATAATACGACAAAGAAATTACTTACAAAACTTGAAGGTTTAGAGTAGCCTCTCATTTTACCCTGCAATTTCACATATCCTGCTTTGCAAGACAGATTAAGTGGAAGGCAGTGAAATACTAAACCCATTTTGGCTAAGTAGCCATCTGAACCACACCTACCACTCCCCCCCCCCACACACAATCAAGCTGGCTTGGAAAGTTTTTTTTTTTAGGTTATCGCATGATATAAGTAAGGAGTTCTCCAACTTTTTGTACCAGTGGGCACATTTTGAAATTTGAGAGAACACCAGTCCCCAAAGAACTGTTGTGCGGGGGCATAGGACAAAGTGGCTGCCGTGGGGAGTGCAGCAAAACACAAAATTAGAGAGACAGTCACCTCCACAAACCTTACCATGGGAAGTCATAGAATCAATAGAATTGTAGAGTTGGAAGGGACCCCAAGAGTCATCCAGTCCATCCCCCTGCAATGAAGGAATCTCTGCTCAAGCATCCATGACAGATGGGTGCCCAACCTCTGCTTTGAAACCTGCAAGGAAGGAGAGTCCACCACCTCCAGAGGGAGACCATTCCATTATGTCCTACTGGTCCCAATTATGGAGATCACAAGGTACTGATTTCACACAGAGAGAAGGGCGGGGGAGGTGCTACTTCTGTCTGATAGCAACAGGGTGCATTCCTCAGTACCAATAAAAATATACAATGTGGCTACACCACACCCTCATTTCACAGAAATCACTCAAGAAGTACCTGCGTATTTTGACTCATAAAGTTCTATGAGAGCTAGAGACTTGCTTTTTCTTTGGGGGGAAAAAGAAAGCTCAGAGTGTGGGGCACATGCCTAGAGGCACCAATGAAATCCTATGGCCCTGCTGACCAGGGATGATGAGAATCGTAGTCTAGAACTGGGTGATGGGCTGGGCGATGGGCTTCGTGGGATGGTGAATGCTTCCCTCTGTGAGGGAGCCTTCGCAGGCCCACTGAAAGAGGCGGTCATTAAACCGCTTCTTAAAAAAACATCCTTAGACCCGGCCATCATGGCCAACTATTGCCCAGTCTCAAATCTTCCATTCTTGGGCAAGCTGTTTGAGCGAGTGGTTGCTGAACAACTCCAGGCACGCCTGGAAGAAGCAGACCATTTGGATCCCTTCCAATCGGGATTCAGGCCTCATCATAGGACTGAAATTGCCTTCATCGCACTGGTCGATGATCTTTGGGGGGCTAGGGACAAAGTTGAGAGCTGTTTCCTAGTTCTGCTGGATCTCTCAGCGGCTTTTGATACCATCAACCGTAACATCCTTGTGGACCGTCTAGAGGGGCTAGGAGCTGGGGCACTGTTATACAATGGTTCCGTTCCTTTCTCCTGGGCCGTGTTCAGAAAGTGTTAGTGGGGGATGAGTGTTCAGACCCCTGGGCTCTCACTTATGGGGTGCCTCAGGGTTCCCTCCTCTCCCCCATGCTTTTCAACATCTACATGCAGCTGCTGGGAGAGATCAGCTGGGTGTTCATTAATATGCGGATGATACCCAGCTCTACCTCTCTTTTAAATCAGAACCAGTGAAGGCGGTGAAGGTCCTGTGTGAGTGTCTGGAGGCGGTTGGAGGATGGATGGCTGCTAACAGATTGAGGTTGAATCCTGACAATACAGAAGTACTGTTTTGGGGGGACAGGAGGTGGGCAGGTGTAGAGGTCCTGAATGGGGTAACTGTGCCCCTGAAGGACCAGGTGCACACCCTGGGAGTCATTCTGGACTCACAGCTGTCCATGGAGGCGCAGGTCAATTCTGTGTCCTGGCAGCTGTTTATCAGCTCCATCTGATAGGCAGGATGAGACCCTACCTGCCCAGAGTGGTGCATGCTCTAGTTAGCTCTCACTTGGACTACTGCAATGCACTCTATGTGGGGTACCTTTGAAGGTGACTTGGAAACTATAACTAATCCAGAATGAGGCAGCTAGACTGGTGACAAGAGTGGCCGCCGAGACCACATAACATCGGTCTTGAAAGACCTACATTGACTCCCAGTACATTTCCGAGCACAATTCAAAGTGTTGGTGCTGACCTTTAAAGCCCTAAATGACCTCGGTCCAGTATACCTGAAGGAGTGTCTCCACCCCCATTGTTCTGCCCGGACACTGAGGTCCAGTGCCAAGGGCCTTCTGGCGGTTCCCTCCCTGCGAGAAACCAAGTTACAGGGAACCAGGCAGAAGGCCTTCTCGGTTGTGGCACCTGCCCTGTGGAACGCCCTCCCACCAGATGTCAAAGAGAAAAACAACTACCAAACTTTTAGAAGAAATCTGAGGGCAGCCCTGTTTAGGGAAGCTTTTAGTGTTTAATAGACTATTTTAATATTCTGTTGGAAGTCACCCAGAGTGGGAAACCCAGCCAGATGGGAGGGGTATAAATAATAAATTATTATTATTATTATTAATTATTATAGATAAGAACATAAAACCAGGCCAATGGCCCAGCCGGCTTCTGAATGCCGGCTCCTGGAAACTGCAAGAGGAAAGAGTGCTCCTGTGCTTGGATCCTGATTGTGGGCTTCCCATAACCATCTGGTTGGCCGCTGGAAGAACAGGATGCTGGGCTAGGTGGGCCATCGGTCTGACCCAGCAGGCTCTTCTGGTGCTCTTGTCAATGCTGGGTGGGGCTGGTTTGGAGTTGCAAAACAACTGGAGGTCCCTAGAGCTGTTGGGCAGCCCATTTATTCCATTTCTAATGGGACAGTTTATGTTTAGTTTAACCTACTGCTGCCTGTTCTAAGGCTAAATGGACAAGTTAAGAAATCGTTGCAGTATTTTTGATTCTCTAATCAAAGAAGAGGTCAACCCGGCAGTATACAGGCTGCAAAATCCCATAGGTGCTTGGCATCCCTGAAGTCAAGGGATTTTAGGTGCTCTTCTCTGTGCAGGATTGCAACCACAGAGCCCTGCCTAAACAGCCCCACAACAAGGAGCCAGGGGAGTTGTAGATGGCAGGAACTCCCCTTCCAGAATCCTGCTCAGTTCTCACACACACCCCAACCCCAATTCTCACTCTAGAGCAAATGAAGTTTTACATAAAGATCCAAAGCCCATTTTGCAATAGCTTCATGGACCATGTATCACATTACAAGTGTCAAAATGAAGACAACAAGAAAGTTTGTTTTCAACACTGGAGCTTGCAGCATCTCATTACTAGATAACTTAATTCTTGACTTAAAACATTAATACACTCCTGTCTAGAGCAACCTAGAAAATACCTCCCATTACCTAAATTGTAGCTTCACATATCAAATGAGCAAAAAATATCTACTTAGAATGCTCTGCAAAGAAGTGTCCCACCCCACGAAAGCATCCCCCCCCACAAAAAAATCGCTTCTCCTACTTCACAAAAATCAACTGTCAGATCTAAAAGCAGAAGTGTGTGCAGAAGAATCACTGAGAGAAGTAAAAAAACAACCCTCGCTATTTTGATTGGCTCTGTTATAATAGCATACTGTGAGTTTTGGAATCATATTTAAGGGCACAGTTCCTTTGCTTATATCTAGAAAAAATGACTTGGGGTGGAGAATGACAGACCAGCATTGCTCTCATTATACTCACTGCTTTCTTGGAGAAGCAAACCAGAACTACAGAGCTATTAGTCCGCCATCGTAGCCTGTCCAAAAACATAAGACACTGCTCAAATCTGCTCTTATCTTTTCACAAGAAAAACTCTAATCTTAAGATTTGTCTCGACTGAATTCCATCTCCTGTACGCTTCTATCAAAAGGACTGCTTAACACACCAGTGGTAAAGAGGAAGTTAAATGTAAAAAGAGAGGGGAATCTTGCAAGTCAGCTTAGCCTCAAGAATTCATTTTGCCACACTGCAGCAACACTGAGCCAAGACTTCCCGCTCTGGATCCCCGAAATTGTTTCAGTCTCCTTACCTCGCCCCGTCCAGATTTCAGAGGATAGCAGATCTGTTTCTTCACTTAGCCCCACAGCAAAATATGGAACATTCTTCCACGCCCAGAAAGTTAATTCTGGAAGCCCAGCATTCCTCTTAGAATTGTAATTCTAAGCAGCAAGTCACAACACTTCCTGCCAGCAAATGAGAGCATGCTGACAGAAGCCTGAGCTGTTTAAAAGCCCCCTCCCCACTGTCTAGAAACTTTGCATTACACAGCAAAACTCCCAGCAAGTAGCTCTCCTCACCTGCCTCTAAGCTCCAGGGCAGACAGATCACAGATCCAGCCCAGCGGGTGGGGCAGCGGCTTCTCTGAAATTTGATTTGTGAATCAAACAGAAGCTTTCAGCTGCAAGCAGAGAGCAAACCAAGGATCCTTCACGGCTTCCCTGCACATTGTTCCAAAACTTCAGTACAAGAAAAAGGTACATCTTCAGGCATAAACTACTTCTAAGCAATGTGTTAGAACTTCTGTTTCACAGATTAAAATTGTGGGTTTTTTCTCCATCCCAGAAAAGGAAGACAGTTCCTTTGTTCTGCCAGTGCTAATGGCATGCAGCTTTACTAAGGAAAGATTTCACGTTGCTAAAAGAGTACAGTAGTCCTGACCAAGGAGAGATTTGGCCAAAATGTTTCCCTGCTGCTTTTCTTCTCAGGAGGGAAGAAAGAGTCCTCCTTGAGCCAGGAAAGTGAGTCACTCTCCTGACTGGCCTTCCTTAGCCATGACCTAGAAATTTAGCTACTAGTAGCTAATTCTCCAGAGAGGTAAACACTTGCCAAGGTTCTAAGTGTGTCTGTGTGTTTTAAATATAAGGGCTTGGATCCAAGATTTTTGCAGAGACTGCATTACAGAGATTGCATTGGGGAGTTCCTGTCTCCTTTCCTACTGCAGATCACCCCCCCAAATGCCATTATTGGGGTGGGAGGATCCTGAGAGCAGCAGGTGATATGGAAGGGGGCTACAGTTGGAGAAGGAGAAACTGGAGAAGGCTAATGCCATCCCAGGCCTTCTTTGTAGAAGGAGCCCCACGGGACTAAGTACAGTGGTACCTCAGGTTAAGTACTTAATTCATTCCGGAGTCCGTACTTAACCTGAAACTGTTCTTAACCTGAAGCACCACTTTAGCTAATGGGGCCTCCTGCTGCTGCCGCACTGCCGGAGCACGATTTCTGTTCTCATCCTGAAGCAAAGTTCTTGACCTGAAGCACTATTTCTGGGTTAGCGGAGTCTGTAACCTGAAGCGTATGTAACCTGAAGCGTATGTAACCTGAGGTACCACTGTATCAAGAAGGAATTCTGTTATCAGGCCTTTGGCTGCAAAGGAGAAGGAATCTGCTGGTCACATCACAGACTCACAGAATTGCAGACTTGGAAGGGAGCCAAAGAGTCCAACCTCTGCAGTACAGGGGATCAAATCTGTTGAGCTTCTCTGTTTTATATGCCTGGACACTGTTAATTTGGCTGTACTTGGCTCCACCTGTACTTGGCTCCAGCCCCATCAGAAAGGCAGAGGTGGCAAGGAACTGTACATTTAAAACATTGTGATGTCATCTCAACACCTAACAGGCTCTTTCATGATGGGAGTTTTGGACTACTGGCTTTTGCATTTTTCTTGCCACTTTGCATCAGGCCTAGTCCCTTCAGTGAAAAAGCACAACATATGGTAGGCTGGTTAAATAGCCTTGAAGGACTAATTCCACCCTTACAACCTGAAAGGCAGGGACGCAGGTTGCTTGTGAAAGAGACAAGCAACATGCGTACCAGATAAGCTAAGAGAGAGCTTTCAAAGCCCATATCAGTCTCCTCACAGTGCAACATGTGCATGCAACTGTCATTTTATGGCCACCTAATAGACACAAAGGGCCTTGTTCACACATAACTTTTAGTCACGCATTTGGTCAGGCCAAACCTCAAATTAACCACGAGTTGCCCCACAGATGATCTAACAAGCCATGGTTTGTTTCTGCAAAGCTCCGTTTGCTTTTCAGAAGCTCTTGCTTTGTGCTTTTATAGCTTAGGGAGCTTCTTGACAGGGTGGCCAAAAAAACCATGGTCAAGGAAGGATGCCAGGTTCACACACCCAATACCTAACTAGGCTCAAAGCAAACCAAGGTTCATAAACCAGTGCTGCTTTTCTTTGAGGCTGAATTAAAGCATAAGAATCCAGAAATAATTCTTGTTTTTTGTTTTGAGAAATATCAAGGCATGTAAGGAAATCAAAACCATGGCGCTTTTGCATTATGCACTGTTCAGCCCTGAGAGAGGAGCTGGGTGTCTGGGGGTGTCTTTTGCAAAAAAAAACACCACCAGTTTTCAAATAATCCAGAGTTGTGAATGTTAGGTTTGAACATTCCAGCTTTAAACTAGGAAACTTTTTTGAAATGAAATATAAGCTTAAGAGAAATGTGGGAGCCTCTTAGATTGTAAGAACCCCCTTTAGCAACGCACATTACTCCCCAATGCCTGTTTGGCTTTTCCAGAATAAAAATAATTATTCAGAATTGTTGGGAGTCAAGCATCAACTAGGGGGCTTAGAGGAATGGAGTGTTTTATTACCTGGTGAGCAAGGCTTCATCAGCACCCTTCATACTATTCCCATGTTGAGGAACACCTGCTTTTAAAAAGCTGCGTGGTCAGGCCCATTGCAATCATGCAGTGGAAGAAAAAGGAACTGCGGATGCACATCAGCATGTTGAAACAGCACAGAAAACCTTTAGAAGCGCCTCCACAGGCAACAGAAGAGGCCCTGAAGCACAGGAAATGACATCAGGGTTCCTAGGAAGGTGCCAGCTTCCATTTCCCTCATCATTTCCCCAGCCACACCCTGAGCAGAGAGAACTGGAAGAAGATTTTCACAGACATTTCACGTTCTAGAGTACAACAGGGCAAACTTAGCTGGGCAAACATAGAGGAACCACTCTTGCTTGCCTCCTTGCCTTCCTGAAAAATCTTGCACAATATTGCTAGGGATATCAGAGAATTCAAATGAAAGCAAAAACACGAGTGGAAACTGCCAGTATTCAGTTATTCATCCTATGTCCAGAACGGAAATCAATTAATAGAAGCGGTATTCATGGTTGTGGATCCTTTCAGCCTGCAAATGATAAATAACTGATTACATTCCTCCCCACCCCATTTTCATGGTGTTTCCTTTGCAATGAAACAAACAAAGTGGAATAACATAACAAGATCAAAATGCATGTAATGACTTTAGCGAGTTATGTAACTCTGCCGCAGCAGACAGCGAGACCAATAATGCAATATTTGGTGGAAGATGAAAAGCAGCAGAAAAGAAACAGTGTTGCATGCAATAGAGTGTGGAATAAAAAAAACCCCAGTGCCTTCTTAACATCCCTAGCTATTGCTAAGGGAGATAAGAGACCCATGACACTCCAGCTCTAACCAGTGTGCAGAAAACTGAATTCTGCATGCAGCAATTGGTGCCTTCATAAAGTACCCAGCATATGCTACGAGCTTTGCAAAAACAGAATGGACAGATCTCTGACTGCAGGCACAAAGAAGGATAAAGCTAAAAGAAAGCAACGAAGCGCATTAGAAGTGCAATAATTAACCTCCGAGTAGGGAAAAGATCAAAGAAACCACACAGAACATGAAGAAGAAAAAGGAAGTTTTTAATCATTTCTCAAAAGTGGGACAAAGATGCCAAAGAACATCACAAGAAGGATGCTTATTCCCACAGCCACTTTCTCATGGGCTGGGGAGCTGCAGGGAGCAGGCTTTCCCTCGCAGTGACCCAGGAACCGATGATCATGCAAAGAGGACGTCTGCACCCGACAAGCTGCTCAGAGTGGGCCACGGAAGTAATTTTGGCTGCCAACCTGGCATGCAATTTAGACTGCGCAAATCTTACTGAAGCCAATGCCCACCTTCATCCTGACAGATCCCTTCTCCCCCAACTGCCCAACAGTAATACAGAAGCAAAATGCTTATGAGGAGAGACTGTCCAGCAAACCTGCAACAGATGTATATTTGGCTTTCATTACAGGGAATCTGCCTATACACTTACCCAGAGTTCTGAGATGCAGGAAAGCCAGTGACTCAGAGCTAAATTTAAAACATGCCTCCTTCTTTGTTCAGCTTGTCAGCATCAGGAAATGAATGGGTAGAAGCTTATTAGAGGCTCCAAGAGAGACATTTGTCTGCATTGTGCTCAGATTATGCTTTTAGCCTACAATTCTGCATCTCTCTGTGGCAGTAAAAGCAAGGAGAATGCACACACTTCTTGTTTTTAAGTGGTGCCAGTAGCTCCTCTCTTTTGCTTCAGAGACTGCTACAGAAGACACCCACAGCAGCAGGGTGACAACAGAGAAGAGACAAAAGGACAGGTCACATAATTGGGATATTTGCATGCAAAAGGTGGCTCTGTTACTATACTCCTCATCCTTAATTGGCATGAAATCGCCTCTTAAAGAAACCTGCTAAAGACAAGGACATGGGACCAAGTGACAGAGCATCTACAATTCTATGATTCTGTGATTCATCTAGGAATCATCCACATTTAAAGTCTAAGCTGTTTGGGACACGACTATTCTGATCAGGAAGTCTTCAGAGACTGACTCCACGTCAACCACTAAGATTCTGTTAAAAGCAACTGAGGAAGGTAAGAACACAGGAAGCTGCCTTGTTCAAGTCATACCATTGGTTCACCTAGCCCAAAATGGTCTATACTGACTGGCAGAGGCTCTCCAGGGTTTCAGACAGGAGGTCTCCCCCCACCCTGGAGATGCTGGGGACTGAACCAGGGTCCTTCCACATGCAAAACCAATGCTCTACCACTGAACTTTGGCCCTTTCCACAGATGTTGATTGGGGAAATAGTAGGGATCCAGATATACAAAGGGTTTAGCTCAGTGGTGAAGTGCATGCATGGTCTGAAGGCGTCCTCACAGTCCCTCACATCCACACTTTGAAACAAAGAAAAGCCAGGTGGGAGGTGATGGGAAGGCCCTCCACTGGGAAGCCACTGCCAGTCAGAGTACACAATGCTGGATTAGATGAGCAAATAGATGACCCATTACAAGACAGCTTCCCATGGAATACCTGAGTGGTGATTTCAACCCAGACTTGTCAGGGCCAATATTTTATCACATGGGGTTAGGCATGCTCTTCCCATGCACTCTTTTCATCTTACGTCTTCATTAACCTACCTCACAGGGTTTTCGTGGGGAAGGGGAGAACCTTGTTCACCACCTTGAGCTCCTTGGAGGAAAAAAGACAGGATATATATAAACAAAGGAGTGAAATACTGTGCAGAAGACTTCACCAACCGGGCAGACTTCACGTTTTGGATTACAACTCTCATCTGCCCCAGCCAGCGCAGGGAGTTGTAGTCCAAAATGTCTGGAAGCCACAGAGTAGGCAAAAACTTTTGCAAAGCATCCCTACAGTGGGAAGACATTGAGTAGCACCCCTCCTTTCCACTGGTCGTTGGCACACACATCTCAAGATTACATTGGAAGAGCCGGGACAGGAGAAGTGCCAACCATGGCACCAAACAGAACGAAATAATATCTCCCAACCATAACTGAAAGAGGGGACATTCTAGCTGAAATCACAGGTGGGATTAAAGCCCCCAAACTTGTTGGTTCTCCCCACCAAAGCACCAAATTGGAAAACATCTAAGTGAAGAGTCACACACAGTCAACACATCTCAATAAGGGTTTGAAGAAGGAAAATGACCTGATGGCAGAAAGCCTCATTAAGTTGCTAAGCAGAAAGCAAATTACTATAATCATCTTGAGCAAGAGAACCATGGGCAGTAGCTATGCCTTTGGATGAGTCAGGACAGTTGCCACAGGAGGGCAACTATGCAACAAAGGAGGGAGTTGGGAAATGCATTAACAGACTCTTTCTGTAACAGGCTATGCAGAAGGCAGATTTTGTGCTCTTGCTTTGAGTGTTTACCTTTCTAAAGGCAGACAAGAGGCTACCTGCCTGAGCAGGTACCCACCACTTGCTTGCAGAAGTGTGTGTGTGTGCCTCTATCTCTCTCTCTCCAAAGTAAGATCTCCCAAGCAAAGAAAAACAAGGTAGAAAAATAAACAGTTGACTCTTCCAGAGTGAGCTGGCATAGGAATGACCTTTGGAGCACTACAGTATACATTTGCAGGCTGTTTCCTTCCATTCTTATATCCAGTCACAACAGTGAAACCATATCAGAAATCATATCTCCCTTATCTTTGTAGGACAAACGATGTCTGCATCTCATGCAGGAAGAAGTTTATATTGCAAAAGTTGACCAAATGCAGTTCCCACATAACATGTTTGAAAGGGGGCATTTCCTGCTTTTCAATACATCCAGTAATTTTACTTTTTTAAACCTTAAGAGTGAAATTGACAAGTTTAGACAGTTCCATCAATCAAGTGAATGATCAGGGAGAAGGAAAGCAGCTGGGACTAGGAAATCAGAAACAGTAAAACAAAAGCCCAGTTCTCATAAACATAATATGAGGTGGAAAACCTCAGTCTGGTCTGGACTGCTTCACTCTGGAGCAAATATATATACTGCATGAGAGCTATTAGGGTGCTAAATCTATCCTCCTGACATGCTACTTTTTGACATCCAGAAATTCCCCTCTCCCAAAATATGGGAGCCAGCCTTCACCCTCAGTCTAAACTGGCAGGGTACAAAGAAGATCACCACCTCATTGGTCGGTCTCTGAGAAGCAGGTGATAAAAATGAACAGGTTTTTTATCCCTGTGGCCAGGCTTCCACTGAGACACATCCCACCTGTGGCACATGGGTAAAGACAGTAGTTCAGGGCTTGAGCACAGGTCCGACCCTTGGCATCTTCAGGTTAGAAAAGGATCAGGCGGCAGTAGATGTGAAAAGATCCCTCTGCCCAAAACTCTGGAGAGAAGCTGCCAGTCAGAGCAGACAACACTGGACTCAATGGACAAATGGTATAAACAAGTTCTTATTTCCTTAACCATTATTGCAGCATAAACTTTAATAATAAGAAGCCTACTTCTTTGGAAGCAGAGGCTAACACAGAATGTATGCATCAGTTTCTGAATATATGATGGGCAGGATTCCTGCGTTCCGGGGGGGTTGGACTAGATGACCCTCGGTGTCCCTTCCAGCTCTACAATTCTATGACTCTACATGCATGCGTGGAACTTTCTCATTGGATTTCCCACCACCACCAAGTATTCAGAGTAGCCTATTCTAAGAGGAAACGGTCTGAAACATTTCCAGTTCCTTTTCCTGAAATTGTTTATAAAATGATCCACTAGCCCCTTTTAAAGCTACTGTTTGTTTTGAACCTGGTTTTCTTCTCCTGGGTATCTCCCAGAAGGAAAGCAGTGAATTCCAAGAAGTGTCTCAGCATGGTTAAGAGACTCAGCCTCCAGAAGAGAGCACTAAACATAAATTATCAGTCTGAATAGTGAGGATTGCTGCTGCACTGCTGGATTTTATTCCAGATTTTTTTCCAAGAAAAAGAACAGAAGATTTCACTCTCTACTCATCATTTTGTCTCTGCTTGGGATCTGGATGTAAGTTCCAGTTTTTAATCCTCCCATCCTCTGGCAACTCAGGAACAAAATCAGGGTGCCTCTGAATGCCAGATGCTGAGGACACAGACAGAACAGGAGGATATGCCTTGCTTGCCAGCTTTCCAAAGTCATCTCTGGTTGACCACAGCTGGGGAAAGCATGCAGGACTACAGTCTATCCAAGATGGCTTTTCTGGGATGTTTTGGCCATTCAGCTTCCTGGTGAATCTAATGCAAAGTCCTTAGGACCCACCTTATCAATTCAGGGATCAGTTTGTTGGGGGTTAAACTTCCCATTTATACATGCTCTCTTCCAAAAATATAAAAAAGGAAAAATACATCAGAGCAGAGAACACCTGCTGATAACTAGCTGGCCAAAATTACCTGGAAGCTTGCAGAATGGCTTGGAAACAGCTAATGTTTAACATGGCTCCTTGAGTTACCTCAGTCTAGAAGCTCCAAATGTTCTTCAGGTTTTTTTTAAAAAAAGGTAAAATCCATGCTGCTCAGAATCCTCTGCAGATATGGCGGCACAGTGTAAATGGCTACTTACTTTATGGGGAAAGGGGTTTTTGGTGTTTTGCAATAACGCAAATCTGGGTGTGCCTCAGACTCTAGCAGAGGCCAAAATAACTATTATGTTCTCAGAAGACCAATGTCTGGCAACCTTTATTTATAGATCTACATCGTCTGTTATTTAGGGAAAGTGACCTCACTTCTTTGAGGTTTTTAAATATACAATAACATCTGCAGGATAATCCACTGGGAGGAAAATCCATTCGCCCTCTGTATTTGTTGGCTAAAGGAAGGTGGGCAGTGCAGGAGTTGAGAATGAGCATGGTGGGTTGTTGTTTTTTCTTGGGATCCTGTACTTTCTTTTCAAACACCCACCCACACATATAGACACATGCCACTCCTCCAGAAGAGAAACAAAAAGAAAAATCTGCATTTAATTTTATTTAAAACCAGGGCAAACAATGTTCCCATGCATTTATACAGGAGGCTTGCAAATAGTAACTCATCTGGTCTCCTGTGGACATCAGAGTGAGCCTAAACAAAACAGCTTCTATAAATTGTTTGATTCTTTTCTCGCTCTTTTTGCCCTCCCTTCCAAGCTACTGATATGCCCAGCTAATTCACATACTCAGACAGCAGAAAAGAGCACAGCTTCCTCATACTTGTATAAAGCCCCTGCCACACGTACCAGATTTTATATACTGCATCTCTGGGATGATGCTATTTCCTCTACTGAGCTCCAAACAGAAAGAGATTGAAAGCAAACTTACTTTCATCCACAATCCAATAGTACATAGTTCTGTGCATACAATACCTGGGTGCATTAACCACCTGGCATAATTAAGGAAAGAACTTGCATGCAAACAAGTCAGACAAACAAGCAGGTTCAATTTAGGGTTTGTGCTTAACTGAATACATGGCTTAGGAGTTCAGTATTCTGCCCACCGTGCAACATATTGAAGCTGCATGTCACAAATTAACCAAATCTGACAGGTGCACCTGCAGAGTCACATTTTCCATGTGTTGACAGGAGAAATCTGTACATAAGGTTTCTCTCAGAGGCAGCAGTCACAAATGCAAATGGAATCATCCTTGTTTACTCAAGAGTCTGATGTTTCTCCGTCCTGGAGAAATGAAACACAGGGACACCCAACAGCTGATGCTAAATGGACAGGGGAAGGGAAAACTACATCCGCTTAAGAAAAGCAATCCTGACATGTGGAAAGCTTAAATTGTCACTCCTACATTGCCGTGAGAAATCACCACCCCTTTTTATTGTTATTTTAAAATGTATTTCTTGCTTGATCCCAAAAGGCTTAGCACGATTCATGTGCACAATATATGAATTAATTTTGAAAACCAATCCCCCCACTGCTCCTGAGTTTCTTCAATACTGGATTGTTAACTGTGTGATTTTGTTTTATTTTGCATTTTGTTTTACTGCCATTTCTAAAATTATGACCTGCAGTTCTGTTCTTACATACTTCTTTATAACCAGTATACTAATGTTAAGTGCTATACCAGGGGCTCCCAAACTGTGGTCTGTGAGTTTCACTCAGGCAGTCCACCACATGTCTGCATTAAAAATTCATACTGATTTTTAATTGTATTTTGAATGATAGAACAGCAGGGTTGGAAACAACCCAAATAGCCATCTACTCTAACCCCCTGCAACGCAGAAATTGCAGGTAATGAATGCAGGAGTTGTAATCCAGTGGTGAATGCTCAGCTTGTAAGCCAAGATGCTGCCCCACCCCCTTACCTGTTGGTGGGGTCGATCAGCCCCACCCAGTTCACAAGCAGCAGGTCCTCGCTGGTCAAGTATGTCCCGTGGAACATGCCAAACTTGCCCACGTGGCAGTAGTGCTGCTGGAAGAGGGCAGGAGGAAAGGAAGGCTGGGGGCAAAGGGCAGCAAAGGCTTTACCACGCAGGGTGCCGAAGCCCCCAGAACAAGACATTTCTCTCCCAACCTCACCCCCCCCCAAAAAAAATCTTTTATTTCTTCTATCGTGTTTTATTGCATTACCATCTGAATTCTGTGGAATCATTTGGCATCTAGCAAAACATGCTGCAATTGGCAGAACTGGGAGAAAAGTGGTTCACCATGACCATCAGCAATCTTCAAGTGGTAAAGGTCGAGGATTCAACCCAGGAAGGGCAGAGAATGGGAAGAGCCCATGCCTGAAACCCTGGAAAGCCACTGCCAGTAGACAAGCCAATGGTCTGAACATGGTACACAGCAGCTTCCTCTGCTCCAATGACCTCACTATCCACACATAAGAAAGCGAGGAAGGCTATCAGGAAGCCAGGTCACCAGACAGCAATGCTCATGACTGAGACACAGCAAGTGACACATGGGATTTAATCCATTTAAAGCAATTCCTGGTTATGCAAATGTGCCTTGAACAGGGGAAGTTCCTGGAGGACTGCGCCCAGCAGCTATGAGTAAGCTTTTCAAAAAGCCCATAAAAGCAATTGGCCCACCAGAATTCTCACTGGCTACATCCCAGACCAACTCATTTTTAAAAAGTATTCAGCAGCAGCACCTGAACGGTGTGCAAACCTTCAACAAGGCAGGAACCCACAGCAAGTTGTTGCAGAGTTCTCCATTCCTGGACATTTTTCGTCTTAAGCATGTTAGGTGGAATGATTCCTGTTCTGACAGCTGAATTACTCCTGTGAAGCACATTCAAATGAAGCCTGACTCCACAGAGACAAGTAAGCACTAGGCCTGGGCGATGTATTGATACATCTTCCAGGATCAGATGGAGGGCCAGATCGTGATAGCGTTTGACCCAGATATTGCAGGTATCTCGCTTGCCAGTCAGCTGGCGCCTTGACTTGCTTCTCCAGCCAAGCGGGCAGATTGCCTACTTCCTCCTGCTCTGCCTGGTGCCTCGTGGGGCCAGTGCCCCTTCTTCCTCCCTCCGCATGCTGGCAGCAGCAGGGGTGGTAGCAGTTTCACCCTGGTGCCTCGCAGGACGAGGACCAGTGCTTCTTCCTTTTCAACATCATCATGATGCTCAGCTGGTGATACATCACAACGTTGAGAACCTAGTATCGCCCATCCCTAGTTAGAATGTAAGAGTAGCCCTGCTGAATCAGACCAAAGGCCCCTCTACTGGCCAAGCAGATGTCCTTTATGGGAAGCCTGCAAGCAGGACCAGAGCACCAGAACCCTCTCCCCTCTTGTGGTTTCCAGAAACTGGTATTGGGAATCATGTTACCTCGAACCATGGAGACAGAGCATAGCCATCGTGGCCAGAAGCCACTGATTCAGCTTTCACTTCTCAAGGATGTGAAGGCTAAAGGTAAAGTGAAACAAGACTACTCTACCTGCATAAAATACTCATTCGCAGGCTCAGTGGATAGGGGCCTTTACATCTTTTTAAGTCTGCCGTCTCCAATGTTCCTGGAGTTCTGCAGCATTCCGAGTTACTAATTCAGAGCCTCATGTCTTCCAGATTAATCATTTGCAAACACTATTGCAGAGATGGTGTAGAAAGAATGCAAGCTAGCATATGCTGCTGGGTAGCGTGTGTTGCGGGTTCTTGACACATGTATATCACAAAGCAGCTGTCTGCAACATTTGCTGAGGGGAGGGGAAAGAAGATAACTTCTGGGACCATTTGCTCGAAAGGGACGGGTGAGAAGAGAACTCCTCATGTAGAGTTAAGCCAGGGAGCTAGCTCACCCTGTGGAGCTGAGGATTTATGAAAGATATGGGCAGACAACTGCTGCGCATACTGAGCATCATCCCACAATGTGTGCTAAGGATTTCAGAGCTGGGCAAAAGTTACATCTGAACAGGTGCCCCTCACCCTTCCAAGACCCACTGAGCAAAGCAGTTCTCAGAAGATTCATTTATTACATCTGTTCACCCTGCATCGGTTAGGTACTCTGGTATATAATCTAACTGCCAAATAGTACAGTTGCGACAATGGAATGCGCAGGTGCTTTTCTGCAGTGGGGTATTATTATTATTATCATTATTATTATTATTATTATTATTGCTCATCTCACTTCTATGCCACTTTATATTTTGAAGAACAAATCTCAAAGTGGTTTGCAGCACATTTAAACATCAAATAAAACAATCTAGTACAGTGGTACCTCAGGTTACATATGCTTCAGGTTACAGACTCCGCTAACCCAGAAATAGTAGCTCGGGTTAAAAACTTTGCTTTAGGATGAGAACAGAAATCATGCTCTGGCGGCACAGTGGCAGCGGCAGCCCCCATTAGCTAAAGTGGTAACTCAGGTTAAGAACAGTTTCAGGTTAAGAATGGACCTCCGGAATTAATTAAGTACGTAACCAGAGGTACCACTGTATAAAACAAACTCAAGCTCGAAGGAAAATATTTCAGATCCTTCTCTAAGTGGCATTTGGCTTTCCCAGTCACCATCCTGGCATCCAGAGAGCTCCATGTTGTCACAACTGGACCGCACCAGTTGCAGAACGGCTATTTTCTAACACTGCCCTGGAGATCCCACTGAAATGAACATACAGTGGTACCTTGGGTTACATACGCTTCAGGTTACATACACTTCAGGTTACAGGCTCCACTTACCCAGAAATAGTGCTTCAGGTTAAGAACTTTGCTTCAGGATGAGAACAGAAATTGTGCTCCAGTGGCGCGGCAGCAGCAGGAGTGGTGCTTTAGGTTAAGAACAGTTTCAGGTTAAGTACGGACCTCCGGAACGAATTAAGTACTTAACCCGAGGTACCACTGTACATTGGAAAGAAAGCAGAAAACTGCAAGCTGCAACATTGTGAGAATTGCTTATTTTCCTTTAAGAACTGGTGCTTGGGGTTGCTTGCCAACCTTTCTCTCCCCATCCCTTTTCCCTTTTTTGCCATGGTCAATAACATGCACCCTTAAGATGCCCTCCTTGATATTTGAAGGGTCGCTTCCCCTCTGTGAAATTAGGCTTGGAAGAAGCATTATATCATACTCAACAAAACTGGCCACGATTTGTTGACAGCTTTGTAAATGCGTCCATCTGCCCAAAGGGACTCTTCTACGAAAAAAGGCTGTCTTATTTTAATTTGCTGCTGTATGAACAGTTTTGGCAGATGAGCAGGGTTAAAAAATGCTCTAAATAAATAAATAAGAGGCTTTGGTGCCAATTAATTGGCTGAATTTGCACTACAACCTCGCAGTGACATTATAGCCTCACAACAACCCTTTGAAGCTGGTCAAGCCAAGTTACTGCCTTTCCCCAAAGCTTGTGAGCTTTAAAGTTTGGGGCAGCAGGGGCGGTGGTAGGATTTGAACCAACATTCCTGTTAACACTACAGTATAGTCATTCTTGTGTGGCCTGAAGTTCCAGATTCTTTATACAGCTGTTTGCAATGTGAACACTCACACAAACACACATGTGCAAACGCAGACACAGAGCTTCTGGAAGCTGCCACAGTAGCAGACAGATCCTTTCAGAGGCGACAGGAAGGGAGGTTGAAAGAATTGTAGCATAACCCCCTTTCATATGAGCACCTCGGCTCCTGTAAAGGAAATTAAATGCTCAGTTGAATCAACAGCCAAAATGCAGCAAAATGAAAACTCTGCACTTCCTGCACCTTGGCTTACAGCTGCATTCACAATTCCAGAGAGAGGGAGCGAGGGAGAAGGAGAAGTGGGGGGGGGGGGAGGACTGGGAGGTTCTACAGTTCTGCAACTCTAGCGCCCAACTTACCCCAGGTGTAAATGAGGTCACATCCACACCAAACATTTAAAACACATGGCTTTCCCCAAAGAATCCTGGGACCTGTAATTTGTTGGAAACTGTGGCTCTGTGGGGGTAAACTCAAGTTCCCAGCCATATGCTCTAAAATATATGGTGTGGGTCTGAGCAGAGAACACAAAATTTTTGCAAGGGGGTATTTCATGTTGAAGTCAGGTGGTTGTGTCCTCCAAAGTGAAGTCAGTGGCCCTTTTAAAGCCCGCTCATTGACAGATAACTGACTAATGGGACAATTTGACTCTTCTTTATAATTACAAGTTTTCCATAGGCTCTCTTAAAAACACCAAGACAGGAAAATGTTTTCAGCCTTAGCTGCATTTTACAGTATCCTCTGATATTCCACATCTGATTTTTGTCAATAAGGAATGAGGAACTGCATAGGACCACTATTTTTTGCCACAAGGACCATCTCTCCCAATATTAACCGTCCCAGACTCTGTTCATCATCTGAGGGCCTTCTTCATGGGCCTCCTCGTGAGCTCCAGAGAGTGGCAGCATGAGAATGGGCCTTCTCTGTGGTGGCTCCCCATTTGTGGGATGCTCTCCCCAGGGAAGTTTGCCTGGCATCTTTATTATATATATTTTAGGTGCCAGGCAAAAACATTCCTCTTCAGCCATGCCTTGGGCTTATTAATATTCTACAGCCTTTCAAATATGTCTGTGGGAAGTGGGGGTTATTGTTTTGCTGTTTTGCTTTTAATTATTTACTTGCTTTTATTCTCTGCTTTATTCTGTCAACCACCATGAGATCTTACGACAAAGGGTGGTATATAAATCTAATAAATAAATAAAAACTACCTGAGATGGTATATTTCAAAGGCTATGTTCGGCTCCCAGTCTTCATACATGGGACTCCCACGCAGCCTGCCTGCCCTCCAACCCATACTTCAGTTACGAATCACTGGTTAGCTGAACTTTAAAGAAGCATCCCACTTTAAACAGCCATGGCTTTTCCCCACCCAAAGAATTCTGGGAGTTGTAGTTTATTAAGTGTGCTGAGAGTTGTTAGGAGACTCATATTCCCCTCACAATGCTACAATTCCTTGAGTTCCCTGGGAAAAAGGATTGATCATTAAAATTATCTGGAAACTGTAGCTCTGCGAGAGGAATAGGGGCCTCCTAGTAACTCTCAGCACCCTCAATGAACTACAGCTCCCAGAATTCTTTGTGATACTGCTTTAATGGTATAGTGCAGAGGGGGCTATAGAACTGCTGTAGGAATCTTACAAGCATCCTTGGAATTATGCACATCGTTCGCTATGCACAATCGTTCCTAAACCAACGCTTCAATGCAGTAATGGCTCCTCCATCTGTTAATAGCAAAGCAGTATCGGGCGGAATCCTGTCAGCGTTCATTTGCAAGTTTAATTTATACATGAGAATGGAGAACAAGATTTCAGCCTCCAGACTTAATCTAAAAGCTTTGTTACAAGTAGCAGCATCCCTGGCTCCCTTCTAAAAGATCCATCTGAGATCCAAAAGTCCCATGCTGTACCGACTAAGCCTCTCCACTGAGTGAATGGAGTAATCCCCTGAGCACAGAGAGGAAACCGGTTATGTCTTGACATACAGAGAGCTATAGAAGCCCCAAGATCAGGGATAGAGGAATCTTTGGCCCTCCAGATGTTACTGGACTCCAACACCCAGCTGCCTCAGACAGTATGTCCAATGGACTCAAGGATTATTGGAACTGTAATCCCAACATCTGAAGAGCCACACGTTCCACATCCTTGCCCACGATTATAGGCTTGAGTTTCTCTGATGTTGTTTTCCTTGAGGCAAAGTCTCTGTACTTAAACTTTTAAGTTTCTCTGCACTGAATTCTCTGCAGTCCTAATATCTATGGTGACCTTTGCTTTTATACTGACAATTCTCTCAGTGTGTTATTTCAAATGTGATTCTTGCCTCCAAAATGTTAAAAACCTGTGACATCTGTTGCACTTCATAGCCTTTATCTGCAGAAAAGAGGAAGAAAAGCCCACAAAAAAACAACAGGAAGCTGAGTTTGGGTTGCACATCCACATTCCACTGGGATTATGCAAGATATAACAGCAACTTGATCTTGTAATTCAGTGGTGTTTGCTTGGGGATATATAAATAATACTCTGGGGCTGGGGAGAGTAAAGAATGAAAGTTCTAAAACACAGGTAGCAAATTTCCCAGAGGACTTTTCAACCTGCTGTAAAGAATGCTTAATTTCATATTTCAATGTTTTGATATACAACCCCATCAGCTCAATACCCGAAACGAACTAGTTTTTATCTTCATCACAAGCTCAGCATCTAACCTTAAGCGTATAATGTCTCTGAAACTGTGCCAGTTTTGGCATTTGACAGGAAAGCCAGAGATGCTTTCAATGCCTTCTTAAAACTGGGGGACGGGGTGGAGAGATAGAGACGCCAGTCTGAGAAATTGTCTAGCGCACAGATCTGTCTTTGCTAATAGAACAGTCATCTTGGAGCTAGGGTGTGGCTGCACATTCTCTCCAATAAAAAAGCACTACTACCGTTCTCAAAAGATAATAATGAATCAATGATGCTTCTGAGCCGCTAAGTGAAAATCAGAAGGGTCACCACCACATGGATGCCCAGGAGTGCTTCCCTTTGCAGCAGTAAAGGCTCAACAAAGCAAGTGTCTATTGGAGTCACTGCCCCAGGGATCCCTGAGCAGCCAGACCCATTGCAAGCCAATTCATCTTAATGAATCAGCCCATTCAGAGAAGACTTTATCTGGCAGAAGTGCAGTTATCTCCAAATGAGGGGCCCCATGGCAGGAGCAGAAACCCCCAGTTTGAGGAAGAAGTTGAGACAAAGCATGCTGGGGTGAGGGCTTCTCAATTTTTTTTTTTAAAGACTGCTTTAGTTTAATAAGAGCCACATGTGCTTTGAGAGGAAAGGGATGCAAGGAGGCTTCCCGGGATGTGCATCTTCATTGCAGCCAGGCTTCAGCCTGGAGGCTAAATCTTCCTTTCCTCTCCTCCTGCTGTGTCAGCTCAGTGGGAGGTTATTTGTCAGAGTGAATATACACCCCCTCCTCCAATTACTGGTGGCGAAGGCATGGTTGGCTTGGGGGGCGTCCTTCGGTTATGCCACAAACTGTCCCCCAGCAACCCCCAAAAAAGGCTGATGAGGTGTGTGGTGCCTTCCAGCAAGGAATGTGGATATCGGGGCAAAGGTGTGATAGTAAAATAGGACCCTGTGAAGGAATGGATGGGGGGGAAAGGAGGGGGAAAGAGCAACAAAGAAAATCAAGTTGAGGTTCGTGCAAAAGAAGAAGTTTTCCTCCCCCACTCACAGCATTAGGACTTTTGGACATCCCATGAAGATGAATGTTGGAGGATTCAGGACAGGTGAAAGGAAGTCCTTCTCCATGCAGTGCGTGGCAGAACTGTGGAACTCCCTCCCACAGGAAGCAGTGAGGGCCACCAACTTGGGGGGCTTTAAAAGGGGATTTAAATAAATTCACGGAGGAGAAGGCTATTAATGGCTACTTGCTTAGTGGCTTTGTTCTCCCTCCGCCGTGGTTTGAACTGCTGTTGCGCTGAGGTCCTCCATGTTTGCTTTCCATAGGGATCTGGATGGCCACTATGAGAACAGGATGCTGGACTAGTTTGGATGGATCCAGCAAGACATTTATGTTCTAATGGATTTGCTATATACAAAAAAAAGGCAATAGATTTAAGATTTGACTTTACAAAAAACTGTTATAGTCGCAAGTATTAACACAAAAGGTTTGATGCATCCCTAGCGGAAGAGGGGAGGCATGATGTTAAAAGAGAGGTGGCAGCAGTTTCATGTCCACACTCTTGCAGGGGCAGAGGCAGCACTTTTGGAGTTGCAGGGGAGGCAAGGAAGGAGGGGGGCAAGAAGGTAGACAGAGGGTATTTCAGGTTTATGGTACAGCAACCACTAAGTCATATTGCACCACAAGTACCAGAGTTGTTTGTGTTATCTGCATGCCACCTTTTGCCCTGACTGGAACGCAAGAAGGTTTACACCAATTAATTAATTAGAACTTACTAGTTAAAAAAAACTAATCTATTAAAATCCTGATAATAAAAACAGCACGGCACTGTTAAAAGCCCTTTCCTTTTTTAAAAAAAATGCAGTCAGTTCCCAAGAGCCTGACAGAATGAAACAGGCTTTACCTGTCAGCAGAAGGACAACAAGGAGGGAGCCAGTCTAGCTTCTCTAGAAAGGGAGTTGCGAAGTCTGGGAGCAGCCACCAAGAAGGCCCTCTCTCACGTCCTTACCAAGTGGGTCTCTGAGGGTGGTGGGACTGAGAGATGGTTCTTCCCTGAAGATCCCAGAGCCTGGGCAGGTTTGTATGGGAGAAAATGGTCCTTCAAACAGCCTGCACCTAAGAGATATATGGCTTTATAGGTATTAACCAGCAGTTAGAATTGCACTTGGAAACAGGCTGGGAGGCGGTGGATCTGCTGTAACAAGGGAGTAGTATAAGCTCCCAGTCACCAATTTGGCAGCAGCTGTTTGAGCCGGCTGGAGTTTCTAAGCTCTTTTCCAAAGGCAGCCCCATGCAGAGTCCATTACAGTAATCCAAACTGGATGCAAGGAAGGCGTGTGCCACTGTGTCAAGAGTTTTTGCAAACGCTGCCAAGTTCTTTTGTCAGTGACTTGCTCCCAATAATACAAACAGCCTTTTAAAAAGAAGATGACCAGCAAACCAAACTTGAGAATCCAGATGAAATGTCTCAATCAGCATTGGTCACATCTGTTGTGACCAACACATTCAAGGCATTGTTACACCACTTTAACAGTTACAAGACTTCCTCCAACTCTCTCGGGAACTGTAGCGTGTTAATGGTGCTAAGCATAGATAGCTGCATAAGGGGTCTCCTAACAACTCTTGGCGCCCCTCAACGTACTACAGTTCTCAGGATTATTTCGGGAGCAGCCATGACTGTTAGTGGAATAAATGGTGTTTCTGTGTGCTCTGGCACTTGTCATGATGTCCTGTTGCACCAGAAGCAGTTTAGTCCTGCTGGCCAAATGACCCAGAAAGCTGTCCGCGGACAAACACCAGCTTCTTCAGCCTGAAGCGATATGAGTGCCACAACCCCATAGTCGCCTTTAACTGGACTTAACTGTCCAGTGGTCCTTTACCTTTTACCTAAAGTGAAATATGAGATTTTTTAAAGGTATGCTGTGGATGAGACCATTATCACAAAGAACTCAGGCGTGATGCTGAAATTAGTTCCTTAATACCACAGAAATTCAAAACACAACACAATTAGAAAACTTGTTTGTTTGTTTCTAAAGTGAAGTCTTATATGTCCCTGAGCCCCAAAGCAAGTTTCTGTGTGCCTCCATGGCCTGCCCCCTTTGAAATCCACAACATCCCCCCCCCACAACCCAGTTCACAACAGTCATAAATGTGTGCTAACCTCAGATAACAACAGCAACGAACTTGGGGTGACACCAACAAATTAGAAACTTCAGCATAGTAAGGCTACACCTGTTTTCACACCACATTTGAAGCACATTATTTCCCCAACAGAATCCTGTGAACTGTAGGTGGTTTTTCTTTTAAGGTAAAGGTAAAGGGACCCCTGACCGTTAGGTCCAGTCGTGACCGACTCTGGGGTTGCGGCGCTCATCTCGCTTTATTGGCCGAGGGAGCCGGCGTACAGCTTCCAGGTCATGTGGCCAGCATGACTAAGCTGCTTCTGGCGAACCAGAGCAACGCACGGAAACGCCGTTTACCTTCCCGCCGGAGCGCTACCTATTTATCTACTTGCACTTTGACGTGCTTTTGAACTGCTAGGTTGGCAGGAGCAGGGACCGAGCAACGGGAGCTCACCCCATCGCGGGGATTTGAACCGCCGACCTTCCGATCGGCAAGTCCTAGGCTCTGTGGTTTCACCCACAGCGCCACCTGCGTATTGGCAAGCACTAGGCTCTGTGATTTAACCCACAGCGCCACCCGCGTCCCTGGTTTTTCTTTTAAAGGCTGCTGCAAAATGCAGTTCCACAATGGTTAAATTGCGGTTCCCAGGATCGGGGGGAGGGGAAGTTTGCATCAAATATGCTTTCAGTCTATGGTGTGTACATGGCCAAAGCATGGAACAAGGCGTGTTGAAAATACCTGATGTCCACTTGAGGATTACAGCAACACGTGTTTTGATGCCAAGGCACACATGAGGGCAGGGCTTTCCCGTCAGAAATGATAGGTAAGTCAAGTCCAGAGAAAGTACATCCATTTCTCTGGGGGACATACCTGCCTATTCGCGAGTGGGGGCCTTTGATCAAGTGTGGCACACGAAGGGAAGCGAAGGGGAGATCCCAAGAATCAAACCAGGCATTTGAAACTTAAAGGGTGCTCTGGCTGAAACTGAAGAAGGGAAGAGGAAGGTGAGGAGGCTCCTGACAGACACTCTGCCTCTCTCTGCGCAGCCTGGAAATGGAGCAGCTGCAAAGTGCATTGCAATACTCTTCCCCATTCAGCACTTCCCCCAGGGAATATGGAGCCACTTGCAAGTTGAGATGGGGGGAGAAGCAGAAGAAAGGCGAGTTTTGGAATGTGTCTCTCACACACAAAAATTGGTGAACATAGGAAAAGTCAATGAGTCACGCAGCTCAGTCCAGTTAGTCACTGGGACATGTGAAAGGTCTGCAATTCACTCAAAAAGGTCTGCAGCTCACACCCACCCCCTTGAATGGCAGCAGGCAGAAGGCCACATGCAGCCAGGCAGTTTAGCGTGCCCACGTGCAAACTGTTGCCAGCTGCTTTTATGTCCGTTGAACAGAGGGCCCCAAAATTAACCTTACAGCCAGCATTTGCCCTGTGCACTACATTTCTCAGTGGTAGAACCAAGCAGGTTGGAAAGGCAGAGGCACCACCTGCCTATGGCTGGAAGCAGGGCAGCTTGTAACTTTCCACTCACCTGAGAATCAGCAGCAAGCGAATCAGAAGCAAGAGTCCAGTGTGCTAAGCTATGTGATGCTACAAGAGGCTCTCTCTCCCACTCCCTCTCTGTCTAGTGTAGCCTCCACTGGGCTGCTGTAAGAGTGAGATGAGTAGCCACCCATGCAGGTCTTGCAAAGGGTGGGGCCAAGGAGCCAGCTACAGAAGAAAGGGGGAGGGCAAGAGCAGGCGCGCTCACATCTGCACCAGTTCTTTAAAGCACATTCTTCCACCTCCCCCAAAGAACCTGCAATGCTAAGAGCTCTGTCTGGTAGCCTGTCATGGCTAGTGGAAATGTGTGCTGTGGGAGTGCCCATAAAGAACAGCAGATAACCTGGGGGGAAATGAGGGGCGGGGGCGAGTGAGCTCCTCTCCCAACACACTTCATGCTGCTTCACATGCACTTAGTACTGAACATGCAACCCACATGGAAGTGGTCAGGAGCAATGAGCATCCACACTAGTTTTCCATAGCATAGATGGGAACTAGGAAACAACGCCCCCCCCCCTTTTCTCAAGCACGTGCGACAAGTTTTGTAGTCTGAAAGGCCCTTTTGGAAAGGGACGTACAGACACTCCCGGCATGTTCCCAGATCCCTTGCAAACGGCAGTCTTGCAGAGGAAACGCGTTAGGACACAGGAAGCGCCGACTTGGTCTACGGGCCCATCTGGTCAAAGTATCCAGAGGTAGACTGCCCCTGAACATGGAAGCCCCGCGCAGCCACCGAAAATAATTGCCGGCGACTGACCAACCACCCGCTTCCGGCACTAATTTCTCTTACACCCACGCGCCCTTTCAAAGCCATCGAGCTTAGAAGCCCCGTTGCATATTGCAGCAGTCCTGGTCAGTCCGTCTCTCTCTCTCTCACTGAGGAGCATTTTTCCCTTCTGGGGAAAGCATGACCGCCGCCGCCCCAACCAACCCAAGGATCAAGAGTACTTTGGCGGCATTACCTTGGAGAATTTCTCTTTGGAGCAAGCGCGCTTGGCGCCCCAAGCCCCCTGCCCTGCAGCAGCCCCCTGGAAGAGTCCGGAGAGCACCCCACCCCCGCCTACAGCAGGCCATCCTCCCAGCTGGCCTCGCTCTTGCTGCCCAGCCCGGCCTCCTGGCCAGTGGCCCGAAGGAAGCAGGGCGGGCGAAGCCCCCACAAGCTGAGGCAGGCGCCACTAATAAAGGCACGTGCGCTTCGCTTGCGGGAGGTGGGGCGGAAAGGCTCCCCAAGTTCTGCCAGAAGCGGCCGGCGGGAAAGTTGCGGCGCCAAAGGAGCCCCCGAGCGCGACCCCACCCCCGGCCTCGCTCGCTCGCGGGGACACTCACAGTTGTGCGTTACGCTCTCCGACTGCCTCTCTCGCTCGCGCTCTGCTCTCCGACTGGCACCGCGGGCGCTTCCCAGCTCCCTAGACACCTCCCCAGCCCAGGAGCATCGCTCGGCCCTCCCGCTCCCCCACCCGCTCTTCAAGCGCCGAGGTCCGCCCCTCAGCCGAGGAAGGATTGGGCCGAGCGCCCGCGCATCAAGGCCGATCCGGGAGGCGATTCGGTGGCAAGGAATGTCTGTTACTCTCCAGAGGCGGGGATTGGAGGGAGGCTTGCCCGCCCAGGTAGAATTAGTGGTTGCTCAACTCTTAGCGGTGACTCCGAAGCTGAGGGAGCCGAGCCCGGTTGAGTTAGTTTCACGGACTGACCCCTTGGGAATCATCAGGCGCTGCAAACAATATATGCTAAATGCAATTGCATGTTAAAATGAGGCATGATTTTAAAATTAAACACACTTTAAGTATTTCTGTCACAAGGAAGTTTTCCCTGCATGTCTCCTGTATCTATGTTCTCATGCATATGGAGATCATGTGAGTGTGCATATTTGCCGTTTGCAGCTGTTTATAGGGGTCTGTGTGGCGTGTGAAACAAACATGGGATATGTGTGCATGAGATGCACATGACTGCTAAACTGGATTTTTTATTTAATCCCACTGCACATGGGATGTCAGCACTATGGGCTTTTCTGGGGTAGTACCGGGCCTTTTACAGTCTGGCCTGAAAGAACAGAACCAACAGCAGCTCGCTGTGACTTGTTTGCAAAGCATTTTGAGGACAAAGTCATTTGCATCCCCCTGGAACTTGACCCTGCTGTTACAGCAGATGAATCTCAAGGGCGTCCAGAGCACAGGACTAGTTATGTTGGATGAGTTTCCTTTAGTAAGGCTCAAGGATGTGGACAAGGTGCTCGGATCAGTCAGGGCGACCACTTGTACCCTGGAAACTACATTCCATAACCTCTCCCACACTGCCATTTCAATATTATATTATAACATAACACCAAACAAAACAAAAGGTTGGTACCAAAGCAAGGTAGAAGCATGACGTCTTGAACTGAGGCAATTCTATTACAGCAGGCAGGTTTCATATGGCATAGACCTGCCCATACACATAGGGTTCAGAAACTAAACTGGAAGCAAAAAATGCTTTGGTATGACATTGGACCACTGTCTTGCAGAACTATCAGTAGTTTGTGGGTTAAAGCTTTAGGTTTATGCAGTTAGATTAGATGAGTGGGGAGTGCCTGGTGTTGCCTGGGGAATCTGTAGAAACCAAAAAATATTGCGATTTTCAAATGGCCAGTGCAATTTGTGAGATTGGGCCCATCATGCTGAAAGCATGAAGTCATGCCAAGGTCTCATTTTGGTTCACCATTTTGAACCAAATGGCACCTGGCACCCTAATGTCAATGGAGACTACCACCCCCACTTTGGGAACCTTCATAACAAGTTTTGTGATTATACCTTGGGAGGCAGCCAAACCTATGCCACAAAATGGGCAAAGTCACACCAAAGTGATGTTTTGGTACACCATCTTGATTCAAAATGGTGCCTGGCACCCAAATGGCAAACAAAGACCGCTACCACCACCTCAGGGACCCTCATGGCAAGTTTGGTGACAATATCTCAAGAGGCGTCCAAACCCATAAGGAACAGAGGGACAGGCAGACAGACAGACAATCCATTTTCCAAAATATACAATAGATTAAAGCACACTCCCCTTCATGGATCACTGCCTTGCCGTGGCGAAGGGGCTTGAATAACTCAGAGAAGCTATGAACTATGCCGAGCAGGGCACCCAAGATGAACAGGTCATAGTGGAGAGTTTTGACCAAACGTGATCCACCTGGAGGAGGAACCGGCAAGCCACTCCAGTATCCCTGCCAAGAAAACTCCATGGACAAAGACAACAGGCATATAAAAGTTATGACGCTGGAAGATGAGCCCCTCAGGTCGGAAGGCGTCCAACATGCTACTGGGGAAGAGCGGAGGGCAAGTACAAATAGATCCAGAGCTGATGAAGCGGCTGGGCCAAAGCCGAAAGGTTGCTCAGTTGCGGATATGCCTGGAAGCGAAAAGAAAGTCCAATGCTGTAAAGAAAAATATTGCATAGGAACCTGGAATGTAAGAACCATGAACCTGGGTAAATTGGATGTGGTCAAAAATGAGATGGCAAGAATAAATATTGACATCCTGGGCATCAGTGAACTAAAATGGACAGGAATGGGTGAATTCAGTTCGGATGACCATCACATCTACTACTGTGGGCAAGAAACCTGTAAAAGAAATGGAGTGGCCCTCATAGTCAACAAAAGAGTGGCGAAAGCTGTACTGGGATGCAATCTCAAAAATGATAGAATGATCTCGATACGAATCCAAGGCAGACCTTTTAACATCACAGTAATCCAAGTTTATGCACCAACTACTGGTGCTGAAGAAACTGAATTTGACCAATTGTATGAAGACTTACAACACCTTAATAGAAGTGACACCAAAGAAGGATGTTCTTCTCATTATAGGGGATTGGAATGCTAAAGTAGGGAGTCAAGAGATAAAAGGAACAACTGGCAAGTTTGGCCTTGGAGATCAAAATGAAGCAGGGCAAAGGCTAATAGAGTTCTGTCAAGAGAACAAGCTGGTCATCACAAACACTCTTTTCCAACAACACAAGAGATGACTCTACACATGGACATCACCAGATGGGCAGCATCGAAATCAGATTGATTATATTCTCTGCAGCCAAAGATGGAGAAGCTCTATACAGTCAGCAAAAACAAGACCTGGAGCTGACTGTGGCTCAGATCATCAGCTTCTTATAGCAAAATTCAAGCTTAAACTGAAGAAAGTAGGAAAAACCACTGGGCCAGTAAGATACAATCTAAATCAAATCCCTTATGAATACACAGTGGAAGTGAGGAACAGGTTTAAGGATTTAGATTTGGTGGACAGAGTGCCTGAAGAACTATGGATGGAGGCTCGCAACATTATACAGGAGGCAGCAATGAAAACCATCCCAATGAAAAGGAAATGCAAGAAAGCAAAGTGGCTGTCCAATGAGGCCTTACAAATAGCGGGGGAGAGAAGGCAAGCAAAATGCGAGGGAGATAGTGAAAGATACAGGAAATTGAATGCAGATTTCCAAAGAATAGCAAGGAGAGACAAGAAGGCCTTCTTAAACGAGCAATGCATAGAAATAGAGGAAAGCAATAGAATGGGAAGAACCAGAGATCTGTTCAAGAAAATTGGAGATATGAAAGGAACATTTCGTACAAAGATTACCATAATAAAGGACAAAAGTGGAAAGGACCTAACAGAAGCAGAAGACATCAAGAAGAGGTGGCAAGAATACACAGAGGAATTATACCAGAAAGATATGGATGGCTCGTATACCCCAGGTAGTGTGGTTGCTGACCTTGAGCCAGACATCCTGGAGAGTGAAGTCAAATGGGCCTTAGAAAGCACTGCAAATAACAAGGCCAGTGGAAGTGATGATATTCCAGCTGAACTATTTAAAATTTTAAAAGATGATGCTGTTAAGGTGCTACACTCAATATGCTAGCAAGTTTGGAAAACTCAGCAGTGGCCAGAAGATTGGAGAAGATCAGTCTACATCCCAATCCCAAAGAAGGGCAGTGCCAAAGAATGCTCCAACTACCGCACAATTGCACTCATTTCACACCCTAGCAAGGTTATGCTTAAAATTCTACAAGGCAGGCTCAAGCAGTATGTGGACCGAGAACTCCCAGAAGTGCAAGCTGGATTTAGATGAGGCAGAGGAACCAGAGACCAAATTGCAAACATGCGCTGGATTATGGAGAAAGCTAGAGAGTTCCAGAAAGACATCTACTTCTGCTTCATTGACTATGCAAAAGCCTTTGACTGTGTCAGCCACGGCAAACTATAGCAAGTTCTTAAAGAAATGGGAGTGCCTGATCACGAATCTGTCTCCTGAGAAATCTCTATGTGGGACAAGAAGCTACAGTTAGAACTGGATATGGAACAACTGATTGGTTCAAAATTGGGAAAGGAGTACAACAAGGCTGTATTTTGTCTCCCTGCTTATTTAACTTATATGCAGAACTCATCATGCGAAAGGCTGGGCTGGATGAATCCCTAGCTGGAATTAAGATCGCCGGAAGAAATATCAACAACCTCAGATATGCAGATGACACAACCTTGATGGCAGAAAGTGAGGAGGAATTAAAGAACCTTTTAATGAGGGTGAAAGAGGAGTGCGCAAAATATGGTCTGAAGCTCAACATCAAAAAAACGAAGATCATGGTCACTGGTCCCATCACCTCCTGGCAAATAGAAGGGGAAGAAATGGAGGCAGTGAGAGATTTTACTTTCTTGGGCTCCATGATCACTGCAGATGGTGACAGCAGCCACGAAATTAAAAGACGCCTGCTTCTTGGGAAAAGGGCAATGACAGGCCTAGACAGCATCTTGAGAAGTAGAGACGTCACCTTGCCAACAAAGGTTCGTATAGTTAAAGCTATGGTTTTCCCAGTAGTGATGTATGGAAGTGAGAGCTGGACCATAAAGAAGGCTGATCGCCGAAGAATTGATGCTTTTGAATTATGGTGCTGGAGGAGACTCTTGAGAGTCCCATGGACTGCAAGAAGATCAAACCTATCCATTCTTAAGGAAATCAGCCCTGAGTGCTCACTGGAAGGACAGATATTGAAGCTGAGGCTCCAGTACTTTGGCCACCTCATGAGAAGAGAAGACTCCCTGGAAAAGACTCTGATGTTGGGAAAGATGGAGGGCACAAGGAGAAGGGGACGACAGAGGACGAGATGGTGGGACAGTGTTCTCGAAGCTACCAGCATGAGTTTGACCAAACTGCGGGAGGCAGTGGAGAACAGAGGTGCCTGGCGTGCTCTGGTCCATGGGGTCACGAAGAGTCGGACACGACTAAATGACTAAACAACAACAACAAAAGCACACTCTCACTCCTGGCACAACAAGTTGACTATGTGTGTGCTTTTTGCAGTTTGGAAAGCGTTGGAGAAATGCACTGGGAACTGTGGGATGAATGAATAATGGAAAGATGTTTAAACACCACACAAGAAAATCAGGATGAGCATAGGATGAATACTCACTGTCATAAAACTGCCCTGTAAACGAATCAGAATAAATGACATCACATCAACTTTGTGCAAGCAAATCACAATGAATTCAGAATAAAGTTTTAATAGACTGTGGTGATGTTGTTTGCTGTTTCTGCTGCTCTTAGGCAGTACAGTGGTACCTCGGGTTACAGAAGCTTCAGGTTACGGACGCTTCACGTTACATACTCCGCTAACCCAGAAATAGTGCTTCAGGTTAAGAACTTTGCTTCAGGATGAGAACAGAAATCGTGCTCCAGCGGCAGGGCAGCAGCAGGAGGCCCCATTAGCTAAAGTGGTGCTTCAAGTTAAGAACAGTTTCAGGTTAAGAACGGACCTCCGCAACGAATTAAGTTCTTAACCTGAGGTACCACTGTAGATGGGTACTGCAAAAAGAACTGCAAGTGTTTTTGTGGGAGTGTGTTTATATTAGAATGTATTTTTTACTTATGCTTATGATTTAAATACATTGTAACTCACTGGGATACCTTTTATGGAGCAAGTAGTTAACAAGTTTAATGAATTAGTTCATCATGGTACCATTTGTGATGACTGCCCATCAATTGCAGGACTCTTTTCCATTGCAGACATACCAACACACAGTGCTTTTTTTCTGGGGGGACGCAGGGATATGCATACCCCTAAATATTTTGTGAATCTAAGTTTGGCCTCATTGAGGGGCAGTATTTCAATATGAGTAGGGAAATGAGAGTACCCCTAAATATTTTTTTAGGAAAAAAGCACTGCCAACACATCTTATTTTGCAATGCTTATTTCAGAAAGCCAGGTTCAGAGTTTTCTGAGGGCTCAGTTTTAATATTGTAAGGGTTCCAGCTATTTTACTTTAATTAATTGGTTTCATTTTATTTTATGTGTTTACATATCAGGTTCATTCCAACCCCAGGCAAGCAGTTTCACACATCCCCAGTTTCAGTGCGGAGCTAAGTGCATGCTTAACTCTTTCCCGTTGAAACCAGTGGGACTTCACAGTGTCGCATACAGTGCCTAGATTGTGACCATTTTTACCTGTATCAAAACTTTGGAATGGCAGGTGCACATCAAAGGTACCCATAACTCACTAGCTGAGGACTGAGAACGTTATTTCTCAGCTTCAAAAACTCTGATGCTTCGATGCAAGGAAATTCAAGACTCTGCTCTGGGCTCATGCCATTTTTCAACATCTTACAACTTCCTCCATTTGTTAAATATTTCACTGTTGTTTTGCAAATTGTTCCTTTCACTTCCTGTTTCTTAACCAAACGCATACTATATATCCTCTCAAAGCAATTGTTACTGGTGTTACTGGTCTGGTAGGGTGGAAGGCAGTGAGGCAGCCTAACATGGCATGTACATGCCCTGCAGTGTGCCCAACACCCTCTGCCACCCTCTGCTTAGCCCCTTAATGAGGAAATCTGTGGGTGCTTGGGCACCCAGGGCCCCAGGGAAAGGTCACCTATGTATGCTGGCAATATCTTGCACTTATGAGCAACTGAGCTGCCAAATTTTGCACCAGCTGCAACTCCCAGACCAACCTCAAGGGCAGCCCCCTGTAAAGCACATTATAGTGATCCAGCCAGTGGTTACCAGTGCATGCACAACAGTGGTCAGGCTATCCTGATCGAGAAACAGCTGGAGCTGAAGCTGGTAGAAGTTAGTCCCAGCCACTGTGGCCACATGGGCCTCTGGCGACAAAGATAAAATCCCGAAGCACCCCCAGAGCAGTTTCCCTCTCACAGAGCTAAAATTCCCAGCACACTCAACAAACTAGAGTTCCCAGTATTCTTTTGAGGAATCCATGTGCTCTAAATGCAAGGTGTGTATACAGCCCCATTTATCAACTTGCTATTGCTATCTGTGTGGGACATCTTCAGGAGAAGAGAAGACTAAGGAGTGAACCCTGCACAAGAGTGGAGACCCTAAGACAGTTGGGTGGCGCCTTGTATGCCTCCTTCTCAAAACTCCTGCAGCCAAGCTGGTGCCAAATGTCTTGCTCTGCTTTCCTTTGGACCACACTAGAGAGGCTGAAAGGGGGGGTCTTGTCCTCTGGGCAGTCCAGGACCTCTAGACACACTTCCCAAGCTTGTTCCCCAGGAAGGTCACTTCGGTGCTGCTAACACAGCAAAGACAACGCAGGAGGCAGAAGTTAGGGGTTACTGGTCTCCGCAGGCACAGCAGGCACTGTGATTCTCCAGCAGTTGACTTTGCCCCCAGAGGCGCACTCTATTGTTTTGCAAGACAGACGGATGCCAACAATGGCAGTCCTGTGTGTGTACAAATGTTGCAATGCCATGATAAGATACCTCCCCCCCCCCCAAGTTGCAATTGTGTGCTTTTCTGCTGTACAGGAATTGAGGACCAATCAAATCCCATCCCACCCAGCTGAGCTGAGTTGTAGACAAGACTGTGCTTTTAGCTCCTTTTTCTAAAATAAAATATTCAGAGTAATTTATGGCAAAACAAGCTTGATCTGCAAAGCAAACAGAGGCCAGAGGCTGTCACAGGCAGGTTGGGGCTGGGTGATTCATATCATCCCTTTCATAGATACAAAACCTCAGATGCAAATGTTCATTCCAGCTCAAGTGTGACTTGTTTCCTTCCTGCCTAACAGTCAGTGGCTGCAACATGATTTTGAAGAGTTTTGACAGGCAGGCACAATTTTTCTCTGCTGTGACATAAAATAATTGTAACAAATGTATCGGGAGTGGGGGAAATCTTTTATAAAAATTATCCAAATAAAGATCTCTATATAACAGATTTATGTTACAGGAAAAGAAAAGAAAAGAAAAGAAAAGAAAAGAAAAGAAAAGAAAAGAAAAGAAAAGAAAAGAAAAGGACCTGTGGCCTAGGACTCCGCTAGCATCCAACTCCCTCCCTACTTGCTTTTTCTCACCCCATAGTACAGCCTTTCCCCTTTCTATGCACCCTTATTTCAGCAAAAATATAAGTATTGATGAACTGGGAAAATAAAAATGCACCTCCCTTCATGCTCACTACATGTGAACAAGTTGCATACAGATGTAGACTTGCTATGGACAAATTCAATGATAGCTGGAATTCATTTTTATAACTACTATATTGGGATAAGATCTGGTTAACTACAATAACATTTTTTTGGTAATGTGTGCCTCCTCCTCGAGAGGTCCAGAGGGTGGCAACACAAGAACGGGGCCTTCTCTGCAGTGGCTCCCCGTCTGTGGAATGCTCTTCCCAGGGAAGTTCGCCTGGCACCTTCATTACATACCTTTAGGCGCCAGGCAAAAATGTTCCTTTTAAACCAGGCCTTTGGTTGACCTGATCAACATCCTGTACCGTTTTAAAATGCGACTCTTGGGGGGGGGGTTATTGGATTATTGTTTTTATTTTATATATTGTGAATTTTCTGTGACCTGCTCTGAGACTTCTGGTTATAGAGTGGTATATAAATTCAATTAAAAAAAATATGTCTACAATTTTTTGTTGTTCTGGCTCCCCCCCATACACTGGTACTATTTCTTCTTCTTTTTTGTGTTTTCCTACTCTGTGCACTTGTAATTAGGTATTTTCAATCTATCATCTATCTATCTATCATCTATCCACCAGCTATCTATATCAGGGTCAGCAACCTTTTTCAGCAGGGGGCCGGTCCACTGTCCCTCAGACCTTGTGGCGGGCGGACTATATTTTTTTTGGTGGGGATGAATGAATTCCTATGCCCCACAAATAACCCAGAGATGCATTTTAAATTAAAGCACACATTCTCCTCATGTAAAAACAAGCTGATTTCCAGACTGTCCGTGGGCCGGATTGAGCAGGCAATTGGGCCAGATCCGGCCCCCGGGCCTTAGTTTGCCTACCCATGAATGAACATGGGAAGTTGCCTTATACAGAGCATAGCTGTCAACGTTTCCCTTTTTTTAAGGGAAATTTCCTTATTCCGAATAGGATTTCTCACAAGAAAAGGGAAAAGTTGACAGCTATGATACAGAGTCAGACCTTTGGCCCATCTACCTCATAAGAACATAAGAAGAGCTTGTTGGATCAGGCCAATGGCCTGCCTAGTTCAGTTCTGTGTGAATAAGCACCTCCCCCCACCCCAATCTGTCCTGAATCTTCCAACATTCAGCTTCATTGGGTGTTCACTAGGTCCAATGTTATGAGAGAAGGAGACAAACCTTTCACTTTCTTCATGCCACGCATAGTTCCATAAACTTCTATCATGTCGCCTCGACCTGGTCTATACCACTGTTTTCCAAACTTGGGTCTCCAGCTGTTTTTGGACTACAACTCCCATCATCCCTAGCCAGCAGGACCAGCGGTCAGGGATGATGTGAACTGTAGTCCAAAAACCAAGCAGTTTGTAAAACACTGGTCTACCCTGACTGGCAGCCGATCTGCAAGCTTTCAGGCAGGGTTCTCTTCCAGCCCTACCTGGAGATGCCATTGGAGATGGAACCTGGGACCCTCTGCCACTGAGTTGCAGCCCTTCTCCACCTTCAGCTTATGTGGTGTATAGTTGCAGCCAATCACAATTTTCAGAGGCAGCTTTTCCTTCTCTATGCATCCAGTCCATGGTCCTGCAGAGCCATGGTGCTCGCATGAGTGTTTGGACAAAAGTTGCAGCAGCCAATTACTTTTGTCAAGATTCAAGAAACAGCTTAGCAGTGTGTGCTGCTGGGGCAAGTGTTGATGCTTTGCGAAACAAGATATAGAACTCATATGTGACAAAAGTTTGTGGAGTTGGGGGAGGTAGTTGCAGTTACGCTTTGTAGCATTGCCCCCCCCCCCCCGCTTATCTGTGCAGTTGCCTCTGTCCAGGCACCTCTGCAGTTGCTGCAATGTAGTGGTTGTTGCTGTTGGATGTTTGGAGTGTGTCTGGCGTTCTGCGCTGTGGCAAGGCACCTGTTCAGATTCAAAGTAGAGAAACATTCAGCCATGTGCTAAAGTCCTTCCTGAGTGTTCTGGGAACAAACAGCTTTGTGCAAAGTTTCACTTGTGCCCCAGATATTAGCAGCTGATGATTTCACACACACCCTCCCAGATGCTGAGAGGAATGAGCTGCCTTGTCAGCAGCTGCTTTGAGAACATAAAACCTTAGCACAGAAATGGCAGAAGGGGAAGGTTGCAATTAAGAGGAACAAGTGGCCTCAGCTGATTCCGCCCCCCCCCCCAAGTGCTTCCAAGCCTAGGTGCAGAGCAGCAGCTGTCATAGGAACACAGGGAAAGCCCTGTTGGGTCAAGCCAAACTGCCCACCTAGACCAGCATGCTGCTCTCATGGTGGCCAACTATGTCTAATGGGGGACGCCAGAAAGTAGGACCTGAGCCCCGTGGAGAGAAAACCTGGCCATCGTGGCCAGGAACCATCGATCACCTAGTTCTCCTTGAATTTGTCTAAACCTCTTTTAAATTCCTCACACTCCAGCAGCAGCATCTAGCTGTCAAGGAAATATCTGGCAATGCCTCAGAGTCACCAGTCTAGGGCTGGCACTCGGAAAAGAAAGCTAGAGATCAAATCTGGCCTTCACCTTTCTCTGCATGTGTTTTAAAGTCCTGGGGTGGGGTCGGGAGCTGTATACTGAAGACAGTTGCTGATGGTTAGTTTTAGTACTACAGTTTTAGTATTACAGTGGTACCTCGGGTTACAGGTGCTTCAGGTTACAGACACTTCAGGTTACAGACTCCACTAACCCAGAAATAGTACATTGGGTTAAGAACTTTGCTTCAGGATGAGATCAGAAATCGTGCGGCGGCAGCACAGGAGCAGCGGGAGGCCCCATTTGCTAAAGTGGTACCTCACGTTAAGAACAGACCTCCAGAACGAATTAAGTTCTTAACCCGAGGTACCACTGTAATTTTAAGCAGCCTTGCATGCATAATATAAATATGAATGAGAAATAAAGAACCCTATCAAAAATAGTGGCCCAACCACCTTACCCCCCTCACCTTGTAGGACTGTCCTTGGAAAATAGGGACACCTGGAGGGCCTGCACTAATTCAGCTACCCTTAGACCTGTTTGAGGAGATGGGGGGGTCATGCAGATCCAGAGGTATCTGGTTATCTACTATGGGAAACAGAAAGCTGAACTAAGTAGGCCTGGTTAACTAGGTGTAAACAAATCTGAGGAAATTTGGCTTTGAACCCATGGTGCTGGTATTCAGTGATACAGAGACCAAGTGGAAAGAGGAATTACCAGAGTTCAAGAACACATTCCAGACAGGCAAAATATACTGGGGGTGGGGAGCAAAGCCAGTGAGAGGTGTGGCCTGCGTAAAGTTCTGAGTGCCAGACCGGCGGGGGGGGGGGGACACAACGACACACATGTCCTCCCCCCAACCCTGAGGTTCCCTGCCCCTACTCCAAAGGCAGCCACCCAAAAGCATTTTTAGAGGCTTCCCTCAAAATGTCTTAGTCCCAACATGCTTCTTTTGTTTTCGCACTCAAGGCTAGCTTGCCTCCTCTTTCTCTTGCCGCAGGGGAGCAGGTAGATGGAGATGAGTAACTTTGTCACAATATTCCAGTGCGCAAGACCTCAGTCATGCTCACTCGTAGCTATGGTGTTTCTGGCTCATATTATCAGATGAATAAACCTTTAATGCATAGTGTTGGTGCATATTTTCCCATCGCAAACAAGCCAGCAACATTTGCTGCAAAATATAAACGCAGGAAGGAAGTGATTCTGAGAGGAGCTTGCATACAAAGTACTAGAGGGGAGATGGGAATGTGCAGAAGTTGCTTGTTGTTGCGCTTCACTGAGAGGCATAGAGAAACGAGCCCACAACAGTGAGAAGAATTGGTACAGTCATACCTTGTGTTATGAGGTATGACGGCTAACAAATTGAGGTTGAATCTTGACGAGACAGAAGCACTGTTTTGGGGGGACAGGAGACGGGCGGGTGTGGAGGACTCCCTGGTCGTGAATGGGGCAACTGTGCCCCTGAAGGACCAGGTGCGCAGCCTGGGAGTCAGTCTGGACTCACAGCTGTCCATGGAGGTGCAGGTTAATTCTGTGTCCAGGGCAGCTGTTTACCAGCTCCATCTGGTATGCAGGCTGACACCCAACCTGCCCACAGACTGTCTCGCCAGAGTGGTGCATGCTCTAGTTATCTCCTGCTTCCGTGTGGACTACTACAATGCCCTCTATGTGGGGCTACGTTTGAAGGTGACCTGGAAACTACAACTAATCCAGAAAGCAGCAGCTAGAATGGTGACTGGGAGCGGCTGCCGAGACCATATAACACTGGTCTTGAAAGACCTACATTGGCTCCCAGTACGTTTCCAAGCACAATTCAAAGTGTTGGAGTTTAAAGTCCGAAACGGGCACGGTCCAGTATACCTGAAGGAACGTCTCCACCCCCATCATTCTGCCCGGACACTGTGGTCCAGCTCCAAGGGCCTTCTGGCAGTTCCCTCACTGCGAGAAGTGAGGTTACAGGGAACCAGGCAGAGGGCCTTCTCAGTAGTGGCGCCCGCCCTGTGAAACGCCCTCCCACCAGATGTCAAAGAGAAAAACAACTACCAGACTTTTAGAAGACATCTGAAGGCAGCCCTGTTTAGGGAAGCTTTTAATGTTTAATAGGTTATTGTATTTTAATATTTTGTTGGAAGCTGCCCAGAATGGCTGGGGAAACCCAGCCAGATGGGCAGGGTATAAATAAATTAGTAGTAGTAGTAGTAGTAGTAGTAGTAGTAGTAGTAGTTTTAGTATTATTATACGTTTGCTTCATGATGTGGCTTTTCAGGTAACGAACATGGCTTACTTCTGGGTTAACTGTGCAGAAACAATATGCGTGCTTCACACACACGCAGAAGCACTCTATCGCGCTTTGCACATGTGCGGTAGTGACACTCTACTTACGGACATTTTGGGGTGCAAACGGCACCCTGAAACGGATTGTGTTCATAAGTAGAGGTACCACTGTATTTGCATGGTGATTGCTTAAACTGGGATCTACGCTACACATTTAAAGAACATTTAACACACATCTAAAGCACATGGCTTCCCCAAAAGAATCCCCACGGAAATACAGTTCCCAGCACCTATAGCATGTGATTGTTCCCAGGTTTCTTTTGAGGCATTGAATTCCCTTCCACACATGCAAATGAATCTCAATGCAGTCCATCAAAGGCAAACAACAAGGCCTGGGGCCCCTCAACCTTCTCTCATTGCCATGTAAGCCAACAAATGTATAGAAAGAGAACCTACCCAAATGATGCTGACATAAAAACGTCACATGTATGCCAAGTTGGAAAAATGAAAAAAATATGGATACCATATTGTCTGACATTGAACATAACCAAAAATTTTGGCTGATTAACATCCAATATCCTTTTAAATGTGTTGTGGGAGGTGGGGGTTCTTGGTTTGTTTCTGTTTCTATTATGTATTCTGTGTCTGTGGGTGGGGGGTAATCTTCAATTACTGTGTTGTGAAGCGCCCTGGGATCTATGGATGAAGGGCTGTATGCAGATTTAATAAGTAATAATGATGGTGAATGTGCCTTTTGTGCAGGGTTGTGGAACTTCAGATCCTGGGGCTGAATACACATTCATTTTTATTTATTATCTGGTCCCAGGACTCTTCTCAGGCCTCACTACTCACTGGCCCTGCTTTGAACCCCCCTTCAGTGTTTTGGCCTGGCTGGACTGGACTCAGAGGATGCCTCTTGCTTCACCTGGAGGGAGGATAGAGAGCAGGTGAAAGAATGTGTGTGGAAACTTGAGTGTTGCCGGGAACGGGATGTGGCTCTCAAGTTGAAAAGGGTTCCCCACTTCTGCATTAGTGATTTCAGTACTTGAAAGCACTGGACAGGTAATAATGTTTTTCAGCATTTTTTGTTTGGGGAATGAACAAACCCTGGCTGCTCAGGAAACATGTCATTCAGGTTTTGAACTTTAAAAAGAAAAGAAAAGACAGCACTGGCTGCATTGTTCAGAAATCACAGTTAATGGTTGTCCTCAGCTGAGCACTTTCCCCATCTTTTCTTCCAGGGAAAGCCATGCTTCCTATGCAGAGGTTGATAAGACTGTTGCAGGGGTCTTATCTGGAACTGAGGATGGATGGATGGGTGATCCTTGAACCCATTTGATCCCTCCCACTGGATAAGAGTGACTTGTGATTAAGAGAGGCTGATAAGGCTGTGGTGACTGTCAGACCACACTCTTATACACGGCTTGCCCCTCCCTCCCTCCTTCCTGCAGGGCCTCAAGAAATGTACTTAAAAGGTGATTAAAGAGAGATGAGGAAAGGAAACTGCAGGATGTGGCTTTTGCAGCTGAGGTTGCACTGCTCTCAGACAGCATTGCTTAAGCTGAGCTTTAGATGCTTGAAAAGGAGTTGTGAAGAAAACAAAGATTAACAGCACATTTCAGCAGACGGACACACACACACACACACACACACACACACACACACACACATATTTCCAGCCACAAGGGTCTTGCTAGATAAAAGAAGAAGAAACCTGTTTTGGAAATGAGCTGGACCTTGCCTCTTACAATTTTCAATGGCATATGATAATTAGCCAAGCTTAGTCCCCATCTTCAAAAAGGAGAAAAAAAATAGGATGCAGGCAATTTCCAAATGGTCAGCTTGACTTCAATATCAGGAAACTGCAGACCCTCCAAAAGCCCCTATTTTCCAGTGATGTTCCTGATTTAGAGAAGCTGTCCCGGTTTCTGATTTGATCCCAGCATATCCCACTTTTCCTTAGGATGTCCTGATTTTCATCAAAGAAATGTTGGAGGATACAGAGTTATGTTGGAAGCTGCCCAGAGTGGCTGTGGCAACCCAGTAAGATGTGTGGCGTATAAGCAGTAAAATTATCATTATGGAATGGGACATCCCTATTTTCATCAGAGAAATGTCGGAGGGCATGAAAGAACTGGGTTGGTAAAGGCTGCCTAGGCTGTAAGATTTCAGATATGGCTGATTTATGGCTCGGTACACATACTATATCTTTAAAGCACATTCGTCCCCTCCAAGAATTCTGGGCACTGCAGTTTGTTACAGTTTGGCACAGTGACTCTGTGAGGAGCGAAACTGCAGGTTATTACAATAATCCTGCCAAAGTTTCTATCTGTTTACAGTTTGTTTGTAAATACGCAACAAACCATTTCCATTCTTTTATAAAAAGTTTGTTATCTTTGATTTCTTATTTTTTTGGTAAGTTTTGCCATTTCTGCATATTCCATAAGTTTTTGTTTCCATTCTTCTTTTGCTGGGACTTCTGCTTTTTTCCATTTTGGGGCAAGTAACATTATTGCCACTGTAGTTGCATACATGAATAAATTTCTGTACAGTCTAGGTAGTTCTGATCATATAATTCCCAAAAGAAAAGCTTCGGGGTTTTTTTTTACAAACGTTATTTTAAACATCCTTTTCAATTCATTATAATTTCTCAGTAAGCTTTAACCTTACTACAAGACCACCACATACGATAAAAAGAACCTTCTTTCTATTTGCATTGCCAATACTTCATTGATTTTGATTTATACATTTTTGCCAGTTTACTCGGTGTTAGATACTAACGATATATCATTTTCATATAATTTTCTCTTAAACCATAACATGCTGTAAATTTTATATCCATATTCCACAATTGTTCCCATGCTTCCATGTCTATATTATGACCAATATCTATTGCCCAATGTATTATTGAGGATTTTACTTGCTCATCCTTTGTCTCCCATTCCAATAATATCTTATACATTTTAGACAACACTTTTACATTGCATTCCAACAGATCTCTCTCCTGTTGTGATATTTGTTCCCCAAACCCTCGTATCCTATCTTTCTTAAATACTTCATTCAAATGATGATATTGTATCCATGTTGTTAATTTTCCTGATAATTCATTAAATTCTTTTAATTGATACTCTCCCCCTCTAAGGCTGAAGACAATGTTGGTTTACAGAAAGTAGTTGTACTGGGTGTTATATTGGAGTGGATGAGTTGAAGAATTTTATATATAGTTGACAGATGAAGAATCGGAAGTTCAGTCATTTTTAACTCTATTTTTCTCTCTTAATTCCCCTTCTCTCTCTCTCTCTCTCCCCTCCCTTTTTCTTTCTTTTCCTCTGGATCTTTTAAATTTATTTTATCAAGATTAATTTTTCAGTCTGGACAAAAAAGATAATAATATTTGTATCTCTCTTTATAAAATCCAATAAAATATATTCCAAAAAAAGAGATCAGGGTAGGGAATAAAGATATACATTGGGATCTGCCACCCCTGTGGATCCTGCCACCTGAGCCTGTTGTCTCACTTTGCCTCATGGGTGAGCCGGCCCTGGTGTGTCCACAGCTTATATAACTGAGCAATAAAAAGAGAGAGATTTTACATTTTTAATTCTTTTTGGAGGGGGTGGAGCATATTTCTTATTGTAGACAAATGGATTAAGGAAACCTGGTCTATAGTAACAATGATTAAGTTAACTTATTACAAAAGAATACATATAAACCAGCATAACAGATTAATGTAAAATTTGGGGCAGGGTAGGAGGTTAGTGATATTTTGGAGCAATAAGTTTAATGATAATGTTCAATATACCCTCCAACATTTCTCTGATGAAAATAGGGACATCAATAATAATAATAATAATAATAAAAATAAAATAATAATAATGTTATTATTTATACCTTGACCATTTTACTGGGTTGCCCCAGTCACTCTGGGTAGCTTCCAACATATATAAAAAGATAATAAAACATTACATATATTAGTTTTTTCCTATACGGGGCTGCCTTCAGATGGCTTGGGGGTCAGATAACTCCATACCCTCTAACATTTCTCCAGTGAAAATAGGGACACCCTAAGGAAAAGCAGGACATTCTAGGATCAAATCAGAAACGGGGACAACTTCTGTAAATCCAGTACTGTCCCTGGAAAACAGGGACACTTGGAGGGTCTGCATTCAACCTTATGCTGCTTTCAACCTGCTATAACATTGTGAGTATTTCTTTATGCTTCACCCCATATTGTGTTTATTTTACTTAATCTAAATGAAGTAATTTTTGTAAATCACACACACACAAAAGAGAGAGCTTGTACATAATTAGCTACTCATTGTGTCATGATGATGATAATAATAATAATAATAATAATAATAATAATAATAATAATAATAATATTTTTATTATTTGTACCCCACTCATCTGGCTGGGTTGCAGCCATCCTTCTTGCCATTAATCTTCAGAATTGCCTTGACTTTTGCAAACCTTGCCAAGGCAAAACTGGGAAATGTTCCTTTACCTCTTGTCTATGATGTCTACACTGGGACCGCACTGTTTTCTGCCCTGGATTCATAACCAAACAGCTGCCAATGAGGATTCTTCTGGACAGTCCCCCTTCCTCACCCACAGCTTCCCTGGCCTGATAAGGAAGTTGGTTGAGTCATATCAGCCCACAGGGAAGTCCCTCGAGCGTTGAGAGAACTAACCCAGGCAGCTGGGTTGGGGGAGACTGTAAGCTTCTCCATTTTATTGATTCTCTCAAGAGACATTTAATAAATCCCATGAATACTGATGTGCCCAATTGTGAACGAACTTGGAAATGTTTGCTTTAATGCATGATGTTGTCAGGTAACTCCATGGATTAAAGGAAGTCACAGGGAAATGGAAGCTCTAAAATCAAAGCTTTCCACATTTTTCATGTTGGTGATACACTTTTTGGACATGCATCATTTCGTGACACAGTAATTCAGTTTTACTAGCAAACTGGAGGTTAAACTAAACCCTTTCCAGCTTCGGGAGAAGCATGGGGAGCATTTGCACAACACACCTACACACTGCAGCTGACGTGCTAACGTGTCGCGACACGCAGTTTGGAAACCTTTGCTCTCGAACAACCTTGGGTCCTCCAGATGTTTTGAACTACAACTCCCATCAGCCCCAGACAGCACAGCCATTTTGGATCATCACTTCCATCAGTCCCCACCCTTGATGCCATTTTGGACTGCTAGTTCAATTAGCTCCAGCCAGTACAGTCATACCTCGGGATGAATACGCTTCGGGTTAGGCAAATTCGAGTTGCACTCCGTGGCGACTCGGAAGTAACAGAGTGCGTTATACTTCCGGGTTTTGCCGCGCACGCATGTGCAGACCATCAAAATGATGTCATGCGCATGCACAGAAGCGCCGAAACATGACCTGCGCACACACAGACGTGCAGTCACGGGTTACGTTCACTTCAGGATGCGAACGGGGCTCCAGAAAGGATCCCATTCGCATCCCGAGGTACCACTGTACTAGCTAATGGGAACTGTACTCCAAAATATCTGGAGGGCACCAGGTTTGTGAAGGCTGGGTTTCAGCAACTGAGAAACATGCCTGCTTCCCCCTTTTAAAATATACAAACTAGGGCTGTGCACTGGGTCCAAAATCATATCCTCCAACACAGAGGTCAGCAACATTTTTCAGCCATGGGCCGGTCCACCGTCCCTCAGACCATGTGGTAGGCCGGACTATATTTTTTGGGGTGGGGGGATGAACAAATTCCTATGCCCCACAAGTAACCCAGAGATGCATTTTAAATAAAAGGACACATTCTACTCATGTAAAAACACGCGGATTCCCGGACCATCCACGGGCCGGATTGAGAAGGTGAATGGGCCACCTCTGGCCCACGGGCCTTAGGTTGCCTACCCCTGCTCCAACACATAGATGTCATATATACATCTGTCACCTTGAGCCAACTACAACCTCTCAGCCTGGCCTACCACACCTCACAGGATTGTTTTAAAGAAAAAATGTGTGAGGGGAGGGATTGTGTGCAACACCCTCAACAGATAAATGGTATGAAATAAAATTTTAGCTGTAAGCTGCCTTGAGTCCCTGTCAGGGATAAAGGTGGAAAATAATAGTAATAGTAATAGTAATAGTAATGGTAATAGTAATAGTAATAGTAATAGTAATGGAAACTATGATGTTGAACAGTTACATACCAGAGAGTAAATCCTGTTATCCCGTTTAACTCAGTGGGACTCAGTTCTGAGTAAAAATGCCTAGGATTGCAGTGTAAGGCTGCAGAGTCTTTGCCCCGTTACCTGGGAGTAAGCTCCATTGAATTCAGTGGGACTTACTTCTCGGCACACAGTGTAAAGCTCCATTTACAATAAAACATTTCACATATTTCCGTAAAAATGGCTGGCTTCTGAAGCATTGCAATTAAAGAATTAAAAGTGGATTGGTGGCATTTTCCTTCAAAATTATAGGAAAGGCTTCATATGCTGGCCTCACCATTTCCTTCACACCATCTCCTTCATTTGGTACGGGAATTTTATTTTCAGTATAAACAGGACTCTGTTTTTGCGTGTGTCCGTGCACACACACACACACACACACACTACTTTTAATTGTTCTCCAAGAAGTGGAGGGGAGGGAAAAGGGAAAACTGAGACATTCTGGGATCAAATCAGAAACTTGGACGCTTCTGTAATTCCGCCCCTGGAAAACAGGGACACTTGGAGGGTATGCAAACTGAATCAAGCTGATTTTGGGGGAAACTTGGCTTTGCCCAAGCTGGGTATAAGCAGCCCCAGAGTGCTGCAGACCAGGCCACGCAGAGTGATCTCAGTACAGCAAAGATGCCTGTCTGATATCAAAAGGCAAGGAGTTCCAAAGTGTAAGTGCCACCACATTAAAAGATAAATTTATTGCAACTGCAGGACGAGTATTATGTGGCACTTGTAATAGTACCAGTTCTGCAGATTGAAGTGGTTGAGTGGATATATATGGGGAAAGATGATTGGTTCGAAGTCATTAATGGCTCTGTATAGTAACAGTAACAAATTGGCAGCCAGATCTCTGAGCACAGGTGTTATATCTGCTGACAGTGTCTCCCTCCTGCCGGCAGCGGTGCTTCAGCATTCTGCCCTAGCAGAGCTTAGGAGATCCTATGCATGTTTATTTGGTGGTTTTGATTTAGTCCCCCAGTCAGTGGGCAGAATCCAGGGCTGCCCAACTGGGCTTCTGCTTATGCAATGGAATTTCACTTTCCTCTCCTGCTGCCCCCCCCCCCCCACCAGCAGATTTTGAGGCTGTGCTTGCAGTGGGTGGGAGAGGAAAGTGAAGCCCTGCTGCACAAGCGGAACTCCATTCTGCCCTGTGCATTGAAGTCTGCGGCCTTTGCCAAGCTAGGAAGACTTGTTTTTAGACTTGGCTGGGGGCCAAGACAGGAACTGGCTATGAGGTGGAAAACCAAAATTGGAACTCAGTATCTTAGTTCCATGTTTTAGTTCCATATTTCAGACCTGCTTCCTTATTTCTTATCCTTGATAATTTCTTGATTTAATATTCTCTTACATATCTCTGCAGTCATAGGACTAACAAGAAGAGAGGGAGAGAGAGGGAACACTGTGTTCACTGAGAAACAGAAGCCTGAACTAGTTGGATCCCTAGTTTGACCCAACAAAGCTGTTCTTATGTTCTCTCGCTTTAAAAAAAAAGTTGTAAGTTTCAAGGAGGGACAGGTGCAAGTATTGTAATGAGACCACAGAGCCTTGGAAAAACATTCCCCACAGCCCCGGTTGCAATCTGTGACTGTCAGTATTTTGCAAGAGGGATTAAAGCACATACTGGCATGAGCGTAGCCAGGATTTTTGTGGGGGGGACAGAACCTCGATTTCTATTGATTTTTTTATTGATTGGGGGGCAGCTGCCCCCCCCCCTTGGCCAAGCCCATGCATACTAGAAATTTGGGTTTCCTGTAGGAGCGCCTCTCCTATTATCCCACCCTCGGAAAACCTCCTTCATGATCAAGGTGTCTCCCCTGCTGTGCTCACTAGGCCTGGCCTCCTGTTTTCTTGAATAAAGAGTTAACTTCACTGATGATGTGTGATTTACTGCTGACCTGTTCCTGACCCGCTCCTGACATCTGACCACACTGAAAAGTACCGTATATGAAGGTGAATGCTGGAAGATTCAGGAGAGATGAAGGAAAGTGGGTGGGTGTATGTCTGATAAAAAATATTTCAAAGCATTTATCATATACATTTTTTAAAAAAGCATAAAAAGTTTCTTCTTGACTTCCCACCCCTTCTTTCCTGATGTTTGTTTGTCCCACTTTCATATTTCTTTGGTTTTCATTGGCATAAGCCGCTTTAAGACTCTAATATTCTAAAGTTCTTACATCAAATCCAGCTGAAATCTTGCAGTCAAATATCACATTCGTTTGAACTTGTTTTGATATGTGTGTGTGTGTGTGTGTGTGAGAGAGAGAGAGAGAGAGAGAGAGAGAGAGAGAGAGAGACTGCTTCCCTCAGAGAAGCAAAGTTACAAAATTAAGGAGTAGGAAATACTGTCTGTCATGTCATTTTTTAATTAAAAACCCTTTTACGGTGTTCAGCATCCCTCTGCTGTGTCTGCCGCTCTCTGGCAGCTGCATTAAATGAAGGGATGGATGAAAATATGTGTTTGGGTCCCAGGCAGGGGCTTAATATTGCAAGTAGTCCATTCAGATATGGAGTAGCATTTAATGCTAGTCCTACTCGGGGAGGGGGGTCACACTCTGAAATATACTCAGAGTCGCAAAGTGATTTCATGCTCTTTATTCGGCTCATAGTGGTGAGGAGGAATGAATGAAAGTCCCTTCAAAGTATCTGCTTTATATACATTATTTACAGAACGGGCTGCTCATGATTGGCTAATTCTGGAATTCTACTGTAAGCCAATCAGGTTGTGGATTCACTTATATCTAGAGCATGATTGGGTGGTTCCTGCCAACCAACTCAGTACATAACACCCCTCCCCTCTAAGTTCCAGTCCTGCCCGGGAGGTCGCATTCATAGTCCTCAAGGTATGCCGGCGGCCTACGTGTGTGTTGCGGCCTGGGGTGTTCCCTGGTCCGGGGTTCAGGTTCTGGCTCGTGTTCCAAGGATGCTGGCTGTGATGGGCCTGTTTGGTCTGGCGCAACCGGCTCGCTCAGTCGTGGTTCTGGTTCCGGTGTCCTTTCGACCTCGCAGGTCCTCTCTGTATTTACTGATTCTGCCTCTCCTGCTGGCCCCTCCTGCTCTATGGGCCTCACTGCCCCTCTGTTCCCTTGGGACTCCTCTGACCTTTCCTCCTCCTGGTTTTCTCCCGGGAATCGTCACCGTATCTGGTCGCAGTGGTGGTGCCAACATTGCCCCCCATCCGTTAGCACCTCGTACGACACAGGGCCAGTGACCCTGGTGACTGTGGCGGGTACCCATGCTGGGCCTGCCCCAAAATTCTTTGCGTACACTGGGTCCTGGGCCTCGAAGGTCCGGGGGGTTCCTGCCTTCCCCCACCACTACCTCATCCTGAGCTCTATCGGGGTGAAGGCGGTCCAATCTGATTGCAAGGCGCCGACCCATTAGTAGTTCAGCGGGGCTCCGGCCAGTCGTTGAGCTGGGGGTGCTGTGCTGTGCTAGGAGGAATGTGGCAAGGCGGTACTCCCAATCCCCTTGCGTCATGCGGCGGAGGGTGTCCTTGGTGGTCCGCACCATGCGTTCTGCTTGGCCATTGGTGGCAGGGTGGAATGGCGCTGAACGGATGTGGCGGATGGCGTTCTGCGCTGTGAAGGTTTGGAATTCTCCTGACGTAAATGCAGTCCCGTTGTCTGAGACGAGAGTGTCAGGGAGCCCGGGGGTTGCAAACAGCCTGCGTAGTACCCGGATGGCTGCGGATGTAGAAGTGGACGGTACCAGTGCGACTTCCAGCGGTGCGGCAGGTGGCAGTGCTGCGGTGCTGTGTGTGGCAGTCAGCTCAGCGGGATCCCACCTTCGTCGCCAGTGAAATATACTCAGAGGCGCAAAGTGATTTCATGCTCTTTATTCAGCTCATAGTGGTGAGGAGGAATGAATGAAGGTCCCCTCAAAGTATCTGCTTTATATACATTATTTACACAATGGGCTGCACATGATTGGCTAATTCTGGAATTCTACTGTAAGCCAATCAGGTTGTGGATTCACTTATATCTGGAGCATGATTGGGTGGTTCCTGCCAACCAATCATACTGCTGCATTGTTCTAGGACCAATCAGACTGCTGCATTCTGAATCCTATTGTTCTAGGACTGATCAGACTGCTGCAATTTTGATCCTATTGTTCTAGGACCAATCAGACTGCTGCAGTTTGGATCCTATTCAACTCAGTACATAACACACTCCTTGTTATGCACTCACTGCATTCCCAGTGCTGGGTTTTGTAAATCCATGTTCACATGATGTACAGTGTGTCTCCTGAACTTTGTTATAAAACACTACTGTTTGATGTGTTGTTTCTCAGACCAGCTTTGCTCCAGTTGGAGTGCTTAAGCGGTTCCTAATTTGTTTGTTGTGGGGGCACGACTTCATTGTACTCTAAGGCGGTGACGCAAACAAATCAAGATGAATGCTCATCAGATAGCCACTGTTAGCTGGGTACACACCATCACACTTGAATCAACCCCTAAAAAATGAAAGAATCGTGGGAACTGTAACTTGCCCCACACACAGAGCTACAAATCCCAGCACCCTTAACAAACTACAGTTCCCAGGATTCAGGGTTTTTTGGGGGGGTAATGGCTTTAAATGTATGGTGGGCATGCAGCTGTCGCTGAATCTCTTTGCAAAGTAGTCAGGATGGATGCTTGTAAAATAGCCAACGTTAGCTGCTTGCACACCATATACTTAAAGCATCTGGCCTCAAAAGAACCCTACAAATCCCAGCCTCCTTAACAAGCTGCAGTTCCCATGGTTCTTTTTTTGGGTGGGGGAGAGGTGAGTGAGCTTTAAATGTATGATGAGTGGTGTGTATCCATCATCTGATCTGTATGCAAACAAGTCAAGATTAATGCTCATTAAACAGGTTGTCTGGATGCTCATTAAACAGGAGGAGATTAAAGATTAATGCTCATTAAACAGGAGGAGATTGTGCAGTGATGCTCTGCTCACAGAGGTCTTGTGGGGGGGGGGGGAGCATGCTTCTTCAGTTCCAGTACCCATGTAAAGCAGAAGGTTATACAGACTAAAGGACACGCACACAAAGAGAGACATACACTTCCCTTCAGTGACCAGAATTACTACCCAACCCACCAAGTCTTACTCCTCCTCAGTTTCAGCCATGGGGTTGCATTCCTGTGGTTTTTCTAGCTGTGGGGCAGCTCTTGCTGCTGGCCATGCCTCCCTTCCACAGATGGCCTAGGAGATAGTGATCCAAGCAGTCTGAAGTGATAGCAATAATCTAGAATCTAGATCAGTGAGAAGGCTGATCTATAATGAAATACTGACTTTCAGGCATCTCTTGAGTAACTTTTTTATGCCAACAGGTCTCAGCTATCATTTAAACATTTCTTGAGCACCCGGACATTTTAATTATTTTTACTGATTTTAATGTCCACTGTCCATCTGCTTTTGTACATTGCTGTATTTTATTACATGCCCTAGCTTCTGAGAAGCCTTTCACTCAAACCAGTTAGACATAACATTAATTAGTACAGTGGTACCTTGGGTTAAGTACTTAATTCGTTCCGGAGGTCCGTTCTTAACCTGAAACTGTTCTTAACCTGAAGCACCACTTTAGCTAATGGGGTCTCCTGCTGCCACTGCACGATTTCTGTTCTCATCCTGAAGCAAAGTTCTTAACCCGAGGTACTATTTCTGGGTTAGCGGAGTCTGTAACCTGAAGCGTCTGTAACCTGAAGCGTATGTAACCCGAGGTACCACTGTAGTTTTATCCTTGCAGCTGCCCCAGTTCTTCTCATTCTGCAGAACTAGGGGGGTTATTTGATGAACTGCCCCTTAACTACTTGGTTTCTATTCTCCATGCACACAGAGCTGCTTTAATGTGTGTTTCCCCCCCATTATCTCCCCCCTCCCCCCAACAGCTCACAAAAAACCCCCAGTAATTGACACTTATTTCTCCACCCTGCATGTATGGAACAGACCCTGACAAATCAAATGACAAAGCATAATTAATCCCTAGCTGAACTGAACAGGGAGCAGCAGCAGGGGTAGAACATGCAAACAAGAAATTATTAGTTCAAGGTACAGAAGCCCCAGAACACCACAGCCACACTTTACCAGTCCATGCTGGGCAGGATGACATGGCATTTGGCTTTTGTTGCCAAAATGAAAAATAAAACACCACAAATCAGGCATGGAGAAACACAGGAATACACTGGGTAATGAATGATATTACATGGAGTTAAGAATAGCAATTATGGATAAAAGAGCTAGCATTTGAAACATTTGTCCCTTCCTTTTTCCCCAAGACAGGTAATGTTCCTACAAATACAATGGAAATTTTGAAAGGACCATGGGCATTTTTTCTCTTCAACTGAATATTCAGAGCTATCTGAAGAGAGGAACATACCAGGTCTTGCTCAGCTGGAGATGTCTTATTTCCTTTGAAGATATAATCTGATGAGAATTTTAGGCTGCTGGGTGGGGCAAAATTTGAGGATGGGAAAATGATATCACTGGCAGTCACATGGGAGGCTGCTGAAAATGCACACGGAGAAACAATGGGTCCTTGTACTGAGGGGACTGTTTGGCCTGCAGGAGGAAGCCAGTTGTTGAAAGGGAACATGAATCTGAGAAGGAACTTAGAGGGTGATTTCAACATCCAGCTGGAGCCCTCAATAGCAGTCACTAGTTTGGAGTTGGGGATCTTTTTCAGTCTTAAGGGCCACATTCTCCTCTGGGAAGCCTTCCAGGGGCCGTGTGCCTGTGGTGGGAGGGGCTACAAGTGAATGTGGGTGGAGTGATGAATGTAAACTTTGCTTTCCTAAGGGAGGCTGGTTTCTACACACGTTCATCTCTCCACTCTCTGTCCTTCATGACTCAAGGGTGCTAGGGGAGGGGTAGTACCTCTGGTGGGGGGCATGTCGTGCTCCTTCTGGGGTAGTTTGTCTGCCTTTGGTCACTACAGCTCTCACCTGCAGCTCTTAGAAACTGTCAGCCTGCAGCAGCAGCCACACCCCAGGAACAGCTTCAACTGGAGGGCTAAACCAAGTGAGGGGAGTTGATGGGTCTCAAACCTTCAGTGAGTTAGGGGCTTCCCCTGCACGCAAAGACAGTGTCAGGTACTGGCTAGAGGAGAAGGAACGGTGGGAGGCTACAGCCAGGGAACCCCCCAGGGAAGCATCAAAGTGGGAAGGCTCCAAGCCAGGAGACTGCTGGTGGGATGCAGGAGACAGGTCAGAAGAAGAAGAAGGGGAGCAGATGAGTTGGAGGCTAAAACAAGCAACAGGTTTAAGTGAGACTGAGGCAGCTGAGGAGGAGGTGGAAGCTGAGGCTGCAACAGATCCCCAGGCACCTGCCATGTCCACTGTTCACTTCTCCCCTCCTCCTTTGTCCCCAGGAACAAGGGAGGCATTACATGTAGCAGAACAAAAGGCACAGAGAGCCCCTCCATGGCTGTTGAGTCAGCTGACTGGGGAGGAGCCTTAGGATAGGGATGCCATATTTCTAAAAGTAGAAACCAAGACACCCTGAAAGCTGTTGAACTATTTTTAGGAAGACCCCCAAATTGTTGAGCTTCTTAAAGGAAGACCCAGAAGCTGTTGATGTCTGATAGCCCTACCTTAGGAGGAGGCTAAGATCCTCCGTTCTGGCAACTGGGGCTAATCCTGCCTGTGGAGTTTCTCTGTTGGGTTTTGTCTCTCTGAATAAAGAGTCCACCTTACTGCTCATCTCTGAGTTTCGGTGCTGAATTGCAACTGAATTAGGCCTGACATCCAGGCGACTGAGCAGATGAGACCACTAGGAGGTCCAACAGTCAAGAAGGCGGTTTCTGCCTGTGCTATAGAGGGAAGTGAAGAGCAGTGGGAAGGGAGCTCATTTAAGAGAAGGAGGTCCATGATCCTAAACCTTATTGATCCCACTTCCACCCTGAGTGGCAGAAGCTCTCCAAGGTCTGGAGCAGAGAAAGGCCTTTCACATTAGCTCCTACCTACATTGAGCTTCTAACTGCAGGTGCTAGGGACTGCACCTGGGACCTTCTGCATGCAATGCAGGTGCTGACACACTGAGGCTATGGCGCCTCCACAAAACCTTCAGTTATGGGCAGGAGGCACAACTCGGCATCATTATATCCCACCCTTCCTCCCGAAAGAGTCCAGGGCAGCAAGCACACAACAGTTAAACAACCAAAAATCTCTACTTAGAAGGCTTCTTGAAAGAGGAAGAGGAAGTAGGCATTGAAAAGACAGCAGAGAATGGACCCCCCTTAAGATGGTACCTGCAGGAAGCCATCATCTGCAGAGCAGAGTGATCATTTGGGTATATAAGGGGTGATAGGATTTTTCAGATAAATTGGCCTCAACCAATACCTTGAACTATCAATCAATATCCCCAGTCTCCTTTATGCGTCTGATGGAATAGGCTATGCCTGCATAAGTTTTTGTTATGTTGTCCTAAAATGCCACTACAGTGGTACTTCAGGTTACAGATGCTTCAGGTTACAGATGCTTCAGGTTACAGACTCCGCTAACCCAGAAATAGTACCTGGGTTAAGAACTTTGCTTCAGGATGAGAACAGCGGTGGCAGCAGGAGGCCCCATTAGCTAAAGTGGTACCTCAGGTTAAGAACAGTTTCAGATTAAGAACGGACCTCCAGAATGAATTAAGTTCTTAACCCCAGGTACCACTGTACTCTTTTGTCTCTTCCTTCTGAAGGATCCCGATGAACAAGCAAAAAGACCTTGAAAAACACCCACCCACAAGAGCATAAGACAAGAGAGGGCTGTGCACCACAAATCATCCCAAAATAAGTCTCCATTCCCCATTGATCAATATTGGGCTAAAAGCTATAGAACACAAAGCTAAATGCACCTAAAAATTGGTTTTGAAATAGCCTTGGTGGAGAAATCCTTTCCTGTCCTTAACCACAACATTTCTCATTTCCTCCCTTTCCATGAGGCCAGGTTGTTACAAAGTCAGCCATGTTGCATTAGCATCCTGTTCTGGGGTGGGGTGGGGTGCTGGATGAATGGGATATTGGTACCAAGGATCAGCCTGAGACTGAATGCCGAACAGCTGCCTTGTTCCTATTCCCTCATCCATCACTCATCTTCACTTTTCCACCTGCTACAGAGATGCTCTACTTCCCATTCTTGGATGGTGGAAATCATATTGTTATAAGTTTGGGGGGGTCAGTCTGGATTGTATTCATGGGTCCCTTCCAGGCCTGTGGTTCTGTATCCAGTGATGTTTAGAATCTAGTAGAAGATGCTGTTGAACCAGACAAGCTTCTTTGTAAGATAATGGCCTTAGCTGGCCATTTACAGTTAAGTACTTCCATTTACATCTCCGAAGAATTTGCTAAAAGAGACAAAGGGACCTTTCCCCACTTAACCTGGTTGGATGCCACATCATTCTAGGATGAAGAACAACAGATGGGGGTGGGGGGGTGGATTGGTTGGTGCTGGAGACTAGAGACACAGGCACTTGTCTTGCTCTATGCGGGACATAACGCATAGCATGGGAACCTAAAAAGATCTGTTGAAGTATTAATGCTGTGTGCCCCTCCAGCCTATGCTCAGGTTGCATATAAACGTGTAAATAAAACCATTTATCTGAAAGACCTCACCGTCTCCACTGAACTTCGCTCCAAAGAAACTGAACCTAGGGGAAGCACAGACCACCCAGAGATTAGGCTGCACTCAACAACTTGTCTAAAAGTGGCTCTACAGCAGCCCTAGCAAACTGTCTTCAGTCCTGGTTCTACTTTCACTTTCAAAGCTATACCATATAAGGCATTGTCAGTCTCTCCAGGATCATTTTTCAGCACATTTCCTCTCCTTTGAATTCTCATCAATCCTGAATACAAACAACTGTGTCCCAGTTAGACAGAGGTGCTGCTCACAGGCAGTGGCGTAGCGTGGGTTGTCAGCACCCGGGGCAAGGCAAGTAATTTGCGCCCCCTAACCCGTGAGCCAGGTAGGGGCAGAGAGCTGCGAGTGCGAGCACCCCCGCCCCGATGTTGCGCCCGGTGCGGCCGGCCCCCCCTGCACCCCCCACGCTACACCACTGCTTACAGGTTAGGCAGTGCTCTGGCAGTTAAGTATGTCTTCCCTAGTCCCTCAGCCTTGTGAGTTTGGGAGCTAGTCTGCAAGGGTGAAAATCTAATGGAGAATTCCATTGTTGAATTAACCAAGCAAGGGTCATAGTTGCCACCTATGTACCTTGAGGTTGCTCTGTGCCAGAGGGCAAATGAGGGTGGTCCTCCTCCTTCGCCTGGCTGGTAATGAGAAAGGAAAAAGGTCAGAGTTGTGTGAGAGAGCTGGGCTGGAAGTTGGCAGAAGTCACAGAGAGAGAGTCATGCCTGATTTCTTCTTGATTCGAAGGCTGTAACTGAAAGAAGCAAGACCTTCTGGGGCGTTAATGCTGTGAGCCTCTCCGTCTTAGGCTCAGGTTGTATATGTGTGTGAATAAACCATATATCATAAAGACACCACAATCTCTGCTGAGCCTCATTCCAAGGAAACTGAGTCCTGGGTAAGTGCCTGGGACCCCTGGTTTCTTGCACTGCTCAGAGATTGTGTTGGCATGCAACAATAGGGTAGAACTGGGGCAGCATCACAGCACCAAATAAAGCAGAATAAATCCACTTCTGCTGAAATTGCAGCAGGAACGTGTAGGATACACACACAATAAAACACACATTTTGGAGAACCCCTAACTCTTAATGTCTAAAAGTGCTTATGCAAACAGCTCTAACAACCTCACTAATGCAGCCCCTTCAGTCCTTTATTCTAGTTCCCCTTTCCATGCTGTACCATACAAGGCTTTGCTAGTATTTTCAGGATCATCTTTCACCACAATTTAGGATTGCCATATGTCTGGGGAAACCTGGACATGTCCTCTTTTTGGGGACCAACATGCCTATCTGGGTGATTTTTTACATTTTAAAGGAAATGTCCAGGTTGAGGGGGAGGTGTTGGGGTCTCGGGCTCAGGTGGCTCAGGATTGGGATTGGGCTGCTCTGCCCGCCATCACCCCTGCCAGCCCAAGCTGGGGAAAGGGGCATGGCAGTGGCAACCCCGCACACCTCTATTCCCAGCTCGGGCTGGCAGCGCCTCAGGCTGTCCTCTTTTTTTGCTTTCCAATATATTATTTAATTATTTATTATTTATTGAATCTATATACCACCCTATACCCACAAGTCTCAGGGCGGTTCACAGAGAAAAATGAGAATATAAAACCATAAAATAAATACAGTCGTACCTTGGTTTTCGAACAGCTTAGTTCCTGAACATTTTGGCTCCAGAATGTCGCAAACCCGGAAGTGAGTGTTCTGGTTTGCAAACTATTTTTGGAAGCCGAATGTCTGACGGGACCTCCATGGCTTCTGATCGGCTGCAGGAGTTTCCTGCATCTAATCAGAAGACGTGTTTTGGTTTCTGGCCATTTTGGAAGTCAAACGGACTCCCAGAACAGATTCCGTTCGACTTCCAAGGTACACCTGTAATCAAAATAAAAACAACCACCCAGTAACCCACAATTGGATGGCGCCATTGGGTTCTAGAATTATGGAGGGATGAAAAACTCCTTGCATTCCACTTTCTCTACACTATGCATGTACCCTGACTGTGTCCTCTGTTACTCATTTCCCCCCTAAACTAGAAAGCCCCAAATGTTCAGCTTCTCCTCTTCTGGGAGTTGCTCTATCCCCTTGATAATTTTGGTTGCCCTCTGCTGAACCTTCCTGCCCCCCCCAAAAAACCCCCCAGCTCTGCCTTCAACTGCAAATGTGGCAGACAATGCCTTCCCAGCCAAAAAAGTTCAGTCTTATTTTTAAGGACAGGAAGTTCTCCTGCAGGCCATCTGTGCTAAAGAGAGGGTGCAGATATAACCCTCCTTGTTTTGGATCACCCAATTTGCATAAAAATAAGAAAAGATTAAAAGTGTTGGGTTTTCCCCACCCCATGGAAAAGAATCAAATTAAAAACCCTCTCCTGAGCTGTGGCTGCTACTTCCTGAGCATGAGAGATGAAAAGGGCCTGTATGGATTTGGCAAATTCAGCATTCAGAGTTCGAGAATCACACTTGGCTCATGACCAAGGGTGTCAAAAAATAGCAAAAGCCAAACTTTTGGCTCAGAGTTGAAATGCTGACGTTCCTCTTCTCTATGACCTGCTGGTCAGCAAATGCCTTGACAAAGACCTGGTTGTCTAACTTTAGACCTTTCGCCTACACCTGCTATTCTAGGCTATGAAAAAACAGCAGCAATTCAGCCTTTGGCTCACTGCAAATCATGTGTGCAAATATAGAACCTAGCTTTTGGCTGCTTTGCCTCTGACTTACTTTGCAACTTCCTCTCCCCCCAGAGGAACCTTGCTTTGAACAAAAGTAACCCACAGTCAGTGGCGGAGCTTCATGCTCTGGCACTGGGGGGCGGAGAGCAGACGGGAGCAGGGCTGGTGCACGTCCTGGGCGCAGGGCGCACCATCTGCGGAACGCCCAACACGGGGGAGGGGGGCAGCCACCATGGCACCCTGCTGGGATTGCGTTGCCAGGAACGGTGCGCTCCCCCCGCACTCCTCTTCCTCCACCAGTGCCCACAGTGGAGGATCAACTTCACTTTATAAGCCCTGCCCCCCCACTCCACCCCACATATGGGGAAAATAATACAGTGGTACCTCGGGTTAATAACTTAATTCGTTCTGGAGGTCCGTTCTTAGCCTGAAAGTGTTCTTAACCTGAAGCACCAGTTTAGCTAATGGGGCCTCCCGCTGCTGCCACGCAATTTCTGTTATCATCCTGGAGCAAAGTTCTTAACCCGAGGTAACATTTCTGGGTTAGCGGAGTCTGTAACCTGAAACGTATGTAACCCGAAGTACCACTGTACTGTTATAACTGACCTCTCCTGAGGATCCCTTGCTGTTATTCTGTGAGGTCCAAAGCTTTTTGTGACTCCACCAAGCCCCAAACAATGTGGTCGTTAAAAAAAAAAGCCTGCACCCACTTTTACACTTCAGTGGCACTTACTCTGACATGTGCCCCCCCGAATGTTGACCACGAATCAGTGTGGCCCTCATCCTGAACTAGGGTTAGCTATCACTGGTCTGCCCCTTAACTTGGGAGTTGCTGGATCCACATTTCAAAGCCTGCCTGAAGACAGTGAAGCTTATTTTTCTACAGCTGAGGTGGGGGATCTGTCCCCCTTCAGATTTTGCTGGCCTCCAGTGCCCATGACCATCATGACCAATGATCTGGGATTATAGGATCTGGAGTCCAGAAACAGCTGGAGGGCCTGAACCTGAAATCAGAAGTGTCAATTTTTCACTGTAGGCCTGTGACATTCTGAACAAAGGGACAGTCTCTGCAAGAGTGCTCCAATTCTGAAGTGAAAAATATGGCATGCCAAACAATAGCTTGGGATCACACATCTACTCTGGAAGTCCTAAGCCCAGATGTGTGGGAGCTTGAAATATACTCGGAGTCGAGAGTGGATTTCATGCTCTTTATTCAGCTCATAGTGGTGAGGAGGAATGGGAGTTCCCCCAGTATGTCTGCTTTATATACATTATTTACACAATGGGCCCCACGTGATTGGCTAATTCCGGGATTCTCCTGTAGGCCAATCAGGTTGTGGATTCATTTCCACCTGGAACTGGATTGGGTGGCTCCTGTGGACCAATCAGACTGCTGCGTTCTGAATCCTATTGTTCTAGGACCAATCAGACTGCTGCCTTTTGGATCCTATTCAACTCAGTACATAACAGAGCTGTTTGGACTTACTCACTGATCAGAGAAAGGAGTTCTCAGCAAATCATTTTTTTAAAAAGCATTCCCTTCTTTTCCTTTTTTAATTTATGCAAGTGGGTTCTGAAACAAAATGTTGCAATGTGGCGAGTACTTATGCTCAGTGTTCCTACCCGCCCAAGGCCAGCCTAAGACATTTTGCTGCCTGAGGGAAAGGACAAAATGCACTGAGGTCAGTTGAGTTGTTAAAAAGGTGGAGGGCAAGGCACGTGACAGCTCTCTTTTCCCACAGAAGCAGCCTAGTCAGGAGGAAGAGCTGAGAGGAATATTTTGCTGATAAATCTCATGGTATTAATGTGCCTAGATAATTAACATTTTCTGTACAAGTATGAAATTGGTATTGTTTAAACAGTTGAACAAAAAAATATATTTCCTAATAACATCAACTCCGATTTGGACCTATTTATGGTATATCCTGAGATTTTGCCAAAAACATCTATATTTTGCATTATCCTCCAGACATGCCTGGAGTTGTTCAGTACCTGCTCAATCACCTTGCCCAGGAATGGAAAGTTTGAGACTGGACGATAATTGGGCATAATGGCCAGGTCCAAATATGTCTTTTTAATAAGCAGTTTAATAATCACTTCTTAAAGGGGGTCCGAGAAGACTCCCTCACAGAGGGAAACATTCACCGGCCCACAGAGCCTATTGTTCAGTCATGCCTAGTTCCCTTTTATGAGCTAGGATGGGCAAGGATCAAGGAGACAGGTGGTAGGTTTCACTCATTCAAGTCTGCCCACATCCTCAGAGGCAACAGGTTGTAATTGATCCCATACAACTTGTCTAGACCCAGTGGCATAGTGGGGTGCGGGGGCACAGGGGCAGTTGCCCCAGGCACAAAATTGTTAGAGGTGCACAATTTCAGCACCTGGTGCTGCCTCAATACAGCTGCACTCTTCCATCACTGGGGTGCAATGACAATGGCTTGTCCGTGCAAACAAGTAAGCGACCTCTCCAGACAATGGGATGACTCTTCTTTTCTTATCTCTTTGGCTGTGATCCCCTGGGTGATGTGGATGCCATTAGGCAGTTGAATGTGCATGAGTACTCCGTCTGTTTCCCTCCCTCCTACCCCCTCCTCCACGTGGCCCCGGGAACTGGCAAGCCATACTACGGTGTCTCTGACTAGGCAGAGCTCTGGCAGCCTCCCACCTCGGCCCTGCTACCATGGTGGAGTCTACCTCAAACCTGAGTGATTTTATCTGCAAAAAAACTTATTACAGGAGTCATTACAGGAGATCTTGGAGTTTTTATCAGACCCTGATGGTGAAGGTAGTTCTGTTAGACTATGAACCACCTGAAGGAGTCTCCTGGTTCTGTTTTCACCAACAGATCCAGCAACAGTGGTCCTCCTCGCTCCTCCTCCATCGCTATCTCCACTTGGTAAGGCTCTACATTGAGCTCTAACCTGTGTTTGGTCTCATTTGGAAGGGTTTTTCACCACCAGCACTTTAGTTGTCTCAGTAATTGTTTCATCACCCACAGCCCCGGGGCGGGGGGGGGGGGACACAACAAGGTGCTTTTTAAGGTTTGTGGAGCAGCGCACTCTTATTCCCCACCCCCAAATGTGTTTTCCATGTGTTTGGCTACCGTTTATCAGGTCTTCCCAGATGAATTTGCTATTAGAAGGAGACATGTGAAGCTATAATCTTGTAAAGAGATTCTGGAGAGAAGCACTGAACCCAATTTTAGCATTTGCTTTCTGTGAGAGGCACCCAGTGCTTGGTCTTACTAGCTGCAGCTCAATTTTAACTATGTTTACAGCAGAGGAGCAAGTCTTGGAGGGCCGGCATCCTATTCTACCTCTATGGGTGAGTTGGCATATTCTTCAAAAAGAAGAAGGGGGGGGGGAAGACTGAAAGGGAAGAAAGATTTCCTCTTCCCCCCCTTCTCTCTTCCAAAATAATTCTGAGCTGAGGTGGAGAGCTCTTTCCTCGCTCTTCCTCCTCCTCCCTTCCTTTTTTGTGGAAACATAACTGGCTGTGTCACCTTGCCTGTAAACCATACCTCCCTTTGAACTGAAGAAGATTTCCAATTGTGTTTGTGCCAGTTGTGGAGACTAAAAGCCGAGGACATAAATAAGCAAAAGGGAAATGACACCCTTCCTACCCACGCAAAAATGCAACTTTAATTTGTATGTTTGCTACTAGAAGTGATCGCCAAGCTTGGCAAAAGGGGTTTGTTTTTGTTTTTTTAAAGAAGTGAAGCAATAGCTCAGCCAGCTTCTGCTAGTGTGGGAGTCTGCAAGTCTTGGTATTCCAGGGATTTTGGCAAGTTGGAGTTGACTCCAGTCCATTTCCACCCAGGATGTAAGAACAGTCCTTCTGGATTAGACCAATGGATTATCTAATCCAGCACCTTGTTCCCCATAGTTGCCCAGCAGAGGCTCACAGCAAACCCATAAGCAGGACCTGCGTGCAACGGCCCTCTCCCACTCATATTCCCAAGCACGGTCAGCCATGTGATGAGCCAGAGTGAAGTAGCTGCCTCAGGCAGCAGATGCCGAGGTGAGGGGACCAACCTGTGAGTGCCCTGTGGCCTGTCCTATACCCCTACGTTAGCTGACTGCTCTGAAGTGCAGTGAAAGATCCTGTCCTTTCCAAAGTATTTGGAATAAGATTCAACAGTCTATCCAATTGGCTTCGGTATAGGGAAGGTTTTTTTAAATGTTTGATGTTTTACTGTTTTTGATGTTTTAATTTGCTGGGAGCACCCAGAATGGCTGGGGCAACCCAGTCTGATGGACAGCATAGAAATATCAACATTGAATTTCTCTGATTTCCTTTCAAAGCCATTAAAGTTGCTAAAGTTTTCAGTACCTCTGGGTGTAATGGGATCTGGACCATGAAACTCTCAGTTGGTGACTTGTGGGAGTCAGTCGGTAGCTCACCACACCTCAACCAATGTGATGTATCACCAGGCTTTACAGAACCCCAGCTGAGTCTTCAGAGATGTCCTGCTGCCAGAACAGCTTCTTCCAGAGTCCTCAGTTAAGGGGAAAACTCCTTTCCCGCACAGTTCCCCAAAAGTGTTTATTGTCCTCCCAGGGGCTTCTGCTTGCCTGGGATGCAGGAGAGCTGCTGCCCATCAATGTAGGTGATACTGGCAGATGATACGTTTTAGCCTTTTTTCAAACACCAACCTTGTCACCTTGCACAATTATTTTATATTGCTTCAAATGTCATTGCCATGTTAAAAGCCATAAGCCGCCCGGTGTGCTGGTTTTTTGCACCAGAAGAGCAGGAAACAAAGGTTTCAAAAAAGAAACAGATTGTGCTGATGTGCCACCGTAATATTTTACCAGAATTTACGAGCAGGTCAAAGAGAGCATATGTGCACCGATTTAACCTCCTTTGAAAATGACTTACATTTTGAGTATTTCCTCGTGAATTGTGACATTTATTGTTTCTTTGAAAGCAAAGATTTGGAGCCGCTCGCCAGGAGACGGTAGGCTGGCTCCTCACCTTCAGTGAAACCTAGAAGACCTCAGCAGCATGTATAAGGCTCAAGAAATGTTTAGGAAGCCCCATTCTGCGGCCAAAGGCCTTAGAAGTATTTTTTGGCACATTCCCAACCCCAACCCCCCAATTAGATGGGAATGTGTTGGAAACTAGATGGTTGGACTGAGACACCCTAGAGAAACTTCCCCCATCAACTGCTGAACGGCTGTTTATGTAATATGTAACAGCACAGGAACAAGAGGAAGGTTCAACATTCCCAGGAATGTGAGTCAATCAAAAACTGAAACTGCCTGGGGAAATTAAAAGAATGATTCATGGAAGAATCCTTGCACTGCCCAGATCCAGGAATTTTGGAAGAAGGAGGTGGACGACAGTGGCCTTGAGTATCTCACAAGTAACAGCAAGTCCTGTTGCCTCTCATCTGAAGAGCAGAGCGGTTGCGGTTTTCCTCCCCATCTCGGCACTGGGCTGAGCAAAGAGATTTCAAGCACTCTGCCCATCCCAGCGCTGTGATGGGGAGGAAATTGTCCCCTCAGCCCCTTGTCCTTTGCTGAGGATTTGACAGGAGAGGGGTTGCCAGCTGGTCACTGTGGTGCTCTGATGTGTGCATGTGAGGTGGGAGTTGGCAGTGGCCACAGCCAACACTGACACACTAGCCCCAGATGGGAGGCAGGGGGGCCCTTTGGCTGCGGGAAAAGGGTTGGTCACTGCTGCCATCTCTAATCCCAGTGAACCCAGACATGTTCTGCACCGTAATGCAAAGCGGTCTGTGCATCCTCCTCTGCTGCACCATCTCCGTTGTGGGTTTCTATCACAGTGTCAGAAACCCAAGGCAGAAACCCAAGGCAACCCCCCAGATGGTGCTGAACTGCAACTCCCAACAGCCCCAGGAACACAGCTGATAACCAGAGGTGGGGGTGCTACAGATTCACAACATCTGGATGATGTTCCCCACACCTGCTTTAAAGTGTTGCTTTCAGCTTCACAACAGAAGCACTCTCAACATATTCAGTTAACTATTTTATTTATTAATAAAGGAATATATACCACTGAATGACAAAATGTATAAGTGCACCCATTTACCATTGTGGGAGGTGTGCCCGCATAGGCCTGGTGGAATGAAACAGTAGGCGTTTAAAAGTTGGCACAGAAAGCACCCTCTTAATCTCTATTGGCAAGGAGTTCCACAGGTCTGGGCTGATGACTCTAAAGGCTCGGTTTCTCATTGCTGTCAATGGAGCCTCCACAATTCAGGGAATAGAAATGCATGCCCCAGAAATTTAAGAAAGGAGCTCTCAGGTGCATGCTTGGGTGAAAAGTGGGTCCTGCGTCTCAAAAGGCTAAACTTTAAGGGACAGTGGCTACCAGATTCCAAAGAACCAGTTCTGTCCGGGGGGAAGGAGGGAAGGCAGAAACCTCAACAGGATCCTGAGAATACTTCTCTGGATAGCTATGGCAAGGACTGCAATAAAACAGTGATATATGAAAGGAAGGAGCAACAAGTGATTTCTTAGCAGCAAGCTAAAGCCAAGTGCTGCTGATCTTCAGAAACCTTTTCACAGACTGTGCTCAGAAGACTAATCTCTATTCAGTACAAATACACATTATATTGCTGAACTTTTAAAATAATTATAGGAATATAACTGATAAGAGAAATATAAATGAAAATATATTCCCTCAGTTTTCTTTGTTTTTCTTCTTCGGGGGCTCCTCCTTCTCTTCCTCCTCTTCCTCCTCTTCCTCCTCTTCCTCCTTCTTCTCCTCTTCTTCCTCCTCCTCTTCCTTCTCTTCCTCCTTCTCCTCTTCTTCCTCCTCCTCTTCCTTCTCCTCTTCTTCCTCCTCCTCTTCCTTCTCTTCCTCCTCTTCCTCCTTCTCCTCTTCTTCCTCCTCCTCTTCATTCTCTTCCTCCTTCTCCTCTTCTTCCTCCTTCTCTTCCTCCTCTTCCTCCTTCTCCTCTTCTTCCTCCTCCTCTTCATTCTCTTCCTCCTTCTCCTCTTCTTCCTCCTCCTCTTCCTCCTCTTCCTCCTTCTCCTCTTCTTCCTCCTCCTCTTCATTCTCTTCCTCCTTCTCCTCTTCTTCCTCCTTCTCTTCCTCCTCTTCCTCCTCTTCTTCTTCCTTCTCTTCCTCCTCTTCTTCCTCCTCCTCTTCCTCCTCCTCCTCCTCTTCTTCTTCCTCTTCCTCCTCCTCCTCTTCCTCCTCCTCAAGTGAAAGAATAGCTGAGGGAAAAGCCAAAGAACCACCGGTTAAAACTGGTATATGGCATGTACAACCATAAACTGTATTTTCACAGACCCTCCAAGTGTCCTATTTCCCAGGGATGTCCCTGATTTAGAGAAGCCATCCCAGTTTCCAGTTAGATTCCAGAATGTCCCACTTTTCCTTAGGATGTCCCTCTTTTCATCAGAGAAATGTTGGAGGGTATGTTTCCATTATGCTGTACTTTCATTTTTTATGGCAAAAAATGGACACACAAGGAAGACAGCAAACCTTGGTGCCCTTCAGAGGCACATGCGCAGTCTGCTACTGGCCTCTGGGCTCCTGGGGGGAGGGATGCCACCCCTTCCACGCAGCGAAGGCGACCCTGGCATGGCTACCAGCTGCCCACAAAGGCGCACTGAACTGGGCTCCAGACTGTGGTGGGACTCCCCTAAGCCCCAGCCAACATGGCCAGCGCTCATCATGGATGCTGGGACTTGAAACCCAACATCATTGGGAGGGCCATGTCCCCGGAATTTGTGAAGACAGGATTCTCAAAAATACCTCCTGCTTGTGGCTCCTGGGGTACCGCTGACAGCTGCTGGAGTTTTTCTTCAAGCTCCTGGAGGTTCATAAGAAATATTTGCGCAGCCATAAATACTGTTTCTGCCGACGTCTTAAGGCCATCGAGCGCCTCCTTCATGTTTGCAACATCCTGGAGAGGACAGACACTTCCTGGTAGACATTTACTCCAGACATTTACAGAAGGCACAGAGGCGCTGGTTGAAGAAGTTGGGAATGAGCAGACGGTGCTATTACTGAGAAGGAGCTCCACCCCAGGGTGCTAAAGGCATCACAGGCAGCGCCCAGAGAGCTCTTTCCCTAGCCTGCAGGTGCCAGAAGGCCAAGCGCTGGTGTTACAGCGGTGGTACTTCAGAGCTGCTCTGGATTCTGGGTATATAAATGGCATTGCCTGAAGTTTTGGATTGTGCTCTGCATTAGCAGAGAGGCTCTACCTAGCTGCAAATGAGGCACATTTCAGCTATTATAGAAACCATTTTTCCATGTATGCTTGTTCAGGAACTACGTGAACTAGACAGCTACTGCTTTAAATTGGCCCTTTTTCTGGCAATTTAAACGATCCAACCAGATTAAGTTAACCTGCCACCCACCCTAGGGTTGCCATACATCCAGAATTTCCCAGACATACATGGAATACTGCTGTAGGAAGCAGTGTCTGGGCAGAAATTGGCAAAATGTCCAGAAAAATCCAGATGTATGGCAACCCATGTCAGCAGTGCTGTTTTTGGTGATTTTACTATAAAAAAGCTCAAAGACGTCCATTTTTTTTGCGATTTCCCCCAAAAGCTCAGCAACTCTTCTGGGCTTACCTCAGCAGATATCACAGCAAAAATTGGATGATCCCCATTGATTGGCACCTTGGATCTCATGGCCTCAGCTGAATACAAAACAAGTTATTTTACATCTCCATTCCAACATAAAACTAAAGCCTAGAGCTTTATTCTCCCGCTCATCTGGAATATGGTCCATAGCTGTCAACGTTTCCCTTTTTTAAAGGGAAATTTCCTTATTCTGAATAGGATTCCTCGCCAGAAAAGGGGAAAGTTGACAGCTATGATATGGTCACTTCCAGTCCCCTCCCAGCCAAAGCAGTTTCCCCCTCTGTCATGCAGTGCTAGGATGCCTCATGTTTTTCAGCCGTAGAGGACGGCTTGTATGACAGTTTTTTTCTGTGGAGTGCTGCCTCCCTCTGCTGGTGCAAGCTGTTTCTCCAGCAGAAAAAAGGCTTCCTGGTAGATTGGAAGTGGCCATCCCCGAATTCTCTAGGCAAGCATGTATGCCACACCTCAGCCAAAAGAGCTGCTATAACTCAGGAAAAGAAAGGAGCATCTGTGCATGTCATTCCGGTCAAGTTGGCACCAAAGTGGGACTTGTTCATCTGAGCTCCACAGGTGTTTTTTTTTAATTGTTTGACTGGGTTGTTTGCTGTTTTTTCTTTAATTTGGGGTAAGGCCTTTTTATGTGCCCTTTCAATCCCCAAGAGCCAGCACTGTAAATCAGTTTTAAGGGAGTCTTACAATCACAGCTGCCGCCACCCCCCAACATCATCAGCAGTTACACATACAGGCTTTTAAAACTTTGTAAATATCTTTTTAAAAGGTTAACCTTGTAATTCCTAAATAATTTTAAATATTTTTAAATACTTTTAAATTCTTTTTAAAATTGTGCTTTTTAACATTTATGTAAATGATGATTAAAGGAACCAAAATGGCCAGATTTTTCCCCTGTTTCAGTTTCATAGCATAATGTATCCATTTTGCTACATGCCAACGATACAGTGTTGTTAGCACAAACACAAGTGGATATGAGGTACTAAAGAACTTTGGGACACTGGGTCATAACAAAGATTTGAATACAAATTGTACCAAGACAAAAGCCGTTGTATTGGGGGCACAGCCCAAGAAGCAGAAATGGCTCCTAAATGGACAATCAATTGAACAAGTGAGGCATTTCAACTATTTGAGGATTTGCTTCTCTGATAGGAGTGCTTGGTCGCATCAGATGACAGCCTCGGTCTTGAGGGCATCAAGATCTGCATAAGCAATTCTTAGCTTTACCAGAACTGAAGGCGGCAATAGGGTTGCCCCTGCTCTGAGAACATATACAGTGGTACCTTGGAAGTCAAACGGAATCCATTCCAGAAGTCCGTTCAACTTCCAAAACATTTGGAAACCAAGGCACGGCTTCCGATTGGCTGTGGAAGCCCCGTCGGACATTCGGCTTCCAAAAATAGTTTGCAAACTGGAACAGTCACTTCTGGGATGCAAGGTACGACTGTATTGGTAAAGTGCACCCACAGTTAACATGTGGGGAAGGAGGAGGGTGATAGGAGCGAATCGGGAGAGACAGGGAAGCCATGAGGGAATGCACCACCTAGCCCAAGCCAATATCCCCAGCAACTGGAACAAAAGAACAGAGGAACCGCGCAGGGGTTAACCAGCCAGGGGAAAGAAAGGCATGGGCCCTCCTCTGCTAGTGCAGGGGCCACAGCAAAAAAGACAAGTTTTATTTTATTTTATTTTATATTTTATTTATTTTATTTTATTTTATTTTCAGTCCCTTTCTTATCAATATTTTAAAACCCTTTGAAGGACTGTAATGGCGGCGCCCATGGAAGGGGCCTGAACCGTTGGAGCCCATTTCCTGGAACCACCACCTCAACCCTGATCTAGAGACCTGATGCCAAGCCCTGGCATGGCTACCAGCTGCCCACAAAGGCGCACTGAACTGGGCTCCAGACTGTGGTGGGACTCCCCTAAGCCCCAGCCAACATGGCCAGCGCTCATCAGATATGATGGGACTTGAGACCCAACATCATTGGGAGGGCCATGTCCCCAGAATTTGTGAAGACAGGGTTCTCAAAAATACCTCTTGCTTGCTGGAGTGTTGCTAGCATCTGCTGGAGTTTTTCTTCAAGCTCCTGGAGCTTCCCAAAATATGCTTCAACCTGCTTTAATACTGCTTTCACCGCCTTCTTAAGGCCATCGAGCGCCTCCTTGATGTTTTCAATGACCTGGAGAGGACAGACACTTCCTGGTAGACATTTACTCCAGACATTTACAGAAGGCATAGAGGCACTGGTTGAAGAAGTTGGGGATGAGCAGACAGTGCTATTACTGAGAAGGAGCTCCACCCCAGGGTGCTAAAGGCATCACAGGCTCTACTTAGTTGCAAATGAAGCACATTTCAGTTATTATAGAAACCATTCATCTGCCAACTACCCTTCTGGCCTTACCTGAGCAGCAGGTGCAGCTTGTCCTGGATTACCGTTGATCCCTTCACCCTCCATCAAGCTCCCAGGTGTGGATCTGTTGTCCTGACCTGAGTACAAAAGAAGTGATTTTACATCTCCATTCCAACATGAAATGAAAGCCCAGAGCCTGGCTTCATGCTCCCCCTCATCTGGAATATGGTCCCTGCCAGCCCAAGGACTGCTTGTATGACAGAGGGTGTTTCTGTGGAGCCACCTCTCCAGCAGAAAAATGCCTCAGCCTGGTAAGATACTTTCTGCAATGGGAAAAAGTAGCAATGACTCCATTGCTAAAGCTTTTAGGTGTGGTCTTCAAACATAAATTAAATTCCAATTCTCTTTTAAAATCAGATCATTAGGAAGAAAAGGAAAGAAAGGAGGAGGAGGGAGGAGATCAGTACCAAAGCGGGGTATTAGGCCAGGGGCATTTTGAGAGGAAAGGGCATTATTTAAAACAATGAAATGCTATCTATCTATTTGAACAACACCTGTAAAACACTTTTTAAAGAATTGAAATCATCACAATATATACATACAATTAAATAATCCACCTAACAGAGCAACTTTATGTAAAAATAGCTCAACCAATATAAAACTTAAATCTATTATTCAGAAAAGCGACCAACCACAACAGCACAGTTTTATAAACTGACCATTCAGTCAACACCCCGGAGACATTGAAAAAAAATCACCCCAAAGGGAGTTGAATCATCAAAACAAGTCTTACTTATACTCCTTGCCATGTATCTCATACAAATTGCAATAAGAATAAAAATAATTTATTTATACCCCGCCCATCTGGCTGGGTTTCCCCAGCCACTCTGGGCAGCTTCCAACAAAATATTAAAATACAAAAGTCCTTCAGATATTAAAAGCTTCCCTAAACAGGCCTGCCTTTAAATGGCAGAAACACATGCAGCCTCCTGGTGTTAAAGATCAACAATATGTATTGAATAGGAAAAAGCTTCCTTTTGCTTTGTTGTTTGTTGCAAAGTAATTCCCAAGAATAAGCCCGGAGTTGGTCTTTTTACTTCTGGGGAAATGACCAGCAATTTCATTTTAAATGCAGCAGAAGGCAGAGGCACAGGAGCTGCTATGAAACAGGCGATCCTCAAATCACAATACAGGGATGGAATGAATCCTTTTGCTTCAGTAAAAACCTCAAGGGTCGTAGGTTGTGGTTAAATGAACTGGATGGTGTTACTAAGGATCTAAAAAACGAAACACCTTTTTCAATTTGAAAACTGTTTAATGATCTTTACCTATCCTGGGAACAGTACACGGCAGTGGTGGGCAGTTCCACAGACCCTCCTCCTCTGCTCAAAATGCATACAGACCCATCAGCCTTCCCTTTCTCCATTTATCATAGCCGTACTTCTCTCTGTGCTCACCAGGATGTTACAATAAGTAAAATCAACTCCTGTCTCCGAATTATACACTAGAACACCTGAAATATTATTGTGCTCTGTGCCTGAAGGCAGAAATGGGCAGCGAAGGCAATACAGTCCCATTTACTCGGCTTTCTAGTCTCTCTTTCCATAATCTCTCTTTCGCTTCCTGACCTAACGTTTGCCTCTGCTTAACATAATTAATTAGTAAGTGAAGTTTTTACTCTTCCATTCAAGCAGTACAGGAAGTAAGAACGTGTAAAAAGGAATTCTACTTCTAGAATTCCCAACTCCTGACATAAAACAGGATAAAGTTTGCCTTTATATACTTTAAATACTACGCGTTAGAAACAGAATTTTAGGGGCAGTCTTTTCTGGCAGTGCCAAATAAAGCCACTGACCCATTTCTAAGTCCTAAAATCCACAATTTCTCTGGATACCTGAAAAACCCAGTGGTGTATGTTGCCTTTCCAAAGTTCAAACCATGTGCAAGGCAGCTTACAAAAATAAAATATTATATATTTTGTGCAAACACAGCAAAACTAGTCATAAACAATGAACAAAAGGTACACAACCAAATTGAAAAATCCACGTAAATCATAATATTCCACATAAATCATATGATCCAAAATAAAGATGTAAAAATTAACATCAGCAACAGCAAACATCCCCGCCGCCGCCCTGAAAAAGAACCCAGCCCTCTTTTATAAATTGTAAAGAGAAAACCACTGGAAATTGTAACCTTCCACTATTAATTGTTCCCTTGTTTTAATTTGACAATCTCCTCGTTTCGACTTTAAGAACTCTCGACAGGTTAACCATTTCTCTTTATCCGTCACCCCTTTTCTGTAAAAAGCGGCTTCTGGTGAAACCCAAAATGGAGTCTTTGCGCATAAACGAACTTTATATCTATTTCCAGATTCTTAACACGCCACGCACGTCTAACAGAGTGGTTCTTAAAGTGCGCAATTACTTTAATTTTATCTACCACAAATATCCAAGCCATCTAACCCTTAAATCCCAACCTTCTAATTCCCAAAGTCTCTTATTTCTCAATATCCCCCATTCCGTTAACCGCACCAAGCAACTAGCTGTAAAGCACAAGTCTAAAACGCAAGCTTACTTCGCATCTCGCAGAACTTTAAATGTAATTCGTGATTTTTTTCACCTGTCCTACAAACCTAGGTCTTTTTGCCGTTTAAATGGTAAATCAGTAGTCAACCCATACTTTTTGGTAAAAAGTTGTCTGGATCACAGAAAACCTACCGAATAAGAAGAATTGGAGTTTCTGTCGCTTTCTGCAAGCAGCGCCACCCGAATTCCCACCTGGGATGAGTCCTGCGCGCCGGGATCTGAGGCGTCGGAGAAAGACTGGAGCGGGCGGCAAGTGGGAGGGGGAAGTCGTGCGCTTGTGTCCCGCGAGAAAAGCGCTGATCCTCCCAGGAGGCAGCCTGCTTGCAGACAAGGGGGCAGAGCCGGGGGCGGGCAGAGATGCAGCCTGGCCTTGGGGTGCCCGCCTCTGCCCGTGCGCTTTGCCGCGTGGCTCTTGCTAACGGGCTGCTTTTTGTGTGAAAGGGTCCTGGATGCTCGCCATCAAGGTGGCTGCCAACTGCGCTGGTGGCGCTTGGCTCTTTCTCTCTTCCTTGGTTGAGAGGTGGAATACCAGGTGTGCTGGGCTGCCTCTAAGCCCATCAAGGCCACAGGCTGCTAGCATGACTCATCCCGGCTTTCTCATCTGAGGGGAAAGTGTGTGTGTGTGTTTCATCTTAACTGCCATCCTGCTGGCTTTGGCAGCTTCACTGGGCTATACTGGGCCAGTCCCTTACCAACCACTTAGCCTACCTCACAGGGTTGTGGTGAAGATGCAATCAGGGGAAACACCTGAGGCGTTGCTTCTGGATGTGTAGAACCCTGGCATGCTGCAGGCAGTGGAATGCCCATGGATGGGCCAGGGGGAGAGTAACGGGTGGGGGGCATAATGCAATAGTGGAGACTGAAGGGAGGACAGTGAAAGTGAAGCAACCTGGACACAGAAAGAGAGAGAGAGAGAGAGTTAGAGAGTTGAGCAAAATCCAGAGAGAGTTTTAGGATGGCAGAGAGAGGAAGAGAGACCAGGCAAGGAAGGAGCGAGAGAGCATCACAGGAGCCAGCTCTCACAGGCCCAGGTCCCCTTGGACCCCTTCCACAATAAAATATTTGAGGAGGACGGGCCCCCAAGTTGATGTGTACTGCCATTCAAATGGTGTGCATGCATCATGTGATTGATTATGTGGGGTGGGGATATTTTATTCAAGTTGGCACCCTGGAGGGCACAAAAAGAATGAGGAGAACCAAACGGCATTTGGAAAGGGGGGGCCCGCCCCAGATCTCTGGAGCGGAAAGGCTCTTGGGCGTGAATATGAAAGGCAGCATCTGGCAGAATAGGTCATACTGAGCCAGTACAGATGGACCTGACTATTAGTTTGCTTCCTATGCCAACTGCCTTTTAGGGCACATCAGAGGTGGCAGAGAGAGGCAGGAGAGAGATTCCAGCCTCTACAGAAGCCTGTCCCCATCCCAACTCTTAGGACCAGAAGCAAGAGACAGCTTTACTGAGCATGTGCTCCTTCCCAGGGAGATGAAACTCTGCTCAACTGTTCACTGAATAGCTCCTGAAGCAGCCATACTCCAGGCTCTTATTGACACAGCCCTGCAGGATCAGACCAAGGCCCATCTAGTCCAGCTCTCAGCAGCCCAGCAGACGTCCATGAGAAGCCCCAAGCAGACTCCAAATGCAGCCCCACTCTTCCCACTTGGGATGCCCGCAACTGGTATGCAGAGGTAGACTGCATCTGCGGCTGGAGGTGCAACATGGTCTAACCCTCCATGAATTTGACTAATCCTCTCTTAAAGCCATCCCTGTTAATACCTCTGGAAGGAGGAAATTTCAGTGTCACTAGGCACTCTGTGTCTCGCCTGAATCTGCCAACACTCCACTTTCTTAAAGAGATCGAGGTTCTGATATTATGAGAGAGAAAACATCGCTCTGCACCTTTCCCACATCATGCTTACTTCTATGATGTCCCCACTTTCCCCCCTCTCGCAAAGCCCCAAAGCCCCTTCCTTACAGGGGAATCATCAGAACCACCTGTGCTGCAGAGCTTCTGGCTGAAAGACGACTCATGGAGATTTGCAATGACTGCTGCAATGCACCCCTCATGATTCAGATTGTATCATTTTGGCATCATTGTGTTGATTTGTTGTTGATATATTAAATCTGTATAATCTTAAAAGCGGTGTGGCTGTGAGTACCATGAAGGAAGCCTGCTCTTTGTGATTTGCCAGGGCACTACTGCAGGTTAGGAAGGAGGAAGAGGCAAAGATCCTTTCCCCAGTAAAACATGTTTGCACCCAGGGTGTTTCCAGACTGTCAGTATTTTGTGGAAGGGATTCAGGTCCAGCCCAGAACTTCAGCTTTTCCAATGAGAATGGATTAAAGCACTCTGACAATTCCCTTAGTAGAGTCTAACCACTGTTGTAAATTTTGGGTAAGCAAGACATGAACGCAAAACAAACAAATGGTAGTCTCCTTTGGAGGAACCCCTGCACTGTAAATATATTGACAGCACACTTCCAGGTCGTTGGCATCGGCATCCCAGAACTGTGAAGGTTGCCTCAACTGTTGAGCAACTCAGCTAAGGAAGAAGGAGTGGAGTGTCTCTGGGGGGAGCATAGCTCCCATTCCCTTCCAAACACACAGACAGGACAGTGTGGTGGCACCCAGGGAATAGTTGCAGCAGCCAGATGGCTGGCTGAAACAAACACCATTGCACTCTTTTTGAATGGGATTCAATCTGAATCAGCCAGTTAGTGAACTTGGTGCTCCTGTGCAACAAAGCCACTACAAAATTGCTCTTCCCCACACACTTCCAGGTCCCTCCAGCTGGGCTTTTTGCAAGAGGAAAAGTGATAGGTAAATGCCCTGGAAAGCTTGACTGCATGTAGTATCACCACCCCACAAACAAATCAGGATGAATGCTCAATAAACAGTTCACTTGGAAGGATCTTTCTGCATATTCTTCCTTCTGAGCACCTCACAAGTAGCATACTGCATGCACTTTGTCCCCTGAACTTCTATGTTATACACACATGTGTGAGTCTAGGCAACCCAGTCATTGTTTAAATGGGGTCATCCAGAGTTTTGGAGAAAATTGTCAGCAATATGTTGCTGATTCACAGCTCTGCTTCATCTTTACATCTGTGGCTGTGGCAGAGGGTGCAATGTTTTAATCTAATGGCCAGCTCTACTTGGAGAGACTGTGGGAAATGAGCTCCCTGCATTTTCGTCCTCCTGAATACCCAGAAGTAGACCCAAATTTCTATTTCATATGCACACATGCTGCAGGCCGCCCCAATCTCTGAGCAACACGAGGTTCCAGGGCTTCCCGGCGCTTTCCCAGGATTCCCGTTTCCTTCAGAGTGAGGCACAGCAGAGCCGTGCATTGTATATTACGTTGAAATCTTTTAATAAAAACTGATTTTTAAAAAAGAATTTGGAGAAAGGGTTAGCGTCCTTGAGGTCCTGAACATCTGCAGGGGGGCGGGTGCTGTAGCATGAGAAGTTTTTATCTCACTCAGTTTCCAGACAAAACAAAATCAGGCAGAAGCACAAGAATGATGCAAGCAGAGAGTTAGACCTTCACCACTTTGGATTCAGTTTCAACAGAGTTCATTTTAGTTTAATGTAATTTAATTCATCCTATATCATTTCTACCCCAGTAGATTGTCAAAAAAAACTTAAAGCAAGTTTACAAAAACTCCTCATGGAAATGTTTAATGATCCAGTGAAATACAGGCACACATTTCAAAATATTGCCATGACAATTAAACTCAGCAGTAAGCAAAAGGCTTTCCACACCCTGCAGCCTTCCACATGTCTTCCAAAGGCGCCTAAACCAGAATGCTTTACGGAGGGGTGGGGAAGAGTACAGTGAAGGCAGCTGCCTGGGTCCCTAGGCAGGGAGTTCCAAAGTGTTAGTGCTGTTGCACTAAAATATAGATTTCTTGCAAGTGTGAAATGAGTCTTACGTGGCAGCTAGAACAGTCCCAGTTGTGCAGGTTGAGTAGGCACACAGGGCGTAAGGCAATCCCTCAAGTGTAGAAGATGCCAAGCCACTATCCTGAAGCAGGGTATTGAAACAAATGAAGCAATAGAAGCAATACCCCTGAACCCTGGAAGGAAAACATCTGGAAGTACAGATACCAGAGAACATATGACCCATAACATTGATTGTGACATATTACAGGGAAACTCAGTTGCCCGGCAAACTTTGGCCCAGGGAAAAGGATAGAATTAGATGTTGATACCAAATTTGTATTTGTCAACTGAAGGCCTTTCTATCATGGACAGACCACATAATGCGTCTTCTGAACATCCCAAATGATATGCTGCCACATGTAGTAAAGCCAAACGACATTGCTTCTATAATTTATACTATGATGGTTATTCGGTACAAACAATGATTACCTTTCAAGATCAGAACCTGGCTAAACTTATCCACAGATTAAGACATCTATTCCTGAAGAAAAGAATAATAACACCAAGACTTTTCGAAAATAGGTTACCAATGACCCTATTCTCTGCTGCCAAGAGCGACAAATCAATGACAAATGAGGAACAGGAAAAATTTAGGAAGGGGCACTGGTCCCAAAAAGCCCTGTTCGACCATCATAAACAAGAGACTCTAAAATCAAGAAGGAAAGGTGCACCCTTATAGGGTTTGCATCATCCCGCAAATGAGCAGAAGGATAATCTCTCTCCAGAAGAAAATGCTCTAATAAGTCATTTTTGGACATTACCTTCCTTAGCACAAATCAAAATTTTAGAAAGACAACACTTAGAAACAGATTATCTGGAAAGGACGAATGTAAGGATGCCAGAGAGGAGGATCTAGCAGTCGACCAGACTCCCTCCAAAAAGGTTCCCATGGTGGAAGAGTTCCCTTCTCAGGCACACAACTTGGCAGTCTGTCACCCTCACAACTTTCAGGTAATGGCAGAGATAAATCTGCCTTCATCTACGAAAGTGCAATGTATAGGAGAAGGTAGTAGATGCCCCCCCCCCAAAAGGGAAACCACCACCATGGTGACCTCACCGGGTTTCAGGACTAAAATGAGATCCTTAGATGAGGAGGAACTAGGCTCCAGGCAGATGGAACATCCTCCGGAGGATGCCCTGGTAAACAAAGGCTCTACAATTTTCAGTGTGAGTACTTTATATCCATTGTCTGAATTCATCAAACTCCTGGGCTGTTCCCCATGCAAAGATACTGTTAAAATAAATAACATCCCGCTGCCACATAAATAGGCAAATCCCAAAAACTTTTCAGAAGATAATTGACAAAGACTAAATTTTAGCAAAGCCAGACCCAACCTTAGCTTTACAACATGGAATATAGCAGGATGGTCTGAAAAGGCATCTGACGTGTCTTTTGTCCAATTCACCCAAGGGTATGACATTGTATTTCTACAGGAGACTTGGAGCGTAAGTGAAATAGATGTTAACGGCTTCTTATTTTGCCTCCCTGGATCACCAAGCTTCAAAGGGGGGCAAATTAAAGGCGGCTTGGGTACATTTGTATTTTACCCTTGTAAAATTGGGGAGAAGCAGCATGTGGGGAGGTTGCTTTCCTGCCTGGCTTGTGGGCCTCCCAGAGGCATCTAGTCAGCCAGTGTGTGGAACAGGAGATTGATGTGTTTATTGCATTATCTCCAATGGCTAGACTTCACTCCAAAGGTGGCTCTCAGCCCAAAGTGGATGGGCATTGCCCTTCAATTGGTGTGTGTGATTGATTATGCAGGGAGGGGCTTACCCCCCCCATTTTTATTCATGTTAGCAACCCTTGTGGAGGCCAAGCATTATTCTCCCACCGTTCCTCCATGCAGCTCAAGGATCTGCCCCCTCCTCATTTTATGCTCGCAACAACCCTGTGAGGTAGGTTAGGCTGAGAGGCAGGAACTGGCCCAAGCTCACCCAGACAGCTTCATGGTTGTGTGGGGATTTGAACTCTGGCCTTCTAGGTCCCAGCCCAACACTCTACCCACTACACCACACAGCCAGCCCTCCCCCCCAGTCTGGAGTCCAATTCCCAGAAGCCCACTGGTTCTATTTTGAAGTACTCTTGAGACCCACTTTGTATGAAGAGTTGGACAGCCTTGTTCTAGAAGATTGTGCAGGCTTGTCCTCATAGCTTCCAGAGGTAAACTGCATGGTGATATTTAACTATGTTGAAACAGATCATTTGCATTCTCACACAAATGAGAAAGAGGAAGGATAATGGCTTAATAAAGTATCTTCTCCTACTTATCTAAATCCCTCCAAAAGATTATTGGTATAGGAGCTCCAGAGTGGCTGGTGAGAGCCATGTGGTTGAGCTGGAGCAACTAGCTCAACTCTCTCCACACACTGAGTTTTTCAGGTAGACCAGGGGTGGGGGGGACAATAGCCTTGATTACTTATTTCCTCCCAAGGTAAGGGGAAGTGACATGGCTAAGATGGCAGGATAGCTTACTATGATGTTAACCCCTTCCAGCATTAATTAGACTGAAGCATGTTGTTGTATGAGATGTTGGTTATACGAGACTGGTTATCCCACACAACATGCTCTCATGCAACCCATGCACTCCAACTGAAACCCATTTCCTGGACGATATCAACATTGTGTTTTGTGCCTGTGAACTCCATAGTGAATATTTTTATTAGAAAAGAAAACAGCCCAGTGTTTCAGCTTCTAAAAGTTGTTTTATTCAGCGCGCTGTTACAGCTTGTCACACCCAAATCATCAAAAGGAATCTGCCAAAGTGCTTTTCCAGGCAAAAGGGGGCAGAGGGAGAGAAACAAAGAACCTCAAATTCACTAGACCAGGGATGGGGAATTCTGTGACCCTCTAGATGTTGTTGGATTCCATCACCCCTGACGGTCGGCCATGCTGGCTGGGGCAGAAGGCCATTGGATCTGGCAATATCTGGGAGCTCACAAGATTCCCTGCCCCCACACTACACAAACAACCAGGCACTCAGCTGTGAGGCATGCCTCTTACTGGAGGGAGGGTCACTCCAGAGGCAGCTGTGGCATGAGGGTGCTTGATCATGCCTTTGTGGGCACATCTGAGGATTAAAGAGGGCCCCTATGAAGCTTGCTTGGAGATCTTCCTTACCACATGGCTCTCCGGCAAAAACACAACTGTACTAGCCGCCATACAGACTCACACCTCAAAGCTGGATCAGACGGTAGGCTACATCAGGAGGAAGTCTGGGGCAGAGGGGCCTAGAGTGGGAGTCAGAGCTGCTCTTAGGGCTGCATGTCTGAAGCATGGGCAGAAATCTTTGAGTGTGAAGTTGCATGGGGCTGTCTCTTTGCGTTTTGTGAGTGGCCAAGCTGCCACTCAGACAGAGGCAGGCAACCAACCAACTGGCTTCAGGGGCAAGCTCCTTTGCAAAGCCAGTCTGACTTCACCGAATGCAATGGCAGAGTGACCATTCGGCCTGTGTTCTGCTTCGCTGTGAAATGGCGTGTGTTCCTCAACCCAGAGAACCTTTCGTTCAACGTCAAGCTCGTCTAAGGAAGAAAAACATAAGAGTTAGTCTTGAATCCCCACAGACATGTGCTTGGAGATGTCAGCACACAGCACATTTAAAGCACATCTCCTCCCACCCACACCCAAAAAGTCCTGAGAACAATGATTTGTTAAGGGTGCTGGGAACTGTAGCACTGTGAAAGGAAAGCTAAGGTTCTTGTTATTCTTTGGAGGGGGTGGAATGGTGAATACACAGCTCTGCTGAACACAGATAGATTTAGCTTTGGAGACAACACATGTATGACCACAATCTTCATGTGAGTTCCTGGCGACCTTCAGCTTAAACACACCCTGCTCTGAAGTGAGAAAAATCCATCACACTCAAACATTCCTGCACAAAGCTGCCCATGGCAAGGTTATAACACAAAACCTAGAGATTCTGATGTGCAGGAATGGTTTCCTTGAGGGCATGTGTAATAGGGTACAAAACCCACCTTCTATATTTTGAAGCCCAGGAGTTAAGAGATGAGGAGTCCACCCAACCCCAGTTCAAGCTGGGGGTTGGACTGGAAGGGAGACACCTAATGTCCCCAGAATTGGGGGGAAGCTTGGCTAATTTCCAAGTTAAACTGAACTCTTTAGTACTGCCCCCCAGGGCACCATTATGTGGGTCCTCTGAAGCATGAGAAAGCTTAGAAGGTAAGAACAGGGCTTTCCTCCCCACTCCTAAGTTCAGCAGGTGGCTAGAGGTGGCCACATGAACACCCCCTACCGCACCCCCAGCATAGGTTCAACTTTTAGCACAATTGAACTTTAACAAAAAGTCTTCAGCCAGATGGCATACAATGCTTTGGCAGCGGCAACTTATCATTTTCTTGATCATTTTCTTGATCAACTTATCATTTTCTTGATTACAAACAATTAAAAAGGCGGACAAACAATTAAAAAGGCGGACAATCTTGCAAAGGAGTGTTGCCATTTAAACTGCTGGTTTGACGTAGGAACCCGAAAAAAGAAAAGGAACCAACTACCCAGAGTCTGCTTCATATTGCCCTTGTTCTCCACCTCCCTCTATCCTAAGGTAAAGGGTAAAGGGACCCCTGACCATTAGGTCCAGTCGTGACTGACTCTGGGGTTGCGGCGCTCATCTCGCTTTATTGGCCGAGGGAGCCGGCGTACAGCTTCTGGGTCATGTGGCCAGCATGACTAAGCCGCTTCTGGCGAACCAGAGCAGCGCACGGAAACGCCGTTTACCTTCCCACCGGAGCGGTACTTATTTATCTACTTGCACTTTGACGTGCTTTTGAACTGCTAGGTTGGCAGGAGCTGAGACCAAGCAACGGGAGCTCACCCTGTCACGGGGATTTGAACCGCCAACCTTCTGATCGGCAAGTCCTAGGCTCAGTGGTTTAACCCACAGCGCCACCTGTGTCCCTCCCTCTATCCTGGTTACAAACAAGAGTTAAGATTTGAAAGCCTTGTTATCACCTCATTCCCTTCAATTAGCCAGCTGCTCTGGCAGATGACATCAGTTCCTTCCCGCTTCCAATATTTCTGCTCCAAAAGCCCCCCAATATTCCTGCTCCTAACCTGGTTAGCCATAGCCCGGAAGTTGAATCTCAGGGGAACACCTTTGGGCTGGGAACGGCTCATCTTTTCTGGGCCTCTTCGCCCCCTTGGGAAGGGGTGCTTGGGTCCTGGCCTGTGAAATGCACGCAGAATATAAAGATGCCTTCTTTCCATGGAGCCAAGGAAGAAGGGTGGAATTTGTTCATCTCCCAAACCTTCCCAAGTAAGAGATGCCGGAGTTGCGTCACCTACAACTTCCTCAGGGATCAAGCAGCTAAGAAAAACGAAACGTCCCACCTGGGCACGGTTTCTGAGAGAGCAACAGCAGAAGCTCTGTACTTTGAGGGCAGAAGACCCACACTCTGGAAGATGAGCATTTGCCCAGTGGATTCTGGCCAGTCCATGAGGGCCGCCGGCCCCTTCGCACTCCATCTCAGGCACAGAACACATTGGCTCTGCCACTCCTTGGCTCTGGCGCCACCTACTGTTGGCCTCTTTGCCTTCACCCTACCAGTCCCAATGAGCACCATCCACCCCTGCATTGGTCTTCTTTCCTTCTCTCCTCCAACACCCCCCCAATTCAATTCACCCTCTATTAAAAACCTTTCCTTATGAGGCAATAATCAATATTTTTATTTATTTATAGACATATTTATGGACATATTTCTAGCTAATTTTGCGCCCGCCCTCGCCTATGCCCCTGGCTCTGAAAGGGGAGCTGGCTGCAAGTGTCACAGGCCTGGTGGGCCAGAAATCCAAAGCGAGGGCCAGTGTGGCACAGTTGTTGGAGTACTGTGCTAGGAACTGGGAGACCAGGGTACAAGCCCCCACTCAGCCAGGAAGCTTGCTGGGCTCACTCTCAGCCCAACCAACCTCACAGGGTTGTTGTGTGACCATAAAATGTGTGTGCGTGGGGGGGTGTGGACTCTGCATACCACCTTGATCAGCTTGGGGGAAAGGAGGGTGATAAATGTGTGAAGGAAAGAAGGAAAGAAGGAAAGAAGGAAGGAAGGAAGGAAGGAAGGAAGGAAGGAAGGAAGGAAGGAAGAAAGAAAGAAAGAAAGAAAGAAAGAAAGAAAGGGTGATAGAGCAGGAAGGTGAGATGCACAATAGAGAATGGGCATTGTTTTCACTCAAGGCAACATAACGTACATGCTTGCTTGACTTGCTTGGGGGTTAGACACAGAAACGGTCAGCACACCTCCAGGATTGGGTTCTGGCTGCCACCTAGAGAAAGAGAGACAGGGAGAGGAAGCAAAGAACCAGACTCCTGGCAGCAGCAGCAGGACTGGAGTGAATGGAGCACAGACTGATGAAGACATGCCAGCGTTGGAGGAGTTTGAGAAGGCTCCAAAGGTCAGACACTCATCAAGATCCAACTGAGGTGCCCTCTACAATTCTCCTACAAAGTAAGGTCAGTGCAACCCTAGAAGCTCCCACCTGGGGAAAAACAGAGCAGGTGCTCTGGTTATGCCAGGAAGGCATATTTCCAATCCTTACTTTCTCTCCTCCACCACTGCTTTTTCTTCCTTCAGAAAAGGGGGGTTCTTTCCACAACTTACCTCCTCCTCTTTAAAGGCTTCCCCTCCACATTGGACTTTGTTTGCTGTAAGAAGGAAGAGAACAACAAGCATGACAGAAACCAAAACTCCCAAAGCAAGGAGACTTGGTTCCACAGTATGGATCAAAGCTCTCCACAGACTGTAGCTTAAAGTGGATTCCTTGTTTATTTTGCAAAATCTTAGAACCTCTAAACAGATTACAAAAAGAATAAAGTAATAAAATAATCAGTAAGAAACCACATTTGTTAAAAACTATTTAAGATCCTCTCCTCTGTCTTACATGATTGTTGTAAGGATTACAGAGAAAATGTTTGTAGAATACTGTGACTACTTAGGGAAAACACAATGCAATTTTAAATCCGGTCAGTCTTACAGTTGCCCCTTTAAGAACGGGTTGCAGGGCCAACTGAAGCCAGAGGGCAATGGCAACACATGCCTCACTGGATCACTGAGAGCCAATGTGGTGTAGAGGTGAGAGTGTCGGGTTGGGACCCAGGAGACCAGCATCAGCCATGAAGCTGAGTGGGTGGCCAGGGTTGTTGTTGAGATTGAATGAGGAGGGGAAGGGATGATGAGGATGATGATAATAATGATAATGATAATACCACCCCCATCTGGCTGGGTTTCCCCAGCCACTCTGGGCGGCTTCCAACAAATATTAAAAATACATTAAAATGTCACACATTAAAAATTTCCCTAAACAGGGCTGCCTTCAGATATCTTCTAAAAGTCTGATATTTGTTTATTTCCTTGACATCTGGTGGGAGGCCATTCCACAAGGTGGGTGCCACTACTGAGAAGGCCCTCTGCCTGGTTCCCTGTAACCTCACATCTCGCAGTGAGAAACTGCCAGAAGGCCCTCGGCACTGGACCTCAGTGTCCGGGCAGAACAATGGGGGTGGAGACGCTCCTTCAGGTATACTGGACCGAGGCCATTTAGGGCTTTAAAGGTCAGCACCAACACTTTGAATTGTGTTCGGAAACATACTGGGAGCCAATGTAGGTCTTTCAAGACCGGTGTTATGTGGTCTCGGCGGCCACTCCCAGTCACCAGTCTAGCTGCCGCATTCTGGATTAGTTGTAGTTTCCGGGTCACCTTCAAAAGTAGCACCACATAGAGCACATTGCAGTAGTCCAAGCGGGAGATAACTAGAGCATGCACCACTCTGGCGAGACAGTCTGCAGGCAGGTAGGGTCTCAGCCTGCATACCAGATGGAGCTGATAAACAGCTGCCCTGGACACAGAATTGACCTGCGCCTCCATGGAGAACTGTGAGTCCAAAATGACTCCCAGGCTATGCACCTGGTATTTCAGGGGCACAGTTACCCCATTCAGAACCAGGGAGTCCTCCACACCTGCCCGCCCCCTGTCCCCCCAAAACAGTACTTCTGTCCTGTCAGGATTTAACCTCAGCCCCCATCCATCCTCCAACTGCCTCCAGACACTCACACAGGACCTTCACCGCCTTCACTGGTTCTGATTTGAAAGAGATGTAGAGCTGGGTATCATCCGAATATTGATGAACACCCAACCCAAACCCCCTGATGATCTCTCCCAAAGGGTGCATGTAGATGTTGAAAAGTTGAGGGAGAGGACAGAACCCTGAGGCACCCAACAAGTGAGAGCCCAGGGGTCTGAATACTCACCCCCCAACACCACTTTCTTGACACGGCCCAGGAAAAAGGAGCGGAACCACCGTATAACAGTGCCCCCAGCTCCCAGCCCCTCTAGACAGTCCAGAGGGATGTTATGGTTGATGGTATCAAAAGCCACTGAGAGATTTAACAGAACTAGGAAACAGCTCTCACCTTTGTCCCTAGCCCGCTGGAGATCATCGACCAGTGAGACCAAGGCAATTTCAGTCCCATGGTGAGTTCTGAATCCTGACTGGAAGGGATCCAAATGGTCCGCTTCTTCCAGGCGTGCCTGGAGTTGTTCAGCAACCACTTGCTCTATCACCTTGCCCAAGAATGGAAGATTTGAGACTGGGTGATAGTTGGCCATATTGGCCAGGTCTAGAGATGTTTTTTTTAAGAAGCGGTTTAATAACCGCCTCTTTCATTGTGCCTGGGAAGGCTCCCTCACAGAAAGAAGCATTCAGCACCCTGTGAAGCCCATCGCCCAGCCCTTCCCGGCTAGCTTTTATAAGCCAGGATGGGCAAGGATCAAGGAGACAGGTGGTTGGTTTCACTCATCCAAGCAGCCTGTCCACATCCTCGGAGGTAACAGATTGGAATTGATCCCATGCAACTTGACTAGACAGGACTCTAGCACTCTCCCGCCCCAGCCCTGCTCCCATGGTGGAATCTACCTCTTCCCAAATCTGAGCTATGCAAAAGCATTGCAGGAGATCTTGGGGTCCCTACCAGGCCCCGGTGACGAAGGTGGTTCCGATAGATTGTGAAGCACCTGAAAGAGTCTCCTGCTGCTGTTTTCTGCAGATGCAATAGAGGCGGTGAAGAAGGTCCTCTTTGCCGTCACCGTTGCCACTTGGTAGACTTGACGTTGAGCTCTAGCCCGTGTCCGGTCTGATTCAGAATGAGTTTTCTGCCACTGGCACTCTAGCCGTCTCAGTGATTGTTTCCTCGCCCTCAACTCTGGAGATAACCACAGGACTGTCCGGGCTCCATGCAATTGGAGAGGGCACTCGGAGCCAGAGAGTCGATAGCCCTGGTTAACTCCGCATTCCACCAGGGAATCCACCAGGGAATCAGCTGAAAGGCCATCAACATGGGATAAAACATCCCCTACCACTCTCTGGAACATTCCCTACCACTCTCTGAAAGCCAATTGGATCCATTAAGTGGCAGGGGCGGACCATCCAAATCGGTCCCACCTCCTTGCAGAGGGGAAGGGTTGCAGAGAAGTCCAGTTACACTAGGAAGTGATCTGACCATGGCACTTCTTTTGTTTCACTTTGCTTACTGTCAGATCACCCACGTCACTAGAGGTGAACACCAGGTCTAAGGCATGTCCGTGACTATGAGTTGGGACAAACTTATTCAGGGACAGCCCCATGGAGGCCATGCTTTCCATGAAGTCCCGAGCGGCCCCTTGTAAGGTTGTGTTGGCATGGATGTTAAAATCCCCTGAGACAACCAAACTAGGTGTCTCCAGGAGAACATCTGGTATGACCTGAAGCAGCTCGGGCAGGGAATCCTTGGCACAGTGGGGAGGTTGGTACACCAAAAGGAATCCTGTACTGCCGCTATTGCCCAACTTCCAGACCATGCACTCAGAGAGGTCTTCCCAATAGGGACGATGTAAACCACTTCTTTCCCAACACCTGGGTCTTTTCCAGCGAGTCTTCTCTTCTCATGAGGTGGCCAAAATCTTGGAGCCTCAGCTTCAGGATCTGTCCTTCCAGTGAGCACTCAGGGCCGATTTCCTTCAGAATGCAGAGGTTTGATCTTCTTGCAGTCCATGGGACTCTCAAGAGTCTCCTCCAGCACCAGAATTTAAAAGCATGATATAAAAGACAATGAAGAACTCACCCTTCGGTTGAAGTTGAATCTGGATTGCCTCTGGAAGAAAGCTGGTCTTCGGTTTAGCTGGAAAGGCTGGTTACTGGGGGGAAATAAAAGGACCCTATATTAACACAAATTTCTGTGCACACCCAAGCCATAGATACTGTGGTAGATACGCCAGTCTCCAAGTGGCGAGACTCCGGGAGTGACTGTGCTTACGCAGGGCTCCGTTTCTAGGGAATGAAGGTCAGAGTAGGCTGTGGTGTCTTTAGTAAGTATGGCTACATTTACAAAGCATAAGACAGAGGGCTCAGAGCACTCACACCCCGGCAGGTCTTTCTTCCCCACTGTGGTTCTAGGCAAATCACAGCCTTACAGTTCAGCTTCCAGCATCAGCCAAATTCCCACACAAAACTCTGGCTCCTGTTCTTCTATGTTACAAGGCGATGACGTCGTGTCCAAGTAGGTGGCAGGGTGATCTGGATCCTGACCCTCTCCCCAAACATATAAAAATATATTTGCTGAATTTGGAATCTCAGTTGAAAAATTGTCCAGCCATTTGCTACTTGATTTTGCAAATGTTCAGACTCCCCAGGATTGGGAGGCGAAAACTGACACCGTGTCCTGCAAAGTGGCCTGCAGTCACACACACACTTTTGTGGGAACAGGGAAGCATAGGAGCTAGCTCCTAGGGGTTGAGGTCCCTTTGGCTCCTCCAATAAAATATTTGATGGGATCGCCCCCTCCCCCCAAAAGTTGATGGGCATTGCCATTCAACTGGTGTGCATGTGCTGCGTTTTGTGATCAATGGGGCAGAGTAGGGCTTACCTCCCCACTCCAATATTTTATTCAGGTTTGCCTCCCTGCACAGAAGTCTACTCCTCCTGAAACCAAGCTTCCTTACCTTTGGGCGGTTGGTGGAGCAGCTCCTGCCCTTCGAAAGCGATTGACCCTTGTGGGATCCCTCTGCTGGGTACCGGGTGTTGTGCCATCCCTGCTCCCAACCAAGGTAGCATCTTCCTGCTGCACCTACAAATTAGCACAGTTTGCCTCAGGATTGGCTTCTTGAACATAAAGCATCATGGGCAGGGGAACAGCTGTCGAAGCCCAGCCTTCCTCATCCTCGAGTCCGCCAAATGTTGTCGACTACAACTCCCATCCGTCCTGTGCTGTCTGGGTTTATAGGAGCTGCCGTCCAAAACTCCTGGAGGGTATCAGTTGGCAAAGATTGCCATAGTCCTACCTGTTGAGCTAAGCTGGGCCGATTTAGGGGGCTCATGCCTTTTGGCCCAAGGGCTGCTCTCCTCCTGGGACTGGTCACCCCATTCCAGAAAGGCTTCCTGTAATTCTGCTGCTTTTGAAACTCTCCTCTGAACCTGCTGGGTCCTAAAGAGACACACCATGCAGAATGTGATTCCTCGTCAATCCTCAGGTGTCGACAATTTATCATTAAAAACAATGTTTCTCTGCTATTTGCCACATCTGACTCTCCCCTGCCCCTTCCTCCAAAGGGGGATGAGTATGTGAGATTACCTGCACTTTTGCTATTGTCTTATTAATAATAATATATCACCCTTCATCAAAAGATCTCAGGGCTGTTCACAAGGTAAAAGCACAAATAAATAGTTAAAATAAAAACAATAAAACAATAGCACCTCCCCCCACAAACACATTTAAAAGGCTGTAGAATATTAATCAGCCAGAGGCCTGGTTGAAGTTGGATCCTGGTCCAACTGCACTGGCTACCACCTAGTTTCTAATCCCAATTCAAATGCTGGTTTTTAATCTATAAAGCCTTAAATAGCTCAGGACTGCAATAACTCAGGGACCGCCTCTCTCCATATGAACCTATCCAGACCCTGCAATCATCATCTGAGACCCTTCTGTGTGCGTCCTCCATGAGAGGTCTGGTGGCAACTTGAGAATGAGCTTTTTCTGCAGTGGATCCCCACTTGTGGAATGCTCTCCCCAGGGAGGTCAAGCTGGCACCTTTATTATGCACCTTTAGGTACCAGACAAAAATGTTCCTCTTCAACCAGGCCTTTGGCTGATTGACATCTGATGCCCTTTTAAAATATGTTATGGAAGGGAGGGGGTTATTTGGTTGTCTTTGTTTTTGTGAACCTCCCCGAGATCTGCGGGTACAGGGCGGTATACAAACTTTAATAATGATGATGATGATGTTTAGGATCAGAGTTTTCCTTTTCCTAGATGGCTTGTCCCAGGCTGACAAGCCCCATCTATCTATCTCCAGCATGAAAAGCCTATCTCAATTCAGGAGCATCCCTCCTCTGCAGATCCTTGTTCTCCCACAACACTACTGATCCCTACCTTGATAGATTATTTTCCCACTTCATCAAAGGCCCATTAACCATGAAAGGAGGAGATTCTTTGTTGTGCTGTATTCCTAGTTCTGTGCTCCAGTTTGAAAGAGCTGTGCTCAGGTCATACTGGGAGCCAGTTCGTGCTATAAATCACTTAAACGTTTTGTCTCTTTTTATGTTCATTATTTTCATTTTAATATTCATTCATTCATTATTTAATATTCATTTTAATGTTCAATTTATGTACCCTCCTCTGGTCACCCCTAGCTAAAGGTACTTGCATGAAGCTGAAGGAGGGGTTGATATCTCAGGATGCCAACCGTTACAAAAAGCCCTACCAACTTATTTCCTGAATTTTGCCAACTCCCAAACCTTCTCTTTCTGCTATTGCTTCTCACACATACCTTGCAGGTTCCTTGGTACCCAGCCCCAGAATCGACGTCTTCTGTTGCTATAGGCTGGATTCCAGTTCTTGAGCGGCTGCTTCCATCTGTTTTCCTTTGCGTTTGTCTGCCCTTTCTTGTTGCGCTTTATGATGTCATCTAAATTAGGGAAACCAACACACACAGAATACGTCAAGGAAATCTTCTCTTTTGTTTCATGTTGGCCTCCCAGCATTTTAACACAAGAGGATGGAAAGCTAACCCTCAGTATGTGGGGCAAGGAGAGTGTGGCATAGAATAATGCTCTAAGGAATCCAAGTATTCCAAAACAGAATTCCAAAACAGAGGGTAGTTTCCAGTTGCCCTTAATAACTTGGGACCAGTTTATCTGCAATATGTGCCCAGTTGACCCCTTTGACCTGCAGAACTGGCACCATTACAGGTGCCACATAATACCAATTCTGCATTTGTAAGAAATGCATATTTTTGTGTCGCAGCCTCTACAGTTTGGAACTCCCTGCCTGCTCATATCAAGCAGGCGCCTTCAGTATACTCTTCAGCACCTGCTAAAAATATTTTTGTTTAGACAACCTAATCCAAAATATGTAAAGTGTTGGCATGTGTTATAATCTGGATTTATCTTAGGGTTGATTTTCTTTTAATTCAACTAGGGAAAATGTATTGCATTAAATGAGGCAAGGATAGCAGAGTGAGCAACAAACTGAACAGGCGTGGCAATTTCTGAGCTGTATTAATAGCATCGTCGAACCAATATAGAAGCAATCAATATGGCTTTACTCTGAACGCAAGGGCTCCTTACCTGGAGAACTGAGTTGATTTGCGTACTCATAGAAGCATAGGAAGAAGCTGCCTTGTACTGAGCCAGACCACTGATTCTTTTAGCTTAGTATTGTCAACACTGATGGGAACTCTCACTCCAGGGTAAAGGCAGAATTTCCTAGCCCTACCTGGAGATGCCATCAGAGATTGATACCTGGGATCTTCTGCATGCAAAGCAGCTACTCTGCCATTGAGCCTAGCATGATCCTTGAAGTGAATAATTACCACCATTCAAGAAAGTTTGAAAGTATTCAGAAGAGACCCCCCCTAAAAAGCAAGTCCTTCAAGGGGAAAAAAAATGAAGGAAGCTGTATATCCTTCAGCTTGGGGTGTGGGGATGAGAGGAAGCCAGGAATTGGTTTTCAGTAATAGTATCAAACATAAACTCCCAATACTCAACGTCAGAGAGGGAATCATTAAATACTGGGTGCTGGTTATTAAGTTAAGTCTGATCAAATAACAGTGGATGCCCAAATGCCAACCCTGAATAACAGAGAGCACATTTCCAGCATTCCTATTTTCAGAGGGGGCTTTAGGGAGGCAAATTAGCCAGGCAAGCCAAGAGAGAGTGGAGAGATTTTCCTCTTTCTTTCATTGTAATTCCGTTGGACGGGGCAGGGGCATATTTCCAGATCACTGACTGAATAAATGAGTGTGATGTTTGTGTGCACAAACAGATCTTGTGCCAAGGAAATGATGATTTGCATTGCCCGTCAATGCCATAAATAGACCAGGCATCACATCAAGCTTCTATTTTTGGAGAGGGCCAGTTTATCATGTCCGTGCTGGACTGTGGGGTTTTGAGCTTGGAAAAACTGCTGTGGGGTATGGTGAGGTGAGCCAAAATGTAGCTGTGATTTGAACCTAACAGGCTGCATCTAGATATACCCAGAGTAAACACACTGAAATTAATTAGAATGGCTAATTAAGGGCCATTAATTTCAATTGGTCTACTCTGAGTAAGACTTAGCTACAGACAACCAGTCCACACTGAGCCATCTGCTTTTCACTGATGGTTCCCTTCTCTCTGGATGGAGGAGGGAGAAGTGTTTGGGTTGAAAATAGGCTGTCCATGGTGAAAGGAGAGGGATTTACTGAGAAACGGAAAAAGGAGAGGAAGTTGCAGGTGTGGGGGGGTGTCAAGCAGAAGATGTGGGAGAAGACCCCACTTGGGTTCAACTAAGCCAATTGGCCTGTGGAATCAGGAATGGCATAGGTATAGACCCCGTGGGGACCCAACTTTGGGCACCTAAGAAGGCTGCAAGGAATTTGCAAACTTTGCCAAACCTTCCCTGGCCGGACATTTTCTGCGCCTCAGAGGCGTTCATAGCCAGCCTCTCCCGCCCCATATACGGAAGGTATATAGTGCATATTTTGGGGGGAGGAGGGGCGGTTCTCACCTGGAACCAGCCCCCTCCACCCCAACTTTGAGAAGGGCACCCAGAGTGGATCTGGCTCCGCGGGGATAAAGCCTATGCGGCTCCGGAGCAAGTCCATGGGGTGGGGTGGGTCCCCGAGACGCTAGGACACACCCAACCAACACCCGACGAGTGTGGAGAGCTGCACCTACCCAGAGACAGATCTATCTCCTCAGCAGCCACCGCCGGCTCCGATCCTGCCCCAGCACCGGCGGCTTCGAGCATCGGCCCGGCCCCCGGCGCTGCCATGGCCTCTGAGGAAAGAGAGGGGTGGCGGCGGCCGGCCGGAGGAGAGCCCTCCGAGCTCCCGCCCCCTGGCCAGCTGTCCCATTCCCATTCCCCGGCGCCGCCACCAGAGTCGCGCCCGCCCGCTGCGGAGGCCGGCCCTGGCCTGTGGCGCGGCCTGGGAGGCGGGCGGGGTCCACCTGCAGACCCATTCTTCTCCACGGCCTCTGCACCGCTCTCAAATCCCAAAACAACCTGGATCATGCCGAAGGCAGCGCCGTGTGTAGTCCAGCATGTTGTTCTCATAGTGGCCGAGCAGGTGCTCTGATGGGGAGGACCCGAGCCCGGGAGCAGCGCTCTCTTCGCCTGAGGGTTCCAGCAACTCGCATTCAGGAAGGTTACTGTCTCAGACAGTCGAGGTAGAGCACAGCAACCCTTATCTTTCTGCACCCCAAAGCGAGTGTTTCAAGAGGATAGGAAGCGTTTGCTGGAACAGGCAGGCCAGTGACCCATCTAGCCATGTACCAGATGCCTGTAGGCATAGGAGTCAATTCCAAGAGTCCGAGGACCCTTCGCTATCCCCACCCTCATAAAATATTTGGTGGGCATTGCTATTCAGATGGTGTGTGTATACCGCAACACGTTATTGATGATTCAGGACAGGGCTTATCTGCCCCCCCCCCCAAATATTTTATTCAAGTTGTCACCCCTGCCTGCAGGAAACTTTCAAGCAGGCTCAACCAGTATTCACAAACATTATTGCTTCTGACCAGTGGCTAGTAACCAGAGGCAGCCCTTCCCATTTTGCCACCTGAGGCAAAATTGGAATTGCCACCACTTGCTGTCCCTGCACCAGCACTTCCACTGCTGGAGAACATGGGATTCTGCAAAGCTACTCAGCACAAATATAATATGGGGAAGACCTGGCTTTCCAGTAGTACAGGTGAAAAGGATCTTGGAGTCTTGAGGGACCACAGCCTTCACATTAGTCAACAGTGTGATGCAGCAGCAAAAAAGCTGATATTATTCTAGGCTGCATCAACAGAAATACAGTGTCCAGGTCAAGGGAAGACATAATGCTGCTCTATTCTGCCTTGGTCAGACCACACCTGGAATACTGTGTCCAGTTCTGAGTGCTATAATCTAAGAAGGATATTGACAAGCTGGAATGTGTAAGTTCCACAGTAAGTTTTACTGCAAGGAAGATTACATCCCACCCCCACCCCCGGCTCCAGGTGTGACACACCCATCGTTTGCAGCACACACCTTGATATTTCTATTGATGTTGCTGCCCAGGAATACAAGTTGGGTATGTGTCACTCTCTATGCTGGTTTGGATACTAGTAATTGGGAGAAGTTTACAAGGTTTCCTCCAGATATTGTTCGTTTAGCTAAAGCATTTATATGTCGTTTAATCATTAGTGTTTGTAAGTGGTATACATAAAAAATAAACCATGGGTAGAAGGAGGAGTTACGCTAAGACCAGACCATGTCATTACCAAGGAGGCAGGTTTAGTCGTTATTTGAGGACTATCCCTGCCTCTGGGTCTGATCTTGTCCAATCGGATAGTGGAATCAGCAAGCGATACCCACATGACTTGAAGGTGCTGCTGTGCAATGCAAGGTCAATGATTCATAAGACCATTGCCATCCATGACTTGATCATGGATGGAGGACTTGACCTGGCATGTGTAACAGAGACTTGGTTGGATGAAGCAGATCAGCCTGTCGTTGCCGCTGTTTGTCCACCAGGTTTCTCTTACGCACAGCAACCCAGGCCTTGTGGGTGGGGAGGGGGGCGTTGCAGTGATTTTTAGGAAGTCATTAGTTTGCGCCAGGCATCCTATTGGGAAGACCCAGTTCTCTGAGTGCATGTTCTGGAAGTTGGGCAATAGAGGCAGTACAGGATTCCTTTTGGTGTACTGACCTCTCCGCTGCACCAAGGATTCCCTGCCCAAGCTGCTTCAAGTCATAGAATCATAGAATCATAGAATCATAGAGTTGGAAGAGACCACAAGGGCCATCGAGTCCAACCCCCTGCCAAGCAGGAAACACCATCAGAGCACTCCTGACATATGGTTGTCAAGCCTCTGCTTAAAGACCTCCAAAGAAGGAGACTCCACCACACTCCTTGGCAGCAAATTCCACTGTCGAACAGCTCTTACTGTCAGTTATGTTTCCAGGGATGGCTTTCTAAAGAACTTTTGATTATTATTATTGCTGCTAAGTCATTGACCTCTTTCTTTCTTTCTTTCTTTAAGGCACACGACTCAACAAGAGACCAACAAAACCATCACAACATGCACAAATGCCATCCGACAGCTGTCTGAGGTCATCAGAGGTTCTTCAAGGGTAAGTGGCCTTTGAAATGGTTTCTGACAAAGTTGTGGAGGGTGACAGCACAATCCCATGGCTGCAAAACCCAGGAAAAATGGAAATTCCATAAAGGAGCTGGAAGGGGAAAGCAAAGGGGTTGTAGTCAAAAGAGATCTTTATTGATCCAGCGCATTTCAGATCCTTTGAATTTCTTATGCACAGGAAAGGGAGAGGCAGCACAACTAGACGCTAAATCTCTGTTTCTATGAATGTACCCAAAGAAGGACCAATAGGCTCTCTTTGAACTATCCCATTACTTTTTGTTTTGAATCCTATGTATACCTTACTCAGAAGTAAGTCCTGTTGATTGGGATTTACGCACAAGTTAATGTGCACTAGACTGCACTCATCCATATTTTTGAAGCATATTTTCCCCCATTTTTAAGGAAGGAGGCTTCCCAGTGATTCCCCCCCCCCCCAGGGTCCTTGTTTTAAGTCATGCTCTCCTAATAATGAGCAGTTTCCATGATTCCTGGTTTTATTTCTGTATCTGGCCACAATTTTTGCACAACAGCATTCATGTTCATTCAAGTCGTGGTGGATGTTCTCCTGGAGACACCTAGCTTGGTTGTCCTAGGGGATTTTAACATCCACACCAACACGACCTTACAAGGGGCCGCTCGGGACTTCATGGGAAGCATGGCCTCCATGGGGCTGTCCCTGAATGAGTCTGGCCAAACGCATAGTCGCAGACATGCCTTAGACCTGGTGCTCATTCTGAAGCTGACTGGACACGGGTTAGAGCTCAATGTTGAGCCTACCAAGTGGCAATGGTGACGGCAAAGAAGACTTTCTTCACCGCCTCTATTGCATCTGCAGAAAACAGCAGCAGGAGACTCTTTCAGGTGCTTCACAATTTAGCAGAACCACCTGCTCCATTGGGACCCAGTACAGGCCACATGATCTCCTGCAATGATTTTGCAAAGTTTTTTGCAGATAAAGTTGCTCAGATTCGGGAAGAGGTAGACTCCACCGTGGGAGCAGGGCCGGGGCGGCAGAGTGCTAGAGTCCTGTCTAGTCAAGTTGCGTGGGATCAGTTCCAATCTGTTACCTCTGCGGAGGATGTGGACAGGCTGCTTGGACGAATGAAACCAACCACCTGTCTCCTTGATCCTTGCCCATCCTGGCTTATAAAAGCTAGCCGGGAAGGGCTGGGCGATGGGCTTCACAGGGTGCTGAATGCTTCTTTCTGTGAGGGAGCCTTCCCAGGCACAATGAAAGAGGCGGTTATTAAACCGCTTCTTAAAAAAAACATCTCTAGACCTGACCAATATGGCCAACTATCACCCAGTCTCAAATCTTCCATTCTTGGGCAAGGTGATAGAGCAAGTGGTTGCTGAACAACTCCAGGCACACCTGGAAGAAGCGGACCATTTGGATCCCTTCCAGTCGGGATTCAGGCCTCATCATGGGACTGAAACTGCCTTGGTCTCTCCCCCCCCCTTTTTTTATTTATACAACAAGAAAAAAACACACACAAAAAACACAAATACCAAATTACACACAAATTACAAAAATAACCATAGACACATAATTTTCTTGGCAAACAATAAAACATCTATTGGTCTTAACACTAAAGACCCAACTTCCCATCTATTCCATATTTCAAATTCATATTACGTATTGCCAATACACATTTTTTTCATAATTAAACTTATTCTCAATAAATCTAATTTCTTCTATCTACCTAGCAACTATCACTGAAGTTCCTTGAATGCTGCAACAGAATTTAAACTACTATATTTATTTTTCAGATATTCTTTGAAAACCTCCCATTTAGAAACAAATTCCTGTTTTGATTTATTCTTTATTTTTTTCTGATAAACCATCTAATTCGGCATATTCTGTCAGCTTTTGGATCCAATCTTGTATAGAGGGGATTTCATTACTCTTCCATTTTGCTGCGATCAAAACTCTTGCTGCCGCCGTCACATATAAAAAGATACCCTTCCTCTTTTGTGGAATATCCAAATCTGTTATGCCCAGGAGGTAGGCCTCTGGTTTTTTATTGAAACAGATCTTTAGCATTTTTTGCAGTTCTGCATGTATACTCTCCCAGAATACCTGTATTTTCCTACATATCCACCACATATGGTAGAATGTTCCTGAGTCTCCGCATCTCCAACAATTACTTGACACAGTTTTATACATTTTTGAAAGTTTCCATGGTGTTAGATACCATCGATGTTGCATTTTTTGAAAGTTCTCTCTAATTGTGTAACAGTTTGTGAATTTCCAATTGATCTTCCATAAATTTTCCCATTGGGCCATGGTTATTGGATGGCCAAAATCCTGGGACCACGTCACCATTGCCACTGTTACCTCCTCCTCCTTGACTGTCCAGTCAAGGAGAAGTCGGTAAGTTTTGGAAAGAGTTTTTCTTTTAGAGTTTACAAGATCAGATTCGAATCGGGAAATTTCTGCTGAGAACCCCTTTCGTTTGTCAGATTTAAATTTTTCAAATAACTGATGGTATTGGAACCAGTCTGAAATGTGTTCTCTTATCTCCTCAAAGTTTTTTAATTTATTTTAATTTTATGTTAATTCTATTTTAATTTAATTTTAATTTTGTTATCCTCATTTTTTAGAAGTATTTTATATGTTGGCCAGCTTTCCTGAGTATTTTTCCGTTTTACTGCTATGGCTTCTACTGGAGAAGTCCACCACGGGACTTTAGGCTCCATCAGGTCTTTATATTTTTCCCATACAGCAAAGAGTGACTTTCTTATTATATGGTTGGTAAATTTTTTATGAATTTTCGCTTTTCCATATATTAGGTAGGCGTGCCATCCCCAACGGTTGTCAAAACCTTCCAGGTCCAAGGAGGCCCAGATCCTGCAACGTGCACCAATCTTTTAGCCAGGTGAAACAGGCAGCCTCGTAGTAAAGTTTTAGATCGGGTAGGGAAAAGCCTCCTCTCTCTTTTATGTCTATTAAGATCAGGTGTTTAATCCTAGGTTTCTTCCCTTCCCACAAGAATTTGGAAATTTCTCTTTGCCATATCTTGAGACAACCTGCTTCACCCAGTATCGGAATCATTTGAAATAAAAAGATTAATTTTGGAAGCTGCCTTGGTCTCACTGGTCGATGATCTCCAGCGGGCTAGGGACAAAGGTGAGAGCTGTTTCCTAGTTCTGTTGGATCTCTCAGTGGCTTTTGATACCATCAACCATAACATCCCTCTGGACTGTCTAGAGGGGCTGGGAGCTGTGGGCACTGTTATATGGTGGTTCCGCTCCTTTCTCCTGGGCCGTGTCCAGAAAGTGGTGTTGGGGGATGAGTGTTCAGACCCCTGAGCTCTCACCTGTGGGATGCCTCAGGGTTCTGTCCTCTCCCCCATGCTTTTCAACATCTACATGCAGCCTCTGGGAGAGATCATCAGGGGGTTTGGGTTGGGTGTTCATCAATATTCGGATGATACCCAGCTCTACATCTCTTTCAAATCAGAACCAGTGAAGGCGGTGAAGGTCCTGTGTGAGTGTCTGGAGGCAGTTGGAGGATGGATGGGGGCTAACAGATTGAGGTTAAATCCTGACAGGACAGAAGTACTGTTTTGGGGGGACAGGGGGCGGGCAGGTGTGGAGGACTCCCTGGTTCTGAATGGGGTAACTGTGCCCCTGAAGTACCAGGTGCATAGACTGGGAGTCATTTTGGACTCACAGATGTCCATGGAGGTGCAGGTCAATTCTGTGTCCAGGGCAGCTGTTTATTAGCTCCATCTGGTATGCAGGCTGAGACCCTACCTGCCTACAGACTGTCTCGCCAGAGTGGTGCATGCTCTAGTTATCTCTTGCTTGGACTACTGAAATGCACTCTTTGTGAGGCTATTTTTGAAGGTGACCCAGAAACTACAACTAATCCAGAATGTGGCAGCTAGACTGGTGACTGGGAGCGGCCACCGAGACCTAAATTGGCTCCCAGTACATTTCCGGGCACAATTCAAAGTGTTGGTGTTGACCTTTAAAGCCCTAAACAGCCTCTGTCCAGAATACCTGAAGGAGCGTCTCCACCCGCATCGTTCCACCTGGACACTGAGGTCCAGCGCCGAGGGCCTTCTGGCGGTTCCCTCACTGCGAGATGTGAGGTTACAGGGAACCAGACAGAGGGCCTTCTCGGTAGTGGCACCCGCCCTGTGGAACAGCCTCCCACCAGATGTCAAGGAAATAAACAAATACCAGTCTTTTAGAAGACCTCTGAAGGCAACCCTGTTTAGGGAATATTTTAATGTTTAACAGACCACTGTATTTTAATATTTTGTTGGAAGCTGCCCAGCGTGGCTGGGGAAATCAAGCCAAATCGGTGGGGTATAAATAATAAATTATTATTATTATAACCATAGAGAGTATAAAGCAATTAAAAGTCCTCATAACAGCAAGCACATTATGCTGCGAACTTCCCTGAGATTTTGAGGTGAAGGGTGGTATACAAATTCAATAAATAAAATAAAATAAATAAATGATAACTTAAAATGGCTGTTGGAATTTCAGCTGCCATCAGGCCAAGCTAGCATGATCAATGGTTGGGATTATGAGAGTTGTATGTTGTATTCACATTAATGCCATATTAATCTTTATTTATTGCATTTCAACATACCACAGTTTTCCTGATTTTTCACATTTTATGATGATTGATGATTAATACATGTTGACCATATTTTTTTATGCCCCCCCCCAATTTAATTTCATTTGCATTCCTAAGAATTTGGGTTGGGGGGGGGGTCATTGACAACTTTATAAGCTTGTCAAAGGGTCCATGAACTCAACAGTTGGAGAAAATGTTGTTTTAAACATATTAAGTAGCCCTATATTGGGCAAAGAAGTAATCACCACTCCCTTAGTAGGTTGTGAACTCTGCTTCCTAGGAGGTTTTTCAGCAGAGGTTGGATGGCCATCTGTCATGGATGCTTGAGCTGAGCTCCCTGTATTGCCAGGGCTGGACCAGATGACCCCTTGCAATGCTACAATCCCATGATTCTATGTTTTGGACAGTACTGTGTTTTCAGAATATTTCGAAAGAGGAATTACATCCCAACAGGGAAGGGAACAGCTGATGTTTGTGAATGGTTGTAGCTAAGCAGCAGAGCTCATGCTCTGCCATATATACAGTGGTACCTTGGGTTTTGAACTTAATCCGTTCCGAAGTCCATTCTTAAACCGAAACCATTCTTAAACTGAAGTGCGCTTTCCCTAATGAGGCCTCCCACCACCGGTGCCCTTCCACCGTTCGGATTCCGTTTTTAGACAGGGGTAAAGTTCTCAAACCAAGACACTATTTCTGGTTTTGCGGAGTTTGTAAACCAAATTGTTCTTAAACTGGACTGTTCTTAAACTGCGATAGGTTTGAGTCTCTGCCATCTCAAGGTAGGGGTTAGAAAGGCTTCTAACTCAGGCCCCTGCCAGTCAGTGAAGATCTGGTGTAGCCAGTGCAGCAGTTTCCAGATGTTATGAACTCCAATGAATATGTTTTTAAACTCCTTGCTCAAGATTAAACATGATCTTGATGCTATGGGGGCAGTCACCCACAATTCTGCTTTTTGTGCCTGCAAAGGTTTTGGGGTGGCTAGTGGTTACAGTGGACCTGGAAGACCAGGGTTCAAATCCCCATGCATCCATGAAGCTCACTGGGTGATCCAGTCACTGCCTCTCAGCCTGACCTACCTCACAGGGTAGTAGTGGAGATTACCATGAACACAACCTTGAGGAGGGGGCGTACCATGTACACAACCTTAAGCTCCTTGAAGAATAATGTGGGATGCAATAAATAAATGAAAAATAAGGGGGTGAAACTGTGCTTCATTTCCTATGTGTATATCCTGTAACTTCCTAAATGAACTCCTGTAACGTTTTATACAACAAATGTTTTGTACTAGAAGTGTTCTGGTTTATTTTTATCTTGCATTTGTTGTGCTATTTCTTTTCCAGATAGCAATAATGTAGTAGCTAATCACAAACCAAACTAAAGCAGAGAAAGCCAACCAAAGCACTATTCATCTGATTATTGCTGGCATCCGTCTGTTTTGGGAATCAATGTAGAAGTGCACCTTTGGGGGTGAAGTCAAACTGTTGGAAGGTTACAGCATTGACCGATGAGGAAGAAACATATTTGCTGCAGCTGGACAGCAAATGCACCATCAGCTTTGGTTGGTGGCCTAGACATGGGCCCCTATCATGACAGGGATAGCCTAATGTCTGTCTTCAATGCTCTAGTAACTTCTAGGCTAGATTACCGTGATATGCGGGGCTGACTCTGAAGATGGTTCAGAATCTTCAGCTGGTGCAGAATTCAGTAGCCAGATTCCACACTGGAGGAAGACGTTTCAGCATATAGCACCAATCCTGCAAATAGTTTCTGGGCTCTATTCAAAGTGCTGATTTTGACCAATAAAGCCTTAAGTGGCTCAGGAATGCAAAACCAACCCAGACCCTGTTTGTGGGATGCTCCCAGTAGCGAGCCAGCCTTGTTGGCTTCATCATTAAATATCTTTAGGCTCCAGATGAAAACATTCCTCTTCTCCCAGGCCTTTGCCTAATTAAACAATCTATGGCCTTTTAAACTGGGGTGTAGGTATTGTTGTGTTTGTTACTATGTTGTGTATTTTTGTGTTTTTATATTGTAAACCACCCTCTGATCCTTGGATGAAGGGCAGTATAGATAAATAAAAATAAATAAAACAGACCACTTGGGGATCTACTTTGGATGAAAGGTGGTTTTAAAAGTTGAATGAATGAATACTGTCCCACACGTTACCCACATGCCTGTCAATACCCCGAAGAACTCTCAAAATTTAGTGAGATAATGTTGACTTTTATGATGATGATTATTAAGGCAATTACTATACCAACCTACTATATGAAAAGATATCTCTAAGCAGTTTGTAAAATAACAGCAATGACATAAGTTTCAAAAAGAACCCATAGAACCATTCATGTGAATTACTAATCAATACAGCAATAAATTTGGAAACCCATTCCCACAAACCACCTCTCAGTCTCCTGACTCTCTCCCAGGTCTTCACTCATCCATCCTGGCTCTCACACGAGCAAACTCACAGATCACCACCCTCAAAATAAAAAAATAAAAAAATAAAATCTCACAAAGAAGAGGGTTCTTGCAATCTGCTGGCATCTCCCTAGTCTCTCGCTCTAGGGATGATGGGTAGGCGCTCAGGACTGATAAAACTTTTTCAGGCAGGCAGCTTACAACAGTGTCCTCTTCTGCTGCACCACACGCACACAATTTCAGGCTACAGCAGGTTGGGTGTGATGAGTTTTCTCAGAGGTACCAAGGATGGCAAATATGGCACCCCCTCCACCCATAGTTCATTTGCTGGCCTCTGCACAACTCTTCCAGAAGCTCTTCTACCTTTGCACAGTTGTGGGGAGCCTCCAGCAAATGGGCTAGTCTTGATTGGCCAGAGTGTCCCAGTTGTCCTTTGCAGCCATTTTCCCCAACCCATGCCCACCAGACTCAAGAACTACCCACCTGCCTTTCCAAGTCAGTTTGTTTGCCCCCATCCAGCCCACCAGGTTACACACCGGGATGCTGGAATAAAGAAGTGAAGGTCCCTGCCCATTGCTTGAAATGAAAGCCCAGCTGTCACCCATATTCATCATATGACTTCAGCGGAATGCACAAAACACACTAGTAGAAACAGGCACTTGTTATATCAGCAGATCCTGAGATTACTTTTTGATGGTGTATAAAATAAGAGAGGAGCATGACTAAGATGATCAAGGGTCTGGAAACCAAACCTTATAAGGAGCAGTTGAAGGAGTTGAGTATGTTTAGCCTGGAAAAGAGGAGACTGAGAGGAGATATGATAGCCATCTTCAAATACCATAAGGGCTGTCACATGGAAGAGGGAGCAAGCTTGTTTTCTCCGGCTCTAGAGGGTAGGACCCAAACCAATGGCTTCAAGTTACAAGAAAGGAGACTCCGACTAAACATACAGAAAATCTTTCTGACAGTAAGACACTGTTTGACAGTGGAACAGTCTCCCTCGGGAGGTTGTGGACTTGCCTTCATTGGATGTTTTTAAGCAGAAGTTGGGCAGCCACTTAGATTCCTGCATTGCAGGGTGTTTTGGGCTAGATGACCCTCGATATCCCTTCCAGCTCTACAGTTCTATGATTCTATAAAAGTTGCAGGCATCATGAAACTTAACTTGCAGCCTGACCTCATGGCTGCTGCTTACAACATTTAGCCTAATTTCTGGACTGCCACCACCCCACTTCATGATTCCAACCAGAGGTGCCAGCTTCCGATGTTGTGTGGCACATGACGTTGTGCACATGGTGTCCCAATATCGTGTATGTGATGTCAGGATGTCAGAGAAGCTGGATGCGGAGCTGAAAGCAGTGGCAGTGCAGCTTCAATGTCCACAGCTCCTCCTCCTGCCACCACCGAAGGAGCTGGCCACTGAAGCGGCGCAGTGCTTGGTCTCTTCCTCCACTTTTGAACATGGGGGCACCCCCCCCAATATATTGGGGTGACCCATAAGGGCTCAGCCTCTAGGAGATGCCCCCCCTTGCTTTGCTTGATAGAGAGCCCTGGACTTGGAATCTTGCTATTTTTATGACATTTCAGCTATACAGCTGCAAATAAAACATTTTGTGTTTTAAGTGCAATATACAATGTGACACTAGATGGCGAGCCTTACAGAAAAAAACACTTTAAAAAAAGATTTTTGGAATGGTTTTTATTATATGTGTGTAGATTCCACCATTATGTCTGGTTTCCAGCGAGGTTTTTTTGGAGGGTTGTTTCTTCTTCTTCTTCTGGATTAGCACAGCCTTTTCTATATTTCTACATAAATCCACAAGCTCTGTCTGAGCAGAAAGGACAATAAGTTTTGTATTTCTCCATCTATGCAGAAGGTAAAGATGATGGTGGTGAAGATGACAGTTCTCCTTAAATCCCCAAGCGCTGACTACCAGCAGAGATGGATGGTGATGATTTTTCATATAAGCCAGCAAGGAAAAAAAGAGTAATAACATTTTCTTTGCTTTGTTATAAAAAAAGTAATGCCATATGACTTTTTGTTTTTGCTTTGTTATATAAAAAATTAATATGAAAAAAATGTAATGCAGCACTTTCCATTTATAAGAAAACACTGAAGCGGTTTCAATCAGGTGACAGCAAAAATTGCAAAACATTTTTTAGTAGGGGCAATTAGAATAAGATCTATCATTTGATTACAAACCACCAGAATGTATTTTGTATAGTTATAGTTACTCCACCACAGCATATAAGGCTCCAAGGAGGCCTCGGGACATTGCTGCTGCTGCTCTGCCTATGAGTCTTGGGGAGGACCGCTCCCCCCTGAAGCCCTTTTTCCACCTTGGGCCTGGGGGCGGGCCCCATACTCCACCTCAGCATATAAGGCTCCAAGGAGGCCTCGGGACATTGCTGCTGCCGCTCTGCCTATGAGTCTTGGGGAGGACCGCTCCCCCCTGAAGCCCTTTTTCCACCTTGGGCCTGGGGGCAGGCCCCATACTCCACCACAGCATATAAGGCTCCAAGGAGGCCTCGGGACATTGCTGCTGCCGCTTTGCCGGTGAGTCTTGGGGAGGACCGCTTCCCCCTGAAGCCCTTTTTCCACCTTGGGCCGGGGGGCGGGCCCCATACTCCACCACAGCATATAAGGCTCCAAGGAGGCCTCGGGACATTGCTGCTGTTGCTTTGCCGGTGAGTCTTGGGGAGGACCGCTCCCCCTTGAAGCCCATTTTCCACCTTGGGCCTGGGGGCGGGCCCCATACTCGCCTCCGCAGCTTATGGGGCTCCAGGGAGGCCTCGGGTGTGTGGGGTGGGGTGGGTGTTTAGTTGGGTGTGGGAATTTGTTTAATTTAATTATGTTGTGTTTGTAACTTTGTTTTTTGTTTTTATAGTTTTATTGTTCTGTTAGTTTGATTTTTGTATAGGCTTTAATTTGATTTTAAGGGGAGGGGTCAGGGCTGCCTGGGAGTGGGTCCCAGCAAACAAAATGGCTGGGGCAGGTTCCACAGGGGGGGATGCACTCGGACAACCGATCTCAGTGATCACGGGTAGGAGGAGGAGTTACGCTAAGACCAGACCATGTCATTACCGAGGAAGCAGGCTTAGTCGTTGTTTGAGGACTATCCCTGCCTCCAGGTCTGGTCCTGACCGGAAGGATACTGGAATCAACAAGGGAAACCCACATGACCTGAAAGTGTTGCTGTGCAATGCCAGGTCAATGATGAATAAAACCTCTGCCATCCACGACCTGATTGTGGATGGAGGATTTGACCTGGCATGTGTGACAGAGACCTGGTTGGATGAAGCAGATGGGCCCGTCCTTGCCGCTGCTTGTCCACCAGGTTTCTCTTACGCACAGCAACCCAGGCCTTGTGGGCGGGGAGGGGGGGTTGCAGTGATTTTTAGGAAGTCATTAGTTTGCACCAGGCGTCCTATTGGAAAGACCCAGTTCTCTGAGTGCATGTTCTGGAAGTTGGGCAATAGGGGCAGTACAGGATTCCTATTGGTGTACCGACCTCCCCGCTGCACCAAGGATTCCCTGCCCGAGCTGCTTCAGGTCGTGGCGGATGTCCTCCTGGAGACACCTAGTTTGGTTGTCCTAGGGGACTTTAACATCCATGCCGACACGACCTTACAAGGGGCCGCTCGGGACTTCGTGGAAAGCATGGCCTCCATGGGGCTGTCCCTGAATAAGTCTGGCCCAACTCATAGCCACGGGCATGCCTTAGACCTGGTGTTCACCTCTATGGATGTTGGTGATCTGACATTAAGTAAAAGCGAAACCAAAGAAGTGCCATGGTCAGATCACTTCCTGGTGCAACTGGACTTCTCCGTGACCCTTCCCCTCTGCAGGGAGGCGGGACCGATTCAGATGGTCCGCCCCCGCCACTTAATGGATCCAAATGGTTTCCAGAGAGTGGTAGGGGATGTTTTATCCCATGTTGATGGCCTTTCAGCTGATTCCCTGGTGGCCCGCTGGAATGTGGAGTTAACCAGGGCTATTGACTGTTTGGCTCCAAAGCGCCCTCTCCGATTGCATGGAGTCCGGACAGCCCCGTGGTTTTCCACGGATCTGAGGGCAATGAAACAATCGTTGAGACGGCTAGAGCGCCGGTGGCGGATAACCCATTCTGAATCTGACCGGACACGGGTTAGAGCTCAATGTCGAGCCTACCAAGTGGCGATAGCGACGGCGAAGAAGACTTTCTTCACCGCCTCTATTGCATCTGCGGAAAACAGCAGCAGGAGACTCTTTCAGGTGGTTCGCAATTTAGCGGAACCACCTGCTCCATCAGGGCCCAGTAGCGGCCACATGATCTCCTGCAATGACTTTGCAAAGTTTTTTGCAGATAAAGTTGCTCAGATTCGAGAAGAGGTAGACTCCACCGTGGGAGCAGGGCCGGGGCGGGAGAGTGCTAGAGTCCTGTCTAGTCAAGTTGTGTGGGATCAATTCCAATCTGTTACCCCCGAGGATGTGGACAGGCTGCTTGGACGAGTGAAACCAACCACTTGCCTCCTTGATCCTTGCCCATCCTGGCTTATAAAAGCTAGCCGGGAAGGACTGGGCGATGGGCTTCGTGGGGTGGTGAATGCTTCCCTCCGTGAGGAGCCTTCCCAGACCCGCTGAAAGAGGCGGTTATTAAACCGCTTCTTAAAAAACCATCTTTAGATGCGGCCACGATAGCCAACTATCGCCCAGTCTCAAATCTTCCATTCTTGGGCAAGGTGATTGAGCGAGTGGTTGCTGAACAACTCCAGGCACGCCTGGAAGAAGCGGACCATTTGGATCCCTTCCAGTCGGGATTCAGGCCTCATCATGGGACTGAAACTGCCTTGGTCGCACTGGTTGATGATCTCCGGCGGGCTAGGGACAAAGGTGAGAGCTGTTTCCTAGTTCTGCTGGATCTCTCAGCGGCGTTTGATACCATCGACCATAACATCCTTCTGGACCGTCTTGAGGGGCTGGGAGCTGGGGGCACTGTTATACAGTGGTTCCGCTCCTTCCTCCTGGGCCGTGTTCAGAAAGTGGTGGTGGGGGATGAGTGTTCAGACCCCTGGGCCCTCACTTGTGGGGTGCCTCAGGGTTCTGTCCTCTCCCCCATGCTTTTCAACATCTACATGAAGCCGCTGGGAGAGATCATCAGGGGATTTGGGCTGGGTGTTCATCAGTATGCAGATGATACCCAGCTCTACCTCTCTTTCAAATCAGAACCAGTGAAGGCAGTGAAGGTCCTGTGTGAGTGCCTGGAGGCGGTTGGAGGTTGGATGGCGGCTAACAGATTGAGGTTGAATCCTGACAAGACAGAAGTACTGTTTTTGGGGACAGGAGGCGGGCAGGTGTGGAGGATTCCCTGGTCCTGAATGGGGTAACTGTGCCCCTGAAGGACCAGGTGCGCAGCCTGGGAGTCATTTTGGACTCACAGCTGTCCATGGAGGCACAGGTCAGATCTGTGTCCAGGGCAGCTGTTTACCAGCTCCATCTGGTACGCAGGCTGAGACCCTATCTGCCTGCGGACTGCCTCGCCAGAGTGGTGCATGCTCTGGTTATCTCCCGCTTGGATTACTGCAATGCGCTCTACGTGGGGCTACCTTTGAAGGTGACCCGGAAACTACAACTAATCCAGAACGCGGCAGCTAGACTGGTGACTGGGAGCGGCCGCTGAGACCACATAACACCGGTCTTGAAAGACCTACATTGGCTCCCAGTACGTTTCCGAGCACAATTCAAAGTGTTGGTGCTGACCTTTAAAGCCCTAAACGGCCTTGGTCCAGTATACCTGAAGGAGCGTCTCCACCCCCATCGTTCTACCCGGACACTGAGGTCCAGCACCGAGGGCCTTCTGGCGGTTCCCTCACTGCGAGAAGCCAAGTTACAGGGAACCAGGCAGAGGGCCTTCTCGGTAGTGGCGCCTTCCCTGTGGAACACCCTCCCACCAGATGTCAAAGAGAACAACAACTACCAGGCTTTTAGAAGACATCTGAAGGCAGCCCTGTTTCGGGAAGCTTTTAATGTTTGATGTATTATAGTATTTTAATATTATTTTGGAAGCCGCCCAGAGTGGCCGGGGAAGCCCAGCCAGATGGGCGGGGTATAAATAATAAATTATTATTATTATTATTATTATTATTATTATTATTATTATCTCTAAAGTCTGCTGGGATTTCTTCTCTTTCCCAGATTATTTCGATGAGCTTGTGAAGTTGTTGTGTAAATTTAATTCCGCCCTCTTTGAAGACTTCGGCAGGTATCCCATCAGGTCTGCTGTCTTTGTTGTTTTTCATTTGGTTAATAGCTGTACACAGCTCTCCCAGATTTGGAGATACCCCAAGCTCATCTCTAACTTGTTTTGGGGGAATTTGTGAGAGGACCCCAGCAGCTACAGGGGAGTGGGGGCGGGTCAGGTAAGCCCCTCCCTGATGACATGAGGTGGCGTGTACACCCACCCTCTGAACGGCAATGCCCGTTAACTTGCGCCCCCCCCCATATATTTTAACGGGCCCCCCCTAAGACCCCTCGGCCCGGCTCCTCAGATGTTCTGACGGCAGAATCGGGAGGCCGCCCCTGAATCCCTGAGGCGCCTCCTGAGGAGAAAACGGCCTCGCCTCGCGCCCGCCCGTTCCCGCCTCAGACAGGCGGAGACGCTCCCGCCCCCTCCCCCCCCCCCGCCTGCTCTCTCTCGCGCGGCCCGGCCCCTCCCCGGCGCCTGCGCAGTACCCGCCCCGACGCTGCTCCCTCCTGCCGCCGTTTGTTATTATTGTGGGTCGCGCGGCGTCGGTTCTCCTCAGCGGCATCGATGGCGGCCGGGCAAGGCGGAGGCACCACGGGCGGCGGCGGAGGCGGCGGAGCAGGGGGCTCCGGGCCCAGCTCGGGCCCCGCCGGCCCTCCGCCCTCGTCCCCGCTGTCCCTGCCGCCCCTTCCCCCGCCGCCCCCGCCGCTGCCTCTCCCTCCGCCGCCGCCGCCGCCCTGCTCGGAGGCTGGGCCTGCCGGGCTCGGGGTTCTTCGGGCTGCCGGCGCACCTCACGCTCTCGTACCCGGGCACGGGGCCGGCCTGGGCGGCGGGCGGCGGAGGCGCTTCGGGCGGAGGCGGCGGCGCCTCGTCGTCCGCGTCGTCTTCGTCGTCGTCCTCCCCGGCGCCTCCCTCGGGCCGCAGCCTGGAAAAGGCCCTGGAGGAAGCCGGCAGCTCCGGCATCCTCTGCCTCAGCGGCAGGAAGCTCCGGGAGTTCCCGCAAGCCTCCGGAGCAGCGCCCGGGGCCGCCGCCTACGACCTCAGCGACACCACCCAGGCCGGTGAGGAAAGACAGGTGGGGCGGGGTGGGGGCGAGGTCTGTGCGTGAGAGAGAGGGGAGCAGGGCTCTCTCTTGGGCAGGGGGTGTCCCTTGGCAGAAGGGGCGCGCAGGAGAAGGGCGCGGGAAGGGTGGGCGGCCGAGTGAGGGGTGCGAGGGGAGGGGGAGTTTTCGGATGAATGAATGGGTGGAATGGAGGGGGGACAAGAAGACGACGAGCCAGCGGGGAGGGGGGGGAGATGAAGGTGACGGATGTGGGATGGGGGGGGTGTCGGTCGTTGCATGGAGTGGGGGTCGCCGTGGAGTGGGCTGATTTTGGGCCAGTCACTCAGCCTCACCTGCCTCGCAGGGTTGCGAGGTTGTAAAATGGGGAGGAGGAGAGCACTGCACTCAGCTGTCATCTGAGGGCAGTCATTCCACCAGGCTTCCTCAGTGCCACATTGGAGTTTTCTTGTGTTACATTTCCCTCTTCCCTCCTTTCCCCCCTTGTATGCTGTATTTTTGTTCGTTTGTTTGTTAGAATGTAAGCCTGCTGGGAGAGAGCGTCTTGTATGTAAGCTGCTCTGGTAGCCTTTTTTGGCAGACGAATTGGGGGTGCAAGTGCTCCAAATAATGAATGAATGAATGTGTATGTGCTACTTTGAGCTTGCTGGGGGAAAGGTGGGCTATACAGTGGTACCTCGCGTTACAGACGCTTCAGATTACAGACACTTCAGGTTACAGACTCCGCTAACCCAGAAATAGTACCTCGGGTTAAGAACTTTGCTTCAGGATGAGAACAGAAATTGCGACGCCACAGCGCAGCGGCAGCGGGAGGCCCCATTTGCTAAAGTGGTGGTTCAGGTTAAGAACAGTTTCTGGTTAAGAACAGACCTCCAGAATGAATTAAGTACATAACCTGAGGTACCACTGTAAATGCAATCAGTCAATGAAGAGGATGCATCAGACATGAGGGAAAGATTAAAAAAAAGAGTTGAAGGGAGAAGAGTTGGGGGCTTGTGGTTGGAGAGGTGCCTGCATGCAAGGAGAGGGGATTGCAAAAAAGGAAGGATGGAAAGGAATGGAAATGGTGTGTGTTTGTGTGTGAATGAGTGAAGATGGAAGCAGGGTTTGTATAAAAGGGTACAGGCTTCAGAAATGGTATTTGTGATTTAGGGGTTTGCTATGGGGGCAGCTAGAGCTGGTTGCAGAAAATGTTGCTGGAGGTGGAAAAGGGGAAGTGGGAGGAGGCTTGTGTACATTAAGGGAGAGGCGGCCGCTGCTGAGGAAGGTGAAGGTGACAAGGGGGGAGTTGTTGCAAGTAGGGGGGCTGGGGAAGATCCAGGCCCTGGGGAAGATCCAGGAAGATCCATGAGGATGAGGGTGCTATGTGCAAGGAAGGTGTTGGGGATGCTTGGGGAAGGAGCAGCGTATGAAGGGGAGGGGGGCTGAATTGGCTTTATTGTTTGCTTCTGCAGGAGAAGAAACTAGGGTGGCAGAGGGCTGTGCTGCCAAGGGTGGGGAGGAAGCTTGTAAAGGGGAATCCATTTTTCTCTTTAGGAGAAGAAGTTAAAGAGAGAGGGGGTTGAGTAATGGATGCTGACTTGAGAAAAGTGGTGTTTTGGGGAGCAAGGTCAAAGCTGCCTTTCTGTGACTGAGTATGATGGAAGGGTGACAGGATTAGCATGTGGCTGGATTACAGGGCTAGGGGCCTAGTTTATTTGTTTACTTTTCAGGAGAGGTTTATTTGTTTACTTTTCAGGAGATGGTTTGGAGCAATTTAAAATCTATCACAAAGGTACCATGTAGGATGCATGGGATGTTGGGCTGCTAGGTTAGGCCTGCCCTGCTGATAGAGCTGCAGTGGGAGGCAGGAGCATACCTGCGGGGCTGGCATTGTTGCAGGGAGACAAGGTGTGTGTGGCGGGGTGACATTGTGGGGATGTGAGGACAAGGTTGGATTGAGAGTGGAGCAAGATATTGTACAGCTTGTGGTATGTTGTTGGGATTAGAGCTTCACTTTTGAAGCACAGGGCAGGGGGATGGGGCTGCATTGAGAAGTATGTGTGGGGAATGCGATAATGGATTTGGGGGTAGAGAGGAAAAAAGAGGAGTGCAGCTTGCTGCCAGAAGGAGGGCTGGCCTGAAATGTCGCACAGCATTTGAGAAGAAGTTCATTGTAGCAGCACAAGATGGAGAGGCTGTGGGGTGGGTTGATATTCTTTTGTAGTGGATGCACAAGGTATGTGGGAGTGGGTGGGGGATGGGGTTTCATGGGAGAAAAAACCCTGGTACTTTGTGGATTAAGGTTAGGGTTAATCCAAAATGCTACAGCGTTGCTACAGGGATGCTACAGTGAGATAGATTGCAACTAAGACTTTGCCAGAGAGAGATTCTCTCTCTCTCTCTCTCTCTCTCTCTCTCTCTCTCTCTCTGTGTGTACGCACGCTCACGTGTGTGTAAATGGGATAGGAACTGGGTGCACTGCAGTTGCAAGGTGAAGCTTTGAGGCACAAGGATAGGTTGAGAGAAGGGTTGGGGAATTAGCATAATAGGGATTAGGTTAGTTGGTTAGACTTGCAAGAGAAAAAAGAAACTGGATGATAGGTGTGATTGTAGGAGAATCATGACAGATTAGTGTCTTGAGTGTGGAATGTGAGATACAAGTGACTGCTTTTAATGGGTTGCTTCTTTTATAAATGATTTGTTTGACTGGGGACTGGCTTGATGTTTAAATATGCTAATCCAGAGAGGTACAATGCCACAATGCTTCTAGAACATTAAGAAATACACATGCTGTGGTTTTGTTTATAAATACAAGCAAAGCAGCATATTGGCTATATATAGATACTTATTAAATTATAATGCAGAGTTCTTATTTGAGGCACTCTTGGGACCAATGTAAATTTAATGGGATTCATAAGCTTCAGGAGTAGTCTTGTAGGACTATCCATCAGAGCTGTAAACATTTATGAAATCTTGCTTGGTATTCTTCCATTTCTCAAAACTGAACATTAATGATAGCTTGGAGATTGAGATGGTGGCTTAGAGTGCAGAGTTAGATAATTGATTTATCATTCTGTATGCAAGACTACAGCACCTGTGACTATTCTGTGATCCCATGGTCACTGTTGAGTCCTCATTCTCCATTAATCTCTGTTGAGGGCTGCATTTGGGATCTCTGTTAAGTTCTCTATTTATTGGAAGGAGAAAATCTGGAAGGGCAGGTGTGAAATTGGACAGTATTTTGGAGTAATAACTGTTGAGTTTGTTTACCCATTGCATATAAATTTTAGTTGCCTTAGAAACAGTACAATTAAAGCAAGAGATAAAATTAATGAATGTCTCCTGCCTATAAACAGATTCTACTTAAGTATATTGAACACACTAAGATCATTACTATATATGGTGCTATCAGTATTCTTCAATATAAAGATCTTCTGTATAAAATGTCTGACATATAGCAAAGCATAGGTCCCCTAAAGAAGTTCATTAACTTGGCACATACATAGTTAATATGCCAAGATGTTTAGTATTAATAATAGGTGGTTTGTGAATAACTGTTGTTAATAACATTATCACTGTTAGTACTTTCTGCATTTCATTTCCTTGCTATTTTCAATCCTCTCAGCTTTGTGTGGACTCTAGGCCAGGCATGGGGAATCTCTGGCCTGTGGGCCTAATTAGATATAGTCAGGGTCGTTATTTGATCTACAAGACCCCCCCCCCCTGCAATTCATGCTCTCCTACCCTGCACCTGATGTCATATATGAGGCCAGGTGTGGGGCAGGTAAGGACCCTGCTCCCTACTTAAAGCGAAGTTGGCAGGCACTGCTGATCAGCTGGTTCATGGCACTTAAAAAGCTTTGTGTCTTTGCCCTACATCAAAGAAAAACTTCATCTGACATAATAGTGACATTCAGGGAATTGACAGGTAGCTGGGGTCACCTACCTGTCAAAATGGTCTCTGCGGAAAGATCCCTACTCCTGCCGTGGTCCATGAAAGCTATTATTCCTCAATAAATTTGTTAGGTTTTAAGGTGCCTCATTACTAATTTTTCTTTATACAACAATGCATGTAGACAATGACATCTTAATCATGTACAGTTAACATGTCAGGAAGTGATAATCTGCTTTTTTAAAATCAAAGACCATCTTGACAGTGAGTCCTTGAAGGCTTGCTCCCTGTCTTGCAAGCCTTTCCTGGCCTGGGAGGGTGGGGCCCTGAATGACTCCAGCTATGAAAGCTGAGACTGCTGAACAGAATCTTGGGCTAGAGCAGGGGTCAGCAAACTTTTTAAGCAGGGGGCCAGTCCACTGTCCCTCAAGCCTTGGGGGCAGGGGCGGACTATAATTTGAAGGGGGAAAAAGAAAAAATTCCTATGCCCCACAAATAATCTAGAAATGCATTTTAAATAAAAGGACACATTCTACTTTTGTAAAAACACACTGATTCCTGGACTGTCCGTAGGCCGGATTTAGAAGGCGATTGGGCCGGATCCGGCCCTCGGGCCTTAGTTTGCCTACCCACGGGCTAGAGAATTGTTTAGGATTTTGTTGGGAGGGGGCTATTGCTGTTGTTGCTCTTAATTTTTTTTTTATCTTTATTTTGGATCTTATGGTTTATGTGGAATTGGTCCAGTTTGGTTGTGTACTTTTTGATTATATGTTTATGACTACTTTTGTTTGTTGGTAGTTACGTTATTTTGAATATATTGAGTATAGTCTAAAATTTGGAAAGACGGCTTACAAATAAAACGATTGATTTTACCTGGCTTTAGCAGTGTTAAAGTAAGAAAACGTAATGAAATTTATATTAATGAGACCCTCTCAGTCAAAATCTCACAAAATTTTATTTAAAGCTCTTTGTCAGAGAAAACAAGTGCAGGGGCGGGGAGCAAATTTGAAAGCAGCAATAAAATGTCCACCCTGGTTTCTTGGTTGTATTTTGTGTAGGCTGCTTTACCTTAAAGGAGCTGCTGGTTTACCTTTCAAGCTTCAATACTCTTGAGTTACGAAAGTTTTAAGTGTTTCACCTACCATTTTATAATGTAGGGTACAGCAGTCCAAACCCTCTTTGAGGGTGGGGGTGGCATTTGTACTTCGGATTGGGCAGAATGATACTGCCCTTCTCTTCTAGCCTCTGCCTGCAGGTTGTTGCCAGTGTAACTCAGCCAGCATGGAACGCATTCTTGTGCTGCATAAGCAGAAGTGCCATTGGCAGGTTCTCTGCTGGATCCTGAGCTGGTCCTGCTGTTGTCACATTGGGCTGATTCAGGGACCATTCCTGCACCAGCTCCAAGCTAGCCCAGCAATTTGCAACCCCCGTGTGTGTGTGTGACAATGCTGTACGTATAGCTGTGGTTCCGATGTTCATTTAAGCCTCCCTCCACCCTCAGCAACCTAGGTTAGGATCACACCCTTTGATTTGTACTAGTTCAACTTTGTTGTGGAGTGGCAGGGTTGGGCATTTTCTTGACCAAAAAGATTTGATTGATTGGTCAAATTGATAATTTTTTTAAAAAACAACAACCCCAGAAACTTTATTGCAGTAGTAGAAAATGTACTTTAATAATCACATTAGATAATTACAAATTTTGTTTTACATAAGTTAACTGTAAGATACACTAAAAATATAGAAAGGGTTGAGAGCATATATGAAACTGCTATTAAATAAATTAGCAGATACTTAGCTTGCAAAAACTTGGCAAAAGACAGCCAAGGAAAGGGTTGTCCTTGTTTCACAAGGCCAAGTAGGAGGGACACAGAGAAGGGCATCTCTTTCTGATCTTAGGAAGAGCATAGAATGATAAGGGAATAGGTATATTATCAATTTTCCTGGACCCAGGCCATATAGGGTTTCTAAAGCAGTCACAACCACTTTTAGGGGTGCCCAGAAGAAAATGGGCAACCAGTGCAGGTGTTGCAACATAGGTATAACATGCTCCCATTGGTGCATGTCAGTAACATGGTTGGTTTTGTTTTCTGGACCAATAGCACATCCCAAATACTTTTTAAAGTATGAAATAATTGCAGAATATTATTATCTTTGACTTTTATCCTGACACATCAGGCTCAGCAAAGTAACAGCAACAAATAAGGGTTTATAATCTTTTAAAAGGCAGAAGTGTCAGGACTGAAGCTGGTTAAAGATCTTGGCTTGTTCTATCTTGGCAAGCATAGTTTCCTGACTTGGACATAACGGGATGCTGATTTTTGATTAAAGACTTCCTGGATTAATCACAGTATGCTGAGGAGGGTTGAGGTGGCAAAAGAACAGAATATGTGGACACAAGGCTCATATTAGGTCACTATATGTATTTCATAACGGGGTCACTCCCTGGTTCTGCAGTAACCCAGGACTGCTCTCTTAAGCAGGAGAAGTTGTGGAGAACAAATGACACTGTGTTCTGTTGTGAGAAGGGTGTGCATCTTTCCCCTGAATTTTTCCAGGATATTCCATATTTCATGAATACATTTTTATTAAAATAGGGCATAAATCCTTAAGGTAGAGTCCAGCAGAATGTGAAAGCCTCAGCTTATTATACAGGCAGATACACTGAGTTCATGTTCTCCCTGTTTCTTGTTTAACAGGAATAGAATGTGGCTTCCTGAGTACTGCTTTTTAAAACTAGGCTTATAACATTCATAATTGCAAAGAGAAAAAATGTGATGCGTGGGCGATGTTGGCTTAGGGCGCAAGGAGCAAAATGTAGCTTGGGCTGCCCATGGTTAGAGGGCTCTTGAAATGAAGTGATGAAATATAATTTAACGATGCATCTTGCATGTTTTGGATGCCAAAACTTGAAAGTTATTTCATTTGCTTTTTGTTTGGAGGATTGCCCCGCTTGTGAGATGTGCCAGGAGAAATAAGTTCAAATAAACCTCTTCAGAGCCTTGTATGGCAGTCATGGGGTTTTGAGGCTTGGAATCCTCTTCAGTGCTGCAGACACTTGACTAGTTACCCTCAGTCTTGTCAGCTATCAATAGCAAACTATATAATTGTTAAATAAATAATCTTAAGTATTTTCTTTTCACTCTGGAACATGCAAAAGAATGGGGGTAAGCCGCAACCATATGAGAAGAAAAATCTGGACTCCTGCCATTAAGAAAAACAGACTAAATTCCATGCTTACACTGTATTCAGCAGCAGCTTCAGAGATAAACTAGATCTGTAGTCTTTAACTTTTTCAAACTTAGGAATCTTCTTCAAACCAAACATGTATTTGGAGACCTTCTGCCATTTATTTGCATGATGGTAGTGCTGTTGTAACTCTCTTTAAATCAGGCCGTGATGCAGTAGTGCAGAGGTCGGCAAGGCTTACCAGGCATGGGCCGGATCATTCCTGCGGAGATCTTCCATGGGCCGGACCGGTGCAGCTTGACACCGGAAATCACATCTGCGCATGGCTGTGGCGTCAGAAATCGCTTCTATGCATGCCCAGATGCCAAAAATTGCACCTGCGCAGAAGCGATTTTCGTTATCTGGGCATGTGCAGAAGCGATTTCCGGTGCCGCAGACATGCACAGATGCAATTACCGGCGTCTGGGCATGCGCAGAAGCGATTTCTGGAGCTGCAGAAGAGAGTCCCTGTGCCACGCTGTGCCAGTTTAGCGCTGCGTGCGGGGACTTGCTGAGCAGGCGGCTCGGTTCAGGGGTGGCTCTTGGGCTGGTTAAACAGCCTCCATGGGCTGCTTCCGGCCCATGGGCCTTAGATTGCCTAACCCTGCAGTCGTGGTCCCAACCCAACAGTTAAAGGCCACTAATCTATACTACTCCCCCCCTTTTCTTTTTCTCTTTCCCCATAAAATTCTATTAAAGCTTTTTCATAGTACAATAAGATACAAGAAACAAATCTAGATAGAAACAAAAACAGAAATAAAAAGAATCCCTGACTCTCACACAGGGTCTTTCATTAGCCATCTATTACCTTCACGTGTATACAGCCCCTTCAGTGACCCAGAGTAGAGGACACACACACATACAGTGGTACCTCGGGTTACAGACGCTTCAGGTTACAGACGCTTCAGGTTACAGACTCCGCTAACCCAGAAATAGTACCTCGGGTTAAGAACTTTGCTTCAGGATGAGAACAGAAATCGCGCGGCAGCGGCACGGTGGCAGTGGGAGGCCCCATTAGCTAAAGTGGTGCTTCAGGTTAAGAACAGTTTCAGGTTAAGAACGGACCTCTAGAACGAATTAAGTTCTTAACCCGAGGTACCACCCGAGGTACCACTGTATACAGTTTTCCACCAGCACCATGCAGTACTTCCAGTCCCACCTCAGATAATCGTATCAAAAGCTACCAAGAAGCCCCGGTGAATTAACAACTCCCCTTTTCTTTCTCATGACATTAGTCATCCTTCAGGGCTTTGCGCAAGTACTCTTTAGTTGCTGTCCTGCCAATCCTGTTGTTGTTTTGTGCCATCTTTCAAAGGAACACTTTGAGGTTATATAACACGTTTCTCCCTGCATTAATAAAATAATAATAATATCCATTTATGTCTTTGTTCAGTGGACCTTAAACCCTCCTTCCTCTTTGTGAACAATTAAGGCAAAGGTTTTAGTCATGATTTACTTTCATCTGCTGAGAAGTAGTACAATTTGTGCCCCAGAAGGCTGGATCCTCACGTCTGGCCCAAGGCCAGACGTGAGGATCCAGCCTTCTGGGGCACTAATTGTTTAGATTGTTTAGATTCTTTCTCCTTCCCCCAGCCTTCTGGGGCACTAATTGTTTAGATTGTTTAGATTCTTTCTCCTTATTTGAAATATTAATGGAATTCTTAAATTCTTTCTCCTTATTTGAAATATTAATGGAATTCAGACCGCTGGTGGCCGTTGAATAGCATTTCATTTTCTAGTACCTTTTTCTGTTAAGGAGCCTTCTTGGGGATCATGTTCACATTAATTATGTTCTGCTGGGTCTTTTAGTTGGTTTCTCTAACTCGTATTCTTTGGCAAATTACTGGCAAATAAACTGTTCCATTATCAGCCTCCTTAGGTATAATGGCCCTCATTAGGTATAATGCCCAGACAGACTTTTGCCAGAACTGTGCCTATTAGAAGCACTAAGAAGTTTTGCTAAGGTCTTTCCGAGGCATGTTGCCTTTCTATAAAAACGTTGGGTGTGGTAATGTTCTTTTTGTAAGATTAGGCATAGCAACACCACGGACTTGGAAAAGCCAAATATGTTATTGTGATAGCCAGCATTTTACTACAAAGGTTCTTGACATATTTTGAGTATAGCCTAGCAAACCAAAAGTATGTAAGATTCCCTTAAGTATTGTTTTTTTCAGAGAGGGGAGAAAGAAAACCAGTATAATCTTTATACTGTATGGTACAGTTTTATTAAATATACAAATGAAAGAACAAATGAAATACCCACAACATATATTGCAATATGGTATATTGCAATACCCTTTAGTTCACTTCTATTATTTGTGTTTTCCAAGTTGATTGACTGAAGAATCCATAGAACTGGTTTACTGTAGTTACTTCATTATTATGTATTTTTAAATGATATATTTTGTATTTAAGTCCCCCCTATAATTCACTTCTTGTCAGTTAAGTCATGTTTTATTATTTATGTTTGGACAAATTTGTAAATATGTCAATAAAATTTGTCAATAAAATATAATTTATGCTGGTTTTGGCAGTGGTGCAAGGGAGATGCCTTCAGTAACAGCAACAATAGAACCTGGCATTATGGGCTTTTTCTTGAGATTAGTTGAATCACTGACATGGTGCTTACATACTAGTATCTCCCCACCCCCACCCCCCTTACATAGAAACATAAGCCCTATCCCTTAGCAACAAGAAAATATAATTTCCCTTCTTTGAAAACGAATTAATATCTTTCTCTGACATTGCAACTGAGTATTGTGAAAATGACAGATGTCAACAAATGAACTATTACGGCTTCAGTCTGAGCATAAGCACATAGAATAGATCATTATTCAAGGTCCTTCTGTTCTGGTCCAGGGTAGATAAGCCAGCAAAGAAATAGACAGATTTTTCAAATGTGAGTTCTTCCAATTCTTTAGGAATGAACAGTGCTGGATGACAAGAAGCCTCAGATTTAGTTGTGTACTTCCCGCTACAAGAATGTCTGTGTTTGAAAGTGCCCTCTTGACCCAAACATAGTGTTCACCAAATGCCATGAGAATCTACTGCAGCACCGGCAGGAAAAAACAACCAGCCAGCCAGAGCAGGGATGAGGGTGGGAGGTGGATGAACCACCAAATCCAGAACCTTGTCGGGCTCTTGCCACCAAGGTGGAAGTTGTGGGGAGGGAATTTTTATTCTTCCCCTGTTTCTTTCTTTGTTTTAAATAGATTTTATTCTTGTTGGGGCTAATGAGGAGGAAAATCTGTATGTTGATCTCAGGGCCAACATACTTCCCCAACATTCTAGGACTATTTTGAGAGAATGAGGGGGATTTGGAACCCCAATCCTAAATGGCCCATTTTTGCCCTTTCCACCATTGGAGCTCTAAATGCCGGGAAGCACCAGCAATGGTTCATTCCATGTTGGCAGGAAATGAGTTTCCAAGGGCATCCCCTTCTCTACCTGAAGAGGGTGAGATCTGTAGTATCCCATGGCTCCTATGGTGGAGTGTTAGAAAATCATTCATATATCTATTGCCAAACAGCACCTTAAACCTGGGTTACGGTCGCCAGTGAAATTTCTTACTATAATTAATTTCATTCCTATACTGCTTTATATTTTAAAGTGAGAAAAAAATCTCAAGGCAGTTTACAACACATAAAAACATCAAATTAAAAAATCCAGAATAAAACAAATTCAGGCTTCAAGGAGAATATTTCAGATCCTTCTCTAAGTGACATTTTGCTTTCTCCGTATTTATTTATTTACCTACTAAATTTATATGGCTGCCCCATAGCAGAAGTACTCAAGGTACCCAATGTGGTGCAGTTGTTAGAGTGTTGGATTTAGACCTGGGAGATTAGGGTTCAAATCCCCATGCAGTCATAAAGCTCACTGGCTGACCTTAGGCCAGTCACAGCATCTTAACCTCACAGGGTCATTGTAGGGTTTAACCAAGGAGCGGGGTGAACTTGTACTTCTTGGATGAATAGGTGGGATGTAAATGCTATAAATAAGCCCTTCTGCTTACCTGCTTAAGAAAGCTGGAGGGGCCTGCCAGATGGGATGTCAGTTGCCAACCTGGCACCCAGAGATCTTCATGTCACAATTGGACTTGCACCAGTTGCAAAACACACCTGGCGCTTGAGGAATTTCGAACACTGCTAGGATGCTCTCCTAAAGACTATACAATTGTGCCCAAAACTTCCTCTTTCTTCCAGCAGTATGAGGAAGCCATGAATGCCAGGCATACTATAATGTATAGCTATTTTATTATTATTATTAGTAGTAGTAGTAGTAGTAATAGTATAACATAACATCTTTCATCTGACGATCCCGGGATGGTTCACAACAGAAAAAACTTCAACCCCTTCATACTATAGAAGCTTTTCAATAGGACTTGTACCCTTCGTTTGGAACCAAGTTATATTTGTTTACCATTAAAATATCAGATTCGGGGAATGATAGGTACATGCCTCTCATCCCTTATTGTGGATAACCAATCTTCTGCGCAGTCTTCAATAGGGTTTATGTGTTGCCAGACCCACTAGTGACTTAAGATTCTTTCTTGAGCGTTCTTTTTAACCCTCATTAAAGAGCAAAGAAATGGACTCAAGGTAAGCAAACTGTGTGTGGCACTGTTTTTCTGTAGCAGCCTCAAAAGACTTTATCTAAAATGAATAAAAAAGTACCATATTGATTCTTCCGGAAGGGTAAAACTTCACCTCAACTCACCCCTCTGCCTTTCCCCTGCAACTGAATAGCAAACTTGCTTTACATCATAACAAGTCTTTGCTAGAGCAGTATATAAACTCTGATAAAGATTGCCAGATCATATTTCTAGGCTAAGCTAATCATCACTTGACAAATAGCCAAGCTTTACAAGAAATGGAATTCAGCAGGGCATAACTACCTGCTTAAGAACAGAAACTCCTCTTTGATGACTTCCTTGGAATTTACACTATGTTCAGCATATTGCAAGTTTTTTAATAACTGAAAGATAGGATTAGTATCGAAAAGAATATGGTCTGTAGGTCAATATGCAAAGCAGGATACTCCTTAGTGCACATCTATGATGACCACCTTAAATGCAGCAATATCTTTTCTTCCTTCAGTTTGAATGGATTTCTTTAGCGGCCCAATCCTGATCTGTGGCTTTGACAACTTGGAAAGATATACAGTGGAACTTTTCAGTTTGAGTGATAAGCAAGCAGCATATTTTGACATAATGTGTGTGTGTGTGTGTGTGTGTGTGTGTGTGTTCATGCTCTGAAACTCCAAACCATGGATTGTTCCATGGATGTGTTTTATTTTATTTTATTTCAAATTTTTTATTGATTTTCACAAAATTATAAACAAACAAACATAAATCATAACCTTATTAAAACTAATCTTATTAACATTGTTAAGTGACTTCCTCGTATCCCCCTGGTTAAATTTCAATGCATATCATTTTAACGGTTTTCCAAATCAGTATTCTTATAAAATTAACTTAATCACTTAACATCTTTCTTTCTTTCCAATTCAGCATTAAACATATTAATTCATCATGTTTACATATTTAAATCCTAAGTCTATCTGGTAATTGCAAGCTTTTTCCAATTAGTTTAACTTAACAAATTTAACTAAATAATCATTAAATTTCGTACATTTTTCCTGGTACTCCTCCTGCTTCTGGTCACGGACTCTTCCAGTCATGTTGGCTAGCTCTGAAAGATCCATCATCTTCATCTGCCATTCTTCCACTGTTGATACTTCTTGCGTTTTCCACTTCTTAGCTAATAAGATTCGAGCAGCAGTTGTGGCATACAAAAATAATTTAACATCTTTCTTGAGCAATTCCAAACCTGTTATTCCAAGGAGAAAGGCCTCTGGTTTCTTTATAAATGTATATTTCAACATTTTTTTCAATTCATTATAAATCTTTTACCAGAAGTCTTTCACCTTGGGGCAGGTCCACCACATATGATAGAAGGTACCTTCTTTTTCTTTCCATTTCCAACATAGATTATCACAGTTATGATAAATCTTTGCTAATTTAACAGGGGTCAGATACCATCTATACATCATTTTCATTATGTTTTCCTTTAACATTGTACATGCAGTCAACTTGACCCCTTTCTTCCACAATCTTTCCCAATCCTCAAACATTATGTTATGTCCTACATCTCTTGCCCAATCTATCATCATGGATATGTTTTATTGAGGAAACGGGAAGACATGCACACATTTGGAAGTACTGCTTCATGGTTGTATTAATGAATGCAGTCCTAAATTGGTGCTAGTGTTCCTGTGCACATGAGGCGACTTTGAGCGTTGTTCAAGCATACAGTTGGGAGGTTGCCCCTGTAATGAGGGATGCAAAATTTATATGCTTGAGCACTGGCCTTCAGACAGCACTGAGATGGTGGACCTCCAAGGCTTTGAAGTAGGGTAGATAAAAATCAATGATTTTTTATTTTTATTTTTTAAAAATTGGATTTTTTTATATATAAATCAGATTTTTTTGATTTAAATCAGATTTTTAAAATAAAATGCTTTTGGAGGAAAAATCTTTCTAAAGATAGTTTTTTATTTAAGCTACATCATAGTCCAAAGGCTATTCATCAGGAAATAAGGATTTGTTTTTCATGTGTACTAAAACTAAAAAACACACACGTTTAACCACATCAGTTAATGAACATGGATACGTATGCTCTAATGTTATTGCTTTAGTTAAATAAATTGTTTAAATTGTTATTAAGGAAATTATTACTTTTTTCCTTCAAATAAAGTACAGCAGAAAAGTTGTCCAAATATAAAGAGTTAACTTATTAAACTTCACAATCATTTCATAATTATCTGCCTATGTACGGTATTTCTAATAGTATGACCAAATCAGTAATTTTTGATATAACTGTAAAAGCTACTCTGAAAATTTATTATTCCAAAAATGAAACCATCCTCTGGTTGTAAATATTAAGATTATACCAGCACGAATGTAAAAAAGAAAGAAAGATTTAAATCAAGTCTTACTGACTAGGGATTTAAATCATGATTTAAATTGATTTGATTTAAATCACATCCATGCTGCTTTGAAGTAACTTGATTATTGCTACTGGGGATCCCTGAGAGCGGAAAGGATTGTGGCTTTGAAGAGACTTTTGCTGAGTCTGGATTTAAGGGGGAAGATCAGATTAAGAAGCACCATCGAGGGGTTTGGGACAAGTGAATAGACGATAGCATTTGGGTTGGTGTTTTCCTAAGCCAGCTGTATCTGTCTCATTAAACAAAACAGTTACCTACTTACACACATGTAATGCTTTCATGACACACATGGGCTGTGTAGCATGAGAAAAGATGCCTGCATTCCTGAGGAACTCCTGTGCTAGATTAACTGGATAACTACTTTGTAGAGTTCCACACCCCTACTACCCAGTTGCTCTTCTGACCTTCTTTGCAACATGCACATGCTGTAAGCAAACTATCATTATTTGTATGCTGGAGTTAGTTGCATAGTTCACCTGAAGAACAAAGACATGCATATTTGTAGATAGGTTAATAATAGCCAGTGTGCCTCATTACAGTAGTAGGTATTTGGAAATGTTTGGGATAATTTATGCAAAATTTGTATGGTGTCAGTGCGCTAACTCTACTATTTTATTAAGAGGTTTAACATTCAGGGCAGAAAGTAATTAGTGTGTGGCTTCCTGCAATGCAGATTGATTACTATGATCTCATCTTTTAGGCCTTTCATTGTGTCTAAATGACCTTTACACCATCTTAGTTATAATCCCGTGTCTGGCACAGTATGGGTTAGCTGTGTTGCAAACCCCACCCCTACCCCGCCACATGCAGTGTTTTTATTACAAACATGGGATTTGTAACTGTGAGAGCATAAGAAGAGACCTGCTGGATTAGACCATAGGCTGATTTAGCTCAGCATTTTGTCCCCAACAGACTTCACAGATGCTTTTTGGAGCTTCCAAACAAGGGGTGAAAGAGACCAGACCTCCTTCATTGGCTTTTATGCAGCAGCTGGAATTTGGTGTCATGCTGTGCCTGGACATCCAAGATCCATTTTGCCATTGTGGCTCATTATAAGACCAATTAATTTGTCTAACCCCTCTTTAAAGTGATCTGAGCCGGTGGTGATCTCCACAATGTGTGTGACAGTGAAAATTCCATAAATTCTGCCCTCTGAAGTACTTTCTTTTGTCTGTTCTGCATCTGTTGTATGGTCTGAAAATACTCCCTATCCAATTTTATTGAGTAACCAGGAACGTAGGGTTATAAGAGATGTAGGGGCGGGTATTTATTTCGTTCATGCATACTTTTATAAGTCCCCCAATTATGGTATGTTTCCCCAGCCACCTTAGTAAAGACCCCAATTGCTCCTAACCCTTTGATAATTTTGGTTTCTCTTTTCTTTAGAAATGCAGTGACCAAAGTGGTACACAGTACTCCAAAATGACCAATAGACTGATACAAAGGCGTACAGATGTGGGCAGTTCTGACTGCAACTTTGTAATAATCCCTAGTAAGGAATTTGCCTTTGCACAATCCTCTCATATGGAATTTATTATTTTGATCCACTACACCCACAAGATCTTGCCTAATACAGTGGTACCTCAGGTTACAGATGTGTCAGGTTACAGACTCTGCTAACCCATAAATAGTACTTCCGGTTAAGAACTTTGCTTCAGGATGAGAACAGAAATTGGGCGGCGGCGGTGCAGCTGCAGTGGAAGAGGCTCCATTAGCTAAAGTGGCACCTCAGGTTAAGAACGGACCTCCAGAACGAATTAAGTTCGTAACCAGAGGTACTGCTGTAAGTCACTTGCCTGTTCAGATCCCATCAGCTTCCATATATGAAGTTTGGACCATTTCCCTCCACACCTATCCAGTTATTTGACACCCATTTGCAGTTTTGTTGCCAATTCAGCTAATACAGTGGTACCTCTGGATACGAACAGGATCTGTTCCGAATCCCCATTCGCATCCTGAAGCGAACGTAACCCGCGCGTGCGCAGGTTGTGATTCGCCTCTTCCATGCATGACCGTCTGCGCATGCGCGAGCGGCGAAACCCAGAAGTAACGCATTCTGTTACTTATGGGTCACCGCAGAGCACAACCCCGAAAGCGCTCAACCAGAAGCATATTTAACCCAAAGTATGACTGTATTGACAAATTAAATTAAAGGTGCCTGAGAATTTCTGTTACAGTGGTGCCTCGCAAGACGAAATTAATTCATTCCGCGAGTTTTTTCGTCTAGCGAATTTTTCGTCTTGCGAAGCACGAAATCCCATAGGAATGCATTGAAATTCAATTAATGCATTCCTATGGTCAAAAAAAGTCCAAACAAAGCCAAATTTGGTACAACAAGAGTTTATTAAGTGCTCTTTAAAGTCACACATACTGTAAAGAGCATTTCAAAAATTGAATTAACAATAAATTAAGTTTCTAAACATGACAGAAAAACATTTAAAAATCAACAAAGTGTACAGTACATTTTCTAAGACTCTGGGGGACAACTCGAAGAAGGTTCCTCTTCCACTCTTTGCTTCTTGGTTTAGAACCGCCTCCTCAAGTGTTCCCTCAGCCTCCCACCACACTTTTATTCAAATCCAGATATTTTTTAAATTAACAGCAGTGTGGCCCAATGGTCTCAGAATATCATAAAAATGCAGAAAAAAAACACACAAGCTTCCAGATTCTTGCAAACCCCTCCCCAACACCAAGTCCTTGAATTCCAAACACCCCAACCCAAAATCCACCCCCCCCAAATTTTTAAAAGTTTAACTACCACACCGCGTTCTATGAGTTGCTCCTCGAAGTCAAGTTGCAACTGTATTAACGGTGTTAAGAAAAAGGAAACAAACTTGCAAGACGTTTTCGTTTTTCGTCTTGCGAAGCAAGCCCATAGGGAAATTCGTCTTGCGAAGCAGCTCAAAAAACGGAAAACCCTTTCGTCTAGCGAGTTTTCCGTCTTGCGAGGCATTCGTCTTGCGGGGCACCACTGTAGCTATATTTGACGTAGTTGTTTAGATGCCCACTTTGGAAGAAAACCTGAATTCATGGGTATCTGGTTATCACCTTCCACAGCGAAGAGGGGTGGGCGCACACATGCGCAAATACACAAAACTGCAGTTTTGCAGTTTCCCTATTCCACTTTAGGAACACACATACACACACATGTCTTGTGGTCTGACAGATATTTCTGACAGATATTTAAAGAAATGTGCTGACCAGGCTCCAAGTTGATCTGCCAGTGGAGTGGCTTTGGCTGTCAGTGCACCGTATTTTTCACTCCATAAGACACACCTAGTTTTTAGAGGGGGGATGCAAGGAAAAAACATTCTTTAAAGGGAGCACTGAACAGAGCCTATACGCATGCGGCACTTGCAGGATTTTCCCCAGCTCTTGGGGGCTTTTCCCCAAGGAGGGAGAAGGGACTGACAGGTTGCCCTTCTCCCTCCTTGGGGAAAAGCCCCCAAGAGCTGCATACACACTCCGCGTGCTCTTTAAAGGGAGCTTTTCTGGGAGGTGGGGGAAGGGACTGGGGCTAAGCCAGAAGCTAGAACAGCAAGAGGGAGCACTGCGCAGCGATCCCTCTCACTGCTCTGGCTTCTGGGATAGCCGCTCAGCCTGCACTCGCTCCATAAGACGCACACACATTTCCCCTTACTTTTTAGGAGGGAAAAAGTGCGTCTTATAGAGTGAAAAATACGGTATATAGAATTTTTAGGCTAAAGTTCTTAACGATACATTGTGAAGTGTTTTTACATACGTTGCTGTTGCTAATGTGTGAATGGTAGGAAACACACACACAATGCATTTAGTAATTTTTGTCTTGCAGGTAGTTGACAATTTTATCATCATGGTTTACGATACACATGGTTTCAAATATACATGGTACGAATAAAGGTTGGGGAAGAACAGGGAGGATAGAAGAAAATAATTGAATGTGGCTACCCACTCCTGTGACCTCTAGCATTATAAAAGCATTTCCATCCGTAGTACATGGAGGAGTGTCTGCCACATGAACCTGCTAAAGTGGCAAATAAAAGAAAAGGGCCTTTCTGGTTATGGCTCCCTTTCCAGAGAAGGTATTTTTGGCATCAGATATTCTCTGGGAAGTTTTAACCTCTCTATCCTGCTGCTATGATTTTATACTTTGCACTGCAGCTGATTTGTTTTCTTGACTATGACTAGCTTAAATTTAAGCGCTGGCCTGGCAGCCATTAGTGACAAGGGATCAAAGACACCACCTTGTGCCATCTGTCCATGCATGGCAACTGAGCTCAGATGACGCAGTGCCAGGGTACTGCTTTCCTCAGAGGTGTACTTAGTACGCACTAGAAATTTTGTATATTTTATTTTATTGTACAGCACTTGGTAACTGATATGAAGTAGTTTATAAATATGCAAATAAAATAAATAATTGCATGCAGGTAACTGAGTGGGCTGACATAAAATAATTGTGTGCACGCTAGAGGGCGCTGGGGGGTGGTAGAAGGTAGAATGCTCCATCAATCCTCTTCCCACCCAGCATGGAGGCCAAGTGGGCTGATAGAATAAAAACGAAATAGGCAGGTGGAACAGGATTTTCCATCCCTCCCCAGCCACCCTCCTGCAGGCAATGTGACATTCTTGAAAGCTAGTTGGGCTTATTTGCATGGCTAGTTATGACTATTTAAAATACAGTGTTGTTAAAAACAACAACACCATACCTAGCTATCCTGGAGAAAGTTACCCTATAAATCTTTGAGATTGTTAGTGAAAAGGTTTATCATATTTGATGGTAAAATACTAGACTTATTGCAAAAATATTTTTCTTTGAATTTACACTCCAAGGTGTCTTCCTATATAGCCTCAGGCAAATGACTTGTCTGATTCTGTACAAAGCTGTGATTTTTCTGTGTGAAACAGGAGAGTACTTATCTGTTCTCACTTCCGTGTTTCTGGCAGAATAGAATGATGTCTGTAGTCTACAGACAAGGAAGGAAACACTGTGGCTTTAATAATTATTAATCAAGCTTTTGAGGTTATGTGACATTGGAGAACACAAAGGGATGAAGTCAAAGAAGTATTTCTTATTTATTTCACATGTAAAAGTTAGTATGCAGCAATACTTGATCCCATAGTTCTTGCTGATGCTTTCTCCCACCCTTTGAAAAGAACTATTAAACCAGAAGAGACACAGAGGAACTATCTACAAAGAATCATTTTAAAGATATGCACAGCTGAGTTTTCCATAGATAATGTGGGCATTTCATAGCCTAGTTTTGTTCTCACGTGCATCTCTCATACATTTTATTCCAACAGTTTTTGCAGAATATCTTCTTCATGCCGAGTATTATGTATCTGTATACATCAGCGTACACTGTTCTTTACAGAATATCATGTTCAAATAAGATTTAGGTGCTTGCCTTAGCCTCAAGCAACAGTTGTGGAGGAGGGAGGATAAGGAGAATTGGTCATGATGGTGGTAGAGCAGCACTTGTAACAAATATGAACACAACAAGTTGCCTTATACTGAACAAGACAAATGGTCCATCTAGTTTAGTTCACCGTTTGAAACTCCGATATATAAGCCAGACCCCAAATGGTTCCTTAAACCAGGGTCACAGTTGCCAAAACAGAATGTTGTCATTTTTGGACCAGATGGTTCAATAGTTGTATTTTTCAATATGACCTTTGGGTTCCTAACATTTGTTCTGATTGTGCAGATAAAATATAATGGATGGAATTACAGGATGTGTTGCTAGTGTGTGAAAGCAGTCAAGATCCAAGGATCTCCAGGCATGCACTTCCAGATGGTGGAGTCTTCAGGCTCCATCCTGGTGCCTAGGCATCTTCACTTGGTCACAACTGGCTGATAGCCATGTGCAAAATGTGTCTGGCACCTGGCGAATTTTGAACACTGGTTTAGTGTTGTCTACATTGACTGGCAGCATCTTTCCACCTACCTGGAGATGTCAGGGATTGAACCTCGGACCTTCTGTATGCAAAACAGATGCTCTAGCACTGAGCTATGTCCCTTTCCCTAATGTGATTATAAATACAAGAACAAAAATTGTACTTAGTGGATCAGGTCAACTAGTTCAGCATCCTATTCTCACAGTGGCCATCCAGATGCTTGTATGAAACCCACAAGCAGGACTCGAGTATAAAAGCACTCCCCCTCCTGTGGTTTCCAGCAGTTGGTATTCAGAAGCATAACTGCTTCTGACCATAGAAACAGAGTACTGTAAGCCTGCAACATAGATGGGATTGTTCCTGGGATTGCACCGAAACCCAAAATTGCATGTAGTCAAAACACATTGGGTTCAATGGCAAGTGGAGGACCTGTTCCCTGCTTGAAAGGCCTTTTCCACTTGGCCTGGTAGGGCAGGTCCCTGACTAACTGCAGCTACAAAAATCTGAAAGAAACTCTTGCAGATGTGGCACTGTCTGTGCTGGACCATTGTCTTGCCTTGGTAATGGACTGGATGAGAGTCAACACACTCAAGCTCAATCTTATAAGACTGAGGCACTGTTAGCAGGTGTTTTGCTAGATTGGATGGATGGGAGGTTGCCTGCTCTGGATGGGGTCGATCGGGGGTACTTCTGGATCCTTTGCTGTCTCTTGGGGTTCTGATGTCCTTGGTGGCATGGATTCCCTTCATCAGCTTTGGCTGGTGGCCCAGCTGTGCCCCTATATGTACAGGGATAGCCCAACTTCTGTTGTCTATGCTTTGGTAACCTCTAGGTTATATTACTGAAAATAATGTAGGGCTGCCCCTAAAGACAGTTTGGAAACTTCAGCTGGCACAGAATTTGGCAGCCAGGTTGCCCGCTGGGGCAAGATGATTAGAGCCTATTGCACCAATCCTGGCTTGACTGCACTGGTTGCTAATTATGTTCTGGGCCCAGTTCAAAGTGCTGATTTTTACCTAAAACCCTTAAGCATATCAGGACTGCAATACCTCAAGGGCTAAAGGTAAAGGGACCCCTGACAGTTACGTCCAGTTGCGAACTACTCTGGGGTTGTGGCACTCATCCCGCTTTACAGGCCGAGGGAGCCGGCGTTTGTCCACTCCGCAGACAGTTTTTCTGGGTCATGTGGCCAGCATGACTAAGCCGCTTCTGGTGCAACGGAACACTGGCACCAGAGCAACGCACGGAAACGCCGTTTACCTTCCCCCCGGAGTGGTACCTATTAATCTACTTGCACTTTTGGGCATGCTTTCGAACTGCTAGGTTGGCAGGAGCTGGAACCTCAACGGTAGCTCACAACCTTTTGATTGGCAAGCCTAAGGCTCAGTGGTTTAGACCACAGCGCCGCTGGCGTCCCTACCTCAAGGACTGTCTTTCCCCAAATGAACTGACCAAAGCCCTGCAATCATCATCTGATACCCTTCTTCACGTGTCTCCTCCCCAAGTGTTCCAGAGTGTGGCAACATGAGAACGGGTGTTTTCTGCAATGGCTTCCCATTGGAATACTCTCTTCAAGAAGGCTCGTCTGTCGGCTTTATTATGCATCTTTAGGTGCCAGACAAAATATTCCTTTTCTACCAGGCCTTTGGATGATTAATATTCTACACCCTTTTAAATAAGGGAGGGGGGTTATTGGTTTGCTTTGCTTTTACTGTGCATTTTGTGTTTTTATTTTGTATTTTATTTTATTTGCTGTGAACCGCCCTGAGATCTTCGGATGAATAAGGTCTCCCCCCCCCCATGCCCACCTTTATGCTCACTTTTTATTTATTTATTATTATTTTGCCAAGTGTTTAAAGCTGAATGTGCATAATTTGTGGGCTTCACTATCCAAGTTGGTGGCTGTCACTGCCTCCTGCAGGAGTGAGTTCCATTGTGTGTTCTTAGGCTGCTCTTAAGTTTGGGAGAAAGATTAAGTGGCTAATCCAAATCCAAATGCTTCGTGGAAGAAATTAGTTTTTCAGCGGTGGATGCCTTTTCTTAGGACAAATCAATTGCTGATGGAACAAGAGTTTGCTGGAGTTGCTTTGCTTGATGGGTTACTGAGAGGGAACAGTGGCTCCTTTCTTTCCTCTCCAAGAGCATTGGACAGGCAAACTTCAGGCTTGCGGGATTTCCTTTGTTCTTTACTAGAGCACTTTACTAGTGCAAAATAGTGACTTGGCGGGAGAATATTTTTAGAATTAAGGAGAAGGGTGCCATATTACATTTCACAAAAGCCTATCTTACCTACTTAATTTATCTAAATACTGGTGGAAGGGAGTTCCCTTCTATCCCCAGAATTTGAAATGAGCAGAAGATGATTCCAATCTATATAGACTGTGGATGCTTGATTTTTCATCTATCTGTGCTTTAATTTCCAAAATAAAATTGCCTAACAATTCTACTAAAGCTTTTGCCATCGTTTAAGAACAGCACATTTCTTGCACATCTCTCAAATGTAAACTAGAAGACTGAGCCGTGGAAATGTCTTTTCTCCTCCTCTCTTTTTTTTTAGATCTCTCCAAGAACAGATTTACTGAAATTCCTCCTGATGTGTTGCAGTTTTCACCACTTGAGACATTGAACCTCTATCACAACTGCATTAAATCAATCCCTGAAGCAATAAAAAATCTGCAAATGTTAACATATCTCAATATCAGGTAGGTAATATTTTCTTGCTTCCTAAATGTAATTGCTTGTCATCCAAGGTAGCCTGTTTAGCTCATGACTGTGTCAGCGTCCTCCTGTGGGTGACAGTTGACTGAAGAACCACTTTCCAGTCAATAAGTCAAAAGGTAGAGCATAAGGAAGTCTAACTTTGTTCCTGGTATTCCTTTTTTCAGATTGTGATGTTTGGGAGGCAAAGGTAAAAGTTTTAAATTTCAGTTTGAGCTTCTAGGAATGCTAAAAGAGGTTTGCTCATTCTGCATGCCTGTGAAAAATTTGCTGGACCAACTACAACACAGGAGAGATTGATGATGGGTTGTATCCAATGTTAGTCATACTTGGAGTAGCCACATGCCTCACTTAGGTCTATTAATTTCAGCAGGTCTACTCTGAGTAAAACTTAGTTGGATACAGGACAGGGTTTTCTGAAATAACATTAGTGTTCTCTTTGTGTGTGTTGTGTTTGATTATTTTTGAGTTGGAGTATTGAGTGTTAGACACAAGTGTAGCGTGAAGAATGTACAACTTTCTCTCTTGCTGCATGCATGTCCATATACATGGCAAAATAGATACATACATGGTGGGTAATTCCCCCCCCCCCATTGCAAAGACTAGCCCTGTAAGAAAAATGTATTTGAAGTAGCCTTTTGGCATTGTGAGTCTGACAGCTACTCCAGCTTTTAAAAAATAACATATTGTCATAACTTGCTTTTGTAAACTCTTTAATAAAACTGACTGTTGTCTGTAGTTAGCTTGTCAGCTGTGCTTTTAGTTTTTAACTTTGAGAGACAGAGGCTTTCCTGCTAATTCTGCATGTTAGCTTTGTGACTTATTTGAATTAGTCAGATAGTTAGAGAGCTCAGATGTTGTAGTAGGAGAACTGTCCTCTTGTTACCTGGTACCTTGTTCTACAACAGTTAGGTCCTAGCTTTAAAAATACAGTCATACCTCGGGTTGAAATTGCTTCAGGTTGAGCACTTTCGGGTTGCACGACCTAGAAGTAACGGAACACGTTATTTCTGGGTTTCGCTGCATGCGCAGACAGTCAAAATGATGTCACGCGCATGCACGGAAGTGGCAAATCGCGACCCACACGCACACAGGCACGGGTTGCGTTCACTTCTGGATGCAAATCGGGCTCCGGAATGGATCCCATTCGTATCCAGAGGTACCACTGTAGAAGTGGCTGCAGAGGAGACCTACAAAAATGCTTAATTGGCATAAGAAGAGGAAAAGCTAAGAGGCCCCTGGGCATGAGAGGAGATTATAGGAAGCCACAACAGACCTCAGATTCATAAAAAAGAGATTGTGGGGGAGAGAGCAAAACATTAAAGGGAACTAAATGACAAAAAGCTTTATATTTTGAGATTGCTAATAGGAATGGCTTTCTAACTGCTCAGATCAGGCCAGAAATGGACCATATTACTTAGGCAGCATATGTAATCTCCGGTTTTGTATGCATTTGACAAGGCAGAAAAGAACCTGCTAATTTGCAGTGGATATTGTCCTTTTAATTCTGACATTTCAGATATAGTTTACAGCAGTGGTGTCCAAACCTTTTTCAAAGAGGGCCAGATTTGATGAAGTGGAGGGCCGACCCTCACGGGCCGACCAAAGTTGTTAACCTTTTTCTAGGATTGAAGTTATTGAGCTTTTTTTTAGGATTTTACCACAGGAATTATTTCTTCACAGGGGCTGGATTAAAAACAACCGGTGGGCCAGATTAGGCCTCCAAAAACGCACTTTGGACATGCCTGATTTACAGTATTGTTAAAAGTGGCAACTAAGATTTCCTTTCTCATGTACCTGTGATCTGGTCTTGGATCACAGAAGTAATAGTGATAGTAATAGTAATAGTAATAGTAATAGTAATAGTGCCACTGTATTCTGTAATAGAGAAGTAATAGTGCCACTGTATTCTGTAATAGGGAAGTAATAGTGCCACTGTATTCTGCTCTGGTCAGACCTCACCTGGAGTACTGTGTCCAGTTCTGGGCACCACAGTTCAAGAAGGACACTGACAAACTGGAACGTGTCCAGAGGAGGGCAACCAAAATGGTCAAAGGCCTGGAAACGATGCCTTATGAGGAACGGCTAAGGGAGCTGGGCATGTTTAGCCTGGAGAAGAGGAGGTTAAGGGGTGATATGATAGCCATGTTCAAATATATAAAAGGATGTCACATAGAGGAGGGAAAAAGGTTGTTTTCTGCTGCTCCAGAGAAGCGGACACGGAGCAATGGATCCAAACTACAAGAAAGAAGATTCCACCTAAACATTAGGAAGAACTTCCTGACAGTAAGAGCTGTTCAACAGTGGAATTTGCTGCCAAGGAGTGTGGTGGAGTCTCCTTCTTTGGAGGTCTTTAAGCAGAGGCTTGACAACCATATGTCAGGAGTGCTCTGATGGTGTTTCCTGCTTGGCAGGGGGTTGGACTCGATGGCCCTTGTGGTCTCTTCCAACTCTATGATTCTATGCAGTGGGGCTCTTAAATGGCCCTTTATAGCTATACTTACTAAGGTCAAGCCTTGGCTCCTGAACGCCTCTGTTTTGGAACGTTTTGGCTCCCGAACGCCAAAAACCCAGAAGTAAATGCTCCAGTTTTCAAATGTTTTTCGGAAACCAAAAGTCTGAAGCAGCTTCTGCTTGAGTGCAGGAAGCTCTTGCAACTAAGCCGTGCCTCAGTTGTCAAACATTTCAGAAGCCGAACGGCCTTCCGGAACAGATTACATTCAACAACCAAGGTTTGACTGTATTCTTATTTTAAAATATATATTCTCCAGTTGGAGGAATTTCCTTAACAAAGCCTGTTACAATTATTCGTATCACTCTGTATTCCTCCCTTTCAAAATCCCAAACCCCAGTTCCCTTTAAGGAAATAAAGCAAATGACTGAAGCATTCAGCCTTACTGTTGAGCTTTCAATATTTTGACCAACTCAGTGGGTCCCCTCTGGCTTTATAGAAAGTGAATTTTAATATCATGTAATGAACTGAAAAGAAAGTAGGAAAGTAGCAAGTTCTGTTCCAAATGAAGTTGCTAGCTTAGGTGTTTGAAGTCATCACATGAGAGGGGTCTCCCTTTTTCTCCCCCACCCCCAAATGAGGATAGATGTGGGAAATGCAACTACCAACTGCAACTTGATTTTGCAAAGGGTTTTTTCCTCCATTAATATATATGTGTGATGGAAACAGCAGCTCACACCATAAATAAGAAGAATGAAAAAGGTTAGAGAGACAATTAATAATTAAATGATATATTGGAATTTAGTGGATTCATGGAGACTGCACCATCCTAGGGAAAAATCCTATACATATTTTGCAGGAATTCACAATACCTAGCACAGAATTGATTTGATTTTTTTAAAAAACATCAGCATCACTGCATTCCTTTACTAGCCAATGTGACATTGATATTCCCATTATAGCTGATCACTCAGCAGTAATATTGGAATATAATCTATTCAATACCCAGGAAGGTATGAGGAGATGGTATCTTAATATATCATTACTAAATGATAAAAACTTCATTCAATATATAACGCAAGAAACGCAAATATATTTTAAAAATAACTCCAAATCATTAACATCAAGACTGCTGGAATGGGAAGGCTACAAAGCTTATATGTGAGGGAAGATAATATCTTTCTCTGCCAACAAGGTCAAGATGCAAAGATTAAAAGAAAATAACCTAAAAATTATTTTAAAACATTATGGGGCGATATGGCAAATAACCCATCTAGGGTTAAATATGAAAGAATACAACAACAAACACTAGAACTGAATAGTATACAGTGGTACCTCAGGTTAAGTACTTAATTCGTCCCAGAGGTCCGTACTTAACCTGAAACTGTTCTTAACCTGAAGCACCACTTTAGCTAATGGGGCCTCCTGCTGCTGCCGTGCCACTGGAGCACGATTTCTGTTCTCATCCTGAAGCAAAGTTCTTAACCCGAGGTAATATTTCTGGGTTAGCGGAGTCTGTAACCTGAAACGTATGTAACCTGAAGCGTATGTAACCCGAGGTACCACTGTACTAGCTCAAAAAATTGAGTTCAGCTTATTATGTATATGACAAACAAATTGGGAACAGGGAGAAAGACAGACAAAAATTCTAGCTGTCTGTCTAAAACAGAAGAAAATGAACCAAATAATACCTTTAATTAAGGAAAACAACATTGCAGCGACCTCATCAACAGATATAAAAAATTTTTGGGGATGAACATAAATAAAAATAATAAGGATAACCCTTATCAGCATGAGAAGTTAACAATATGGTCCAACCCAAAATTAAAAATTGGAAATCAAGTAATAATTTGGCAAAACTGGATGATAAAAGGTATTTTGACACTGAATCAATTAATTGATGAGAACTACAAATTTGTGGAATATAAGACTTTGCAAGTAAAGTATGGACTAACCAGTGAAACACATTGGCAATATATCCAATTGAAACATATGTTGGAAAAGCAGTTTGGCCCTGATGCTATAGCTGCATTGGAAACACGCATGCTGTTACAGGATTTAATCTCTGCAACAAAAACAAAAAAAATCCTACACTTGCACTATATAAAACTTTACTTAACAGGAAGAAATACGATTTAGAATATGGAAGACAAAAATGGTGTAAAGAGCTAGGAGTATAGATAACAAATGATATGTGGGAGACAAGTATAAAATCAATAGAAAAAGCCTATATGGATTTAAGACTTAGACTTATTCAACAGAAAATAGTATTTAGAGTACACTGGACTCCAGCAAGATTATATCAGAAGAAAATAACAAGTGCAGATAATTGCTGGAGATGGGGGAGTAAAAATGTGAAAATACATATGTTGATTAACTGTCCGATGATCAGACCATTCTGGAGTGAGGTGAGGATATTTATAGCAAAAGTAATAAAAAGAAATTGTTATTTAGGAGAACCGAATTTAATTCTAAATTATATTCCGGAAACTTGGAAGATCTCAAGGGGCCAAAAAAAGTGGTTGTATTGCATTATATTAGAAGCAAAAAAACTTGTTTTGATGAATTGGAAGAGTCGCAAAAAGATTCCACTGAGCATATGGATTGATAATATGAACAGATTAGCTACATACAAAAGAATTGCTTGTTGACGCAAAATAAGAATGGATAAATATGAAGAAATTTGGAACAAATATCTAAGTGACAAGGCTGATAACAGTGGGAAATAGAGGGGGGAGAGAGTGGTGATAAACAAGGAGTAGGCATAGGGATATTGCTGTATCTAAATTTGTGTTGTCAATTTGTGTTATTATTGTTATTAATTGTTTTTGTTGTATGTGTCTTTTTAGTTTTGTGTTTGTACTGATTGGAAAAAGAGAATAAAAAAAAACCACACCACTTTACTATCAATGAGATTCTCACTAAAGTAACAATTTTGAGCAAATATTCATGCTGGTTTTAAGTGGCTTGTAGATCTCTGTATCTGAATGGTGATAGCTGCCAGACATAACCATATATTTTCTCTAATCTCTTTAGTCGAAATCTTTTATCAACATTGCCAAAATACTTGTTTGATCTGCCGCTTAAAGTTTTGGTTGTCAGCAATAATAAACTTGTGTCCATTCCCGAAGAAATTGGAAAATTGAGAGATATAATGGAATTGGTGAGTGTCATGGTATAGTTTCTCTCTTTGTTGAATCTTTATAGTTAATTCTTTGTTTGGGCCAATTCTCAATTAGTAGTAAGCCCTACCACAGTGAGTTGCAAATTTAAATTAATCCATTCATACTTAAATATCCCAGAGCAATCCTTTTGTTTGAATAGAAGTGCAATGAGTATTCCTTCAACTTTATTTTAAGCAAATGGTGCTATATGTAGCTTGAAACAAAAATATGAATTATAGCTTTTGTGACTGAAATGCTATCTGGATCCTGCAATTTACTATATTGGCCCGAATATAAGCCACACCCGAATATAAACTGCACCTTTAAAATTCATGGGGGGGGGGAGACAATACCCGAATATAAGCCACTCCCTTAAAATTCCACAGGCACTCACACCTGTTCCGTTTTACCGCATGTCTGTTTCAGCAGCGATATCGTAAAAGCCAATTTTTGTAAGGTCACAAATTTAAGCTGCAGTTTAACTTTTCGTGGTCAGAATTTGGAAAAAAAAAAAGTGAGGCTTATATTCAGGCCAATATGGTACTTCTAGGATGGAATAAATAGTGAAAATCTAACAGATTAATTTTTATGCAACTGCTCAAGTCCTCATTTTAAAGATGCATTAGTAGATTTCATTCCATAAAAAGACTTACCTTATTTAAGGAATAGAACTTTTTCATTTGATATCCCACTCATTTGATATTTCTCAAAAGATGGAAATCATCTGAACTCTGAAGCACTTGCTACTTGTCAATAATCTACAATCTCCTTGTCATCAAGATTCAAAAGGAATATTGTAAATAAAGATTTTTCCCCAGCCCCATATATATGACTGTTCCTAGTCATCTTATCTTCACTCTTTCCCACATTACAAGTGTAATGCCATGTAAGCAGAATTACATGGTATAGTTCTACCAGTTTTTATAATTTTAGCAATTTATCTGTGTTTATAATTGTAAATTATATTACTCTAACCTACCCTGGTAGGGGACACGTGTGGCACTGTGGTTTAAACCACTGAGCCTAGGGCTTGCAGATTGGAAGGTTGGTGGTTCAAATCCCCACGATGGGTTGAGCTCCTATTGCTCCCGTTGAGGTCCCAGCTCCTGCCAACCTAGCAGTTCGAAAGCATGCCCAAAAGTGCAAGTAGATTAATAGGTACCGCTCCGGCGGGAAGGTAAACGGCATTTCCGTGCGTTGCTCTGGTGCCAGTGTTCCGTTGCGCCAGAAGCGGCTTAGTCATGCTGGCCACATGACCCAGAAAAACTGTCTGTGGAGTGGACAAACGCCGGCTCCCTCAGCCTGTAAAGCGGGATGAGTGCCACAACCCCAGAGTAGTTCGCAACTGGACTTAACTGTCAGGGGTCCCTTTACCTTTACCTTTAGCCCTTGCGGTATTGCAGTCCTGAGTTGCTTAAGGGTTTTAGGTAAAAATCAGCACTTTGAACTGGGCCCAGAACATAATTAGCAACCAGTGCAGTCAAGCCAGGATTGGTGCAATAGGCTCTAATCATCTTGCCCCAGCGGGCAACCTGGCTGCCAAATTCTGTGCCAGCTGAAGTTTCCAAACTGTCTTTAGGGGCAGCCCTACATTATTTTCAGTAATATAACCTAGAGGTTACCAAAGCATAGACAACAGCAGTTGGGCTATCCCTGTACATATAGGGGCACAGCTGGGCCACCAGCCAAAGCTGATGAAGGGAATCCATGCCACCAAGGACATCAGAACCCCAAGAGACAGCAAAGGATCCCGAAGTACCCCCGATCGACCCCATCCAGAGCAGGCAACCTCCCATCCATCCAATCTAGCAAAACACCTGCTAACAGTGCCTCAGTCTTATAAGATTGAGCTTGAGTGTGTTGACTCTCATCCAGTCCATTACCAAGGCAAGACAATGGTCCAGCACAGACAGTGCCACATCTGCAAGAGTTTCTTTCAGATTTTTGTAGCTGCAGTTAGTCAGGGACAAACGTCTGCTCCCTCGGCCAGTAAAGCGAGCTGAGCACTGCAACCCCAGAGTCATTTGTGACTGGACTTAATTGTCAGGGGTGCTTTACCTTTTTTTTAAACCTACCCTGGTACTTTATGCTGAAGGGTGGCTAAAAATTTAAATTTAAAAAAATCTATTTGAGTATTTAAGATTAAAAAATATGCCTTGCATAAAAGCAAAATTCCTCTGTTCTTAGGATATCTCCTTTTTTCATTTCTATTGCAAAATTCAAGAATGCTGTAACCAAAATGCAAGCACATGCATTCCTTAAAACATACTCATTTGCTTTAGCCACCTTCCTCAATGTATGCTTTTGAAATTTCAGTCACTATTTGACATTCTGACTCATTGTTTCTTAATGTAGGATATTAGCTGTAATGAGATCCAAGTCCTTCCCCAGCAAATTGGAAAGCTGCAGTCATTACGAGAATTAAATTTAAGAAGAAATAATATTCATATACTACCTGATGGTAAGCTTCTATTCCCTTCCAGCTTCTTTGTTAATTCATTTAAACAATATCAATATTTTTGATGTATGAGCTTCTGATTTTTTTCCCTTTCCCACCAATAGAATTAGGAGACCTTCCCTTGGTCAAGCTGGACTTCTCATGTAATAAAATCACAGAAATACCTGTGTGTTTCAGGAAGCTACATCGCTTGCAAGTCATAATTTTGGACAATAATCCAATGCAGATACCACCAGCACAGGTTCAATTAAAACATTCTTTTCTCATTTTTAAAGTAGAAACAATTCTTTATGTGAGATACTTATTCATCTAGCTGCCCATGGAGTAAGGTGCTTCTTGACCAAAATCCATTTGTGGAAGCACTTTTTCTTCTTGATCACTTTTCAATGTTGGCTTTAATATGCCTGGGGGAATGTGGCCAGAAGTGGGGCATGCCTTTGTAATAATCAACTGGTCATATTCTGAGATGAGTTTCACTCTTCTCAAATAAGATGCAGGGAAAATAATATTAAAAACCAATCCACTGTTGTTGCACTTTAATGTTTTCACCATGCTCTTTAGCCAACAAAATCTTACTAAGTTGGGGAAAGGTGAGCAGCAATACCTGCCACTGAACTTGATGGATGTGTTTAGTCCTGTTTAATCTGCCCAGTTATCTGTACTACAAGGGTACAGATGGGAATGTGCTGTGCTGTGCTGTGTTATGCATACTGTATGAGGATTGGAGGTAATCAATAAAAACGGTGCTAAGGTTTCTGTAAATGCTCCCATCTGACTAAATGAATGCTTTCCCCATCTGCTTCTTAACAGATATGTTTAAAGGGCAAAGTACACATATTTAAATTCCTCAGCATTCAGGCATGCCTCAGAATAGATAAAAAGCCAGATTCCTTGGATCTTCCATCCTTGGGTAAAAGAATACCTTCCCAGCCGCTCACGGACAGGTAAACTTGCATTCCCCTTTTCAGAATGTGTAAAATGAGCATTTATCAAACTTGAAGGAGAAATGCTCTGAGTTTGCTTTATTGCAATAATTTCAGTACTTCTGAAGTAAAAGTTTTTGTAGCCTTTAGGATGCTACCTTTCCTATTACTATTTTTGTGCAGATTCTTTCCCATCTCAGTAGGGTGAGTTCTCACAGTGAGTTTTTTCTCTGAGTAATCTAAGCATTATAGCAATTAACTGTTGAATTAAATTGTTTCCACTTGTGCAGAATCTTCTATAAAGAATACCATATATTTAAAGGTATTTTCAGCTCATCCTTCATGATTAAAAACAAAAGTTCCAATATTCTCCTCAAAGCTGTACCAAAGGAGGGGCAGGGAGCAAGGAATTACTCATGAAAAGTGTTGCATTTCCTGTGGCTACACAGGTCTATATGTAATGTGAAAGTTGCTTTCTTCTACTTGTACTAGAAATTGATCAGTTTTACTGAAAGGAAAGTCTGCCACCTACTGTCAAACAATTACATTATTTTCCTGGAGTGGAAAATCCTTCTCAGTTAATGTCAGAAGTACAACATAGTTTTTCAAGTCTAAACTCACATAACTTTCAGAACATATTTCCATAAGTTCACTTATCGTTGGCTATAAATTAATAATGTTTATTATTTTGCTTCTGTTCATTTTTTTCTCCTGTATTTGCGGGTTCCGAATGAACTTGTTTCCGGAGCACTACCGACACATTACAGGATATTTGACACATTACAGGATATTTTTCTTTTTGTTATTTTATGAACTTTATTAAGAACACTGCTTGTGTTCAGTGTCCTTTTTTTCCTACCAGTGAGTCAGTGCATTGTTTAAATATTGGCACACATGTGAAATATTTCTCCTACAAACTATCGTAGATTCCGGCGTATTAGGCAACTGGACATATAAGACGACCCCCCAAATTGGTAGCTGCCAATTTGGGGGGGGGGGGTCGTCTTATATGCCCAGTCGCCTAATACGCCGCTTGACTTATACGCCCAGTCTTATACACGGCAGCTTCACTGGGCAGCGGCAGTGGTCGGCGGGCTCCGCGCCAGGAGGAAGCTGCCTGGTGAAGCTGCCCAGCGAAGCTAAGCTGGCTTCGCTGGGCGGCTTCCTCCCAGTGCGGAGCGGAGCCCGCCTCCCACTGCTACTGCCCAGCTAAGCTGCCGCAGCTGCCGCCACCGCACCAGTAGGTGGTGGGCTCCACGCTGGGAGAAGCCACCCAGCAAAGCTGGCTTAGCATCACTGGGCAGCTTTGCGGTGCAGATTCCTCCCAGCACTGCTGCTGCCTAGTGAACCCATACCCGGCGTATAAGATGACCCCTGACTTTTTAGAGGTTAAAAAGTTGTCTTGTACACCGGAATCTATGGTAATAAGCACATTTGCATAATTACCATTGGCACCTAAAATTGCCTCTAGACAACTAGAACTTTCTCCAGACTTGCATCTGGTTTACTGGGGCAGCATTAGCATTATTAAATAGAGGTCCTAGTGAGCATTTCATGTGTTAGCCCAGCCTTTCCTAACCTGATGCCCTCCAGATATTTTGGACGACAACTCCCATCAGGCTGAGTCAGCATGGGAGTATGAAAACATCGGGGGCACACTGAGTTGGCAGAAGCTGTTCTTGCCAGCAGGGAAAAAAGCCTGTAGGCCTGTCTTTCAAAGGCAGTTCACACCTCACAAGCAGAGACCTGATCCTTTCTTGCCAGTTGTGAATGTTCTGAAAATATTCAATAACTAACAAATGTATACATAACCATTCTCCATAGACAGGATGAGCTGTTAAAGGATGAGCAGTTTTCTTCTGTTGTGTTGCATTCCATTCAACATATATTCTGGTTTCTTTTTCTTTTGCTTTTGTATGTTGACTTTGTAAAATTAAGCTTGGAATTGTTACAGGAGCTGTTTGCCCCATGTTTTTCCCTAACTGTGCATATGTGTACTAGTTCAGATCGCAGTACAAAAAATAACCTTTATGTAATTGCAGAAACACATTAGGGTACCTTTTCCTGCTAAGCTCAATCCCTTGTCCATCTTTCTATAATAAATAAAAATTTCAATAATCCTAGGAAGATGACTTCTGCACATGTTTACTAACCTCTCTTCCTAACATGAACTATTTATATGGTACCGTCTATGTATATGGAGGTTTATGAAGAAGAGATATAGAAGATTCTTCTTCCAAAGGGATTCTAATATGAAATAAACACAAGGAAACAGCAGAGAAAGGGGTGGGAATGTAGGGAATAAGTGATGCATGTACAGTGGTGCCTCGCAAGACGAAATTAATCCGTTCCGCGAGTATCTTCGTCTAGCGGTTTTTTCGTCTTGCGAAGCAACCCTATTAGCGGCTTAGCGCTATTAGCGGTTTAGCGGCTATTAAAGGCTTAGCGGCTTAGTGGATTAGCTGCTAAAAGGCTATTAAAGGCTTAGCGGCTTAGAAAAAGGGGGGGGGGAGCGAAAAAAATCTCAAGACTCGCAAGACATTTTCGTCTTGCGAAGCAAGCCCATAGGGAAATTCGTCCTGCGAAGCGCATTGAAAACGGAAAACCCTTTCGTCTAGTGGGTTTTCCGTCTTGCGAGGCATTCGTCTTGTGGGGCACCACTGTATTTGGTTACAGTAAAATAAGGAGTAGGTGGGGCAATGAGTATTTTCTGGGGTCAGTGTTGTGATTTGGTATGGAAAACTCTGGGATAAAAGCACAGGACTTGTAACCACAAATAACAGGGAGAAGTGGCCATCCACCCTGCCTGACACAGCTCTAGTGTTGACATTTTGCAGGATTATCAGACAATATAGTCAGTCCCTTTTGACTTTTTATGATCTGTGATTGTCCAATTGCATCTCAGTGGGACACACCTTTTTAATACCAAGAACCTCTGTAAATAATCCACCTTCAAAAGAGCATCTTGCTCTACAAGAAGTGGCTGTTCATCACTCAGAGAACCAGAACCTGCGTCTTAGTATTTGTCACAATTAAGGTACTTGTTCTTTTATTACAGTATGGAAGATTTTTATCCAAATAAAAACCACGGCCCAGACTCTGGCATTGGCAGCGATAATGGGGATAAAAGGTTATCCACAACAGAAGTAAGCCTGTCCTTTCTAAACTACTCAAAGGAAAGAGGTAGCAGGGGCAGTGGGTTTCTCTAACATCTCTTCTGACTGCTTTCCATTGTCTCAGAATTCTTAGTTTGGCTAAATCTCCATCCATTTGATTTCAATAAACTCCAGTTTAAAAATGACTGTAAAGTACAATAAGATAGCTTGCCTGCTTTGTTATATACTTTATCCTTAACAGCAGTGTTTTGAAGCATTACCCATGCCAGCACTGCACCCCATAGTCACCTTTGACTGGACTTAACCGTCCAGGCGACGGTTATCTTACCATCCAGTAAACAATCCCTCAACATTAAATCTGTATCTTACCAGCTTCATGGTGGTAAAATGAAATAACCCTGAAGGATTCCCCTATTTTTATTTTTTTTTTGTCTTGAGCAAACAGAACTTGAACTTGTGTACTTTTGACATTCATTGAGCTGGGATAGCTCTGTTGGTAGAGCACGAGATTCTTAATCTCAGGGTCGTGGTCAAAAGATGCTTTGCAGGGGTTTGGACTACATGACCCTCATGGTCCTTTCCAATTTCCAATTCTACAATTTTATGATTCTAGGTCATTTTAAGTAGCTCGTTTAAAACTTGACATCTGTTGGATACCTCATTAAATGGAAAATATGTCTTCTCCTGTCTCAGTGAGTAGGAAATGCTCTACGTACAGGCCTGCCCTCCAGCAGTGTGCCACAGTGGCCTCTGCTGGTGGTGGTGGGAAGCTGATTTTCTGATGCAAAGTTTATCAGAACAACAAGTGGAGTATGCAGGTTATGCTCTTAACTGCTCTTTTCAGCCATCCGATGATGACACAATCAGCCTTCACTCTCAGGTATCGGAATCGACAAGGGAGCAGACACTCAGAAATGACAATCAGTTACTAGGAAATAAACCTGAACTGCATAAAGGTGAGTTCCAATTTCTGGTTCTCAGAAATGTCCTCTTTGTACTCACAGTTCTTCTGCTTTGGTCGTAACACTGCATTACTGATTACAGGCCTCAAAGAACATTGGGCACATGTACTTCCCCTTCTCTTCCTCTACCTAAGCCGTGAGGAGACAATTGATAGCATACCGATTTACACTAACTGGAAAGCCTTGTCAGTTTAAATTATGGTGGTTTGAAAGAAGCCTGGATAATCAGCTATGGTTTAACCCTGGCTTGTTTCAATAAATTGTTGTTTAAGCTGAGGGTGGGGAACTTATCCTCCGTCTGATAGCCACTTTTCCTTATGAGTAATCTTCAGGTGGCAGTGGTGGCACTTGCCAGTGGTGGGAATGGCCAGAGGCAAAATGGGTCAAGCAATAGATATGCACTGTAGGGTACTTTCTAGCCACATTTAAAAGCTAGAGGTTTCTGCATGCCTCCATCTTCCATCCAGGCAAGCAAGGGTCATTCTCATAGTTCAAGGACCCATTGAAGCCAGAAAGAAAGCATTTGAGGATGTTGTAGAGCAGTATTGAAGGCCAGATAAAAAGCCCTGGGAGGGCCACATTTGACCACCCTCTGGCCTGAAGTTCCCCAACAGTGTTTTACACTAACAGTTTCCCTTGTGAAACTGTTTAAAAATAAGCAAGTGCTTTCAATCTCCTTGCAGTGGCTCTCTTTGACCTCGCAAGTGTTTGGCCTTGAGGATTAGTCCTTTGTTATGAGAACCACAAGTTTGACAGCCATAGGAGGACACGTGAAAGAATGGAATGTGTCCTTCCTGAAGCCTTATGCATTTTTGATGAAATAAATAAGATCACCCCACTCCCACAAAAAAGAGAAATAATTCTCACCTGTTGGTATTGTCTTTTTTTTAAGGAGAGAATAAAAAATAGAAAATCAAAACCTTTGTTAAATTGCCTTCTTATTGCTGCACATCTACCAATCGCCCGGAGAGGGAAAACATTAACACCTCATTATGGTGAATTAATATATGGAAAATTGCATTACATACTCGTTTTTTTAAAAAAAGAAAAGATAACCACTTTTGTCTTAGTTTGGTGTGATTTTATTGAATATATAAAAAAAGAAAATTTACATCTCTCTTTTCCACAAGTCCCTCTAGAAATCTGGGATAAGTAACATCTAATTGGTTGACAAATTTCCTTCATGGAATATAGGGCCTTTTATTTTTTGTACTCCTTGTGCCTCTGATGGTTTCAGTTACAGATTTATGTTTCTGTATTTTGTAAGTCATCTGCACCACACTTCCTCTCTTCCTTATAATGGTACTTTCCACTTACTTGTCTCTGTTTTATAATAAATATATAGATAACCACCTTTATCATATTTTCCTGTGAATATGCCATGCCAGCCTTGGTTTGGTTTGGTTTAGTTTTTATATGTTCGTCTCAGGGAGTTCTGTTTTGTTATTTGAGCTATACATCTATCTGTATAAAATAAATCTCCCTTCCCCCCCTTGCTTTGTCATCATCCCTGATGACCAGACCCAGAAGTGTGTGATTACCTTGACCCCAGCTCAGAGGATGTGGCTTCCTGTGATCAAGGAGATGTGCAAACTGGGCCATCGATCTCGTATATTAAGGTAGCATCTTAAAGAATAACTTGGATATTAGCAACCCGCTTTACATATTGTGAAGTTCAGTAATGTGACCCCTGCACACTTTCTTTCCTCTCCTTTCCCTCCCACCCCTGTGTGCGTGTTAGGAACGAGCAAAGCAGACTGAAAAGTCTCAGAAAACAGAAGAAAATGAAAACTGGGGAGATGAGAAGAGGTATTTTCCCTAGCAGTACTAACTGGGCATTCTAACTAGTATTGATGATTATGATGATTTATTGCCTGCCCTTCATCTTAAGGTTCCAGAGCAGATTACAACAATAAAAACCCAACTTCAGTATTAAAACACAATACCGCACAATATTAAAACCAGATTAAAACAACTTAAAATTATACAAATCAGGTGGGTACTAAAAAATATCTAGAATGGGAAATATGAATAGCTGTTGGAGGAGGGAATCTTAGTTTTTTTCTGTTGTTTCTCTGGCATTCTGATTTAAAACAGAAATGTTTGTGGTGTTTTTTAGGGTTCAGAAGGATCAGGTATTGGCAGAGGAAGATGATGAACTGAAGGAAGTGACTGACCTAAGGAAAATAGCTGCCCAGCTGCTGCAACAAGAACAGAAGAACAGGTATTTAGCCTTTGGATCACAACAGTAGGTGAACTCTATATGCAAGTCCCCTGGCTGCATTTTGTGTTAAAGGCTTGTGGAGTTTTAAAATTTGGCAAATGACACAGAAGCTTAACCAAGAAATCAATCAAACTCTGGTCCTGCTTCCTAGACACATCTGGTTGCCCACTGAGAACAGGGTGGACTCAAAAGGCATTTGGCTTAATCCAGCAACCAGACTCTTCTAATATTCAGATATTTGAGATTTAGTGTTGATAAACATGAACAAACTTTATTGCTTCTCTGCAGCTAACATTTGAGTGCAATTTGTCCACTTTAAAACTGGTAAGTGCAAAACTGCGAATGATTGAAATGAACTGAGTTTAGCAATCTGACTGAGCGTAAACTAAGATTACTCAAAATTCTCTGATTCTTACCTTGTCAAAAAGAAAAAAGAAAAAAAGAGTAACACAAAGCTCAACCATTAAGCATTTTGTCTTTTAAACCCTGTTAAAGCTCTACCTCCTTACTACTTTCTGCTCACTATACTAATGACGTCCCTGTCCTCTCCTGTCAACCTTTACTCCTTCCTTCTTCCATCTTTGGGTTTTGATGTACATGAAATACGAATTCAGACGGAGACCATTAAGCTATAGAACTTCATTCAGTGAAAAGCTCTTCCAGAGGACAAGGGTCGCAGGACGCGCATCAAGGTATTTTGTTTTTATGGCACATGAATTTCAGCTGACAACACAAGGGACAAACAGACAATTCCTGCATTGCAGGGGCTTGGACTAGATGACCCCTTGGGTCCCTTCCAATTCTATGATTCTGTGAAAACATTTTTGGGTGTGCTGCTAAAGATGCGAAGACTTAAAGTAGTAAGAATCCTTACCCCAAACTGCATAGGGCAGGAGTGGGCTCTGAAAGTACCAGCTCCATCAATAGAATTGCTTGATTATCGTCATTTGCTTGTGTGTTTTTTTGAAAAATAATTGTGCTGCCCGTTATCAGAATCAATTTCAGAGCAGTTCGTATGCAACAGTTTAAAAATAGAGGCAAGAATTGTATTATTCCATTATGACTCACATAAAAACAAAATTCAAAACATATTGGAATTTTAATAATACAAATACTTTTTGAGGATGGAAGTGATGAAACTTTACACAGGGGAGCGATTTTTAAAGGTGTTGTTCTTTTCTTCACGGGGCAACTTATATTTTTGGTTATGGGTAGTGTGCCTGCAAGTCTTCCCAATGGTTAGAAGTCTGACTGTGGAAATGCTTCTGCCTGTGTCCAATATTCAGGCATGCTCTGTACATCTGACTCAGAAATAGATGGGGGTGCTCTGGGTCTCACTAGATCAAGAGCATGGCTATTGTACCTATCTTCAAATAACTTCTCTGTGATGAAATACTACATATCTTTTCTCAGCTTTTTTCTATCATGTTTCCTTTTCTGAATCTTTCTTCCCCATTGTCAGTGTTGCATCTAGTCAAATATTGTCTATTCTGTACTATCTTCCTCACTAAGTCACCAGTCAGACTGAATGTTTCTCAGTGATTCTCATAGTCACCTTCTTTGATCATGTAACCCAAAAACAACAGGCTTCAAATTAGTTAAGAACAATAAAAATGGTGTTAAAGTAACATATTTTTCCTCTGACTGTTAGCATGTAGAGATATCTGGACTCTAAACTTTTGCTCAAATTCTCAGAGCTGGACAGTAAATATTCAAATGCATTTTAAACTACACAATTTCAGCATGAAATTTTTGTGGTTTCAAGTGCACATTTGTGTGTTTGATTTTAGACTTCTGAATCACTCCACGTCAGCAAGTACAAGAAACAGACCAAAACAGACCATGGAATCAGAAAAAAGGTATCAATTGTGCTTTTCTTAGTAGTAAAATACTTTGGGTGAACCCTGTGGTGGTGGTGGGGATGGTTGAATAAAGGCTGCTTGAGACGTGCCTAATTCTTTCTCAAAAGTTCCACATTACCTTCAGATAGCAGAAATTGATTCTAGAATATATCACTGTGCAAGGGTGCTCTTCATAACTGTTGGTTTCGAGGTGTTTCAGAATTAAACAGCCTACAAAGCTTTACATAGATTTCAAGAGTGTTTTAAGGGCAGAGATAAAGGCACAAGTGTGCTTTAAAAAATGGATCTTTGAAATGCACGCAGACAGCTTTCCCTAGATACCATGTTGATTTATTGCACAGCACTCTTTGCTGTAGTCAGCGTTAACAGTTGTAAATTCCTGATCTCTTAATGTATTTAAACAACTGTCCAGGAAGCCTTTTTTTAAACTTCTGAGTACTTGAGAAAACAATTTGTTCTGGTGTTAAGTTTTCAAAGATATGTAGCAGAGCTGATTAATCATTAAAATTAACACTTCAGTATTGTGACAAGAATACACTTCCACAAGATAGACATCCAAAAGACAAGTCATGATATGAAACAACCCTCTTTAAATTCTTTCTTCCAGAGTATGTTACCTGAATTCCTTAATGGAGACTCTCATTGAGTATAGTTATTATAAGATTTCTCAGCTGTGAACAGTAAGAACATGGTGATTTTCTAGATTGGTTTATTCCTTAGTAAACAAGCTTTCTGAGTGTGATTACCCACATCTACATAGCCCATAAGAATGATTTCCCTCCCTCCCTTTTTAAAAATATATGTCTAGGTCATTTTGATACAAGACTCTTTTTTTGCTGATATGTATATAATTGTAAGTTGCTTGACTTGGCTCAGTGTAAAAGATGAAAAAATCCATTCTAACAAACTATGTGTGTGTTTTCATCTAGCCTTTCAGCAGATGAAGCAAATTCTCCATCATCCCCATACAGTTGGCAGGTAATGCAGAGATACATAAGCATCCAAAATACTGTCTGCGCAGCTGTGATAGTTTTGCTCCTACTTTCTTGACTGGCTTGATTTCATGGCCATGGTCATGTATGGTGGTAAACTAGCCAAATGTGCTATACAGACTCTGGAGGGTAGTTGACAGTTCTAGCCATTGGCACAAATGTAACAAAAATAGAATACAAAAAGATTGTTTTCTCCCAGAAGTGCTGATCTTTAAATTATTGCACTTTTAACCTGCTTTCTCCAGGTGCAAACCTTTTGATAAACTGCCTTGACAAATGTATCAGGCCATTTCCCCCCATTAATGAAGAACTTTCTCTTCCATGGTGTAGTGAAACAGACGCATGAGGAATTGCTGCTATTATTATTATTACAGTCACCATTATCAACCCACACTTTACCTTAAGGTCCCAGGGCAGGAGGTGATGATGATGATGATAATAATAATAATAATAATAATAATAATAATAATAATAATTATTATTTTATTTGTACCCTGTCCATGTGACTGGGTTGCCCCAGCCAGTCTGGGTGGCTTCCAGCATATACACTAGTAGCCAAAATTGTGTCAAAACAAGATGACACCTGATTGGGACTCTAAACACTCCCTTTTCTGGTTATTTGGCTGTAAATTTTAATAGCATACAGGGTAAAGAAGTGCGACTTCAGTATTCCTCGGAAACTGTATAATGAATGTGTCAGACACACCTCTGCTGGGAAGGAGCTCTGCAGTTTAGGGGACATCACAGATAATGCCCTTTCCTGGGCCTACCCAAGCCTCTGAGGGCATAGGAACTATCAAGAGGGCCCCTTTTGCTGATCTTGGCACCCAGGAGAGTGTGGGGAAGGAAGCAGTCTTTCAGATACTTGAGGCATGAGTCATACACATGAATGGCTTGCTTATTCCAGAAACATGGAAGTTCATAACTACCTGCGGCAACCTGGTTGGCATTATTTAGCCATGAGGAGATAGAAAGCTTTCACACATGTGTTCAGCTAAACACAATTTAGCATAATCCCCACAGCATAATGTGGTTAATCTTATGACCATTTATCACTTCTCAGCCTTCTGGCTAAGATCAAGTGTAGCGGTTTATTGAAACAAGCCAGCTTCATGAACCAGAATTTGAAACTGGCTTGTTTGAGTATCCCACAGTTTAATCACAGTTTGTCCATATTCAGATATAATGCTAAACTCTGGTTAATTAAAAATGGAAGCAGAATGGCCACATCAAAAGAGCTGATAGGTAATGGAATATGTTAACCTCAGGGTCACTCAGGTTCATTCATGTAATACAAAATTTTAGTATAAAGCATAGTTTAGTGCTGTGCCTGAATGAGGTAGTTGTGGGCATCAGTCTTCGGGTATTTTTCACTACATTCTCTTGTATGTCCTGTACCCAACTGCAAGGCTACTTAAATGGAAACATAATGACAATAATTTAGACTAAATGGGAAAATTAGTGGCCACTGTAATATTTTAATAGTCATTTTCTTACTCTACCCTTCTACTTTCCTCTCAGTAACTTATTACACACGGTACTGTTATCTTAAACAAAAAAGTTGGTACCAAATGTAATTCAGTTTCTTGACTGGAAGTAGGAACATCTTCATTGTTCTGATCAGCAAGTTTACAATGCCCTAAGTAAGAAGTAATGAGGGGTGAATCTAGCTGTGCAGCCAGTAAACTCTTCTCTGATTTTCAGAGCTCTTTGTTTAGGACAGGAGTGGGGATCCTCGAGATCAGGGACCATATGTGACCCTCCAAGCCTGTGTAGGAACCTCTGACTTTTGCATGACTGACCTGTAGCCTATTATGCATCTGTTGCCCCAAACCCTACTGGCACTTAGCCACTTGAAGGCGGCCCATGAAAAAATGTGACCTTTGACTGTGAAAAAGATTCCACATCCCTGGTTTGGGGAGCCCCTACTTACTTTTTCATTGGGGGTGGTTCCAGCAGACTACTCTGAGGACCAGGATATACCGTATTTTTCTCTCTATAACACTCACATTTTTTCTACTAAAAAGTAAGGGGAAATGTCTGTGCGTGTTATTGAGCGAATGTGTAGTCCCTAGAGCCGACTGGCCCGAGTACAGGGGCAAAAATCAGATCGCGCGGAGGAGGGAAGGCTAAAGAGAGGAGGTTGCTGCTTTCCTGCATTCTGCCTCAGGGTCTTACTGCCCACCCTCTTCTGTTTTCGGTTGCTGTGTTTGCTCAAACGCAACAAAGAGCAGGGAAATCCCTTCCCTCCTGGCAAGCAGAAGGGAAAGGAAAGGATCGCGTCCTTCCTTCTAATTCCTTCCTAGTCACACTGCACGCAGGCGCCAGCCCACCCGGCTCAGGTTCCGTCGGCTAGGAGCGCAGCCGACAGCCACCACCTCCTCCTCTCCCTGCTCTGGTGCTACTGCTGCTGCGTCCAGCATTCTAGGGACTCCCAGGCAGCCAGAAAACATGCAGGTGGGAGAGAGAAAGAGGGTTGGCTTGGGTGGGTGGGGGGAAACTTTTGCCTTTCTTTCCTCCCTCCCATTAAATCCCTCTCCTGCATTGTTAGCCAGCTGCTTCTCCACACACGCCTCTCGTGCTCCTTGTCCCTTCTGTGTTTTTCCTTCGCTCCCCACTTAAAACGTGGTTACAAAGCACGGATCCACATGGATCCTCAGGATCTTTGCATTGGGTCACCCCAAATTCACCATCAGATCACATAGCATGTCCATGGCTACAGCCTGCACCAAAAAAATCACGCACCCACTGTTGCCTGGGGCCGCAGTGGTGCAAAAACGTGGTTACAAAGCACAGATCCACATGGATTCTCAAGATTTTTGCATTGGGCTACCCCAAACTCACCGTCAAATCACATGTCTGTGGCCACAGCATGAAGCACAAAAATGATACATCCACTGTTTCATTCAGAATTTTTTTCTTTCTTGTTTTCCTCCTCTAAAAACTATGTGCGTGTTATGGTCAGGTGCGTGTTATCGAGTGAAAAATACGGTACATAATTTAATCTGAACTGCTTGCTGGAAGGTCAGAGTGGAATTTCTTGTCTTACGAAGCTACTTATTTCTCCCATCAGTCACTGGAGGATCGGAAGGACCACCCAGATGAGCAACACTGGCCGGACATGCAGCCAGTTATCTGGCAAAATGAGGAGAGGAGGCGGAGCAAGCAAATCAGAAAAGAATATTTCAAGGTATGTTGTTCCATTATGGTGGCAAATTTGATGCTTAATCTGATTAGCGGCCTGAGTATCTCTACAAAAATTAAGATTTATTATATAAAAAAAGGAAAGCCTAGGTTAAGGTATCACCCTGGCCATACTTTTTGGCAAGGGACAACTGAAATAGAATTTCCCCCCTCAACAGCATGTTGTTGTTGAATGACAACTCAAGGTGTCAAATACTAGTTGGTTTTGTGCATTATTTCATGTTGCATGTTTAGCCTGTGAGGGTTGCTTTACCGTGAATTAGTGTTTTCCTAGCTTTTCTGTTTTAAGTCAGTAAGCATTTGGAGGATATACAAGGAAAATATCTGTTGTGTCTAGCTGTACTTGCAGACTGAGGTCAAAAGCCTAGATCCACTGAGACCCTTGATTTCCTTACTGAATAAAATGAAAATAAAGAGCAATTTTACATGGTTGTTACAGGAAGTGCTGAAAAGCACTTTATGTAGCTAAGTGCTGTGTGATTGACATTACTTTGTACAAATTGAGTATGCTGGAAGAAAATCCATTCAGTGAACAAAAATTCTTCCCCCAGACTCCATCCTCTCACTTGAAATTTGGTATAATTGCAACTCTTCACACAAAGTGTTCCTAAATAGCCAATTTCTCACATGCACACAATCTAAATACAAAAACTACTCCTTTTAAAAACAGCTGAAGTTCAGTGTTACTTCAGTGTCAACTTCCATCTTAGTCCATTCAGAGCATATAACAAAAGCCTAATTTGACTTATTTGAACCTCAAACAGTGGTTGATATCAAACTCTCTTTTTTAAAAGCTGATGCAAATTATGGAAGAGAAGAAGAAGAGAAGAGGCTGAAAGCGTGCAAAAAGAGTTTGAGCAGGATTATGCTCTAGGGTCTAGTGATTTCAGTATTACACTGCAAGAAAATGCTCTTGCTACATCGGAAAGGCTATAGCTTTGCCTGCCTCCTCACATCCTTCCTCTCCCAGCAATCTAGTAACTTCTCGTGCATATTTGCAAGGCTGTTATAATTATCAGCAAATCTTCTCTATAAATGTGCCTAGTCCTTTTCAGGAAGTATCCAGTATTTGCTGTTTGTACCTGCAACCACATCCATGTCTATGTCTTTAATTATTTCCATTACAAAATGAGGCATAGCAATGACATTAGCTGTTGGAGCAATGCCTTGCCTTTTATACTGGACTAGGTATTTTAGAATGTCTGCTTAACCATACTCTTCAGCTGTATTCCCATATTGGTACGAGACTCCAAGCACCTGTCTTTCTTCCAGGCTATCTAAAATAAATAAAATTTATACTGATGGCAGGATGGAGAAAATTACTTCTGCTGTTAAGATTTCCCAAATCTTTCAACTTGCTGGCATTTCCCTTTGACTTTGTGTTGAACTCTAGAACCAGAAACACAGCTTAAATTTGAAAGTAAGAGTTCACCACCAGAGGGCACTGCCTGCTTTCTGAGGATAGAAGACTTTCCCTTGGAACCCAGTGGGCATAACTGAGGTTTCTGTGCGAAGCTTCAAGTTGGATTGAAATATAGAATGTCTTCCATTATGAAGCTGACTTTGTCAGATGTTTCACTCATGACGCTTAAAAATTCCGGGATGTACAGTAAAGACAAGCGCAATACAGTGTCACACTTCAAAGCAAACTATATTTTAAATCGGTATTTGATTGATATTTGCGGTTAAAATGGTCACATACCCGCTTCAGAATTCTCCCCCTCCCCAATCCATGCAGCTTCGAAGTTAGGTTCTAAAAGGGGGCTGTGACCACCATGACAAGGCCTTACAGGCCATCACCGCTTTTGCCACTGCTGCAAGGCCTTGCAGGCTGCCACCACTACTGCCATCACCACCACAAGGCCTTGCAGGCTGCCACTGCTTCTGCCCCCCCCCAACATTGTTGATTCTGCCATCCTCAGGCTGCTGCCGCTTGTGTCTCCTAGCAGGCCTGCTGGCAGTTTGACAGTCTCAGATTATTTGTATGCACTATGACTCATTGCCATACTTTGGATTGTCCTGCATACCACCATTTGGTAAAGGTAAAGGTACCCCTGCCCATACGGGCCAGTCGTGTCCGACTCTAGGGTTGTGCGCCCATTCCACTTAAGAGGCCGGGGGCCAGCGCTGTCCGGAGACACTTACGGGTCACGTGGCCAGCATGACGAAGCTGCTCTGGCGAGCCAGCACCAGCGCAGCACACGGAAACGCCGTTTACCTTCCCGCTATAAAGCGGTACCTATTTATCTACTTGCACTTAAGAGTGCTTTCGAACTGCTAGGTGGTCAGGAGCTGGGACCGAAAGACAGGAGCTCACCCTGCCGCGGGGATTCGAACCGCCGACCATACGATCGGCAAGCCCTAGGCACTGAGGTTTTACTAACAGCGCCACCCACGTCCCACCCACCATTTGGTAACCAAGCCCAAAACCAAAAGTCCTGTTGGGATGCATTTTGGCTTTCCTGCTGTTGAAAGTCACCATGAGGTGATTGATAATATCATCAGTTATCAGTTTAAGACCTTTAAGTAGTAGCAGTTTCCATTTATATATCATGATATTGATATATCACAATATTGAAAATATTAGGGATAATGGGAGTTGTAGTCCAGCAACACCTGGAAGACCACAAGTTCCCCACCAAACCCTTAAACAGTTTTGTTCTGGAAATAGTAATTTTACAGAAAGGCAGTTGCTAAACTAGCTTCCTCAAAATCCAGTTTTGAGTACATCGTGGAGAAGAAACACATACCATGCTGTGGCTTTGTAAAAGACATTTGGATTCTGGCAACATAACATAAATGATATGCTATAAATAGCTGTTTAAAACAAGCTGTTTGCCTTTCAGTACAAGTCTTCCCGGAAGAGTTCAAGTGGCAATGAAAATGATGAGGTGAGTTAGCACTGTGATAAGAAGCCAACTACATAAGGAATTGGAACTTGTGCTGATCCAGTTGGCTGTAATAACAGCAGAAACCTTACTTTAGGCTCATGTACAAAACTTCTGAACCTCTGGGAAGCCGATGCTGCTTGTAAAGATGGAATTCATCCTGTCCAGTGTAGGGTACCTTGATGCTTTGTTTCCATGGTGTCTGTCAACATGAGCTTCTAAAGTGTTGAGGCTCAGTTCCTTGAACTTCACATGGAGTTTAGGGTCTCCCCCACTTTTTTCCCTTATTGTTTCTCTCATTGTCACTGCCATCTCCACTAAGTGATAAACAGTGGCAGTGCATGCTGGTAATGTTAATTTTTTTAGGTGCTTCTCTGTATTAGGCGGCAAATGGGGTAAGGTGCACACTTTTCAGTTCTAGCAGTTTTTATTTGAATCAGCTTTGTTGTTTTGAAAGAGGGGGTATTCTGGAATGCAGGGACCAGTGGGATCTTTGGTTTTCTCAAAACCTTGATTTAAAAAAAATAAATTCTGTGACAAAGTGGTTTTAAAAGGGGGTAAAAAGGAGAGGAAAGCAAGGCAACCAAACACATGCACTGCAGGAATTGTTTTGCTTCAGGTCTTTGACTGAAATGTTAACTCAAATTGGGCAAAATGTAATGGGAAAATGTGATGAACCCAGTCATTGCCTGAATGCAGAAGTGTCCAGGTCATAGTTTCTACTTAGAAGTTCACTGGCAGAATTCCTAGTGCAGCTGAATCGTGTGTGTGTGTGTGTGTGTGTGTGTGTGTGTCCGTGTGTGTCCGTGTGTGTCCCAACTCCCCTCTGTCTTTATACTGTTGATGCTTCCCAAATAACACCTAGTTTTTAATCACTTAAGAAGTTTTTTCACCAGATAGGCTGTGTTCTTCAACTTAAGGGGGTTGGTGGATGCCTCAGGGGGAAACTCCAGTGGGAATTTAGAAAGATTAAGAAACCAGATATCATTTTTTTAAAAAGCTCATACAAAAAAAGCTCATACAGACTTCTATATCTGACCATTTAATGACAATTAATAGCTTTAATGTAGATGTTGACCACACTCCCCAGTGAATACTAGGGCTTCCCATTGTTAGCTTTGTGCTTAGTTCTTTGCTTTCTCCAGCTGGCCATGGCATCCAGTTTGAACTCTCCAGCAGACAGTTTCCTGAGTTCAGCACCATAAATGCAGTATTAAACATGGCACACTGTTCCGCTTGCAGAAGGACCAAGGTTCAGAAACTTTCCAAATCCGTCATTGTGAAACTGCTGAGCAGCCATGTCTTAGTTGTGCATACACATGTTTAATCATACATCTATGTGTAAGAATACTTGTATATCATACATGTTCATAATCATGCAATTTTTTATTTAAAAACATATCTTTCATTTTATAATTCCATCTTTTTGGTTTCTTTTTAGCAAGACAGTGATAATACTAATGTGTCTCCACAGTCTCCTGTGTCATCTGAGGTACAAGTGTGTTTGTGTCAGTGTGTTTTTCACTACCTGTTAACACCGCTGCATGGAACTCACATGAAATATGCCGTTCTTTGCTAAATTAGAGAATACTGTACAAAGACAGTTCTTTTGAAGAATTATCTGGAGTATATTATACAGTAGCTACAATGTATGTCAGAAAAACACAGAAAAGTAAGCTTCTAACTGCTTAAGGTATATCCCATTTTCATGACCAAAAAATAATAATTATTGAATGAATTATTGATGAATTAATGTTTTAAGTGTTGCTTGTGTTCCAAAGAAAAGATTCTCCTGTATAAGCCCAGTTCATTTCCTTGGGGCTTCCCCTGGCGACAGCCAATGTTTGTTACGCATGCAGAGAAGAGAGAAAGGAGTCAGCAGTCTTGGTGTAGCATCTCCCCAAATACAGTATTATAATTGAGCTAAATTAAAAAAAAATTAAAACATTTCCCCCTTTCAGTCAAGGAAGACTATGTACTTGCCACATGAAAACAATCATCTGTGTGACTTTAGTTATGTTTTGGGGCCTTCTGACATCCCCCTTCTCCCTCCACCCCTAGGATTATGAAAGGGCCGATGGCAATTCTCATGGTCCTTTTGGACTGAAGCCCAGATCAGGTAGGCACCATTCCACACATACTGAACAGGGATGCATGGAAAATAGGTTATTTTGGAGGTGGCAAAAGGATAGAATTGTTCTTATCAGTCTTGCAGTGGGTTTCTTAGAAGCTGGGATATATAATCCATATATTTTCACATATGCTGAAATTGCATGAGAAGTCCTTCACAAACTGCTGTAGGAGAATCAAATAGTCACAATAGAAGGTGATTTTTCAGCAGAGAATCATACAGAGGTGGTTAGGGAGGATGTGAATAGTCATATGCAGATTGAACAAAACTAGCAAAGGTTATTTGGTTGTATCTAGCTCAGTTGACCCATTAAAATTAGTTGCTGTGTCTTGATGTCCCTGAGTCTGCTTTTAAGCCTGACTTAGTTGGGCACCACCCTGAACCAAAGCAGCCCCCCTCCCAAATTATAGACTGGGACTTCTGGATGAGTGGATGGGGGGGCTAGATGTGAGTTGAGCCTTGGTGTTGCAGAGCCCTTGCTTTGCAATCTCCTCCTTCACTAGTAAAATGGCTCCCAGGCAGACATATTTCCAAGCCCCACTGTGAGATCTTGGAGAGCTATTTTTGAAGTAGCTAGTCCTGGGCCAGATGGAGTAATGATCTCTCTTGGGACAAAGTAGTTTATATGCTTGTTTGAGCCCAAGTCAGAATCCATTTACACAACTGGAATTGTATATGCTTCACCACACTGTCAGCAATATGCTTGATTTCTGTTGATTTGCATAAATCCAGAGTGTTCTTCATCCAGGTATCCAACAGAAAGCTATTTTCTGATTCAAGTCATCAAGTGGTACAGGAACGTTTTACTGAGATTAGTTTTAATATCAGTGGCTTTTTGTTTTGCTGGTAGTGACTCTTGTGAACAGTGCAGTTAAGGAAACAAAACCTCCTCAGATTTTCCTCGTTCCATTTGCAGCTTTTGGCCGCTCTCGCCAGGACTACAGTGCCGCAGACCCCGGATTCACAATGAGGAGGAAAATGGAGCACTTAAGGGAAGAGAGAGAACAAATAAAGCAGCTGCGCAATGTAATTTTATTCTGTCTGAAATGAATTCCTTGGTTTGCAGAGTTAACGTTCATGTCATTTGAATGTGTTTAGTTAAATAATACACACAGAAAATATGAAACCTGGCTTCTTTTAAAGTGGCCTTGAAATGAGCATTATCCTTATTGTACTCTCTTATTTTCCTAGAATCTAGAGTCGCGATTGAAGGTCAGTTTGCCAGATGACATTGGAGCAGCATTAATGGATGGGGTGGTTCTGTGCCATTTAGCCAATCATATAAGACCTCGATCTGTTGCCAGTATTCATGTCCCATCACCAGCTGTGGTGAGTAAACCATCTATTCTCAAAACAGACATGGCCATTCCCTTTTTTTACATCCCTTCACAATGCATTTATGTAAGCCTCCTTATAACCTTGTGCGTTAAGATCAGTTGCTTTAAGTGATAATTTAAGACAGATGTTTTCAACCTTTTTGAGTCCATGGCTCCCTTGACCAACTACATTCTTTCTGTGGCTCCCCTGTCGGGCTCAGGAGCCCAGTTACACCACTCCTTGCCTGCAGAGCTGGCAGCCCTCCGAGCAGCCACTGCTGCCGTCCCTGGTCTCTGAGTCGGTGCCCCCCCCCCCCGCCCCAAAGAGAGGTGCCTCCCAGAGTTTGCCTGCAGAGCTTATAGCCAGGGCTGCTGCAGTAAAAAGCTGTGCAAGCCTTTGGTAGGCAGAGACGCAAGAGGGCATCAGAGAAGGGAGGGAAGGAAAGAGGGACAGAGACCAGTCTTGCCCACAGCACCCCTGACCATCATTCAAGGTACTCCAGGGTGCTGCTGCACACTGGTTGAAGACCACTGTTTTAAGTGATCAGAGCTTCTGCTATTGTATATTTGTAATGTAAAGCTTCAAGTTCTTTGCAAAAATATGAATAATGACAGCTGTATCTCCCTCTTAACAGCCTAAACTCAGTATGGCAAAGTGCCGAAGAAATGTTGAAAACTTCCTTGATGCTTGCAAAAAACTAGGTGTCCCACAGGTAAAAATGCTGAAATGATTTTCTGATTGACCAACCAGATCAGCTTAGCTTTTGCTAGATCTTTTGGGAAAGGGATGTGGAAATGCCTATCTGGAACTGCCAGGGGGTGAACCTGGGCCACTGGTCATTTTGCCTGAGACTGATAGGAATTGGGAGTCCAGTATCATTTGGAGGGCCACAGGTTTCCCCATCTCACTTGAGCAAACCTCAGCAATAGTGTGGCTTTATAGGTTTGGGGGTGACGACCTGTTCAAATGATGAAGAATTTGCTGTTGATTAGTATAAGCTGGGAAAACTTATTAATAAAACAGACTCATGCAAGATACATTAGTCCAATGTTCCTCAAACGTGGGTCTCAGCTGTTGTTGGACTACAACTCCCATCATCCCTGACCACTGGTTCCTGCAAGCTAGGGATGATGGGAGTTGTAGTTCAACAACTGCTGGGGGCAGGCCTTTCTTCAAAGTATGAACAATTGTGGGAGGGAGAGGAGGAATGTCTTTAACTTGTTCCAGTAGGAGGAAGGGATGGAAGGGAAGCCTCCATGGGCTGTATCTGGGTGTGGACCAGAGGTTCCCAATCCCTGAGGAAGTAGGACATTTGAGTAAATTGCTATTCTGGAAAGTTAGGATGTCTGTGTGGGCATTAACAGCAACAAACCATACTGAAAATTCATTTTCTTTCCTAGGAAAGACTTTGCCTGCCCCATCACATTTTGGAAGAAAGGGGCCTTGTGAAAGTTGGAGTTACTGTTCAAGCTCTTCTTGAAATACCTTCATCTAAAGCATCACAGCTTTCCTGCCTGTAACAGGACACTCAGAGAACCAACTTGTTGCCATGATGTGTGTTGATGTGGATTGATTCCAGTTCAGCTTCCTTCAGAGGAACACCCTAAGCCATCAGAAGTGATTGCAGGCCAGATATTGTACAGGTGAAACTCGAAAAATTAGAATATTGTGGAAAAGTTCATTTGTTTCAGTAATTCAACTTAAAAGGTGAAACTAATATATGAGATAGACTCATGACATGCAAAGTGAGATATGTCAAGCCTTTATTTGTTATAATTGTGATGATTATGGTGTACAGCTGATGAAAACCCCAAATTAACAATCTCAGAAATTAAATATTGTGTAAAGGTGCAGGGATGACCACAGCCTGGAGAGGATTGTCAGGAAAAGACCATTCAAACGTGTTGGGGACTTTCACAAGGAGTGGACTGAGGCTGGAGTTAGTGCATCAAGAGCCACCACACACAGACGGATCCTGGAGATGGGCTTCAAATGTCGTATTCCTCTTGTCAAGCCGCTCCTGAACAAGAAACAACATCAGAAGCGTCTTACCTGGGCTAAAAAAAAGAAAAAAAAGAACTGGTCTGTTGCTCAGTGGTCCCAAGTCCTCTTTTCTGATGAGAACAACTTTTGCATCTCATTTGTAAACCAAGGACCCAGAGTCTGGAGGAAGAATGGGGAGGCACACAATGCCAGATGCGTGAAGTTTCCACTGTCTGTGTTGATTTGGGTAGCCATGTCATCAGCTGGTGTTGGTCCACTGTGCTTCATTAAGTCCAGGGTCAACGCAACCGTCTACCAGGAGATTTTGGAGCACTTCATGCTTCCTTCCACAGACAAGCTTTATGGGGATACTGACTTCATTTTCCAGCAGGTCTTGGCACCTGCCCACACTGCCAAAAGTACCAAAACCTGGTTCAGTGCCCATGGGATTACTGTGCTTGATTGGCCAGCAAACTTGCCTGACCTGAACCCCATAGAGAATCTATGGGGCATTGCCAAGAGAAAGATGAGAGACATGAGGCCGAGCAATGCAGAAGAGCTGAAGGCTGCTATTGAAGCTTCCTGGTCTTCCATAACACCTCAGCAGTGCCACAGGCTGATAGCATCCATGCCACGCCGCATAGAGGCAGTAATTGATGCAAAAGGGGCCCAAACCAAGTACTGAGTACATATGCATGCTTCTACTTCAGAGGTCCAATATTGCTCTATTTGCAATCCTTGTTTTGCTGATTTCATTTAATATTCTAATTTTCTGAGATTGTTAATTTGGGGTTTTCATCAGCTGTATGCCATAATCATCACAATTATAACAAATAAAGGCTTGACATTATCTCGCTTTGCATGTCATGAGTCTATCTCATATATTAGTTTCACCTTTTAAGTTGAATTACTGAAATAAATGAACTTTTCCACGATATTCTAATTTTTTGAGTTTCACCTGTAGACCGCGCCTTACTTTAAACATATGTTTATGTTAAACTGACAGTTTTCCAGTATGGTAGAGAATTGTACTGCTTGCTTGCTTAATCCAGAGCCATAAGGGATTTTGAGATTATCAAAATCTCTTTTTCAAGGTAGTACACATTCTGAGTTCTCTTATTAATATTTCATTATTTCTTTTTCCTATTTTATGCTACACTGTGTTAGGTTGTCTCCTAGGTTTGCTGCACACGTTTTATAATGAACAAGAAACATAGAGCTTTGGAGATTTTTATATGGCAAAGAGTCCCAACCCGTTGCTGGTTCTTTGTCATGGATGCATTTTGAAAAATGTGCAATGCTGTCTTGCATATATTATGGTTTTAGTGTGTGCATTATGGGGCCATGCTAAAAATATAATATGCATAGCAGCTCTTAATCACATTTCCATTAAAAGAAGTCTAAAATTATTTTATGTACATTTTTTTCAACAACAACAACAAAAGAATCACTGCAGCATGGTGTGAGAAATCTGGATGATAAATCATGTGATTCATTTTTTTCCAGTTTCCATAAGATTGTGTCCCTAATTTCTTGCACTTCTTGCTGTTGTACCATCTCCCGTATTTTAGTTGGGCGGATGATGATGATGATGTTGATATTGATGATATTGATGATGGCAGAAAAAGATACAGTATAAAGGACAAGTTTTATGTGGGTTTTTCAGTATTCTAGGTTGGTGCCAAAATATTTTTTTTCAGTTGTACTGTAGATTGTTTACATGTGAAGTGCCTGTGATAACTCTTTTACTAGTCTTAAACTTCTTTGCAATTTCTTTGTGTCTCAATAGATGCAATGTGTATTTTTGAATATTAGGTTTTTGTAAGATTGGTAACGTAAAGTTTAAAGGACTAACACCTGAGTGTTGGATGTTCTTCAGTTTGCACAGTTTGAATTTATTAGGTTTGGTTTTCTAAAGAAAAAAATTGTAAATATGCTTTTATTTATCCTATTTAATTTGATACTCAGTCATTTTTTCAATGTATTGTTGGACAATGGATGCCACTTTCTTTAAATTATTTTCATTGTCTGACACTTAACAGTGACATATGGCGTGATTTAAATGGGAGTCGTACAGAAGCTTATGAGTTAAGGATGTTGAGGTAAAACTGCCAAATAAATAAATCTCAGGTTTATATTGTGACTTGTCAGGACTTTACATCTTGCTCCTGACTTCTGTTACTACGGAGTAGTGAAACTGAGCCCTAAAGAAGCTCTATTTTGCAATATTTACAAAAGCGTTGGGCAGCTGGCTGGTTCAGGGCATTGAGCTGTTCCCTCTGCACTGTGTGGTCAGTAATCCTAAAGCTGCAAATCAGGTTTGTTTGTTTGTTTGTTTGTTTGCTTGCTTGCTTGCTTGCTTGTGAGGGGCAAGGAGAGATTCCTGTTCCCCCATGTTATTTGCTGTTCTCCCTTTCCCTCTGTTTCTGTTGTAACAAAAGTGTTGAGTTGGGGGAAAGAACAGCTGCTGGGCACAGGGTGAAAAGGAGGAAGGGGATTGCTACATCCTGGCAGCAGCAATGCATGGTCATGCATCATAAGGCAAGATGGTAGCTCCTCTTTTCCTGTACACCCCCCTCCACTACCCCTTTGTACTAGAGCCACAGTTCATGCAGCAGGTCCATTATGACACCACACACCCCGGCTAGTAAGAGATTGCACCTCTTATAATCAGTGCATCTGTATCTCCCCATCGTTTTAGAAGCTATTCTGTGCCCCGTTTACAAGCCTTGGAGACAAATCCATCAGTGCCACAATGGGTGTTCCCGTAACTTCCCCCCTTTTGCTCTACAGTGTGATGAGAATGGTAGAAATGAGATAAATTACCATGTCTTTGAAATTAACCTTTCATTTAGTTACTTCACTGTACAGTGGAAGAGTCCCAACCCATTGCTGGTTCTTTGTCATGTATGGATTTTTGTGTTGAGTTGTGGACATAATCCGTCCTAGAGGCACGTCCGCAACTCAAAGTGTTCCCATCCAGAAGCGCAGCGTTTGCGCACATGTACAGCATGATTTAGCACTTCTGCACATGCTCAAGCGGCCGAAGTAACTGTTCTGGTACTTCCGGGTTGCCACAGGACGCAACTTGAAAAGACATAACCTGAAGCAGACGCAACATGAGGTATGACTGTATACATTTATTTAATTAAATGGAAAAAGCCAGACTCTTTTCTCATTTTTGAGCTGTGTGTCTGCAATTTTCAAATAAACTAAATTCTTCTTCCTTGTCCAAATGATAAAACATATTTCTTTGTTCATAACTCTCCACTACCCAAGGAACTCCCTGTTGGATTGCTGTTGGCTGCAGTACCACATAATAGTTACTGGGTTAAATTTGTAGTGTGGGGCAAAAGGGGTACAGGGGGTCTTGAATGCTTTCACAACATATGTGCAAAGTGAACTTGTGACTAGCTGCTTTTTCTTCCTCCCTTCAAGTGTGTGTTGTGAGCCTAAGGCAGGCCTTAGATGGCATCCTTGAGCCAAATAAAAAGCACACTAAACTGTTTCATGAAGCTTTTAAATAGAGCATGATTTGTTGTAGATTAGACCTTTCCTTTCACAGTTTTCCCCATAATTGTATTTTTAGTTAATGTTAGCTTTGAAAACCTTTTAAGGTTTAATTTCAGTCTGTTACAAGAAAGAAAAGATAAATATCATTTTTGTAGATTTTGTGAAATATAAAATCACCTTAGCACAGTTTAATAGAAAAAGCTGGTGTGATGTTGGGTGCAGTTGGATGCAGAATGAGCCCAGACCTCAAGATTTTTAGGCATTCCACCATGCAGCACTCAAACACCACACTGTACAAAAGTGGATTCTGTTTTGAGATGTCACAGCTCACTCCTCCTCCTCCTCCTCCTCCTCCTCCTCCTCCTCTCACTCCTATCCTTTCTCTTGTTCTTGAAAGTGTTTATTCTCTTTTGTTCTTCATTACAAATAAATAAAATCCAAGCCCTCGTCCTTCAGATGGTGATTTGTATACCCAGGCTGTAAGTCAAACAACTAGTGACATTCCTCTTGGTTTCAAAAATGGTTTGGTTTGAAGTGGGGGTAGGGGTGGGGGACGAGAGTTTCAGTCACTGTATTAATGTGGAGTTTTGGGTCCTAGCTTAGAATATTAACCCCCTTTTCATAAGCAAACCAAGCAGTACATCTAAGCCCATTACTTTTGTGGAGCTCTAATTTCTCCAGGATTCTCATTTTGCTCATTTGCCAAAAATTGGCAAGCTGCAAAATTCTGCACGTTAAAGGTTCAGAGTGCACTGTGGTCTAGATAATAAGATAATGGTAGGTGTGGCCATTATTATTTTTAAGAAGGACATTTTTACCATTTCCCCATGCTTCCAGCATGCACAATTGTGCACTTCTGAACACAAAAACTTCCACTGACAGAATCTTTGAACAAGCACAGTCTTGAATTCATCTTTCACGTGACTGAATAAAACTTGAATGCTGTTTCTCACAGTTAAATCACCTACATAATAGTATTAGTATCCTGCCTTGAAAAAGGTGTTGCAGGTTGGGAACCTTTGGTCCTTTGGATGCTGCTGAACAACAACTCCCATCATCTCTGTCCAGCACTATCAAGAGGCCCAAAGTTTTCTCATACCTGGTCTACAGAGTAAGCCATTGGAATATACAAAAACAGTGTTAAGAGACAGGTAGAGCATTTTCTACTACAGTGTTTCTCAAACTTGGGTCCCCAGGTGTTGTTGGACTACAATTCCCATCATCCCTGGCTTGCAGGACCAGTGGTTAGGGATGATGGGAGTTGTAGTCCAACAACACCTGGGGGTTGAGAAACTGTTCTACTGCATACTTAAACCAGTGTCAAAGTAGTTTGATCTTTCCTCAAAGTAAGTATGTTAGTATTGGGAGGACACTAGGAATTGCTAAAATATCACTCCCTCCCCACTTGTCAATCTTGGGCCTGGCTGACATAATTAGATTATGCCATTAAACTAGATTCATAGTATCTGTGAAGCCACTCCTAATTGGTGAACAATAAATTATTTATCAATGTCTGTTTTCTGATGCACCCACCAGCATTTAACACAGGTATACAGAAAACCTTCTGTAAAATATACTTGGTATTGTACATGGGGGTAGGAGCATTACATGCTCTGTAAGTTCCCCATCCCATTTGTTTTGCATTAAAATGCAATTAACAGGTTTTATTGAAGTATATTAAAATAAATGTTTGGTATGCCTATACCTATTTATTGTTCCTTCATTTGGAAAGTTCTTTTTGTAGGTGTTGAGATCTTTTATTAATTTCACTCTAACATAAAGATGTTCTGTCTTCCAACAAGGACTAAAAATATGTGCAAAATCTATAGATATGTAAAACACACACACACACACACACACACACACACACGGGCTGCCAAAATGACAAAATTGTAGTGTTTTAATTTAGGAGAGAGGTTGTACATTATTTTCTTGTACTACTTTATAATTCACCAAGCACAGCAATTCTTACTGTTTTTTCTGTTCATGGAGCACAGGTTTAATCATTCTCCTGGGGCTGCCTTTTGCAGACAAATTAGTCTCCATTTGATGCTTCCCAATAACTCATGTGCGCATAGAATACTTACTTTGTAATGTCCTGCGATCTCCAGGGATTCAGGCTCTGCTAATTTCTTGGCGTGGGTGGGTGTAAAAAATGAACTGTCACAAACCTACAAAAATTGGCGAGGTGAAGCAGCAACTGGATTTGCTGAGATCCATTTCATACATGACATTCTCCATATGAATGTGTTCCTGCTCAAACCAAATTCTCAGTGTGATGGCACTTTTAACCTACAAACCACTGAGTTCATTTGTGTTACTGAAACCCATGCAGTGTTGTAGGAAGAATGGCAGACTTACTGCACTGTGCTGCTACCACGGTGTGAGATGTGAGTGTTACACATTCTGCAAAAGAGACTGGGGTGCTGGGCTGTGATGGGATTAATGGGAAGAAGTGCAAACTCTTGCGTACTCTGTAGAACTAAGACAAAATAATGGGACGAGGTTGGTTGGTTGGGGCGGGGTTGCTTATTTTTAAATATTGAATCTACTACTTGGTCAGTATTCATTTATTTTGTATCTTCCCTTCAACTTTAGCCAAATCAACATAGCTGCTTAAGTGTAAATGTGTGCAAAACTGAGTACAACTTCAGCAAAGTAGTGAAAAGCAGTCAGGGACTATACTTTTTTCCTCTGTGTGTATCTATATATTTCGATATCCATTTGGTGTTGCATTTTAATTTGCTTTGTGTTCATGTTCTGTAAGATGCTTCACCGCCCCATTCATCTTCTTGTACATGACTCTTCCAACACTTGCTTTTTTCCAGGACTACTTTATTGCTAGAGCTTCCAACAAGTGTATGTTCATTGAAAATAGTCCTGTTTTAGTTTTCTTCTGTAAATAGTTTTCTATTGGAATCAGCATGAAAAAGACCCACGTGTCCAAAACTGATGTACATAATCTATGTATAAAATGCAAACTCTTTCATAATCCTTGTGTAGTCAAATGTGTGTTTTGTTCTTCTATCATTAATGGTCAGCAGCTGCCTAGTAAGGAGCCTGACTTTTGACTGGTTGCATTTTCATTATGGCTGTGTGCTCTTGTGCGATTGTTTTTTCTATAAAAAAAGTGGATAAGGTACGTGTTTGGGTGGCTTGAGTACTTATCAGTTTGGAAGTAAAACTCCCTAAATAAAGGAGAAGTTTCACCACTTTGGGCATTACCTAAGTCTGCAAAAGGAGTTCAGTAAGCCCATAGCTTACACACATGTAACTTGTGCACATTGAACTTCACGCACTTGGCAAACAAAGAAATAAATGAGGGTGGAAAGGGGGCAGGCATCTGGGGAAAAGGGCAGGCAGTCTCATCTGTCATTGAACCCATACTGGCATCACTCCCCCCCCCCCCCAATCCTTTGTCAGTTGGCAAGTCTAAAGGAATGGGGGGCATCAAAAGAGAATCCTTAAGTGACTCATTTTCAGGAGAGACTTTCACATTGGAAAGCCTTTTCATTTGCTGGAAGGGGCAGGGAGGCAGTCATAGCTACATCTGCTTCCCAGTCTGAGCTGCACTGAATTTTTCCACTGTTTCATTTAAGCAGCTCTTGCCTTCAAGCCCCTGAGACCAGAAGAATAAGAACTTGCGAGCAGATGTTGATCCTTGCAGTGTTCAGTCTCTGTGCATGAGGGTGGATGAGCAGAGACATCTTTTCCCAAATAGCACAAAGTATCTTCGCTCACAAGCAGTACAGTTGGGATGATGACCGCCAGGCAGTTAAACTCACTCCTGCCCAAATAATTTACTCATGTATTTCACCATTCTGCTCAAATATTATTCAGGATAAAAGTGCAATTACACTTACTGATGCTGGGTGACAGTATGGTAGATTGATCAGGAGCATGTGCCCAAAAACTTGGTGGCAAAGGTGGATGTTGAAGAGGGATTGGAAGTGTTGGCTGAAGGGTGAGGGAATGGCCTGTTGCTGCTCAGCTGTTGCTGAATTCCATCTTCCCTCATCCCTGACCATTGACTGTGCTGGAGTCCAACAACATGAGGACCAAAGGTTCCCCATCTCTCTCTATTTATTGCCTCAGGCACAAAAATGTCTTGGTACATGTGTTGTGCAACCACAACCATGATGGATTTTTCCTCCTTTTAAAAAATATTTAGTTGTATGCTGCCTTTTGGCCCTAAAATTCCCCCCCCCAAACATTGTAGTCAAGCCTATAGAAATTCAGTAATGCAGGAAAAAATGGCCACAGCTTAAATGTGAGTGAAATTTGTAAATATCTTGGAGGGAGTTTTGTCTGTGTGTTTGCCATCAAGTGCTACATAAATTTTATGAAATAAATAAAAATAAAATGTCAAGCCAAACTGAAGCTCGCCATCCTGAGGCCCCCTAGATACTTTGGATTACATCTTCCAACAGGCCCATCAGTTGCTATAAAGCAAAACATCTGGAGGACACCAAGTTGGTGAAGGCTGTTCTAGGAGAAAGTTCTTCAACTTTAGTGCCACAGTAGAGAAGGCCCTGCCCTATGTCCCAACCAAGTGACCTGAGGATGATGGGAAGGCTACTGATATTGGGCAAAGACAACAGGCAGGACTGAAATACATGTCAACATTCTACTTATCTGGACAAAAATGTCACTAAAAATTGTGCAGACAGTTCCAAAGTGTGGGTGCTGCCACACTGTGAGGAGTGGATTTTCAGGTGACCATAAGGACCAGCTCCTCCTCCTAAAGTTATGCATGAAATGTAAGTGATGGCCATCTAGATGACATCCAGGCTGTCAGGGAAAAGGCATTAGAATGAGTGTTAGCAATATTTTTCCAATTGAGGGCTTACATTCCCATGGGTGTAGTCTGTGGAGGGGTATATACCAGCAATGAGCAGAACTGGAGTTGACACATTTCCTCTCCCTGTTCCTGCTGCCCATTCCCCCCGCCCCCAATCCCTACATGAAATTAGGCAGCAGGCTGAGGGCTGCATTCCCTTCTGGGCAACCTCTTGATGGCACCATGCCAGAGGCAAAAGTGAGTGGAGCAGCTATGGTAAGTCTTAACTTAGTACAATGTGCTGGATACATTGACATCCATCCATCTGGGCAAGCATTATCAGAGGCCAAAGAGACATTCCAAAAATACTTGACAGGAGCAAGCCCACAATAAATCACCCAGAGTACATGAAGTTAACGCTTTATTAGAAGAAACAGAATCTGCTCGGGAGTGTCAGGCTTAATGACCACAGCAACTCTTTGGTAAGTCTTGCCTCTATGAGGCAGTTGCAGAGACTAAAGGTTCCCACCTTCCCACAACTGCCTATGTCCCCTCTCCTAGGTTTCCCCCAAGCAATCCAAGACTACACTAGCATGCCTGCTTTTGCTCCTCCCACTTCATGCCTCTCCTTGTCCTGGGAGACCAGCAGGGAGAGGAGCTTGTTGCAGCAGGAAGGTGCACCATGCACCATGCAGGAAGGTACACATGACTGCACCAGCCTGACTCATTTCTGCCTCTTGATCTCCCACTTTTCTGCTTCTGGACTGCTCTCTGCCACAGACGTTCTGCTCACTAAGCCCTGTTACTCCTTCAGCATCGAACACAACCTCCCAGTCTTCTCCCTTTGACCACTCATCGTCCCACCTCCACTCCCAAAGGCTCTGAGCCTTCCCTTGGGGGTTCCCCAGCTGGTGCCTCCCACCATTCCTCTGCGTCCAAATGATCCATAGCAGCACATGAGCATGTGAAGCAGGGCCAGTGAGAGGTGTAGCCTGGGGAGATATCTGAGGGTTAGACAGGTCTGGAGTCCTGCATTTGGCCCCATGTCAAAAGTTCTTCATCCTGGTATTAAATGGCAAATGCTGCTCTGCTTAAATGGTGGTGTGCAATGGCTTAGATGCATGATTAAACCAGACACAGAGGCAGGGAGATCTTTCAGTGGATAATAGTAAAAACAGCTAAACAGAAGCACTTTTTTTCTGAGGCATTGAAGCTGCTGGTTGTTGTTTTAGTTTTGTACATATATTGCAGCAGAATGCACAAATCAATAGTCCACTATGACTTCTGCTTGAAATAATAACAAACCTTAAGGTTTATTACTCCCAGCAAACAAAGCCATTCTGAGTACAACCTCGCGTGCAGCCATCATGGACTTCTGAGTTCAACAAAAGGAAGGTCCAACACTAACACTAACTGAAGCAGCAGCAGCAGCAGGAAGGAAGTAAAGCCCAGGGTAGCAAGCAAGTGAGAAAACAATAAAGGCATATTTTAAAAGCATCCAGGACAGATGCAGCCTGGGAAAGATCTTTGCTTAAAAGCAAGAACACAACAGAGATGGTGTGCACTCAATATTTAACAGGAAGGAATTCCAAAGGCTATGCACCATGACACTAAATACCTGATTCCTGTTGCAGCATCTGCAATGTGCTGTGTATGATGTGGTATTGTTTTCAACTGTTATTTTTCTTCTTTCTTTTATTTCTTTTAGATGGTAGTTTATTGTATCCCCATAGAATTTAAATTGCAATACAGTCATACCTCGGGATAAGTAAGCTTCAGGTTGAGCGCTTTCGGGTTGTGCTCTGCGGCAACCCAGAAGTAACAGGTTTCACCGCTAGTGCATGAGCAGACTGTCAAAATGAAGTCACACGCATGCGTGAAAGCGGCGAAATGCAACCCGCGCACCCGTAGACGCGCTGTCGCGTCTTACGTTCTGTTCAGGATGCGAATGGGGCTCCGGAATGGATCCCGTTCGCATCCCGAGGTACCGCTGTACGATAAAACACAACAGAAGAAATACAAATAAAATTCAGTTAAAATCAATATGGTTATTTAATGTGATGGATGCATCATCTCATCTTCAACCACACAGCCCAAGCCACGCCGTAGACTACCTTGAATGAAACGCATGGACTGGCGGCCCACAAACCACAGTTTGTGAACCCTTGGCTTATAGATTAGGGCAATAAATGTCTCTTCCACACTGTCCCTGCTGAAATCTTCCTGTGTCCTGCCTCGTGTTCAGGAGTCAGGTGATGGTGGTAGTCCACAACTTGGTAGGCAGTGAGCAGCTGAGATGGTGGCTCACCCTTTGAGAGAGAACCACTACCCAGCCAAGAGGAACTTCATGGCTTGAGCAAGGAACTAACAATCATGGATCTCTCTCTTGCCAGGGCTGCAGCCACTGCAGCATGCTGCCGCCTCAATTCCTTTGCATCTTGGGAATTTGGGAAAGGGGCAGTGTAGTTCCAAGAGTAATGGGGAGGTACACAGAGCATAGATGGATGTTGGCATAGATGCCAGATCAGACCATTGTGGTCTATGCTGACCATAAAAGAATGGGCTTTTCTAATACCTGCTATCTTATTCTTCTGACTGGAAATGCTGGGGATTAAATCTAGGACCTCCACAATGCATTGCTGGTGCATTGTTACTGATTTGTGGCCATATCAAGGGTGGGGGACCTTTCTCAGCCCAAAGACCATATTCCTTCATGAGAAATCTTCCACGAGCCACATTTTAAATGTCACATACGGTTTCCTAGAACAGGGCTTGCCAACATGGTGCCCATGCTTGTGAAAGCCTTCATCAACAACTCCAGGCAGGGCCCCAGACTCTGAACTTACATTTTAAAAAAGAATGTTTCTAGCCTTCCTAGAAAGAAAGTTATGAAGCTGTTTGAACACCAAACAATAAGAATCCCTGGTGTTCTAAGAGCTGCTGTTTTCCTGCACTAAAGAGAGGGTGAGGTGTGGCCACCTTACATATTTTTCCTGGTACTGGGAAATGCTCCCAGTTCACTGAAAACAATACCGTCTGTCTGTCTGCTCTCTCTCTCTCTCTCTCTCTCTCTCTCTCTCTCTCTCTCTCTCCCTCTTTCTCTCTCTCTCTCTCTCTGTGTGTGTGTGTGTGTGTGTGTGTATTTCTGTGCAATCGATATTGTGTGATCTCCACAATCAGGACCAAGAGAACACAGCTTGAAAGGTCCTAGAATGGATAATTAAACAGCATGGGTTTCTCAAAAACACGTCATGCAAGACTAAGCTTTCTTCTTTTGGCAGAACTTGGTGGATCAGAGGAATGCTGCAGATGTTGCATATCTTGGTTTCAGCAAGGCTTTCAGCAAAGTTCTCCATGACATTCTTGTGGA